AAGAAAACTAGGCCTGAATGCTCCCATTTCTCAGCAACCGGTCCGAGCCATTGAAAGATCCTTCCCGTGAAATATAGGAAACCGAACCCCAAAAGATTAACGCCGATAACAGCCAGGACGCTACCGACTCTTTGCCAAAATGTCATTTTTCGCCATGCTGCTAGCACACGCTCATTAATTGCATTCAAACGAGCCATGATGCCTTGCTTTGGGGCAGGAGTTGATCTCCGGGTAGAGAAGCCGGCGTTATTCCGAGTGTCAGTTGTGGGTTTGCCCCATGGTGGACGAGCACCTTCCCCCAGCGGAGAAGGAGAACGAGACGAAGAAGCTGAAACAGAAAGAGCCCGCGCCGTAGAAGCGTAGTCTGCAGGCATGTCGGAGAGGTATGTTCAAGAAATTGGTATGATGAAAAAGGCTATATTGCGCCTGGAGCTCGGAGATCTGCGAGTGGGTCGGCAGAGAAAGGCCGACTGCGTCAGCGTCGATAAGGGACGCGCGAACTGCTCGCGGTGCCAAAAGTTAAGAATCAAGTAGACGACTGAGAGGGTCGTCAATCAAAGAGGGCGAATCGTGACCCTCAGCGAGCGATCGAACATGAGTGAATGGAGGGCTTGATGCAAGGCGGGATGACCAGCTGAAATTCGGGTTGCCTATTCTCTTGGTTGTCCTGAAACGCGGCGGCTGAACGATTGGCCGATTTTCACTTTCAAAACGCCGGCAGGACGTAGGAACCCGAAGAGCTGAAAAGGAGAGAAAGAGAGGAAAGGAGAGAATGATATAAGCTTGAACTGGGAGAAAGCGCAAGGAGTGGTCTTGATGGAGCAGAAGGCGGAGCTGGACATCATGAGTGACGATGATCGGGACCCAGTTGTAACTTTGGAAAGCATCATACAATTAATACGCCTTCAGCTGGCCGATCGGGTGCTGACTCTGATACCAAATTACAATAACTTACATCCAGCACAGCCACAACATAGTGACGACTGACTGCGTACTCTGGGGTTTGCACTCTGGGAAATCATCTACAACGTGGTCTGTAAATATCCCAGTGAATACTGGAATAAGTTTAAATTGGACATTGTCCCCAATTTCCAATGCCTCTTGGTACGACAACCGGTGTATCACCAGCTCGCCACCATCAACCGCGGCAGATCGACTCAATCCTCAGGCATCAGCCAAGGAACGGAAAGGTGGCCTGAGGGGGCAGGCAGAGTAAATAAAGAATGAAACAAAGCAGCATCTTGGTGATATCGAGGCCTTTATATCGTTCCTCTCGAATGCCAGACCAGACAAAGCGGTCCAGAATCCAGATCGGACTTGACTAGCGCGGTGCCATTCAGCTCCTGGCGTTATGATTGTTGGGCGGGTCTCAGCCTATCGATCGTCGAGTCCCGACTTTCTCGTCCCATCCCATCAGCTTCCGCTCCCTTGACCTCTCCCACTCCCCTTCCAGTTTCTCTGGCTTCTGCGTTCTGCGCCTGCTGTTTGTTCTGTCGTTTTGTTTGTTCGGCCTCTGCCATATTTAGCCTTCTTGTTCTTGTTTTCCCTGATCGCTTATTTCATGGCCCGATGCGATGTAAGCATCCGTGGACCGCAAGTTGTCTCCTGTCGCATAACAATCCCCCTTCACTGACGACCGCCATCTCCCCTCGGGCCTTTACTCAGCGTCTATATATCTCGTGAAACTCAAGGTAGCTCGAAGGACAATGGACGCCGAAATCTGAGATCGCCCTTGCTCCCAGCCGATTCTCACAGCTCGATACCTTGCGGACTCTTTATTCTCCTTTACCCCACATCTCGCTGGTTCCCCGACTCCCTGATATTCCCGCGCTGCCACCCTCCCCCCTCTCTCGGCTTTATCAACCCTCCTATCACCACTAGTCCTACAGAGACCCGACATGGTCGCGGAGGAGCTCCTGGAGGACTGTCTCCAGATCCTCCAGGATAAATCCCTTGATGAAGAAGACCAGGTCGAAAAGATCGAGGACTTTCTCCGCGAGAAGACCTCCTTATCAGGAACGTCACTCGAGAATGCTGTCCTCGATATTCTCTGGCGACATCGAAATCGCACATTTCCAGACTCTTCACCACCACCAGCCCGTCCTACAGTTATTCGTCGCTCATCCCCTGCCCCTTGGCAGATGGCTCGATCGTCCACACCGTTGTCCCCCCATTCGAATTTAGGGACCAGTCCTGGAAGCACATCATGGTTACAAAATTCTCGAAGTGGTCTTCCACGGGCCCCTCTATCCTCCACAGTGTCACCATTTACATCGCCTCGTCCGTCCCCAAGACTCGCTCTTGCTCAACCCATCCCGCATTCGCCAAACTTGAACGCGTATGAATTCTCAGATCAGAGCCATATATCGGACTTCTATGGTGATTTTGGCAATGATAGTAATGTGGACTGGCTGGTGGCAGATGATGCGATGAGCACAACCTCGTCTGTGGGTGGTTTGAGCATCCACGGCAACCTGAGCGCTACAGCTCCTGAATTTGTTCCCGATATGAGCCCTCACGATATTCTGCGCACGGTGCTTGGAGACAAACGATCCAATGAGGAAATAGAAACCGCCCTCGAAGCAAACGGGTATGACCTGGGTGCCACAATGGCCGCTCTAACCCAAGGAACCGATGGCGAAACGGCGTCTAGTATGCCAGACGACAGCCGTGTTGTCGTAGGAAAGTCCATGTCAGTGGACTCTCACAAAGGCTCCCCAACTCCCGTTCACAATCGTAGCCCGGTGGTTTGCAAGTATTGGCTATCAACCGGTCAATGCCTTCGCGCAGATTGCCGCTTTAGCCATGATCTCACTAGCCATCTTTGCAAGTAAGTATTGTGAAAACCATATAGTATTATTTAGAGACAATGGCTGACGCTGTTTTCCACTTTTAGATACTGGGTAATGGGAAATTGCCTAGCTGGCGACGGATGCCCATTTTCTCACGATCCCTCTGCACTTGTCGCAAACCTCAGTGTTGACGGAAACCCGTCGGTTACCTCAGCCGGCATCGCGTTTCAAGTAGACAATGCCCCGGATGCGTTCCCTCCATTGCAGTCGACACCAGGAGCCACAGATCAGTGGGGAGGAGGCAAATATCCAGGTTATCTATTTGGCTTCCCCGGAGGTAAAAATCCATCGCACCTTGGAGGCAAACGGAACGGAAGCATGACGAGTCTATCGCGTCCTCACTCTCGGCCAGGGAGCCGACATCAGCACCGAGAACTCAACCCAGCAGCTTTATCGGTTGATGATCCGGATGCCTTCCCTACTCTTGCTGCTGTCAATGCGAAGAATTCAGGGAAGAAGAACCACGGGAGAAAGAACCGTGACAATGCTTCAAATCGCGACAACGTGCCTGCTTCTCTGGCGGATGTTGTGCGCATGTCTCCATCCCCGGCTCCAGGAAAGGGGAAGTCCTCATCTAAGCATAGCCGAGAAGGAAAAGGCCGTGAAAATAGCGCCGCTGCGCAAGCAATTCCGGCGCCACAGCATATCCCTTGGCTTGAAACCGGCTCTCGAACAAACCAACAATATATTAAATTCCGAACCGAGGCGATCCGCCACGGTACAGTGAGAAATAAGTTCCTTCAAAGGTTGGCATATATTCCTTTTATTCATTTTTTGCTCGTCAGCTGACCAAATCGAAGTGCTGCTCAAGCCTGGAACAGAAACGATGCGCGAGCTGCCAAGGCTCTGTCTCTACGTGGACAGGCAGAAAATGAAGCCATGCGCAAATGCCATCGAGAGGCCGCACGACAGCTCTATGAAGAGCGCAACAAACATTTGCTAACTGCTGGCCTGGACGATGCATCCGAGGAACTCTACGTCGATTTGCACGGATTACACCCCGAAGAAGCTATCGAGTATCTAGAGAAAATCCTTCTCAAACACGCTCGAGAAGGCCGGCGAATCATTTACGCCATTACCGGTACAGGCCACCACTCCAAGAATGGCAAAGACAAGATCGGAAAGGCAGTCAAGGCCTGGCTGAACGAGTGGAAATATCTATTCCGAGAGTTCAGCGTACCCGGTGAACGAGGTGGGTACGTAGGCGGTATTTTGGGCATTGACCCATCGAGCTATGATAAGGCTCTGGCCAAGAGCCTTGAAGAGACTGGTGATGGAAATGAAGACGAAGCTGGGAATCAACCTGTCCTTACGATGGGCAAGATCCAGCTCCTCAAACGTGGGGATATAGAACCGACACAGTAACAGAATACAAACTATATTTATCACTTTTGCGTTTAGTGTAGATTTGCCGTAAGGTGTTTAAATGGATAAAATGTATATACTGTTCAATTCTCCCACGTAGTCATACATAGTAACGATATATAACCATGCACTTATCTACGCTCACACATTTCACGTCAATAGAAACCGAGAATTAAAAAGACACCAGTTCATTTTAAAAATCCAATAAGCCAATCCAAAAAAAGCCAATCCAAAAAAGCTAAATTCCCAAACCGGTCTGGGATGTGGGCATGGACAGGAATTGGAGGGATTGGGAGTACAGACAGGGCATATTGTGCTGGACTGTTTGGAATTGATGGACTAGGTAAGGCCATTTCCTGCTTGAGTTTTCCACTGACGGTGTGGGATGTATGAGAGGAATGTAGTCTTTGCTGTCTGCAGGTGCCTAGGCGTGTGAGGGGTATAGTTGGTGGTTGCAGCATGCTGAAATTGCGAATGATCAGATTTCGTGTTTGAAGAATTATCAGGTCAGAATGCAAGGTCCAGAGCAAGCCGTAGCTTAGCATCTAGATAGTACGGTATAGATGGACGACAACTTACCATTGAACGCACCGTGAGGGGACGGCATGGTTGGGGAGGTGTTGAATTGTGACGCAGAAAGCAAAAGAAATTGCAGAATCAGATTCAGCTAGATGTTGAGAAATCTACGCACCCATATCAGGTCCAAAATTATGTGTATCATCAGGATAGTCCTTGTTGCCTCGTTTCGGACCAAACTGGTATATCTTACGATAATTACGAGCGCTACAGAGGAATACATAGCTATAACACAGCTAGTCTATATAAGGAAGTCTACATACCAAACAAAGAGTAGCGTATCCTCAAATACATGACAATACATACAACGAGCAAGTAAAATCAACATCACAAGCTCTCTAGGATTTAGATCTCTCCACAACTTGAGCAGCAGCAACCAAATTCCTAATTCTGCGTCGGCCTCGCAACAAGCATAGCCAAATCATTCTTCAACACGCCTGGATGCTCGATAAACAGATTCCGTAAATGCGGCGCCAGAGCCTTCTTCGCTTCAGCGAGGTTCTTGCCACCACAAAACCAAGGTGCAGCCACTGCCTCTGCCGCTTCGAAAACAGGATCATGTCCAGGAAAAGGATATTTGGCTCTGACCCTGTGAAGGGAAATGCTTCCGAATCCGCATTCTGAAAGAACCTTCTTTGCAAGGTGGAGCAGGTATCCCTGGTGGCTTGAATACTGCTGCCCGCTTTCTGACTCTGAGTTCAAAGGCAGACTGAGCGTGTTAAGCAGCCTGGTCACCTCGTTGTCGGGGGCTGCTTGGACTATGGTTATACTTGCGGTGGGGGAGGATAAGTCTGTGACGCGGGCGAGTTCTGACAAGGCAGTCTGGAGATTGGGCACGGTGTCGAGCGCCATGAATGAGTATACGGCATCGAATTCATTTTCTGCAAAGGGTAAATTCCTGGGATAGGCGAGAAGGGATTGAGTGGCTTCTTTGCCTGACACCTGGGAAGCGGTCAAAAATGCTACAGAGAGTGAGTACGGATTATCACACCAGACACCAGACAACAATGGCATAGCTGGATACTCACCTCTCAGTCCACCACCAAGTCCAAGAATCCTCTGGTCCTCAGCCGTAGGGCCCAAGATTGGGTCCTGCCATTCTTCAATGACAATCCGGTGTTGCAGCGCCATCCAAGCCCGTTGATCCAAGTCCGACAGCACAACATGTTTATCGGGCAAAGGAAACGGCCCGCACAACGAATCCACCTCCATCTTCCTCGCCTGAATAAGAGAATGTACTTCCTCAGGCTTATGCTGCTCATCCTTTGGCACAAACCTAAACGACCGCTCTACCTCGACACGAAACCCCGCCTGCTCCAACACTTTTCTCCATCTCTCTTCAGACAAAAGCGTCTCCTTCGTCACCCGAGTCATCCACGGCTTCTCTACCTCTCGCACACAGTCCCAGAGGGGATCATACGTCCCCTGCCCCTCTACCAGCACCGAACTAGGCGTAAATCCCAAAACAAGAACCCCGCCAGGCCGCAACCACTCCCCAAACCTGAAAACCATGGAGTACGTATCGCTGGGCGAAATTTGGAAGAGCGAGTATACCGCAAACACGGCATCTATTGCGCCCGGCGACAGTGGCATGTACGTTCTCATATCGGCTTTCTCAAACGTAGCTGGACAGGCCTCTGATCCGTGTACCTGCCCGCGAGCAATCCCCACCATCTCCTCTGCAATATCGATTCCGTGCACCGAGTGTCCAGCGCGGGCGACCATGTCGGCGACGGGTTTTCCGGTGCCGCAGCCGACATCTAGGACCTGGCTGTGGGGTGCCAGGGTGGAGATTGCATTGCGAACGAAGTCTTGCAGGTTGGGGCTATCGAGGTAGGCGTCTTCGTAGCGTTTGCCTAGGTAGTTGAAAAGTATTTCGACGTCTGCTTCTTGGGGAACGGATGAGGGGGTAGTAGCCATGGTGTATCTAGATGTGACGGTAAGATTCGAAACCAGTGTACGTCGAGCTTATTTGTTTTAAGAGCGGCTGCAGAAATGCTGGACACTCTTAATTATATGTAGAACTCTGGGGTCAGCGCGCTACGTAGTTTGTTCATCCAGTGGAGGGGCATGCAGTAGGGTGTAAAACGCGCACACAATAAACGTAAGGGACACGCAAACAGCTTTTCCTGCACCTATCCCCGTGACCGGCACTTGCATATTAAACTCGTCACTTGCAGATTCGGGGTTCTATTGGTACTTCCCTATTAATCGTATCGGCGGGACGGGGTATTTCGGTCCACTTATTTACTTATACACTGCCGCCTATTGGGGTAGGGACCTGAACGCCTCCTTCACTATCCTGGCGTCATGCACCGTAGACATGCCAACCTTCATATTGTCTGCAGCCGCCACTGTGATCATGCATACTGGTGCTAATACCAGCCCATGCTCCACATTCGATAAGTAGTTTCATTAATTACACCTATACCTGGCAGTATTTCATCGATCACAATCAGTCATTAGTTATATCATTATAGAATCCCATATGAGCAGCGTTAGGCTCTAGATTCCGCCGTATAATCGTCGTTTTGCGGCGTTGGAAGCTCAGCAGGGTGTTCTGGGCGACCTACACACATTTGGTTGTTAACGAATATGTTCAAAGTTATAGGCTGGTGGTGAGAAGAGGTCGAGGCAGTCAGAACATACCATTCATTTCATAGACCGGCCAACTTCCTGCCTCAGCTGTGGAGTGGGAGCCCGGAACCCCTAGTTCTGCTGGGGTGGGCAGACTGCCCTTGCCCGAGAGTTCACTTTGCTCCTGCTTCTTTTCCTGCTTTTGGTCCTGAAGGCTGGAGTTCCCCCTAGTTTTACGGCACCGTTGAAGCCAAAAGGTTGCCCCAATGGCAAGGACTACCGCGACGAGACCGAGAAGACCACCGATGAGACCACCGCCCCAGGGTGGAAAGTTACTAGAGGAACCCGCAGTTGTGGTGTTATCATTTGTTGCATTGTCTTTATCGGGATACCAGGTTGCGATGGTTTTGTTGTATTCGACGGCAAAGACGTCTCTAAGAGAAGTGTTTGTCCAGGATACAGGCGATGCGGTCCTTTATTTACTAAAGAAGATCTAGCAAGCTCAGGATCTTCAATAACAGAAAGATAAGACTATACAGGCTACTAAGGTACTTAAAGAAGAAGAAAAGCTTCACTAGATATACTAGAAGAAGAGAAGTAATATTAAACTAAAGAACGGCAGCGAATTCAGGTATTTAATAAAGAGTAATACCTCTGCCAGAATAAGAAGAAAAAATATAAGAAAGAGGAGGCTTGTATAGCTAAAGAGGCGGAGAAGCAGCTTTAAAATAGCTTTAAAATAACCTAAAAGGGCAGAAAAAGGCACCAGCAACTCTCAAACTAAAAAATATACATGAAAAAGCGCCTCCAGATACTAAAGTTATTAGTAAGGCCTCTCCAACAGTAAACCGCTGAGGATGTCAGATGATAGATCCACCTCCCACAACGATTTTTAGATTAAAAAAAAAATATGAATAGCTTTATTTAGTACTCTAATATTTAATACATTTCTTATTTCTATATAAATTACTTTAATTATGTTGAAAAGCTTTATTTTTTATCTTGTGGTGGGAGTAAAAATCGGGCGTCAGGTGGGACCGGGCGTCAGCTGATCAGCGACGGTAGACCAGCCTCGGGCAGCCAGATTTTAACAATTAGATGGGCTTTAGTAACCTATATTGAAATCATCACATTCTCATAATTCCCACTATTCGATGTTGCTTCCAACCTAACAATTCACCTTTGACAAGAAATCCCAAAGACTTGGAGACCCTGAGGTGAGACAAGTTGTTGAGATTCCCCCCCAACGCATTGTAAGACAATCCCCACACGGGCCAAGTACAAGGAGTAATAAACTATAAATCCCGAGTACTTCCACTAAAAAATACAGAACTCTATCAGTGGATCAAAATAATAAACCACAAAATGCCTGTTGGAGGTTGCTTTTGCGGAAACATCCGCATCGAATCCAGTGCCCAGCCTGTTACCAGTGTCAGTTTATCATTCTTGTTTCAGCTTTTTTTGCACTATATCATTATTATCCGAGTCTGTTATTTGTTTTGAGCTTACAATAAACCAGGCCCTCTGCCACTGCATCGACTGCCGAAAACTGACCGGAACTCTGTTCACATACAGCTTCGTCTTCAAAAGGGCCGATATCACCATCAAGGGGAAGCCAAAAGAGATCGCGAAATCGTCTGATAGCGGGAACAGAATCAAGAATTATTTCTGTCCTGATTGCGGTGCGCAGATACTTACTCAACTTGCATACTCATATTGACCGTATTTCGCAGGAACGCCGGTCTATGGATTCAAGATCAAGCCTTCTGGAGAAGAAGATGATATTCTAATTGTCCGGGCGGGGTTATTTGATGATATGGAGCTGTTGAATGAGCAGAGGCCTGTGGCTGAGTTGTATATTAAGGGCAGAGTGGACTGGGTGTGCCCTCTGGAAGGGACGCAGCAGTTTGAGGGGATGTTGCCGATGCCGTTGTAATGGCTAGAATAGATTTTCTTATGGGAATGGTAACAAATAGGTCTCTACTAACGTGTTTACACCTACTGTGTCGTATTATGGCTCTGCATTTAGAGTTATACTTTCTTACTCGAATTTAAGCTTTAACCACCACACGGCACTACCTTGCTTTCTTAGTTGATAAGCTAAATGAGCTTCTATCCTAATGTTTATTACTCAAATTATAGTTTTAGATATCCGTATATCCCATAATACATCATGAATTCGAACGCGAAGACGTTAAGAGAGTCCCACCTATATGTTTCAAATCCTCCTGGCCACAAATCTGACTCGTGGAAATCTGAGTCGTACTCCTCGTCCCTTCCAGCCCAGGCTCAACCCCAACCTCCAGCCACCAAAAGTCATCTGTTTCTTCCTGGCCACTCCGGGTTCGGGTTACCCCATTCATATTCATGCCCATGTCCATCCTCGATAGCGGCAAATCGCTGGCCGCCCTGGATCCTGATTCCTCATTTCCGGACCCGCGGAAGAATCGGAATAGGGAGCGCACCGTAACGAGGCTGCCTGCTGTGATTCCTAGGCTTGCTTCGACGTTGGACCAGATTGAGATGTCCGTTGTTGCGTCTGAAATCTGTCAGTTTGGTTTTCCTATAACCGGTTGGTCTGATGGACTCACATAGAAAGTCGTCATCCTTATAATAGTGGAGGTAGGGAATGCGAATAATCACGGCAGTACTGGCACTATTGCGGTAATAATTAGTTACTTGGGTCAAAAAAAGAGAAAAGACCAAACTCACATGCAACCCAACCCCAAAATCGCAGCTAGCGCAGCCTTGGTCCTAAAATTCATCTGCAATTTCCACACAAGCGCTATCGGCAGCAGAGCCAAAATAAAGTCGCAAATCACCGCCGTGACACTGTAAAGGTAGGCAACACCCTCGAGGTAGTTGAGATTAATACAGGTCCCCGAGCTCGTGAACCGGTGCCAAAAGTACGAGACTGGGTGGCATTGCAGGATTAAGGTGAACCAGAAGGCAAGTCCGACGACTACCGAGACTCCGACGACAGTCCATATAATGGCTTGGTGGACTCTTGATATCGTTAGGCGGAGGAGGGTCAAGGCAATGGACATCTTGGCGATGACGCAGGTGAAGACGTAGCTGGCTTGTCCTAGCCACCACCACTGGTATGTGTAAGAAATAGGTAACGAACGGTGGGGGGGAAAAGAGTATTAGGAGTCGTACGAATAGTGCCTTTTCAACGCCCGGAATATCGTCGATAAGGTCTTCCATCCTTCGACCAATTCCATAGAAGGAACCCGTGATTCCACATATCGCGAAGACGATATTCAACGCCTGTATATCGCCATCATAAATTAGCCAAAATTGAAGAGAACCGTAAGAGCCGGCATGTCACTATACCATCGCAAGCACCATCAGGGAGTCATCCCACCCAAACGCCCTCACCAGCCTCAACCGAGCAAAACATCTCAGAGAAACAGCAACAAAAGACAAGGCGAGAAACACGACTGTGACAACAAAGATAGAGATGCTCCGCCCTTTAAGCTCGCCCATGTTCCGACCGTCAAGCCGACGCCGACAAGCTAGCTAGCTGGCTCTCCTGAGAAAAAGGGATGGGCCGTCAACGGTCATCAAAATAGCGCAAGGCAGGTACTGTATAATGGTCCCTTGGCCTCATCTCCAACAGTTCGCCTGCCTCCAATGCAACCCAAAACGAAGGGACGACTCGCCAGGAGTGCAAAAATTCAAGGAGAAGATGAAGGAGGGAAAAGCAAGCATTATCCACAGGGATGATTTGACGCGTGCGAGCAGAGCGGTTTAAAGACTATTGCAAATTGACTTCAAGTAGTGCCAAACTTTGCTGCAGAACCCCCCGCACTGACGCGTGTGGTCCAGAGCCTCGGGTTCAGTCTGCAGCACAACAGTCTCGTGAAGAGTGACAGCAGTGGCGGCACCAGACTGCTTTAGTACTTGATAGCGGGTCCTGCAGCCAATAGTGGTGTTCAGTCCTCGACCAGGAAGAGTATGGATGAGCTGTGGAGCAGTCGGAGTCGCGTTGCAAGAACGGTCAGGGTTCAATTGGGTGGCATGGATGCCATAAAAATTGGGCTGGTCCACATGGAGAAGATAATTGTGCGGGATCGTTAAATGTGTGGGATGCGGGGTGTTCAGAAGCTCGTAGTTTGGGGTTCGAATCCCAACTGGAGAGAGAGAGGGAGAGACAGGGTTTCCGATGGGTTCCGATGTTCCATTCCATTTCCGGGGTGCTTAAAAGGAACTATAGCATAAAAGAGTAAATGGAAGAGAATGAGCGAACAAGGCGGTCATTCATTTAATATATTACCTATTCTTTTCACTGTCTCAAAAGTCTAATTGGTATCAATTTCCTCTCAGTTTCGAGACAGTGCTAGTCAAACATAAACAAATCAAGGATTGGGAAAGGCTCGTCCCAAGTCTACTCACCCAAAGAAAGGCCCGTTAGCTTCCAGTATTAAGCGACTAAGCAAGTTCCAAGTCTCCAACTTACAGCGGTATCCAGAAAAGTAGGAAAATCCAAGCCCCCAGTCCCAGCAGTCCTGCCGTCAATAGGGTTACCACTCGTGCTCGGCGCAAACCCTGCGGCGGAATTATTATCAGTCGGCTCAGGAAGGATGATCTGCGTAAGCTGCGCGATCCTCTTCTGCTCCCGGCGCACGTCCCTTGCAGCGTCAGCGCAACCTGCTTCGTCGAACATCTGGGCTGCTTGGTGCAGAGCGGTGACGGATTCTCCGCATTGGAGATACTGGTGCGCTGCAGGGATTGCTTTTAGTATGAAGCTGATTGCCTGATAGGTTGGGACGCCTTTGTAATCCTGCATCAGGTAATTAGACATGTGAACGGCTCGCCTTGGAGGATTGTAACGAGAAGAGAGCATACTAGTGTATACCGAAGTCGCCGCCGGAAGTAATCGGACTCGAATTGGGTTCCAATGAGCAGGGATGCGTTGTCGAGTGCCTTTTGGAGGAATTCTAGTCGGTTCGTGTCGGTGAATTTGCTGGCTGATTCTGGCTCCATTCCGTGGAGTGCGGCCCCGTTGATGAAGCTATAGCAGCGCAGATTAGTTTGAGCCCGATACTATGGATATTATGCAGGTAAATACATTTTCAGAAATGCATACGATATCAGAAGCCCGTTCCGGTAGGGGGGTTGAGTAAGGTGCTGGCATTGGGCTCCACTTGTACTGTTTATCTGGCAGAACCACTGGTCAACCTTCTGGTCGAATGACCGCAGAAGGTCTATTTCTGCCTGTCTGAGTGGATTAAGCTGCAGTTGGGCCTTTGGAAATTGTGCTTTGGCGTCGGCTAGCAAGATTATTGAGTTAGTCCTCGAAATAAGCGTAAACGATAGGTCTTAACCATACCAGCTATAGAGAAACCCGAGATGTAGGCGCAAATCCGATAGTCAACTGGCTGGCAGTATGATGAGCGAAGGAGATTGTTGGCCAGTGGGAGATATTCTCTCATCTTGTTAATCACGAACGGCCGACTCAGATTTAACCTGTAAAGATCAATCAGGAAAGGTTCGTTTACAAGGGCTGCCTTTGTCCCAGAAAGCGTACGTCAAATCAAAGCAGCACAGGGTAAACCACGTTCTTGCGCGGTGAACAAGGCTGGCCGTGTGTTCAATAGTATCATCTCCCAGTTGTAGTGCAGCAACATTCAGCCCCAATTCTGCAGAGAGTGAGGCTACATAGCCCCAGAGTCTTGTTCGACCAGTCCATGCACTCAGAAGCATCACCGCTATAACGGACTGAATGTCCGGGGTTGCACCGACAAACGTCTTCTTGATCAGCTCATCCATTTCAGCTAGGTATGCTGGGTATTTTGTATGTCGAATTGCACGAGCAGATATTGCGCAGATGAAAGTTGACATCAGACCATGGCGTCTTGCAACGCGCTGAGGTGGGTAGATCTGGTCGTCGACAAAGGCAACGATTTCCCGGCAGTTGTTGTAAAAGCTTATCCGGGTTAGCTATGCCATCGAAATATCGAGCGGTGTTGCTGTTCTTACAAGTCGTAGAGCTCCTCCCACTCGCTCTCGCTCACTATGCCCCGTGCGACGACATCTCCTTCACCGGGTGTATCCGAGCCTGTCGTGGCGCTTTGAGTCGAAGAACCTGGGTTGTTTTGTGAACTCTGCTGCACTGCAGCAGATAATTGAGACACGGTATTTTGTATCTCTCGCATCTGCGCTTCATGACGGGCCTCCATACTCTCCAGTCGCTGCTCGAGGAGTGCCAGTGTCTCACTGCATCCATGATGAGCACTTGTCGAGCAGTGGGAGCAAAATACTAACCCAAGACTACTTTCTTTATTTTCATCTACATTTGAAGGCCCTGAAGTACTGCGAATTGGTTTCGGGGCAACGAAAACGCATTCTGCTCTGCTCGTTCTGCATCGTTGGCAGGGGATCTGGCTTGGGCCTCCGCATTTGAGCTTCTTCTTGCGACAGCGCAGACAGGCTGACAGCGATCTATATCCTTTATTAGTATTATTTCAGGTGTAGAAAGATGGTCTAACCTATTTGCCTCGGCCATTGCACGAGGGGAGTTGGAGAAGCTGGACCTGCCACCTTCACTCGATTAATGAATATCTCGGAATTGTACCGCAGTCGGCCCGGCCGAGACCCGAAGTGGTGAAGGCAGTTGTGAATTTCGCCTAGTCATTTCAGTGCTTTAGAAAAAGAGTGAGCTTTCCAGTTCTGCTTTAGCTATATTGCAATGAGGATCACTCTCTGTAAGTCAGGTGGTCAGGTTGTGAGGTGGGATTCTGGATAGCTTCGATGCGTCTCAGTGAATAACACATTCACGGCCGGTCCGACCGAAGTGAGACCAGCGAACAGACATCATTTCTGGGCAAGTAGCGGAATTAGTTCACGTATAATCTGCATCTGCTGTGTTCACATTAACAGGTCTTTTATTGTCTATCAAGTGCTCGTTGCTGGCACAAAGAGTTTCCGCCCCGGATTCAAAGATGATTACAGACGAAGAACAACAGTGTGACAAGGAGCGATCCCAGTCTGGGGTCATCCAGCAACAGGTTATAGAAGATCCAGGTCTATCGACGTGGAAAGATGACCCTCGCAATCCATACAACTGGCCAGCGGTGAGTGCCCAATTTAGTCTTACGAGAGTCCAGTTCTAATAGTTACCATGCAGGCAAAGAAGAACCCGATCTTTTGCGTGCTCTTGATGACTATCTTGAGCAGTTGCATTGGAAGCTCGCTGCCCAGCAATGGGATTCCCTTTATAATGAAAGAATTCGGCGTCGAGTCGCAGTCGCAAAAGGCCCTGCCCAATTCATGTTACTTGATAGGTGCGTGCAGAAAGGAACTGAACAAATGGCTCTTGTGTACTAACTGCTGCAGGTTATGTGTTTGGTGAGCTTCCATTCCAATTTTACGCATTTACTAAACTAACCATCCAAAGGCCCCCTTGTATGGGCTCCCATGAGTGAGCAACAAGGCCGCCGGTACCTCACCATAGGGACATTCTTCCTTTTCACCATATTCACCATGGCATGCGGTCTCTCCAGGAACTGGGCGACCCTGCTAGTGCTGAGACTCATATCTGGAATCTTCGCCAGTGGTCCCATTGCTGTCGTGACGGGTGTGCTCGCAGACATTTTCCAAGACCCCAGGACTCGAGGGCGCGCGGTGGCACTTTATATGGTGGTATGTTTGCATCCCATTAAATCAGGAGACTTGATACTAACCATGATGACAGGCTACCTCATTTGGCCCGCTACTGGGCCCCATCATATCAGGCTTTGCATCACCGAGATTAGGCTGGCGGTGGTCCTTCTGGATAGCTACGATGCTAGCTGCGGCGACACTACTCCCTCTCCTCTTCCTCCCAGAAACACACGGGAAACTGCTTCGCCAGAAATATCAAGGGCCTGATAACTCCGCACCCCAGACCAGACAGAAGGGTGATAGACGAAAGTACATGAAAACCGTCCTGCTACGCCCGCTCCACATGCTCCTCTTCGAACCTATTGTTACCTCCTCATCCGCCTACCTGGCTCTCGTGTACGGCATCTTCTACATGTCCTTCCAAGCATACCCTATAATCTTCCAAGACATCTACAAAATGTCCCCCGGTATCTGCGGCCTCGCGTACCTCCCCATCGGCCTTGGGTGTCTCCTCTTTCTCCCTGTCTTCTGGCTCTATGATAACTACCTCCTCTACTTGGAACGTGTGGGCAATACATGGTACCACAAGAATAGGGAGGGATGTCGACGGCTTCCACTCGCTTGCCTTGGAGGCCCTCTATTTGCAGCCTCGCTCTTCTGGCTAGGCTGGTCGGCGAGTGACAGGGTTTCATTTGCGGCGCCCATGATGGCCGGCGTACCGTTTGGATTTGGATTTATCTGTATTTTTATTGCAATGCTGTAAGTTCCTGCCCTTCACCCTCGTTTACGATTCAAACTAAAACTGACTTATTTTGAAGGAACGTTCTCACAGACTCATACGAGATCTACGCCGCATCCGCAAACGCTGCTTCGAGCTGCTCGCGCAGTCTCCTGGCAACGGTTCTTCCTCTTGCTACGACGCCGATGTTCACCAACCTCGGGGTCCCTGGTGCGTGCAGTCTGCTTGGTGGGCTTAGTGCGCTGATGTCTGTGATTCCGTTTATCTTTATTTGGAAAGGGAAGGAAATTAAACAGCGGTCGAAGTTCTGCAACATGTTGAAGGAAGAGAAAAGTCGAGCTCAGTCAAACTAGACTACGTAGAAAAGTTGAGGATTGTATGTAGTATGTGCTTATTAGATTGTATTTATTAATAGCAGTTACCAAGTATATTTCCACCCCGGAGCCAATCCACAGTTCTTCCTGGTATAATGGGCATCAGTCGTAGGGAAAATCCCCAACTTCTCCCTCGCCTCCTGCCTCTTCCTCTCCTTCTCCCGACTTTTCCTGTTCCTCCGCGGCTCAACAAACCACCCTACACCCCTATGGCACGCATACCCAATAACAGCACACATAAACTTCCACCCAGGCCCAGGCTTAACGGTATGAACAAGCTCATCAAACAGCCCACAACACTCTGCCTTCAACACACCAACCCGAACCGCCTTAACCCTCCACCCCCCACACCCCCAAACCCCACCACAGTGCACCTCATCATCCATCCTCGTCTCCCACATCCGACTCCCGTACTCGTCCACAGTCATACATGTGTAAATTCGCCGACAACACCCGGTCTTCTGTCCATGCACAAAGATCATGTAGTCGATGCTCCTTGCGAGCCCGCGGCCTTGCTTGGGATTATACCCGGAGGAGCTTAACGGCTGGTTTAATCGGAGGCCCTTCCGATACCGCCCGACTGAGACGGTGTAGTCCTCGCCTACCAGTGAGGCTGGGAGGTATTTTATCAGTCCGCCCATGTACGACCTTGGATGTGGGAGTTGGAGGGACATGCTGAGATGAGTACCCGGTTTGGGGGTAGTGTTGTAATCGTCGTATGACATTTTGCTGTTACTAGCTAACTTAGACTAGTCCCGAGCTGTGTTTAGTAGGAAGTAAGTATACTAAGCAGTGCTGATAGGATAGCAAGATGGCGAATTCAAGACCATGGTGAAGGCTACCCTATCAGTTCTATTTATGTCCTTGCTTGGCTCTCTACCGTCCTTGTGGTTGTGCATAGCTTTGCTAGTCACGGCTGGGTGAATGTGAACAGGCTAGCTTAGTCACTACTCAATCTATGGTTTGTTATCGTAGAGGTAATAGACCTGTTAGTGACTTTAATTAGTATAAAGATAACTTGTGAGGCAAAATAGCAGCTACTAGGGTGCTCATCGGCAGGTACTTAGTTAGGGTAGCTTCGCAACAAAGACGTAAACTATACGAATGGGCAGGTCTAGACCGAGTGCTATACTCGCTGCGAATTTCTTTTCCCTACCAGCTCCTTCATCAACTATCGCAATACATTCTTAACTTGCTCGGGCAAGTGCACGATAGTTGACACCCGAATATCCGTTTGACCTTGCTAGGTAGAGCCACAACTGGGAAGTTGCGGCAGATTTCAGAAGAAGGAAGGTACGACTGTCGATTGTATTATAACTAGGGAAGGGGCAATCGTCCATCGCACTTGCCTTGCAAGTTATTATAAAGAGGAAGCCGCGACCCTAACTTAGAAGCTAAAAGGAAAGATCAAATACTAATCCAAGACAGTATAACGATCACTCCCATGCGCGTTCATGGCACTTCTTCAAGGTACATTAAACCTTATTGCCAAGTTAGAAATGAAGCATAAGACAAATAAATGTTCTAAAAAGTAAAAAAATGAAAAATAAAGGTCGTGCAGGGATTCGAACCCTGGATACCGGTAGACTAAAGGCATCACTTCAAAAACCGGTGTGATAACCACTACACTACACAACCGTAGATCTGATTAGTCACTCTGGCTTAGATCTCATATCCGGCAACAGAGTGTACAAGACCATAGCAACAAAACATACTCCGTAGTCACCAAAGGAATGGAAGCAATATTGAGCTCGTAATATTATGCGTAAACCGGTGTATATTTGGGATATATTCTTCATATCATATAGCTACTGAGATTGGGAGTGACCAACTTACTATGTGGATAAAATCCGAATATTTTCGCGATAGCGTATAGTTATATATATTTCAGAAGCCAACAACCTAAATAGGACACCCTGCATACTGAGTTATGAAGCCGTACAATTTCAAAGTATTTAGCTAAACCAGGTCAGAGACTTATACCGTGACAAGTATCCTGCCTCATGTATGTGTAAATTGACAGCCTTGTCCGCCCATGAATTCCGAAACAACATGAACAAGGAACGCCAATACTCACGATAAATTCAGTTAACTCGAGAATAAAGAGCAAACCACGCACTCATCATCTTCCCCTCACTGTAACAACAGTCAAACGCCCATCGTCCCGAATAGCTTTTGCTACCATAGAGAGAAACAAACACAGCATATTGAGGTATATAGGTATATAAGCCCATAATCCCAAACCGGCTTAGAACTTCCCTACCAAACAACCAGCCCTCTCAATCTACCTCATTACCAAAACACATCTAGACAATTTCCATCCCTCCACCGAAAGAATGTCCCACCACCGGATCATAGAACTATTCGACGAAAGCACCAACCAAGAACAAGATGAGCACCTGTCCCTGCTTTCCGGAATGGAAGACCTCTCTCTTCTATCTCAACAAGAACAACCCCAAACCCCAAGCGAAGATTACACAGTGTATATCGGCCGGCCCCACAAGCCGTACTTCGACATCAACGATCGGTATACCCTTATAGTCCCCAGATGGAGCGGGGTTCGTGGGAACATGCTCATCCTACATGGAACGATGACGCACACCTGTATGTGGATATGGATTTCTGAAAGACAGGACGAGGAGAGTGGGGAGGTTGTGCTTAAGAAGGGGGTGGCGAGATTCTTGCGGTGCCCGTATCGATGTGATACGCTGGTTGAGAAGAAAGAGGTGGGGGTGCTTAGGGCTGCGGAGTGTGAGAGGTTTGATCGGATTGTTGAAGAGACGTCGGCGTGCAAGGGGACGACTTTTGTGTTTGAGGTTCTGGAGGCTTGTTCTGGGGAAGGGGTGCTTGGGGAGGAGGGTGTGAGGAATGCTTTTTTTGACTTGAGGGTGTCTAGTATGCGTTTTTAGGTGTTGGTGGAGAATATATCAATGTTTCTTTCTATTCAGTCTGGCTTGGGCCCTCAGATAAAATGGTATAACCGTACGCATGTGGTATTGAAAAAGGTAGATAGATGTATAGGGATATTAGTGCCTACTCAGGCTCCTGTCCACTCCACTTGCCCCTCAAGCCGTTAACATCAACCCCACACTGGTCAGCTTTCTTGACAATCGCCTTCGCCTTCTCCGCCACAGGAACATCAATCATCTTGCCATCAAGCGTCCACGCACCCCTTCCCTGCTTCGCTGCCTTCTCGTCGGCAATCACAACCCTCACAGCCCAGTTGACTTCTTCTTCATCTGGCCCGTAGATCCGCTGGGCCGTTTCAACCTGCGATGGGTGGATGCACTGTTTCCCGTTGAAACCTAGGCCTCGGCCGCCGCGGCATTCTTCCTCCAAGACCTCAGACGATTTGTAGTTTGTGCAGACGAGGTCGATTGTGGAGGGGAGGTTGGCGGCGCGGGCGGCAGTGGCAATTGCAGAGCGCGCGAAGAGGAATTCGGTCAGGGCCGGGGTACGGGTGAGGCTGAGGTCGAGCGCGAAATCTTCCGCTGCAAATATTAGGCCCTGTAGGAGGGGTGTTGCAGAGGTGATTTGGGTGAGGTTTGTGAGAGATTTGGCGGACTCGACGAGAGCGAGAAGGGAGATTGGCGTTCTGTCTTGGGATTGGGCTTGTTGGGAAAGGGTGTGGTTGATTACATCGCTGACGAAGGTGAGGTCTGACGCGGAGTTGACTTTGGGGATCACGATTGTCGAGAGGTTAGGTGATTTAAGCTGGTTTGTTAGTTATATGGCTTGCGGCTATTGGTATATGAGACGTACGACTTCAGTTAGATCTGCGAGAGCGAGGCCGCTGTCGACAGAGTTGATGCGCACGGCGCGTTCGCGGATGCTTGCGGGCGAGGGCTCATCAAGAGCTCTCCGCACGAGGGAGCGAGCTTCGGCTTTCTTGTGTGGAGTGACGCTGTCTTCGAGATCGTAGGCGACACAGTCGGCCGTGAGAGACCGCGACTTATCGATGAAGCGCTGCGACGAGCCGGGGACTGTGCTGATTAGTACTGATCCTGGGGGTCGGAAATGCGGGGAGAGCTGTCAACACACTGTAAAGAAGAGCGCGGCGAAGTGTGTTTCTCGCAGCCATTGTCGCTTATTTGTTTGTAACACACAATTGTGTGTTTGTATAAAGGAATTGAGGGTCAGATGGAGGAGGGATGAAAGTGGACCAGAAGGTTGAAGATATACCCTGTCCCTCGGTGACGATGCGCGGAGAATGAGGAGCATAAAGCCGTCTTCCGGCTGTCGCGGTTCACGCCGGTGAGGTCATCAGGGTGGCTTCAACCATGTGCCGGCTACACACCGTAGCGGGTAACTGAGCTTAAATCCATGACTAGCTTCCATTATTTTAATCTTCCGGGGCAATGATAGAGCACGTTCTCCAGCATGTTCCTCGTGGCTGCGGTGCCTGATCGTCAATGCCGCGACAGCGTTATTCTGCCGTCTCCCACCGCCTTCAGGTGAACACGCAACGGGTCGTCTCTTGATCAACCGTTTCACCTTCGCAGACAACGAGGGCAACGGCAATTTGCCAGCAAAAGACAGGACCTGACCCCAGCATCGCATACCTGGCATCTTGCAGTCGAACGTGACACTCTTATCTTATACGCCAATATGGAGCAGCAACCACTCCAACCGCAGCCCCAACAGGGAGACCTGAACTGGCGACTCAGTGCACACCCCATCACCCTCCTCATATTCCTAGGATTCCGTCTGGGTGCGCTGTTGATGTATTTGTTCGGTGTTCTCTTCATTAATAACTTGTACGTTGAACCTGCGGGTGCAAGCTACCTAGCCACTACGACAGCTTCTAACCATAAATACAGCATCCTGATCTTCATCCTCACCCTGCTCCTCCTCTCCGCGGACTTTTACTACCTCAAGAACATCGCCGGCCGCCGCCTTGTCGGTTTGCGCTGGTGGAACGAAGTCAACACCGCCTCCGGCGACTCGCACTGGGTCTTTGAGTCCGCAGACCCAAACACCCGCACCATCACTGCAACAGACAAGCGCTTCTTCTGGCTGAGTCTCTACGTGGCTCCTGCGTTGTGGATTGCCCTGGGAATTCTGGCTATTGTTCGGCTGAACAGTGTGATTTGGTTGACTTGCATTGGTGAGTGGACTCGACCTCTGAGACTGACAAACAACATCAGATTATCACTAACACTCTCCTTACCTAGCTATCGCCCTTGTCCTGACGATCACGAATACGACTGCGTTCTCTCGATGTGACCGTTTCAGCCAGGCCTCGACATTCGCGAACAGCGCATTCGGCGGTGCGATTGTCAGCAATCTTGCTGGGGGCTTGATGGGGAGGCTCTTCCGCTAGATTGTGGCTTGTTAGTGGAGTTAGATTATAACTAGTCTCGTCGTGGAATTGTGGACTGAATCTTTTGAATTTGTTCAATGCAACGCCGCTGTACTATACAATGAACACAGACCTTTTGGATATTCGCATCGCGTGGTATACACCAAACGGTTGAATTATTTGCAAGACGAGCACCACTGAAGTATCCTTCACGATGCCATCGTCAGTGTATTTGGGCTGTGCTGGTCGCAGTTCGTGTCTACAAATATAGTCTTGGTATCCAGGTCTCTATTCTAGCTCATAGTAATGGGTATGACGAACATGTCTACAACAAACCGAGATAGAACGAAATCGAAAACAAAGTCAGCACCTAGCCTAGTAGCTCGCTTAGGGGATATCTCAATCAAACCATATCATATAAACGGAACCCGCCTCGCTTGAACAAACCTAACACCAACAAGGTAAATAAAAAAAAAAAAAAAAAAAAAACGGAAAAAAGAAACCAGACTAGAGACCAAACAAAGGCCCCAAAAACTCCTCCAACTCACTCGCCCACTCCTGCATAGAATGGCCCGCCATTTCCGCAGTAGCGCCGAATCTTTCCAATGAAGTTGCACCGCCATCACCATCACCCGCATTTGAATCTACATCTGCATCTCTGCCATCACAGGCTGTAATTGCCGCACCCGGAATATTAACACCAGGCCCAGAACCACGCAAAGATAAAGGTAAAGAGACCTCCTGCTGCGGATTCTGAGACCCGCTCTCGGAACTAGGCGTTGCAGCACTTGCATTTCCTAGAATCGTATACTGCATTTGCGCGGGCGATTCGATAAGGTTTATATCCATATTTGGCCTCGCAGGAGCAGCAGATGCGGAGCAGTTACTCGGCTGGCGATGGATGTCCAGACGGCGGAGGAGAGTTGAGAGGCTTTCGAGGGTGAACTGGCGACAGTCGCCGATTGTGGAGGCGTAGTCCATTGCGACGGAGAGGCGGAGGGAGATGTTGGCGAGACGGATGATTTCTGCTGTGGTGAGGGGTGTTAAGTCGATGGAGCCGTCTGGTTGGGTGATTGTGGTTTTGTATGGATGCTGGTGCTGGGGTTCTTTGGTGGTGGACGTGGCGTCATAGGCTGATATTGTGAGTCTGACGACATGCGGGAGGGATTGGGAGAGGGTGTCTAGGCCGAATCGGTTGCTGTGGTCGTTGTCTAGATCTGTATAGGAGCTGAGGGGGGTAGGGATGGCTGGTTGGGAGGTGGAAGTAGTCTGTTCGTCGAGGTTGTCGCCGTGAAGCCAGAGGATGCTTAGGGCGTGCTGTACGAGAGTGAGCCATCTGGTTGTGACAGGAAGGAAGTGGAGGACGTTGTTTGTAGTGAACCACTGGACTTCGTTGTTTGTTTTTGAGACCAGGCTGTGAAGGCCGCGTAGATATACCTTGCGGCCGGCCGAGTCGCTCAGTCTGGGGGAGGACAAAGTGCAGTAGCAGTCAGAGAGATGCATCACAGCGAGGCGGTTCAACACGGCCAGGAGAGCTCCTCTACGTAAAGTCTTGTCAATGTATGTAGGACAAAGTCTAGTCTTTTTTCAGGCACGTACATGTAGAACAAGGAAGTGAGGTGGATGTTGACTGCCACAGCCAGGTTCTTGTGGGTTTCTTCATGCCCTAACAGGACGCAATACTCCTCCTCCCAAGAGGATAGCCGTGAATATGCCTGCCAGCTGAGAGCCCTCTCCTTGTTTATACAGACCTGCGGCCCTACAAGGTCGGGAAAGTACTCTGTAGACATGACCAAGGGCGTCAATATAGACACGAGTCGGCACTGGCTGACAAAGACTTGGTACAGAACTTCCCTCATAGAATGGCTATAGAAGCTGGAATCCCCCTCCCAAAGCTCGTCTATAGTTAAGTGCTCTGTCTTTGAAGGGTCGAATTGGTCGAGAGTGATAACAAGCGGGCGACGGGGCGCAAGTGCCAAGATGCGATCTCGCAAAACGCAGCACCACCATAGACGCTTGATATCAGACTCACTTACTTCTCGACGACCCTGCTGCAGCTGGTTTCGGTGAGTGTTCACTCGCCGCGTATGCTGCACCGCAATAGCTAGCCATGTCTCGTTGCATAGAGGGTCTGCAGGGTCCAAATGGTAAGCAAGTAGCAGCGTCGCTTGCGCAATATGGAATGGGTCCTTTTCTACTCCAAAGTCATATAATGACTGGAAATCAGTTAGGGGAGAAGACTACTGGACGAGGACGCTACTACCTTGGCTGTTTTATAAAGCGAGTGCCTCAGGTGTGCAACGGAAGCATGTCCAGTATCCTTGACACACTGCATAGGAATGTGCTATACAGACTGGGTCAGCGATAAGTTTAAGGCTAGAGTTATGGAGTTTGTACACAGGCTGCAGCGAAGAGCATCGACCGGAAGACCAGCAGCGAAAAGGGTTTTTGATAGAGACTGCCGTGGCGGAATTCGCTTTCCTTGACAATAGGGAAGCAAGGGTGAATGTGTAGGAAATAGCACTGAAGCAAGATGTCGATGGTCGCTTTTTTGGGGAGAGTGAGTGCTTGCTGGCTGGTCAAGTATGCTACATCGGTTGGAGGAAGCCATCTCGTCTCTGGAAACACAGGAGGTGGCCAGGCATTGTGAATCGAGCCAGACCTGGTGTGATAGTCTGGGAACTTTGCATTGTTGGCTACAAGAGCAAGGCTGGTATCCTGGGTAGCTGTGCCTGCCTCTACGTTGTGCGTCTTCCGCGGGCGCTTCAGATTCACCGTGACACACCGATCATTATCGAGGCGGCAGTTGGTACAAGGCGCTCCGCTGACAGTCACATCGCAGCGGATTTTGCGCCGTCGACAGGTTGTACAGGCGACGGCAGAGCGGCGGGTACGGAGAGGCAGGGCAGCTGTCTGGGGCGGAGGGCGCTGGCTCCCATGGGCGAACATTGTGCATCTGGACGGATCTGGACGGACCTGGACGGATTTGGACCGATACGAAGAGCAGCAGAAATAAGGAGAAGCGCCAGACAACGACCAGAAGTACCAACAGGCAAGAGTTTTGTCATTGGCCGCTCGGATCGATCCGCGGCGTCTCTTCTTTGTCTGCTTGGCCGGCGCGACTCTCATGAATCACCATTTGCTGCGGGGACTGGGCGCAGATGCAAGCCGCAGATTCCACGGATCTCGTTGGACAGGGGTCGATGCTTGAAAGAAAGCGATTGTCGGCGCCATGTCACTCTCGAGTGAACACGAGCCATCTTGAGCTCATTAGTGGCAATATTTCTCCTGGAGAGCGCGGACAGGAAGCTAGAGCGCCACTCTGCGACTATTGATAGAGTCTGGCCTTGACCCCGCGGCGAGCCTTGCGTTAAGAGCCGGACTCAAAGTACCGTTACATGAAAGAGCCACAATTTTGAAGCCGGGATTTGCTAATTGTATGGCTTACTTGCTGGTGTTATAGCCAGGTGTCTGCACTTGGTTACGCTTCAACGCCGAGACGCATCTTGCAAGGATACCCAAGCTCAATCCTCATCCAACCCAACACTCGGTATTTGGGCAGACTGTCGTATCCGAAAGCAACTCGACAGTGCCGACGATTGGGTTCCATCTCGTCGGGTTGTCCTGGGCCCACGTGATGGTGAAGTGACCATATCCCCTACCGCTGCCATCTGTTCCCCTCCTTTTACTCAAGTACTATCGTTAATTGATCATTGACCGTGGGTCGACACTGGCAATATGCTCCCCGGCTATTCTTCTACGCCCCAGACGGAGCCGTCGACACAAGACCGGCAACCACAACCCCCCAATGAGCCACCACGCCCCAGACTGCCGCCTAGGAGAGCCACCCAAGCTTGTCTGGTGTGCAGGCAGCGCCGGGTCAGATGTGATGTCTCGTTTAAAGAAGGCGACTGTACCAACTGTATGCTGGACAGGCTGGAGTGCATAGTTGTCAGCTCCAAACGGCGTGCCCGACGAAATCCCAACGAGAAGACACCAGCTTCATCATCTAGCAACCAGTCCAGGGCCGGTAATGAGAGCCCGCGGAACTTGGAGCAAGACGGCATTCAAAAATCCCGAGTGCGTCGAGAAAACGACCTGGTTATCCACTATACCGAGAGGACCTACCTAGACAGCTATCGGGATTCCGCTCTAGAAACCAGCCAGAATAATCGAAGCGAGGCCCGCCTGCCTGGATATATCAAATCTTTTGACGTTAAAAGGAGCGAGGATCTGGAGTTTCTACGACAGCGGGCTGTCTTTGAGCTCCTTCCTCTAGAGCTTGCACACATAATTTTGGCTCGGTATGAAGAACTCGTCTATCCAGTGCTACCTATTCTGGATGTTGCGGACTTCCGCAGTGCGCTACTTGGTAAATCAGGATATGAGATATCCCTTCTTCTGTACCACGCTGTAATGGTTATGGGGTTGAACTGTACGGAGAGTGAAGCTGTTCTACAGCTCTCGCACACGACAAAGGGGGAACTGAGAAGCGCGTCGTATGAAAAGGCCAAGGTGGGTGACCTAAAATCCTAGAGAGGATGATGCCCAAGATACCGAAGATGACACTTGGAATTTTACGGTTTAGGTATTGTTTGATATTGGGGTTGAGCAGGACAGCATGGTCCTTTGCCAGGCTTGCCTGTTGCTGGCGGACCGCGACTTCTATACCGATGTAAAAGACGCGTCATACTGGGTTGGTAATGCCATCGTGCATGCCAACATCCTCGGTCTCTATAGAGCAATAGAGACTGCCCCTGGGAGTTGGAATACCACAAAGGTTTTATGGTGGTGCGTCGTTATCAAGGAATGCGATGTCTCTACCTATGTGAACTATGCACCTCGCGTTTCGCCGTTTACCTCGCCAATGCTCACCTTGGGTGATTTCGGCGTCGAGGGCGATGTCAACATGGATAGCGGCAAAGATAGCAGCCCTTTGGACTCGCCCGCGGCCAAACTTGCCGCTATCTACATCATCAGAGCAAAGCGTTCCTGCCAGGTATACCTGGTTAAGCGCCAGATGTACGAAGAAGTCCAACCGTGGAATGGACAGACGAGCAAATCTACACAGCGAGCCATGCGACAGGAGATGCTTTCGCAGCTCCACTCCTGGGAATCGGATACACCTCGCGAACTGCGGAGTGAAACGCTCCAACACGAATTCGATTCCAGCCTTGTAGGTGTAACCTGCGCCTCGGCAATGGCGGAAATCGTCTACTGGTCGGCGTATTTCTTTGTATACATGCCCGACGTCAGATTCCACGTAAAATACACCAAGGGGATTGAAGTCGTGGTTGACCCAGAAGGCCGGCCCATCTTACGCCATGCAGCCAGCCAGATAGTTACAGTTCTCGAGCGACTTTTGGCTCTTAACATGGGTCAATCGCTTACCGCATCACATGGATGGCACCTTGGGATGGCTGCATTTGCCCTGCTCCAAGACACTCAAGCTATCGATCCAGTAATCAGAGACAACAGCCTTCGCAAAATGGAGGTCTGCCATCGGGCTGCGCATGCGCTAACAGAGACATATCCCCTTCTCAGCCAGGTTACCCTGGGGTTTAAGCCAGCAGAATGGCAGCCACATGGATCCCAACCCAAAACAGAGACCCCTGCTAGCAACCACCCAACCGACGGTGACAATGAGCGCGGGCCTAGATGGCAGTCTCAAGACGAAGCTACCGAACAGACTTATGCCATGAATAGTCGCCTGCATAGCAGGTATGCTGAAAAGCATAGATGCCAAGTCGATGATGTCCTTGGCTGGGTTTCGCTGGGATAATCTCACTATTAATCCTTAAATATACAAAGACGACGCAGAGATATCAAGCGGTCCCATGAAACCGCGAAGCCTTATTTCCTCATCTTGAAAACCAAATGTAGCGGGTTCGGCGTCGCTGTGAAATAATCGCGCGACTGGAGGAGATCTGACCCGTCCTCTCCAGGCGCAAAGGCGATATCAAACTTGGTAATGAGACGAGCCGTCAACAGGCGCATCTCCATCAGGGCCAGATTCTTGCCGATGCAGTTGAAGGGACCAGTCGAGAACGGAATAAATGCGTCTTTGTTCTTGATCAGCTCTGGGCGGGTTGAGAAGCGCTCTGGGATGAATTCGTCTGCATTGACGAAATGCGATTCATCTACACAATCAGCATCGTCCACTTCTTATAAGGGATATAACTTACCACGCCCCATGGCGTAAAAGTTCACGAGAACCGTTGTATTGCCTGGAATCCAGGTCTCGCCCACGAATGCTCCCTCCGGCGGCGCCTTGCGATACAGCCCACTCGGCACAACAGGATGCAGTCTCAGTGTCTCATTAATGCAGGCATTAAGCAACGGCGCAGCCTGGATACTGCGCGCATCGATTTCCCCTCCTCCAACCAGCCCCTCAATCTCCTCCCTCAACCGCTCCAGCAAACCCTTCTCCTTCACAATATGATAGAACAGAAACACCATCGCCGACGACGTCGTATCACTACCCGCAATAATCACCAGCCGACTCTCAAAATACAGCTTCCTCAGCGCCGTCTCCCTCTCCTCACTACCAACTTTCCCAGGGGCACCAAACCTGGCATTAAAATCCTCAATCAGGAAATGCGTAATATCAGGCTCCGCCTGTTTCCCCTGAACCGCCATCCTATCCTTCATCTGGCCCGCGGCATACTCAATAAACTTCTTCGTCTTCGTCTGCGCCCCAGGCACACACAGGAACAAGAACCGCGACAGCCACGGTGGAATCACCATCCCCAGCGACACCTGCGCAGAGGTAAGCAGGTCAATCACCCAATGGCCCGAAGCGGACTGCAGCATCTGGAAGGACTGCCCGAACGCAAGATCGCCCATGACGTCGAAGCTCCAGTAGTTGAACCACTGTGTTACGTTGACAGACTCACCATCACGATCACCGTCTGCGTCTGCGTCTGCGTCTGCGGCGAACCCTTCGAATTGTTCAATCAGGGCGTCGTTGTACTGCTTCAGTCGCACTTCATACCCGCGCAGCGCACGCTCGCTAAACGCCGGACTCCACACCCTTCTGCGCGGATCATGGCCCGCGCGATCCCGCGCCGTGAAGAGCGAGTAGAACGGGTGTGTGATGCTATACCAGGGCGCCTTGACGAATTTGGAGGTTCCGGATAGTGCAACCTTTACGACGTCTGCGTCGGAGATGGAGAGGTCGTTGGGACCCGTGCGGATGAATTTGCTGGCATGTTTTTGGTGCAGGGTGTGTAGTTGTAGGTAGAGGTTTTTGGGGCCGGCGACGCGCGTAGTCAGAAAGAGGGTGGAGAGGCGGGAGAGGGGGATGCCTGGGAATTTGTTGAGCGGGTTTAGGAGGAGGCGGTAGGTTGTTAGGCTTGTGTAGAGGGAGGCGAGGTAGGTTGTTGTTAGGGTGCTGGTGGTGTAGAGGGCTGAAGAGAGGGGGAGGGTTGGGTCGAGGAGGATTTGCAGTATGGCTATAACGGTGAAGAGGACGAGTAGGGCCTGCAGGTGCCGGTGTGGAAAGAGGTGGTGTTCGCCGTGGTGGTAGTAGAATGTGTATGTTGAGAGGCCGAGAAGGGCGGCGGCGAGGTGAGTCTGGAGAGTCATTGCCATATTGCCGTTGTATGGATTGCAAATGCAAGAGCCTGTGTGGCTCTGGGGGTATTAATACTCGACTCCAATTGAGGGGAAGGACCTGGTCGCTTACTGTGGAGACTAGCATGTGCTTGACTGCGTTTGAAGGCTTTGAAGCGTTTTGGATTGATGCTTGGTTGATTAGTTCGGACCCCGCAGGCCAGAAAGTCGCCGTGGTATTAAATCGCCGGCCAGTCGTATTTAATAGTGCTACTCTGTATATCTGATAAAGAGAGCAAGAACGAGAGTACTTAACACTCAATTCCTATACTCACAGATCTATACCTAAATCGAGTAACAGGTATACCACATCCAAACACACTAACTACCGTCTACCGTCTTTGAGCAATACAATCACAACCTCCCCTTTTTTACTACTGCTCCATCTCTCAACTCCCTCACAAGCCCCCAAACATTCTCCGCCGTCGGCCAAGCCATCGCCCCAAACTCCCTCGCCGACGCACTACTCGCCTGGCGCAGCGCATACCGCGCCGCAATCCCCTGCATGATCACCGCGCCCCTAAACCCGGCAAAGGCCCGTCCCCAGGATAAATCCGGCCGGACATCGTACCCCGATTCTGACGCGTATAGCGATACGCATTCATCTAATGTTGGCAGCCCCCGTCTCTGATCTTGGTCCCCAGGGGTATTGGTATTGGTATTGGTATTGGCAGGTGGTGAAGGACTCCGCAGGTTAAGACTCGACTCGGCACCATCCACGCCCCAAGTATGCGGAAGAAACGGCGCAAAGAGACTAACGACGTCCGAGAGCGGGTGTCCCAGCGTAGCCATTTCCCAATCCAGGACGCCGATGACGTGGGGGAGGGTTTTGTGGAAGATTAGGTTGTCGATTTTAAAGTCCCCGTGGACGAGTGTTGTTCTGTCCTTTGGACGGCCACTGTTTTCCTTGCTGTTGTTGTTGTCGCTGAAAAAAGCGCTTAGCTCGTCGAGGTGTGGAAGGGGTCCGATGGGATTCCCGGTTTCGATGTCCCTTGTTAGGGCTTGGTGGTGCGCGAGAGAGGTGAAGGTGCGGATTTGCCGCGTGTAGAAGCCCGAGTGTTTGCCGAAGGAGGACAAGTTTAGGGATGGCGAGGTGTAGGGGATGCTGTGCAGGGTTGAGAGGGTGTGTATTGCAGAGCGCCACCTTTATCAATTTATTAGATTGGCATTGAAAAAGTAGGGTAGGCAGGCATACATCTCGTTCCTCTCTTGTGAAGTAACCCCCGGCATGCCAGGGTCTGTAAAGACGCGTCCGTCTAGGAACTCCATGATATAGAATGCCGTCCCGATAACAGTCGCGTCTTCGCAGAGGACGTGCACCTTTGGAACGGGGACGTCTGTATCTCGCAGCGCATGGAGGATGCGGTGCTCGCGCTCGACCTGGTGGGCTGTTTTCGAGAGCAGTTTGCCTGGTGGTTTCTTGCGTAGGACATAGCGCCTTTCCTGTCCTTGGCTGGTTCCTGGAGACGTGAGGAGATATGTAGGGTTTGATTGTCCAAAGCCAAACTGCGGTTGGTATATTAGTAGGTAGGACGATACTTGAGTAACTTGACGCACCTGCTTCACGTCCAGCGGGGTGGCGATCTCAGGGACATGGTCCTGGACATACTTGTTCAGTTTTTGGATGTCGATTGGCTGTCGCACGGGTCCGGCCATTTTTGTGCATTGCGATGGTGAGTGTTGAGAGTTGAGTATTAAAGAATTAAGGCCGGCTACCCCTCAGTGTCTACCGAGGATGCACAGCCGTCAGCTCCGAAGCGGGGGTGTCTGATTTCACGAGGTAGCTCGTGTAGGATATTCCTCTATTTCAAATAAAGTTGGATCTGCCATTAAATAATTGTACACTCCTTGTGAAGGTTTAATGTTTTAATGTCCAAGGACTGCGGGGAAGCTGACGCGGGGCGAGTCTGCCAGTGACGGATATAGTGGCAAGTTCCGAAACCGAACCTGAAACCCGACTAAACAACTCAGTAACCAGACCCAGTCAACTGACAAATACAATTCCACAAAGAGCCAGATGCAGCAGCTGCAAAAGTTGTAGCAGTGCACTCGGGAGGGGAGCAGTGACAGCCCGAGGCCCCTCCGGCTAGGGCTAGCATGCCCGACCAGCCCTTCAGTCCCTCAGTGGCTCTAACGCCTAGAAGCTAACCGGTGCTAACTGAGGCTAACTGAGGCTAACTGATGCTAATGGGTTGGTCCACTTGCCGCGGTGACAGAAACAGCTGTTAGTTGTTGTTCAGAGTCCAGATTCAGACTGTTGGAAATTAGTGCAGATATGACTGCATGAAATAGTATGGCATAGTATTACTTATAAATTAACAACCTAAGCCACATTGTAGACTGCATACCTGGAAGCTGCGTCGAGCTGCGTGGAGAGGAGCATTAGCTGCATTTGGCACGGCTTAAGACAGTGGAGCCCCGAGGCTGGAGGGGCAGCGGGCCTCACCGTGTCAACAACTCGCCGACTCGGAGGTTTAAAAGCAGAATGCCGCCGAGGCTGGACGGTGAACGGTGAGCTGAATGAGCTGGTCAATTCTATAACCACAGTAAGTATCTGGCATGTCGAGTCGAGAGAACTATCTATAGTTATCTATACCTAACTAGATCTCAGAGCGGGGCAGCTGTCAGCCACCAAAGCTACCAAACAAATAAGTAATTGTCAGACCACAAGGTCCCTCACTGTCTCCTTGATTCCCTGTTACAATGGACGCCAGAGCCATTGTCGCCCGCGAGCCCAAAGGAGGCCCCACCTGGGCCCTGGAAACCATCACCGTCGGCGCCCCTGCAGACGACGAGGTCCTCGTCCAGATCACCGCAGCAGGGATCTGCCACACTGACATCTTGTTCTCATCTATGCCGCAGGGTGTGCTGGGTGTCGCTTACCCTAAGATCGTCGGGCATGAAGGTGCAAATGTCCCCAAACCAGCGAAGGATAGCCTGCTAATAAATGGTAGGGGCTGGTATAATCCAAGCAGTCGGCAAGAACGTAAACAAGGTATCTGTCGGCGACAAAGTTCTTCTGTCTTACTACTCATGCTCGAGCTGCGCGCACTGCAAAGCATCGCGCCCGACCTACTGCACGCAATTCAATCTGGAGAACTACGCCGGCCGCAAATGGGCGGGCATGGTGTGCAAGGACGGCGGCGAGGAAGCCTGGGCGCGGTTCTTCGGGCAGTCCAGTTTTGCAGAGTACACGCTTGCGGCGGAGAGCAGTGTTGTGAATGTCAATGAATTGCTACAGAGCGACGAGGAGCTGAATCTGTTTGCGCCGCTGGGGTGCGGGTTCCAGACGGGGATGGGAGCTGTTGCGAATGTGGCGGATGCTGGGCCCGAGGATGTGGTTATGGTGATGGGCATGGGCGCTGTTGGGATGGCGGCTCTTATGGTGATTTCTTTCTATAAATATGTGTTTAACCTGCTAACTGAGTTAGACGGCCAAGATCCGGAACGCAAAGACGATTATTGCGCTGGACAGATTCGCCAACCGGCTGGAACTGTCGCGGGAAGTTGGGGCTACGCATACGATTAACACTGTGGTAGATGGGTTCGATTTCCAGCAGGCTGTCCGTGAGATATCGCCCACGGGCGCGTCTGTCATCATTGATACTACTGGAGTCGGCCAGCTAATTGAAGAGGCCTATGAGAGCCTGTCGTCCCTGGGGAAGTTGGTTCATATCGCCCCGACTCCGCCAGACTACAGGTTCAAGCTGGACACCACTGCGTTGCTGATGGTAGGTCTCTGAAGCCTGGGTATGTGAGCCTAGAGCTAACTGACTTGTAGTCTGGAAAAACAATCACCGGCTGTATCGAGGGAAATTGTATTGCGAGCGAGGTAAGTTGGAGATATACTTCATATAGTTGGTGTCGCTAACAGAGCAGGCTTTGCCCCAGATGATCCAATGGTACCGCGAGGGGCGGTTCCCCATTGACAAGCTGCTCACATTCATTCCTGTAAGTCTCTTGTCAATTTTCTTATAATCCTGGTTACTAACCATTTAGGCCCCCGACTTTGCAAAAGCCTTGGAGGGAATGCATGATGGGAGCGTGCTTAAGCCCGTGCTGACCTGGAGTTAACGGTGGAACAAGAGAGAGGTTATTGGACCGCTCGAGAAATCCTTTAGCGATGATGTAAATAGCGGGGACAGCTAGCATAAGCATAAGCAGCAGAATGAGCCGGGAAGTGCATGGCGCATCATGCATCCCAGAGAGTCTTTCTTAGAGCCAAACGCCCGTTTGGGTCGCACTCCTCGACCCGCCAGTTGAGCCCGCTTGGTCGAGGTCCACTCACTCCTGTCAGTCTACTGCTGGATGCGTTCTAGCCGGCTATTGCGGTGGGCCTCGGCCAGCTTCCCCGCCCACCTTGTCGTCTTGTCATGCCTGAGTGAATGCTGGCAGAGTGGCTATATAAGCGGGATGTCCACCCCACCATTGCGCTCTCCCAGTTTCACATTCCCAGACCCGAGCAAAATGGCCTTCAACGTCTTTGAGAACTTCCAGAATACCATCAACGGTAAACAGTCCACCACCGCTGAGAAGCGCCATGGCATCAACCCTGCCACCGCGCAGCCCAACCCTGACGTCCCCGTCTCCACCCAGGAGGACGTGAACAACGCCGTCGTCGCCGCCGACGAGGCCTTCAAGTCCTGGTCCGACGTCCCCTTCGCCGAGCGCCAGAAGGCCGTCCTCGCCTACGCCGACGAGGTCGAGAAGCATGCCGCTGACCTTGCGAAGCTCCTCGTCCAGGAGCAGGGCAAGCCGGTATATCCCTGTCTATCCCTAATATTATACAGCAACACAGCTAAATAACTTCAGATGCACGTCGCAACCCTTGAAACCGGCCTGTCGGTCCAGATGCTCCGCCAAACCGCCAACATTGCCGCCGAGATCAAAGACGAGATCGTGGAGGACAACGCCGAGCGCAAGATCATCGTCCGCCACACCCCCATCGGTGTCGCCGTCGGCATCGTCCCCTGGAACTTCCCCGTCTCTCTCACCGTCCAGAAGCTCGCGCCCGCCGTGCTGACTGGTAACACCGTCATCATCAAGCCCTCTCCCTTCACGCCCTACACAGGTCTGAAGCTCGTTGAGCTGGCGCAGAACTTCTTCCCGCCCGGTGTTGTGCAGGCGCTGAGCGGCGATGATAACCTGGGTCCTTGGCTCACAGCGCACCCGCTTGTTGAGAAGATCAGTTTCACGGGTTCTTCGGCGACGGGCAAGAAGGTTATGGAGAGTGCGAGCAAGACCCTGAAGCGGGTTACTCTTGAGCTGTACGTATTTAATACCTTTGTTTGCAACTGAGACTAACGATATCAGTGGAGGAAAAGACGCAGCCATTATCTGCAAGGACGTTGACATTGAAGCCACTGCTGCAAAGGTACCCAACCTTCCCACATAACAAGGCTCATGCTAATGAACAGGTCGCCTCGCTCGGCTTCCTCAACTCGGGCCAAATCTGCGTCGCCATCAAGCGCGTGTACGTACACGAATCCATCTACGACAAATTCCGCGACGCCGCAATCGCCTTCACCAAGACCCTCCAAGTCGGCGAAGGCAACCAAGAAGGCGTCTTCATGGGCCCCATCCAAAACTCCATGCAATACGAAAAAGTCAAGGGCTTCCTGGCCGACCTCACGCCCGAACAAATCGCCCTATCCAACGGCACATCCCAGCCCTTCGACTCCTCCAAGCCAGGCTACTTCATCAAACCCACCATCATCGACCGCCCCGCCGATACCTCCCGCATTGCAACGGAAGAGCCCTTCGGGCCGATCCTGCCATTCATGGCATGGAGCGATGAGAAGGACGTGATTGCGCGCGCGAACAAGACGCGCATGGGTCTCGGCGCGTCCGTCTGGTCGAATGACGAGAAGGAGGCAGAGCGCATTGCGAGTAAACTGCAGGCGGGCAGTGTCTGGGTGAATACGCATTTGGAGCTGGACCCCCGCGCGCCCTTTGGTGGACATAAGGAGAGTGGAATTGGTTCTGAGCTGGGTATGGCTGGCTTGAAGGCCTACACTAATGTCCAGAGTCTGCATTTCAGGAAATAGTGAACACAATTAGTTACCTAGTTGAAATTTATCTTAATCCAGTTGACTTATCTTCCTCTTCTAACTCTACCAAGTAAGTATCAGTTGAAACGCTACAAAGGTATGTCTTATACTGAAAGAGATACCTGTGTAGTCAGTACTAAATCTATGAGTACAGTACAACAGGAAGGCGCATTGATCGCTCCTGCCTCGTGATATTGAACTTATATGGAAGGTACAATGGACCTGCCAAAGTAGGAAACCACGACACGGGGTCGTCCCTGCCAGTTAAACAGTCTGTATTGTCTGGAATAAGAAGGTACAGCCGTTGCTGAGCTCCTTCCTTATGAAACTAACCTCATTTGGAAGGGACGATGGACTCGTTCCTGCCTTTTAGTGCTGTTGATAGGTAGTTATATCTTGAAATGCTGACAACGTAACCACGATTAGGACTATCTCGGATTCTTACTGCGCCTTCAACCCTGTAACGAGACAGGAGCCTTCGTTAAGATAGTTATGCATGCGATGCACCCTGAAACTTTGGACATAGAATTAATAGATACAAAGAATAAAAGTAGATACAGCAATATTAGTTCCACTAGAACTGACTTTTCTGCTCCACCCCATCAACCGCCGCTAACCAAGGCACTCTGTACTTAATCCACAACTCAGCATCCATCCCCTTCTCCAGCTGCGCTGTATCAGACAATGTTCCCACCTGAACCAGTTTCAAGCCCTTGAAGGCATCCGAATCAGCTTCCTTCCACATGGCAGTCCCGCACTCTGGGCAGAAGAAGAGGGTTATTTTCATCCCGGTCTCGTGCTCGGTTTCGAATGTTTTGGGCTTGCCCTTCGTTAAGGTGAAGTTTGGGCCGGGGATGGCGAAATTGACTGTGTTTGTCCCGCCGGAGATTTTGCGGCAGGTTTGGCAGTGGCAGAGTGCCTGGAATAGTTAGATTGGATAATATATTGTTGAGGGTGAGGGAGGGACGGACCTTGATGGCTGGATCTCCGGTGTATGAATAGGTGCAGGCGCCACATAGGCACTCTCCGGTTGTAGCCATTTTGACCTGGTATTACTATAGAATGGTCGTTGTGATTGGGATTGTGGGGATGAGATGGAACGGGCAGTTATATAGATAGCTGGGTCAACTGGCTCTGTAGATCAGCTCACAACTTTAAAACTGGCAGAGCCAAGATTTAACTGTGTGGGCTGATCAATCCTTGGCCAATGACATAGAATTCTCAGTTTATACTAACTGTATACGGACTAGCCTCATATTAGGCAATAAACTCATTCGTCCTAACAGTGAGAGACCGCATCATGATCGGGATCTTGAAATAGAACATCGACGGTTCCATTAATGTTGGTTGACTGTCACTCAGTTTACGCAAAGTATGATTCGCACGTGTCGCGTTCTCGGCTAGATTTTCCCAACGCTGTGGTCTGAAGTCCGGTTTCCAATGGGACGTGAGTCCAATTGCTATAGGGCCTGTCCGAGCACGAGGAAGCTAATATTTAACATTTTCGGTTACCTTATAAAGTTTTTGCTGAGTTAGGTTTGAGATACCACGTGCTTTGGGTTATTATATTTCGGGCTCTGAACCCGTAGATGTATCGAACAATAGGTCGGTCACACCTTTTCCCAAATGGGTTCAAGTACAGACCGATCAGCCACGCCTCACCTTTTCTCCTTTTTAAAAAATCATGCCGGATAGATTAATGAAGCCGGGACAGGGGTATGCCTCGCCATTCCACCTGACGTTGATCCAGAATCCATTACGAAATGATCAGGCGACTCTACGCAGTTCGTGAAAAGCAAGCTGACTCGACAAATTCCAAGAACGGAAACTGATACATGGAGGAAGCCCAAGCCGGCGCCAACTCATGTCGGGGCTTTCCCACCACGCGGGCCGTGGGCGTGGGCGTGGGCCAGCATGAGCTCAGCCGTTGAGCAGGGTATCATCGAGTGCGATGCGATCAGACCCTTTTATCCAGAACTGGGCCTTTCGCCCTGGGATATTGCGATGTATCAGTGGAATATGCGCCACCTGCTTCCCCAATTTGATGGCTGCAGGTCCCAGAGAAGCGGTCAGAAGAATGGCAAGGACCTCGATGAGGGTGATCAGACTCTGGGCGAACGAGGCTCCTGCATTAGCTTGTTGCAGGTTTCATGATATGGGGTTGCGGCTTGCGAGGCTGAGAATACATCGATGAGTCGATATCTTTCCGATTCTCGTAAAGTGTACCTAGTTACTGTATATCATGGTATCCTGGGTTATTACCACTTACTAGTGTTTCCTGGTATTGTCATTTGGCTTACGGGCTTGATTTCTTGCCTTTTTTTACGATACAGGAACGATTTACTTGTATTCGATCAGACGAGAGCACGGCTGATTTGATCTGTCATTTTCTTGATAGCGGAGTCGCCGCGGGTTGCTGCATTGGCAGAGCCGGCGCCGTTCTGACCCATCGTTCGTTGACGGACATGAACTCAGGACGTTGTCAGCACGTTCTTCCTGCTGCACGAGGAGCTCAGTGCAGTGGGCGGCGAAAGTTAGGAGAACATCTAAAGTACGGCGGTGCGGGTCGCCAGAGACATCGACATCGAATGGCGTCAAGGTGATCTGGACGGCCCTTTAATTGGTACTTTGAAAACATTTTCTTAATTTCCACCGTAGGCAGAAACAGTCGAGCTGAGCAGGCTGCGTTGCCAACTTCCGTGCCTGTTCGCCTTGATTCCAACTGAGACTTGAAACATGGTTACCACAGCGGCTGGACCGACTGATCGACTTGGTATCAAGGGGAATTATTCTATTCGCTGATACAGTTGATACAGCGCTCTCGCTTAAACGCGGATATCCACCGAGTTCTTTGTTCTCTGCGGCACAGCAGTCCATTTCGACGATCATCACGACTTCCAGGATCGTAATCCTGGTATTCGAGACGTCTGCTCGAATCCATCATCGCCCTTCGGTCGGACCTTCGCCATCCCCTCGAGCAATTCCGTTCTCAGGAGTCACGGCTGCGCACCCCTGCAAGGACTCTGCACATGAATCCAACGGGAAAGGAAAAAGCAAAGAAAGGGGCGGAAATCAAGGACACAGACGTGAGAGACTCTTCGAGGTTCTGTGCAAGTCTCCTGCGTTCGACACCAAACAGCCATGTCCGACGATTCTATAAGAAGCCCTCACCAGGTGCCTCCCACCGAGAGGGCCGGTCGGTGGTCAGATGAAGAGAGGTACCGACTTTCATACTTGCGGAATCTCCATAGTCACCTCAGTTGGCCTGAGTTCCACAAGGTACGCTGATGCCTTTGACGTTTAGATGACTTCTTCAGTTCCTGTTGACACGCCCGAGTTGAACTACTTCCCAAATCGATCTCAGCTCGCTCTCTACAACGAGCATCTCAGGATGGAGAAGCTCAACGCCAAACGACGGGTCCAGATGCCCAAGGATAGAAGCAATGCTTCGCCGTTACTCAGGCCTAAACGACCCATGTTACACGACACCAGCACCTCGCAGGCCCGTCCAGAAAAACAGGTTCGGATTACAATCGACGACGACGAAAGCAATGACGATGATGGAGATATCCAGGGAGATGGCGAGACAACTAAAGTAAGTATTTACGTTTCCAGACTTGGTCATAGTCGGTATTCACAACCTCCAGCTGCAGTCCTACTTCCATCGCCGACAGGAGCAGTCAGACTCTCCACGGAAACCATCCTTGGGGCCATCGGGACGGGTTCATTCAGGACCGGGCTCCCCGGCACGACAGAAGTATTCACCACCTAGTCGACCTGCAACAAAGCCATCTGAAAGCCCGACTAAAAAGTCTGCGGGTTCCCTGCCTCCTCCTTCAAAGCCCCAGCCAACGAAAGCGCCATCCCCAACTACAAGTTCGGCTACCGTGTCCCCTATCATTCCAATCCAGCCCCAGAACATGGGAATTACAGCTGCCAATCATCCGCCTGGCCCATCTGCTGTACCACCAATACCAGCCCGCCGCGAGGGTTCTGGCACACCAGGCTCTGAAGCCTCAAATCCTACCAACTTGTCATTGCCCCCTCGACCGCCTACACAAAGTGGAACAACGGAATCCGCAGCAATAGCATCTCCAGAAGTGACTACACCTACAATAAATGCCAACGCTGATAATACGTCTCCTGCCACACAGCAGAATAAGCTCCCACCTGCAGCCCAAGGCAACAAACCAATACCCGCCCCAGAAACACAACTCAACAGTACGCCATACCAAGCATCAACCACATCCCAGTGCATTATGGGCCAGGCACAGTGGTTAATTCGAGTCGCGCAGTTTAATGAACAAGAGAATAAAGCACGAGCAGAAACAGAACGCCGCCTGGAATTCCAGATAGCTGCGGCTACACAAGGAGCTGAGACCAAGCTAGATGAACTGCGGGAAAAGATTGAAGCTCAGGGAAAGGTTCTGGATTCACAAGCCAGGGTTATTGATTCCCAGCAGAAAGAAATACAGTTATTAAAAGCTGAAAGAGAGGACGCCGCTTCGAGGAAAGAAATCGACGAGCTAAAGAACTCTGCAAGTCAGCAGCTTGCTGCCTTTGCTAAACAGATTGAGGGTCTGAAAGAGGATACCAAGGAGGTTATCAAGTTTCAAGGAAACCTCCATAGATTTTTCAATGACAACACAGTGGCGACATGATCAGAATTGTTAGGAGCTGGATGGCATGGGAAAGTACTAGGCAAGCGCTCGCACTGAGACTGCCTGGCAGTGCCTAGCAGTGCCTTGTGGACTAAAACTTTGGACAGTATTATATAGCACTAACCTATTCCGCTCGTAAGTAAAAGTGGTAGCTAATACAACTAATAGCCTCTGTCTGACTCCGCTATGATGGTGAGAGACGAGAGCAGTCTTGCTAATAGTAATACCACCAGTGACTACTAAGTGCTTATTTTACAGCTAATGAGTAAGTAGACTAATACAAAGGTCCTAAACAAATATCGAGTCCGCCCCCAAATCCTATTAAAATTACCCCTTTGGTTGTATTTTAGCTTCGGCGTTTTCGCGTTTTGCCGTTATACTCGACCTGACCTCAACATTGGCAGCATCCTGCGAACCCCATCCGGTCGAAGGCCGTGTAGTCCTCGAGGCCGACAGCGACAGCGACGGCGGCGCAGCAAGCCCTCCGCGCCGCGCCGGGTTTGCTTTTTCGGCACCAGCCCCTGCCCTTGCGGTGTAACCAATCGAATCCTAGAATCTGGGCTATCTCCAACGGAGGTTTACACAGCGTCAATCTCGGGAGCCGCTCTCTTTCCCCCATCCAACTGCGTAAGACAGAGAAGCCGGAATTTGTCCGGTTGTAGGAACCCCTGCATACTGACCCCGGGCCAAAATATTGCCCAATCGGAATATGATAGATGGAGCGTCTTGGCAAGCCACAACTGTACAGGGTGATGGGATGGGATGGGATGGGATTGGTATGACTCAAGGAGGGAAACTTCCTTCCTTGCTTTCGAGTTTGGGAGTCGGTGTGTCGTTCGGCTGGCCGGGGTGTGTTCTGACTCGTCCCGTCGAGAGATGGGAGTCTGGCTTGAGGGGGAGGACTTGCTCTCCGTTGACATTGGCGCTTGGACGGAGGTATGTTGGTTTTCTGAACTACCATGGGGGACTGATATCTTAGACGCACCTTGCTGATCCATCCATATTAGGGAAACACGAACCCATGCTTCCTCGACTGTTCGCAGCGTCGAAAGCCTCACGCTACACAACAAACCAAAGAAGTCAGCATGAAGCGATACTGATGAACCCTTCTGGTGGATCTGTTGGAGTGTAGCCTGGGTCTTTGGTAAGTGTTGCCCTAGCGTAGTAACTTACAGATTGATACTAATTGATCCCCTGTGAAGCAGAGACAAGGGAGTATTGAACCAGCGAGACTGCCGACATCAAATATAGACCAGACTGAGAGATCCATCGACCTCCGAAGACAGATGGGCGATACTTCACTGAGAGCTTCTTGGTTGTCGGGGTTCGAAATACCCTGAGACGACAAACCATGAATGGGATTTATGCTGTTTTCACATCCCAGTGGACATGACTAACACTTCTCCGAGGAGTACATGTCCAACACCAACGGCAGAGGATATATGGTCGCTCGTTCGAGGATTATGGGGACTAGGAGAGGTGTTTAATGTCGGGGGACTACGAACTTGCTCTTGATTGCTCGACTGTACTGAGAGATATGATGGACAGGAACAGTGGTATCTGGAGGCCCAGTTGTCAGTTGTTGCATAAGTTGGACAGAGCGAATGGGCGACTTATAAGTTTAACTAGCAGAAAACGTCTGATTTCTGAGTATCGAGATTGGGGTCCTTTGAGGACCGTCGACAGTGGATTTCATATCGAAAATACCACTTCGGCGAAGGGCATACCGGGCCAGGGAGTAATCGAGCGAGGTCTACCAGAAGGAATTACAAAACAAAAGAGAAGTTATTTAATCCGCTGGGTGAGTCAATAAAAAGAGGAGGCAGTCTAACAAACGCGTTGCTGTTGAGACCTGACAAGTGAATGGACGCGGTCGAAATCTGCTCTCCTCCGTTTGTTTTCCTCGTCTCACCTCCAGCTCTCTCTTCTCCCACCATCTCTCCTTTCCATCTGCTTCATCACCTGTCTTCATATTCGTCCTTTGAACTGTCTGACAGTTACGCCATATCAACCAAACAACCAGGCAAGTGTTCTTTTACTTCACCTTTCACCCCACCCCGTGGGGAACTACTCGTGTTTCGTCTCATCAACACAAAGTGTTTCCATCAAGCAAATCTTCACTCTGCTAACGATACTGGTTTAATAGGCCCATAGAACACTCGAGCGGGTCCGAATGGGTTGGAGTGCCAACGACAGCTGGGGAGGAGGGGCCAATACCTCTGGGGGCGATGATTGGAATAGTGGCGGCGGTGGTGGTGGTGATTGGGGTGGTGGTGATCCCTCTGGTACGTACCCCATAACATTCCAAGTCCTGCCTTACAGCAGATACCGTCCTGGCCCATCTCGGATTCTGATGTCGGACTGATCAGCTAACCTACTTGTCTTTTAGACTTCAAGAATGACGAAAACCAAGGCCCTGGCGATGTTGGCGGTGATCAGGAGCGTGATACCAAGTGCCGCAAGTAGGTCTCAGGCCCAAGATTAGAAGAACAGATTCCTGACTCTCATAGCTGTGGTGGAGACGGCCACTTTGCACGCGACTGCACTGAACCCCGCAAGGGCATGGCCTGTTACAACTGCGGGGAGGAAGGGTATGTGGCTTCATCCAAGTTTTGGCCTTCGCTGACCCGTCCAGTCACTCCAAGGCCGAGTGCACCAGGCCTCGCGTTTTCAGCGGTACTTGCCGCATCTGCAACCAGCAAGGCCATCCCGCCGCCGAATGTCCTGAGCGTCCTCCCGATATTTGTAAGAACTGCCAGCAGGAGGGTAAGTTTGAATTCATCTCCTACCCAAGCACTACTAATAAGCAACAGGGCACAAGACTTTGGAATGCAAGGAGAACCGCAAGTTTGACCTGAACAATATTGCTGATCAGCTGCCCGAGGTGGCATGGGCGGGGCTGAAGAAGGCGAGTGATGAAAGAGATCTGGAAGACTTCCGTGAGGTATGCTCTGACTCTTTTCATAACGGTGTCCTAGCTGACGAGAAGCAGAACTTCAAAGTCTACTGCAAGGCTGCCCCGAATGCTACCTTTGTCGACATCGAGAAGAAGATGCGCGAGCAGTCATTCAACATTTATCTCATCGCCCTGGTGGGAAACCCTTATCTCCCACGGTGGTGGTCACTAATGTGATGGACAGGAGAAAGAGCCAACCGATTGCATCAGCCTTATCGACCTTCAGGGAAAGCTCAACTGCACCTACACCGTCGGCTTCTTCTACAGCGCAAAGCCCCAGCGTGCTAACCTCCGCGAGCGCTGGCCATCGTCCGTTGAGGACAATCTTGAGCGTCTCCAGGATGCTGGTTTGCCTTATGACCGCCAAATCCCCAAGTGCGCCAATTGCGGTGGTAAGTTATGCGAAAGGATCTATAGATGAAGGCTGACACGTCTAGAAATGGGCCATACTTCCCGCGGCTGCAAGGAGGAGCGTGCCATCATTGAACGTGTTGAGGTCAAGTGTGTGAACTGCAATGAGCCCGGTCATCGTGCGCGTGACTGTACCCAGCCTCGTCGCGACAAATACGGTTGCAGGAACTGCGGGTATGTAAACGGTTCATTCTTCTAGTGTCTCTGCTGACCCGAGTAGATCTTCCGACCACAAAGCGGCCGAGTGCGATAAACCCCGTTCTGCAGAAGGAGTTGAGTGCAAGAGATGCGGAGAAAGTGAGTTTCTACGGATTTTACGCTTGACTTTACTGACCATCGACAGTGGGCCACTTTGCGAAGGATTGCCCGCAGGCACCAGCTCCTAGAACTTGCCGTAACTGTGGATCCGAGGACCATATTGCCAAAGACTGCGACCAGCCGCGCGATGTGTCGACTGTGACCTGCCGTAACTGCGATGAGGGTACGCTGACCTCGTTTTTGTTATCTGGATTAGAGTCACTGCTAACTTCGCGTCTAGTGGGACACTACAGCCGTGACTGCACGAAGAAGAAGGATTGGTCCAAGGTCAAATGCAATAACTGTGGCGAGAGTAAGATTCCCTCTCTTCGTCCCTTCAAGTACCTTCTGACATATCGTTTCTCTTAGTGGGTCACACTATCAGACGCTGCCCTCAGGCGGACTCCGGCGGAGACAACTTCAACTCGGACGTCAACCAGGACGCAGGCGACTGGGGTGCCAGCAACACCACTACCGCCCAGGACGCTGCCCCTGTTAGTGATGGCGGAGGCTGGGGTTCTGGCGGTGGCGGCGGCGGTTGGTAATCCATCAAGCCGAGGAACAAACACTAGGATACTGTGGGTTGGTGATGTTTGTTTTCTGCACTTATGGAATGGGCCACCCGAGCAAGAAAGCTGATGAGGCATATGTGAAGATGTCTGATATTTGATAGCTTAGCTTATCCAAAGACTGAAGTGTTCTCGTAGTAATCAATTAACTCGGCCTGAAACACTACCGGACATCCGAACTTATCAATAGAACGCCAAATACCAACCTGAACAGCAAATAGAGAAATCAAAGCAAACTCTTCGGTCCACTATGCCGCTTGGACGAAAGCCCCCACTGCGCCTTCACACTCCGCATCGGAACTCTCCCTCCAGTCATCGGAGTCCGTAACACCCCATGGCGCGGCACAACACGCCTCCCGTACGTACTCCAATACATCAACACCCGGTGCAAATCCTCTTTACGAACGGGTTTGCTGATAACATCGTCGAACCCCTTCCGAAAATACATCTCTACCTCGTCTCCTCCCATAAGGTGCGCCGTTAATGCGACGATGGGCGTGGACGATAGCTGCATATCTGCGATATATGGCTGCTGTGTGCGTAGGATCGAGACGACCTCTATTCCGCCCTTTACGGGCATTGCTATCTGGTATCTGGTTAGTTATTTCACTTTCCCCAAGGTTGATATCGATGGTGTGGAGGTGTGGGGACGTGGGTGTTAGTCGAAAAAAGAACAAAAGCCTACGGTAGCCTACATCCATAAGAATTATATCCGGCCGCGGACATGCCGGCGATGGATTGGAGAGGTAGTGCAGTGCTTCACCTCCATTCCAGGCCACGGATATTGTGATGGTTGGGTCCAGCTTGTTAAGCATTCGGTGGAAGACCTTTTGGTTTACGTAGCTGGTTTCTTGTTAGCACGATGACGGTGACTTGGTTGTTGAAGGGGGAACCGTGGCCGGGATGGATGGATGTACTTGTCTTCGGCGATGAGAATGTGCATTTTGAGTATGGGCTGTTTGAAGCCTGAGTTATGGTATGATAATATGAGGTTGGAGTGCTGGGATGTTGAAGCTTGAACAGTCCAGAAGTGCCGGTAAGCAGCGGGGCTGTGCCCGCGATGAGGCTGAGTTGGCTGGCATGTCGATCAACGATTATTCGGAAGTATAGACTTGCGGACTGTGGGATTGGATTTTGAATACGATGTTACTTGAGCAGTGTTACTAGCCTATAGGATATCAATATTTCAGGTATAAATTGCGGCAGCCATAGCGGATTGCCCTGAATGTCCTCAACATCACCCTGGCCAGGACAGTGCAGGAACAATTTCACATCCACAACCAACCAAACGGACTGATTCAATTCTATCAACAAGAAGTCCCCAGTCTTATTCTATACATCATGGAGTATCTGTTATTTAAGCCGAACAAGAGACATGTCTGAGTTTTCTGGGGTAAATTGGAACCATTAATACATCGTCTGATATGTATATATCGACAGAGTCAAGGGTATCACTTGGTAATAAATATACGCTCCTGCTTCGTGAAATCAAGGTGATACTATGGCTATTGCACTTGGATGTTGGTCACATATGCTACTTTCCAAAATAAGAAGGCCGGCACTCATCGAACCTGTCTGTCGCGGGAAAGGACGGTGATAATCAAAATATATTTAGACCGATATCACGATGTCAAGGTAAAAAGAAAATTTTCGGTGCAGCGGGCAAGAATGAGGTCCCTTCACATCGATGATTGGGCTGAACAAGGGCAAGAAATTCTCAGCCTGTCTGTCCCAGTTTTGCTCAACGAAGTCTCAGGTTTCATTCAACAACTCAGAATGCTGGGATAGACACACATTTTAGTCCTAGACACCTCATATTGACCTGATTGACGTGCTAAACAGGAATAAATGGGTATTTGTGACTATTGATGGACGAACAGGATTGAACTGCTCAAGATGTTGGGAAACAAGATGATAGGTAGAAGAGAGAGGTCGACGTCGACCAAGACCAGGAGCAGATGTCTGGGTTTGTGTGCATAAAGCTAAGCAGTATTAGGGACAGTTTATCTTGGAAAGCAGTAGCCAATATGGAGCCAGCAATTGCATCGAGTCATGTTCGGTCCAGTTCTTAGATATGGCGCCACTCCCCTGGAAATGCGCTGAACAACGTTTTCTGGCGATAAATTACTGAAGTTTTCAAGATTTTGCAGTATTGCAGTAATTCGTTAAGTATTGATTAGGCGAGTTTGTTAATAATAAAAGATAACTTGTGAATGGGTTCAAACCCTGCCGTTGTAATGCTGGAGGAGACTATAGATCAACGGCCCTTTAGCCCAACTACAATCGATCCATTCCCAACGATCATTCAGTACCTTACGATCAACTTCGAATCCAATCCAGCCGAGGCTAAGGTTCGATAACAGGCTACAGTACATCTTGTGAAAGTGTCCAACAAGAAAGGTTTTCAATCCATCAGCCTGAGTGGCCCAACTTAGTCATCGAGTTGCGTGTCCCAGCAGCTCAACGTACGTCCCAACAAAACGACCAAGGGGTCGAATGATGCAGTGAATCAAACCTGAGAGGTGTTAAACATAAACCCATAAACAAAGCTCTGCCTGTAGATTGTGAGAATGGCTTGGTCTACGTTATATACCGCTCGATTGTCCCTGTCAATGGCCTTTTTTTCTCTGTTGTTGCAATACTAGTGCCTGAGGCATCACTCAGCCCTATACGAACACTCACACGCCAACACCAGTAGACTTTTCCCACCATGTCATCAACAAAGGACAGAGCCCCGAAGCCACACATCAGTGAACTTCCAGTGACATGGAAGAACTGGCACCAACACATCGACTGGCTCAACTGCACCTTCGTCCTGTTCTTCCCGCTGGCTGGATGTATCGCCGCAGTCTGGACACCGCTGCATCTCTACACTGCGCTCTTCGCCGTCGTTTACTACTTTAATGCCGGATTGGGTATCACGGCTGGTAGGTTCCCACTTCTGTTTAGTATTGATTGCTGGGTTAGGTTGGAAGGCTAACGCTGTTGACTGTCAGGATACCACCGTCTCTGGGCGCACTGTTGCTACAAAGCCTCCCTCCCACTCCAGATCTATCTTGCTCTAGCCGGGTCAGCCGCCGGACAAGGTTCAATCCGGTGGTGGTCGCGCGGCCACCGCGCGCACCACCGGTACACAGACACCGAGAAAGACCCGTACTCCGTCCGCAAGGGGTTCTGGTACAGCCACATCGGGTGGATCGTGCTGAAGCAGAACTACAAGAAGATCGGGCGGTCCGATAGTTCCGACCTGGACAGCGACAAGGTCGTGATCTGGCAGCATAGGAACTATATCAAGTGTGCGCTGGGGATGGCGTTGATTTTCCCTACGGTTGTTTGTGGACTGGGCTGGGGTGATTGGATGGGCGGGTTTGTGTATGCCGGCATCCTGAGGGTGTTTTTCATTCAGCAGGCGACGAATTGCGTTAATAGTCTTGCGCACTGGCTTGGGGAGCAGCCGTTTGATGATCGGAATTCCCCGCGGGATCATTTCCTTACGGCGCTTGTGACGCTGGGTGAGGGGTACCATAATTTCCACCATGAGTTTCCGAGCGATTACCGCAATGCGATTGAGTGGTGGCAGTATGACCCGACCAAGTGGATGATTTGGACGTGGAAGCAGATTGGGCTGGCGTATGATTTGAAGGAGTTCAGGGCGAATGAGATTGAGAAGGGGAGGCTGCAGCAGTTACAGAAGAAGGTTGATGCGAAGAGGGCGAATCTGGATTGGGGTGTGCCCTTGGATCAGTTGCCAGTGTTGAGCTGGGATGAGTACGTGGCTGGGTCTGCGGAGACAGCGCTTGTTGCGATCGGGGGAGTTGTGCATGATGTGACGGCCTTTGTGAAGGAGCATCCTGGCGGAAAGGCGTTTATTCAGTCTGGGGTTGGGAAAGATGCAACAGCCGTTTTCAATGGAGGAGTTTACCGGCATTCGAACGCGGCGCATAACTTGCTGTCGACGATGAGGGTTGGAGTGATACGGGGAGGCTGTGAGGTGGAGATCTGGAAGGAGAATCAACCGAAGGGGATGGACCGTGCTGGACAGCAAGTGACGAGGATAGAAAAAGTTGAATAGGTCTTATTTTAGCTCCAACGTAATGTTCTGTGGCGTTGCCATCATGTCAGGAATTCCTTTGCGATATTTCTCCCGGTGTTGCCAACAGAGCTTAGAGTCAACCTTCAGCCATCAAAGAGGCCAAATTCTCCGGAGAAAACAGGTAAGACATGAATATCAGGAGGGCTTATCCACTGAAGGTCTGGAAAGGGTACGGCCTTGATAGACAGAATCAATGAATATCAAACGCCCTCGCAACATGGATTCCGTCCGGCGGTGCTCCGTGGGGAGCCAAGCTTATTTCAGATCTCTCACCATCGCTCCACGCGCCATGAAGCGCTCTCACTGGCGCGGAAGAAGTTCCGCTCTTGTTCAAGTGATCCATCTTGTACCTCTGGTTCCTGCTTGACGGAAATTTCCCTGAGCCGCTGGCTTTACGCCTGGAAGAACCCATCAAGCCATTCGGGAGGATGAATGCGAGAACGTGCCGAAGAATGGGGAGGTTCGCTGCGACGATGGCTAGCTGCTCTTCAATAATACTCCACATGAGTGGCAGTGGCAGAGTCCACGGTGCGTCCTCAAAGTCTATGCTCATTAGGCTGAAAACTCGGACCATGCTGATTGCGCTGACACTGGATTGAGAGAGCATAGCGTTAGCAGGGTGTTTCCAACAGAAATTGGCAGGCAGACTTACAAGAGGCCGAGGCAGAATGTGATGACCAGCCCTATCTTGCGACCAGTGGCTAGCTGGAGACTCCATATATATGGAACAGGGAGAAGCATGACCATGAAGTCGGTAACCATATTCAGGGCTCCAGCGACGACAAAGGCCGCATTACGATTCCCACAGGAACCCCCGCCAGGGCGCATGGGGTTGTAGTTGAACTCCACAGGCTGGCATAGGAGGAAGGACTCAAGGACGATGCTGAAGCCCCACGCCCAGACAATGGCCCCAGTGAGATAGATGGCGATGCGAAAGCTTTTCACGGTCCCGAAGAGCCGGTAATATAAAACCATGAGCGATGTTTTGACGAGGGCCAGCCCCACGCCATATAATGACTGGAGGACAATAATCATCTGCGTTGAGATGAGTAAATGGTGACCCCACTTGAAAGGTCGGTTGGTATACATACTTTCATTGTGTATATCAGATCCTCCGGATCGACCTCAGTCATATGCAGTCCCACTCCACCATGCGTGACCGCTACAAGAGCACATGTTAGCATATGCCATTAGAGCCGTCAAATTTAAACGCACTTGTAATGACAAGAATCGTTGACACAATGACAAACCACTAGACAGAAAAGTTAAGAATATGGCCCTCTGTTGTGTTTAGTCGGACTCACAATAGCAGTTAGCATGAGATAGTCGTCCAGCCCCAGGGACACCTTCCGAATTCTCCTAGACACAACACGTAAAATGACTGCAGAAATTGCCAAAAGTCCGAGTACAATAATGACAATGACCACGTTACGGCCATCCCGGGCCCTTAATCCGTACTTTGCACCCATGATAGGAATATCTGGTATGAGACCAGCGGCATGAGACGTCAGAGACCATGAAAAACCTCCCCTGCCGAGAATGCAGAGGAATCAATTAATAGATGTGGACGAGATGGTTCGACCGCAAGCTGGCTCCGCCCCCAGGTGCAATCAGGAACTGTCTGGGGCTGTTCTTCCGTTTCCTTCGTCGTGACAACTAATTTAAGCGATGTGACGATGTGGACCATGGCACGACCCGGTTGACATGAATGGCAGGCCTGTCATGCTTTTAGCAGGATTTTGGCCCGGCCCGGATTGACGCTATGTGCCGTCCATCGCGTCTAGCGCGATGCTGCTCATGACAAATATCACCGTAAGCCATATTGTGAGTACAAAAGCACCTCCGGCATTATGAGAAGCAGTGGCAAAGATATGTCGTTCAGGAGGCCCTTGAAGTTGCCCATCGTCAAGTCTGCCGAAATTGAGAATGTTCATTGGACGATTTGGAATCCAATGCATGTGAGAGAATACATCCAGCGAGTCGGCCCATGATCCCTGTCGACGCTTGGCTGAATCCGTCTAAAGGCACAGTGGCTAGACAAGACCGAAGTCAATAATGCGGACGATTAATCTCGCTCTCCGAGGGGCCATTGGTTCCGATGGAGGTTATTATAAGGTAAGCTCCGTCCTCCACCCATGTGAAGCCCGTAAGCCCCTACACAGCTATAACAAACAATGGCGGCTATCGACACAGACTCCGTGGCCGGAGTACACGACTCAAGCTTTGACTTCATAATCATCGGTGGCGGGACATCAGGCCTGGTGGTCGCTAATCGACTGAGCGAAGACCCCAATGTGTCTGTCCTCGTCCTAGAGGCAGGGACAAACCGATTGAACGACCCACGCATTACAATCCCCGGGCTCGCGCCGACGACTTTCGAAGACCCCGATTTTGACTGGAATTTTCGGTCGACTCCGCAGGTATGTGGACTAGCCCTGTGGGCAGACCTGGCCACGGCTAACGTCAATAAAGGAACAACTAAATGGACGGAAAATACTTGGAAATAAGGGACGGACCCTAGGCGGGTCATCCACAATAAACCTCGGGATGGTGGTATACCCATCGCGCACCGGAATGGCCGCCTGGGAGGCCTTAGGCAACCCAGGTTGGGGATGGGAGGGTTTCGAACAATACGTGCGGAAGTTCCATACGGGAACTCCGCCCACGAAATCAGTACGATCCTTCTTTGAGGGCATGAAGTCCGAGAAAGAAGATCAGGGCGCCAGCGGGCCTGTCCAGGTGTCGTTTGGTGATCAGTATATGCCCTACCATGGGGCTTGGTTGCGCGCGTTTGAGAATCTGGGTTGGCCGCAGACGGAGGATCCTATTAAGGGTGCTGGAGTTGGGCCGTTTGTGACGCCTGGAGCTATTGATCCTGTTACTCATACCCGGAGTCATGCTGCTGCTGCTTATCTGACGGGTGATGTTACGAAGCGTGCGAACCTACGTATTGTGACTGGTGCTTTAGTTGAGAAGATCGTCTTTAACGACTCCGATACAGGGGCTGAGGATGCAATCACAGCGAGAGGCATTAGATTCGCCAAAGATGGCCAGGTATACAGAGTCTCCGCGAGTCGAGAAGTCATTCTAGCTGCCGGAGCCATACAAACGCCCCAGCTCCTCGAGCTGTCCGGCATCGGGAATGCGTCGCTTCTCCACTCACATGGAATTCGGCCGCTCGTCGATCTCGCTGGGGTGGGTGAGAATCTTCAGGACCACGGTATCGTCTCATTTGGATATGAGGTTGCAGATGGCATGCCCTCTGGCGATATGGCTCGGGACCCTGCAGTCGCTGCCGCAGCAATGGCTGCATACCAAAAAGACGGGTCGGGGCCACTGGGCATGGTTCCTCTTGTTTCTGCGTTTATGCCTTGCGTAGACTTCGCCGAGGACAAGCGAAAGGATCTGCTGCAGAAGATCGACTCGTCATTAGACGACCCCAAGCTTTCGGTTACGTACCGAAAGCAGTACATTATCCTGCGAGAGATGCTAAAAGACCCGAATGAGCCCACGGCTCAGTACATCCTCGCACCGTTCCAGCTTCTCCCTCGTGCAGGCCCCACTGCAAAGGACATCTTCGGAATGAGCCATCCCGGAAACTTCATCAGCATCGTTTCACTGCTAAGCCATCCACTCTCACGAGGCTCTGTGCATCTCTCGTCTGCAGATCCAGCAGCCGCGCCCGTGATTGACTCTGGAATACTCCGCCATCCCGCTGACCTGGAGCTGCAGGCGCGCCATAGCATATGGATGGAGAAAATCCCAGAAACAGAGGCGATGGCCCCTCTCCTGAAGGCCCGTGGCCATCGCCTGCATACATCTGGTAAAGTAGCGGAACTGCAGAAGGCGCAGGACCTTTGCAAGGAGCTCGTCCTTTCCATGTACCATGTCAGTGGAACGTGCGCAATGATGCCACGAGAGGATGGGGGTGTCGTAGACCCACGACTGAAGGTATATGGGACGAGCAATGTACGTGTTGTTGATGCGAGTTTGTTCCCACTCATCCCGAGGGGGAATATCCAGGCCACGGTGTTTGCGGTGGCGGAAAAGGCGGCGGATATCACCAAAGAGGATCTAGTGCGATCTTAGCACCATGCATGGACAGCCATTACAAGCGTTTCTAGATAGGATACTATCCGAGCTCGTTCACCCTGTCAGCTCATAAGGAAAACCCACAATGGTCCACTTGTCTCCTGATTTGTCGGTGGACTTGTAAGGCCTCCCGAACCCCGGGTGATATCCGAATCTATTCCCTTCGTGCCTGAGGAGATGCGGGGTTGTTGTATCGTTAGGCGGGCCATGTTCCACTGATAAGCTCTGTCTGAAGCACATATTTAAAGGGGCCGGTAATCCATCGCTGCTTGCAACTGTCGCTAGTTTAATAGTCCATATTAACAAATTGCCGTTGAATATGTCCGCAGCAAAGCAAGTCCGAGTTGCCGTCGCCCAGGCCGAGCCGGTATGGCTTGACCTCGACGCCACGGTGGACAAGACCTGCACCCTTATTGCCGAAGCTGCAGCGAACGGCGCACGGCTCATCGCTTTCCCCGAATGCTGGGTCCCGGGGTATCCAGCTTGGATATGGTGAGCCATCTCGGTCTGCCCTATTATTGTCAATTTGAAGGCAATCTGAACTGATAGCTCAAACCTTCCAAGGGACCGGCCCCTCGACCCACAAATGACAGTAGCATACATGCGGAATTCGCTGAAACTGGACTCTCCGCAAATGGCTAAGATCCAGGCCTCCGCTGCTGCAAACAAAGTCATTGTTGTGCTCGGCTTCACCGAGAATATCCATGATAGTCTCTACATCGCGCAAGCGACCACCAACCCCGACGGGAAGATCCTCATGACCAGAAAGAAACTCAAGCCCACGCACATGGAGCGCACTGTCTTTGGTGACTCCGCCGGGGATTGTCTGCGTAGTGTCGCGGATACTGATGTCGGTCGCGTCGGCGCTCTTTCTTGCTGGGAACACATCCAGCCGCTGCTGAAGTACCACACATACGCGCAGCGCGAGCAGATTCACGTTGCGGCTTGGCCGCCGCTTCATCCTTACCCTGGTGAGGGCGCTCCGTACTCTATGTCGAAAGAAGGTTCGTCTTTATCCTGCCCACGCTGTACTTGTTAGGATTTGTTAGATTAACGACAGCAGGTTTGGAGGCTGTGTCTCAGACATATGCGATAGAATCTCAATCTTTCGTCCTGCACTGCACATCTGTCCTCACAGCGAAGGGAATTGACCGAATGCGCACGCAGACGGCTGCGCAGATGAATTCGCCAGGCGGGGGCGGTTCGGCTGTATTTGCTCCGGATGGACGCAAACTCACGACGGATTTGGCAAATGATCAGGAGGGAATCGTCTACGCGGATTTGAATTTCGATGAGATTTCCATATCAAGGACTTTGGTGGATGTTTGTGGGCATTATTCGCGGCCAGACCTGCTTTGGTTGGGTGTCAAGGATGGAGGAGAGTGGGAGTGTGTCAAGGGACAGAAGTAGTGACTGTGAGGTGTTGGTCTTTTTGCTTGTGTTATGATATACATGAGAGAGTGGTATCATGCTGAGTATCCCCATGTTAACTGAGGATAGTCTGATAATCAAATATCACCAGATACTACCATTGATTGGAAGCACTGCTGGCGGAGAAATCGAAGTACTGCTCTGTGTAGCTAAAGGGAATGAATGATCTTTAGACACCATTTGATAGCCAGGACTGCTTGCATAAAAGGGCGTAAAAATATCCAACAATGACTCCTGTCCATCTGCCTGTCTGCTTGGTAATTGATATACCAACTGTACTCCTTCTAGCTCATGATCACTGAACGACGAAATTGGCGTCAACCGCGTTCTGGTCTTGGGTTTCCTCCACCTCCATATCCTCCGTTGTCTTTCCACCCCATGCGGTGCGTCTAAGGTATCGCGATTTGAATGAAAGACTGCCTCAATTGGGATATCAGGATAAGGGTGGCGCGGCTTGCCCATTATATCCCGAAATTTCCAAAATAATGCCAAAAGCTTCCACGCATGAAGCCAGTCACACGGGTTGATGTGAATATTATCGTCACCATCCTCATCATCGCTTATCAGGAGACTAGAGTGTGGAAATAACCCTGGTTTCGACTTCATAACTTGACTAGCGTACCAGCCTGTGAGTATACTGCAGTATGTGCCAACTTTAACACCGATGGAGGCGATGGTGGGCGGGTCATCTCCTCGCATCAGTTGTCTAAGTTTGAGATCCGTCCAAAGATCATTCATGACCTTTAAGTGGATCACGTTATACTGTGCTGAAGAGACCATCTTGCGAGCGTTGATGTACTGCTCTAGCAAGGGTTTGGTTGAGGAGTCATGCAGAAATAGGGCCCAAACTTCGGAGGTGTTCGATAGGCCGAGCGCCCCTCCGATGTTAGTAGGCGTGTAGCCTAGCACCTGCACGTCAGAGATGTCATAGGGTACACCAGGGATTCCGCATGACACTATCTTGGTTTTATCATTATTTATGTTCGGAAGCTGTGCGGGCTGACCACCAAGCTTTCCTGACTCGGAGCTTACCGGCATGGAGGAGCTGGGGTTGGTAGTGGGGGCGGTATTACGTCCTGTGAGCATGTCCACCCGGCTTGTAAGCATGTCCACCTGGCTTGAGAGCATGTCGAGCCTCCTCTCCAGCGAAACGAACCCGGCTTTAATGAGCTCGGTGACATCTTCTGTGTAGGCTGTGTTCCCTGTATACGCCGAGTGGGAAACTGGGGGCCGGGGGCGCGGCACAGTATTATCTGCGACATCGGCAGACGAGGTATGCTCCAAGGGAAATGGTGCTACTGGTTGCTGGACAAGCATGGAATGTTGTTCATTCTGGTTCGGGGGGCGCTTGAAGAAGGAGTGTTAGTCTATACGTCGACCAGTCTGTTCAGCGTCGCCTCCAGGATCGTTCTGTACCACTTGGTTGGAACCACCGAGATCACTTTCAGCCGGACCATCGGCATTGAACGAAGATTTCGAGCGCTTCGCGTGAGGATTCATGGCATTGTCATTTCTCCCATCATCACTGCCATCCTCCCCACTCCTGCGTCTTCCGGATGACATTTTTGCGGGTTTGCAGTTGCTAAGTGGTGAGATGGGATATTGGAAGATCGAGCAAGCTATCGGCAGGTTAAGAATTCAAATTTCAGAACAAGATGGCTGTCTATATGAGTTTTGAAGGTGGTGATAAAAGGAAGGAGCGGTGCACGCCTGACGCAAAACAGGGGGTAATCATGCTCATGTAAAGATATTTGATCCAAAAACCCAACGACTACGTTCCCTTGCGCAAATATTTTGATTATTGTGGCCTCCTAGTCACTAATATGCTAAATACTGGATTTAAATTTTGTGTGGGTCAGAAATGGTGGATAAGGTATATGCTATGTGGACATCCCTCTATAATACGTTCAACAATGTGAGTAACAGCAAAGGCAAAGCCGGAATGTTTCCCTTGTCCATCTCTGTTGAGGCCACAGTAGGCAATCATGAGATCGCCCTCTGCATAGCTTTAATCTTTCACGACATTATCAAAAGAACCTTGAAATATAAGATGAGCAGAGGAGAATACGATAACTAGATACCACGAGCTAACCACAACCAGTTGCATAAACATCCAAAAGAAAAATCTAACAATAATTTCAAAATACCAAAATGCCGAATAACTCTCCCCAGAATACTCTGCCAGAGCATATGAACAGTCTTCAGGTTCCGCAGGTCGCAATTGCGGTAACACCAGCGTCACTATCTCAGCCCGCATCCTCACCGATCCATCCGAGCTTCATCTTCAGCGCTTCTCTCCAGCATCTTCTCGTGGGCTGGGGGCATCGGTGTCCATACAAGTCTCATAGCTTGTTTCCTCCCCTCCCATATCCTCCCTCGTTTGTCCATCTCCACCAGGTCCCTCACCTGCATCGTGATTCTGAGAATCAACCACCCCCGACGAACCTGCGGGACGCTGTTCCAATGCTGCCGTAGTTAGACCTGGACCTGTGTTCACAGGAGGTATAGCTCGGGCAGGAGGTTCCGTTGGTTCAGAAGCGAATACCGTACTTAGCTGCCCAGAGACGGTGGTAATGTTTCTCCCAATCCACTCTAGTTCCTCCAACAAAGATTCGCCAGTCCTATGCACCAAAGCCAGCCTGCTTCCGATTGAAGACATGTTGCCTTCGCTGGGTAGACTCCCTCTCCGCATATGGTAGGGAAGTATGTCCTCCACTCGTTGAGCATCACCGGACTGAGGGCGAGAGCTGGATGGAATCTGCGGAGCGCGCGGCGGAGCTGGTGCTGGCCGGTAGGGCAGTGAGATTAGATTGAAAGTTGATGGCATGATTGGGTTCTTGTCGTGGCAATGTGTAGATGCTGCCGGATTCACAGGTGGAGTCCGTTCACGTTGAGCTTGAGCTTGCGGTGAGCGCGATGTGGAAGTGCTGGATATCTCTGGTTCTGGTGAACGATAATGAGAGTAACTGTCTCTCATGGAAACGGATTGATCGGGTGGCTGTTGCGTGTTTCCTGGCTTGCTGCTAGCATCAGAGCTGGGTAGCCTCCAGTCAGGACTTCTTGGTCGTATCGGATCGCTTTGGTTGAATGCATCCTTGATGTTGGTGAGGCGTCAGTGTGATAGATAACACCAGGGAAAGCGTGAAGGGAAGGGTGAAGGGTATATGAAGGAAGGGAATGGGATGAGCAAGATTGGGATATATTACCCGTTGAATACTGCCATCAACGTTCGATTCCGATTTGGAGCGTTTTGGCCGAGGCCTCGTGGGTGTGGAATAGCGAGTTGCATCACCGTCATCATCTTCACTCCTACTTCTCTTCAGCGTGCGGTTCTTTGTCATGAGATGTCTGTACTGCTTCTCCAATTCGTCAGGCGAGTGAGGGAAGTCGAATTTCTAATAGCCCAGTCAAAGTTAGCAAACGCTTCTTGGGGACACCGTGGTGGCTGGTCATCGCTGCAGAGCAGGACCAGGGCTTGGAATCGGTGTTGATCAACAATAGGCGACCTACTATCTTAAACTCTTCCCATGATAGATCGGGGTTTTCGTTTCCCAACCTGATAAGGCGGCCGTTTTGCTCGTCCGACCAGGGTTCACCATTAGGCGTTTCCTTGAATGGCGAAGGAGTTAGACGTGTCATTTCGGTTTGTTAGGTGGTATTGAGTGGTGAAATGGGACTCTGGAAGATCAATATGTCTGGAGTCTGCGTATGGATAGAATACGGAAGTACGTTGACTTTCTACAAGACCAGCGATGGTGGTGGTATATATATGTGGAGGTTTGACAAGTAGAGATAATAAGAAACAAACGGGCGGGTAAAACGATATCAGACCCAAACGCTGGACGGCCACCCTTCATTGTTGATGTTTCTACACATAGTCGTTCTGCTGATAGCCGCGCTACTCTGAAATGCTGTTGGATTGCAGGCTGGTGAGGCAGCAGCTCAAAGAAAGCTGGTGAATGTGACACTTTTTACAGGATTGTCAGAACAACATTCACGCAAAATTTCAAAAATACCATTCCTAGCAATTAACTGATACTTTATTTGCATTAGCCAGCAATCCTCCAAACCGCATTTGCTTCTCCAGCTCCTGAAAGAAACAGGGTGCTTATCAAACCAAAATCAGAATTGCATATCCGCATCCACATGTAATCGATTGAACGTCAACAGATCAAACGCCGCCTCCGCATCCTCTTGTTCAGCTCCAGGGGCTAAAGCAGCACTACATTCTCGCGCTATTTGTTGGACCCGCGATTCATCGATATCCATCACATCCCCCGCGTCCGGTGGCGTCACGGTAAGATCGATAACATCGGGAGATTGAGACGGTTCAAACCCGGGGGTAACAGATTCAGGGCGCGCACGAAACGCTGTCCAGCCATCGGATCTGACAGTATCAAACTGGAACCTTGTTAGTTGAGCTGCAGGTGAGGTATTGGGTATGCAGCTGGCTGGGGTCGGGGCTATCATACATTATCCGGAATATCAATGAAAGACGTCTGAGATTTTCCTAGGCCTTTACGATCCTGGCACCGGCCATAGTAGCCATTGGGATATTCATGTGTACCTTGACCGCCATCACCATCCCGAGGGAAGACTTCTCCGATTGTACGGATCGGTATGTCCCTAGGCGGCATCACGAGCTGGAGCGGCTCAGATTCGAGATATGGGGTGTTCGTACGGACACTAGGATCATCCGCACCACGTTTGATCACTATGGTATTGCCTTCGTATGCCCCAGGGCCCAGTGATGGTACGGGCGGGGGAGCGAAAGGCCTCTCGATCTCGCCCTGGCTGAGAGTTATTGTATTGCCTTCGTATGCACCAAGACTGGTCCTGGAAGTTGGGTAAGGGCGATGGGAGAACGTGTAGAGCGAAGGTACGTCGTTAACTGTGGACGGAGGGTAGACAGGCGCGGAATAAGGCTGTAGCTGCTGCTGGGTGGGCGAATTTGGTTGGAGAATGCGTCTACCCAAAGAGTAGCGGGTCTGCATAGTCTTGACTGTTCTTCCAGGAAAGAGGCCAAGCTTTGTTCCTCTGCGTTAGCGGGTCATTGGTTGAATTTCCTAGTGAGCAGGGAATCTGATGAAAACTAAGGAGGTGTGACATACGTTGGCGAAGTCCCCCCATGATAGATTACGGTAAAGATCTCGATAATATACCAATCTGGCAATCTCGTCCTTTGTCCAAACGGTGGTGTTTCGTGGAGCGTAATTTGTGTTTCTTGGGTAGGTGGAATTTGGTGGACTGTAGACGGGTGGTAGGATCGTGGCGTGTTTGTTGATGGAAGTAGGCGTGGTTGTGTCTGGCATCATGACGCGTTTGATCACGGATTGTGTTTCTGCTGTTTGAAGGTCAGTAAGAACACTGAGAATGACTCAGTTTGACTTCACGTTGTAAATTGGTAGGAAGCCGCGGCCAAGGATACACGGGCTGATGCCAATGAGGTTCACCACGCGAGTTGCCTGGATACCCAAGAGAATCAATTCGATGAAACGAGATGATTTTGTAGTATTATAGAATATTAAAGAACACAAAGGAGACAGGCAGTGTAGAGGTTTAGTGAATGATAAGGTTAAGCGTAAAAGTGCCATAAATGTCTTAATTGTGCATGTAATTGGCTTCTTGAAGCTCAGGAGGTATGGCGAAATCTTTGAATGAACATGATAGGCTCTAGACCGAGAGCAGTGAATAATGACATTAAAAACGCTTTCCTTGACAAATTACGGCCTGCTTTGGCATGGAAACGCTTACGAGAAAGGGTATTATGTACCTATGATCGCACCGTGTTGGAAAGGTCACCTTAGTAACTGAGATACATATTGACAACACCAGACGCGACCATAACATTCAACAAATTCAAATAATGTCTTGTATACTACATTCAAGGTCGATGCCAAACACAGTTTGACTAGCTGGATCCAGAGCCCCCAAAGTCAACTCGCTCTGACAAAGGATGGTTGTTGTTATAATCTGAGGTGTAGCCTTGCTGGTGTTGGACGGCTCGTTTGCGTTTGCAGGGCTGGTGGGCCTGCACGTTTGGAAGAACCACGAGACAAAGCAGATGGAAGAGCAGCAGTATTGGTCGCTCTAACCCAGAAGTATGGATAACACTTTCTGGTGACTTTCTTGCCTGAGTTTTGGACGACAGGCCAAACCCAAAGCCTACTCAACTACGTCACTCTCTCAGGTAAGCTTAGACCAGCGAACAATTCTTTTTTTTTTTTTTTTGTTTTTAGTAAAATACATTCAGATCGGGGGAGCTGGTTCTGACTAGATAAAAAGCCTTGTGGATAATACGTCGCTCAACGGGCGAGGTACTTGACCAAACCGGTTCGCCTGCAGGTAAGCTGACGGTAAATGAAATAACAAATTCAATCTGACGCATGATGAAAAGAAATAAATCGACGAACTTAAACGGAAAGAAGAGTGGTTGTCAAAAGCAATTGTACTCAAACACCATGATAGACGCCTGGCTAGATATCAAAACCAACCAACATAAGACGCCAATTCCCAACCAACACCAAGCGCCATACCCACCTAAGACTCGTCCTTATTCTTGTTCTGGTTATGCTCAACTGCCTCGCTGAAAATACCCGCAGAACCAGTAAGGATCTTTTCGTATGTTGCAATCGTCTTCTCGCGGGCCCTCAAGGTCTCACCCAGCTGCTGGATTTCCTCTGCCTGCATGAGGAGTCGCGCTTCCGGGTCCTTCATATCGGCCGCTTCTTTGAGTGCTTTCTCCGATGACGACAGGATCCTGCCATTCAGCCTTGCAACCTCGTTCTCGAGTTCATGGATACGCTCGTTGCGTGCTTTGAGGTCGTTTTCCAGGCGAGTATTGGTGCGTAGCAATCCCGCTTTGGTGCTGTCCAGCTGCAACTTGGTCATTTGTAGCTCGTGGGCTAACGAGCCGCAGCGCTCACTCACGTCCTGATATTGATTGGAGGTATGAGTGTAATAGGTGTTTTTTAGATATGCGAATTCACGGACCAGACCGTTCAGCATCGTTGTTGCGGCGCGAAAGCCGATAGGCTCACGGATCCCAGCCAGCTGGCGTAGCCAGGGGTGGGGCCCAGGGACCAACGACAGCTGCTGCTGCGGCGAGAACGATGTATCGGGGAGCCAATTGGCGGGCAGATGTGGAAGGGTTGTATTGTTGCTGTAGCCGGGGTTGATGGGCCGCTGAGCTACCTGCGGCTGTTGAGTCGTTCTTGCTCTCGCTCTGGATGTGGGAGGTGCAGCAGTTCCAACTCCCTGTGTCTGCCTGGACGGTCCAGGAGCGCCGGTCATGTTCTGTACAGGCCCGCTGGAGGTTCCAAAGAATGGGGCCCGTGCGCGTAGTTGCGGTGCAGGGGCACATTGCAAAGTACTCCGAGTCTGAGCTCTAGCCTGAGACATGGTAGGACGGGTAGATCCCTGCTGAGCTGGACGGACTGGAAGAGGGTTCACGACTCCCCGGCCCATAGAAGGCTGCGAGGGTGCTGCCTGCTGGGATGCAGCGGCAGAGGCAAGTCTATCCAGCGCAGAGGCAGGCGTGGAGTCCATAGTAGACCCGCTCTGAACACTTCCGACGTTAGGAGCTACACTACACTTGTTCTGCGGAGCGCCCTGTTTGGAATCGCCGCTAGCACCAACAGTCTGTCGAAATACCATTAACCTTAGCATATATTGCAGAACCCAGCGACAGAAAGAAGGGTATGCAATGCTTACCGGTGCCACGTTTGCATTAGAAGCCGCCGAAGCAGCGTCAGTATCATTCTCAGAGCCAGCCTGATCCTTAATCTCCCGGTCAAAATCAGAGTCTGCTTCAGTGCACCCACAATCGGTGAAACATTGCCAGTCTCCAATGGAATCGGTGTCATTTACCTTGTCGCCGACGGGCGTTTCTTCAGACTGGGTCTCATCAGAGTCGCTGCTGGCGGGAGAGCTCTCATTGGTGTTCTCGAAAAAGGCGCCAGTATTGACTTCGCCATCGTTATCAGCATATTGGGCCGCCGGTCCCATACTGGTCCTCTGACTGGAGGGACCCTGGAGATCATCCTCTCCAGGACGCTTGGCCGGGATGGCAGCCCAAGTGCTTCCCTGTGCATTCGCGTTGGCAGTCAGGCCTTGGGACATTCTGGCCCTGCTGTTCATATCTGCCAAACGCACCCTGATGGCAAGGGGAGTGCGTTCAGTGAACGAGCTTTGGTATTTCTATTATTCAGTCGTAGTCGGTAAATCCGGATCCAGCACGCTAGAAAGTAGGGTAACAGAAGACTTACCTTTGAGAATTGGCTTGCCGAGATGTCGGGATCTTGCTGACGGAGGGAAAGAAGGAGATCGTCCTCCTCAGCAGTCCATGGCCTGCGAGGGGTTCGTGGCACGAACGATTTCTTGTCCATGCTGCTGAATAATGGTTTGTTGATAGACGAGAGGATTGGTGGGGGAGTGATCGAGAGAATGAATGAAGAGAATGCTAGTATCTGAGGAATTCAAAAGACTAAATCCCTCTGGATAAGGAGAACGGCACCAGCAGTAATGAGAAAGGCAGAGGAGAGTGACTGGTGTTGTAGAGGTAAACACCAGAACAAGTCGAAGAGAAGCCCTCACAACATCCTAAAATGGATACATGGGCCAACGCGTTCTGACAGCCACGCGTTCAGGCTACTGTTGCTGGGTGACGTGATTTGAAATGAGATCAATATCAAGAGGCTACCATGTAATTATGATCCTTTGTGCGATACAATTGCCTCACAACCTGTTAAGCGAGGGTATACAGGCTCAGCATCACGTGGTAGGATTCACAGGTTCACGAGTGTGCACAGAGAGAGAAACTTACTGTTTGCCTGCAATTGTCCATCACGGTGTTTAGCCTTCTTGCTCCCCTAATTGCAGCTATCAGAGCAGGATCTTATGCCAGATACGCTGCAGTAACCCCCTCTCCCCTCTGTTATTATGGGTGTCAGGGTATCAGGTCGGGCGGACGGTGAAGCCAGAGTCGCTGCATATTTTCCAGTGGATCGATGTCCATCTTTGCCAGGCGTTGCCGGAAAGTAATGAAACAACAGACATATCGTCAGCTCAGTAGGGCTGAAGCAGACTTGGAATGGAGGTTGGGGGTATACTAGAATGAATAACTAAGCCCCTAAACACAATTCAATTCACTAACTGATATGACCATTAGCTAATTGAAAATGCACACAATTTTAGGTTCTATCCAACACCATCTACCCTTTTAAACAGCCGCCCGAACAAACAATGAAGACAGGAGATACAAAGGGGAGGTGGACGTGAGTGGAAGGATGATATCAAGGCGGGCCCGCAGTTCCCGGCGCTGTTTCCCTACTGACGATCCATTGGATACTGGGTGCACTGGTGGCAGTCGATCAAGCATCTCATAGCATAGACGTCCCCAATAGTGAGCTCGCCAGGCCTATGCAGCCGGGTGATGAGCTCCTCGGCTCGGCGGCGGGTAGCAGCAGACGTGGCTTGGTGCCTCTGGGAGATGATCACATGGCGCTGCCAGTGTTTGGCGTCGTCGTCTGATTCCCTCTTGATTCGGCCGAGCACAGGGCCGACTGGCTGGGCATAGAATCTGGCTCGTGCGTCTCCCCGCGGTCCCTGAGGTCGGCGTCTGATGCCTTGGGGTTGAGCAGCAGCTCCAGAGACATGGCGATGGGTAGGGTCAGAAGCCCCTCTTGTACGCTGTCTGGCCCGTAGCTCTCGCCTAGTACGAGCTTCCTCGACCTGCTCTTGGGCCGTTAGCGGGTCTGGGTGCTCAAGGTCGATGACATCCACCATCCCGGTCATTGCATTTATATCATCGGCCACGGCTGGAGCTGGTGCGGTTGGTTGCGCAGTTGTCCCAGACTCGGGCTCTAGCAGGGGGGTTGGCGGGGCAGTGGGCGGCTGCTCTGGTTGGGCTTTGGCCGTTGGACTGGCAGGTGCTAAGGGCTCCCGGCTCGACCTAGCTTCCGAGGCTTCAGGACTCGGGGTAGGAACATTCCTGGCGAATGTTGGGCGGGCTTGAGTTGCGGACCGTTGTGTCCTGCGTGTGCCAGAGGGCCCAGCAGCCGCGTCGCCCCCTGTATTCTGTCGAGCCCTAAGCCCATTCCTGTTACCTTCCATCGCCGCAATAGCGCCGTTCGTAACAACAAGCCTAAGCAGCCTTGGGCTAGTCTGACGCTGCGAGGCTGTCTCCGGTATGGCATCTATTCCGCGCATCTGGGATTCCGTAATTGGGCCCAGAGGATGGCGTTCGCCCAGACCAGGAATGCTGGCACGAGAGCGTGCCCACTCGGCGTGGGGGCCAGGGCCCAGCAGGCTTGGGGTCGACGGGGCATGTGGCTGTGTGGGGTTGAATGGCTTCAGCAAGTTAATACTATAACTTGACGACCCCTTTTAAGGAGACTCACGCGTGGGGTTTGTCCGTTTGCAGGCTCTGCGGGTGGTTCCCGATTTTCTTGGTCTGCCGGGTTGGACCTAGCCTCAGTGGAAACACCATTCTGTGTATTTAGACGGGTTAGCTTAGGGAGCCAAAATAGAGAGTCGGATTTACTTACTCTAACGCCCTGATCTGTTTCAGCTTCCAGGCTTGCACCACCAGGGGCCTCTTCCATCGTGTCGTCGCCATCTGAATCAGCTACCGAGGAATTGTCATGGTAGATAGAAGGACCGTTCGTTTTCGCTACTTCCTTGGCTGTAGCAGGCCGTGATCGAGTCCGGGCGGGCCTTAACTGCCCTACTGACCTCCTGGTTTCTACCATCTTTGTCTTAGGATTAGAGGTACTGCGGAGAAGAGAGCACCGCTGGTAGATTGCAGTGAGGGATCTGTTTGGAAGTAGAGTCTTCTACAGAAAATGTTAGCCCAAGCTGTAATGGCGCTGTATTATCGATAGCTCATATATTGCACTCGACGCACCCCAGCTGGGGTTTTATGGCAATCAAGGCTCCATAAGTGGTACCTGCACTGGGGCATACCTGAATACGGGGGACGCTAAGTGCACGTTCGTTCTTTGCACGAAGCAGAGTCTCGGTCTCCTCTTCGGTCCACAGATCTGGCATTCGGTGGACGAGCTAGAGGATACAAGGCAGGAGGTATCTGGCGTAGTAGCGAGGGCAAGCTATGGAACCACTGGATATATGAATGAAAGGGTTGACCGTCAAGTGACAAATGGAGGGTCTGGGCAAGAGGTACTAGAGAGTAAGAGTATGAAAGGACGACAGAGAATACGGGCAGGAGGAGATGTAGAAGGTAGTTTATATAGCATTGAACGGAGTAGAGAAAAGTCTCTACTCCACGGTGAATAGAAATAGAACTTTCTTAGAGTGAATGAAGACTGTAATCTTAATATGAGGGATTTCTCGGTCAAGGTTCTATTCCTTCTATTTGAAATCCTGAGTTCGATTTTATGAAGTCAGGGACAAGCTTCAGCCTATGCTACATGCGAGGTTCTCCGTATAGTTCGTTTACGTCGAATCGCAACGCCCCCATTGGTCAAGGTTACCATCTTCACAAGCATAATATTCACCAAGGCCCCGAGCTCCACTGTTTGAGTCAGATCTACTTCTGACATTCACCGCATACCGCCAATCCCGCTCCGCTTCCGGCGTTGTATACGGAAAGAATCGGGTATAAAATTGCCTTTTAAGGTTTACTGGGGTCTTCTGGTCACAAGAGGATTATTAACAGATTGCATCCCGGGTTGACCTTCACCCCAGCAGGATGAAGAGAAGGAAGACAGTGAATGAGGGTAAACCGGCTACACAGGGCAAATCGAGTCTGCCCCAACAAAGTATTTCTAGATTCACCGCAGCTAATAAAGTTACGCGTCTCCCAGGAAACTTATAGATTGCAATGCTTCCCAGTAACTTCTACTCCATCTAGATCTACCATGGCCCCGGACGAGCTCGGCTTTCCTTAAGATATACCGATATAATATGCCGAATCGCGAATTAATTATATGTACAAAACGAGTCCTGTTCTGTGCGATGGAGCAACCAGCTGCTTATTAGCCATCAACATGGTGAAGCTGCTTTTGAAGAACTCTATTCATTTCACTTCCAATCCGCACCCGCTCCCTGACCTCAGCCAGCTGCCGCCACAGGCTCTCTCTTCGTGACCTCGCATTGTGGACCCGCTGCTCGGCCGTCTCGATATCATCTCCCGCCTCTGAGATCGCGTAAAGAAGCTCGCGTTCTCTCATCAGGTTCTCCTGGTGCTACTTGCTGGCATTACCGTCCAGGCTCGTGGCCGTCGACAGGCGTTAATCCCCTCCGGCCATCTCCGCTGGCGACTGATAGAGCGGACTGGATCCAGATGTTTCTTGTTGTTCAGTTGGGCTTCGACTTGTATTGGGCGATGACGGCCTTTGTTGGTATATTTTGCACACGAATGATCCTGCTCGGTACGTAAACTTTGACATCCATCAGCAATCAATTTAGGGAGTGGCAGTTGAATATTGATTTGCAGGTATATGCTCTTACCGGATATGAGTCTCCCTTGTCTGGGCCCGGTATGACCCTGCCTTGGCTCTTCTGCAGCTGAGTGAGACCGGGCCTCCTGGGTTCGGGGATCACAACTCTCACATCTGGATTTCCGCAGTCTCCCACTTCGGTATCTCGATCCTCCCTGTCCTGCATTGCAGACTCGGAATGCGACTGCGACTCCGACTCCAAGTCTGAGTCTCCAGACGCCGCACCTTCTCCCATGTCCCCTAGCGTCTTGGTTGCTTCGCTGCCACGAGTTCTCGCCACCCGCCGAGCCGAACCACAGTCCGTCTGGGATATTCTTTTGGCCTTTAATAGTCTCATATGCTGTATCATCAGAGCCGCGATGGTCTTCCCAGGAAATTGGTCTGGGAGCTCTAGCCCTATGTTCCAGTTACCAAATACCGGATTAGCTAACTGCTTATGAAGGATTACGCCAGCTCGGCCAGCCAGCTCAGCTAGGCCTGCAAACAGATAGAACATTGTCCATACCGTCAGATGCTGCCGAAGTTCACCACGCCGAGGGAATTCCTCTCCCAGTTCTAGGAGTAAGCGGTTCTCCGTCTCGGTCCACTTCCTTGGTCTACCTGGTGTTCGACGTTCGCCAGGCATCTGGCTCCAGGTAGTTAGATCCCGCAACGATGACTGTCGATCAGACTCACGGTTTTCGCGTTGGACTACAGACATCCAGCCACGCGACTGGTTTCTGAACGCACTCAGCGATGCCTCCAAGGGGAGAACTCAACGCTGCAGACGAAACTTTTGCAGCGACTCGCTCTGTGAGAACGGTGTCCAGGTCAACGAATCCTTATACAAAGTACCGTGGCAGCCAATCAAATACCCACCTTGGCACACCGGTTCGCCGAGAAGACTAACTACATAGAAGCTAGTTCCAGGGACCGGCCCTCCCGTCGCCCCATTCCGGACTAGATCAGCGGGGCCGCGCGGGTTCGGGATCCGCGCCCCGGCGACTGGTGGATGGAGGCTCAACAAGATCATCACCGTTTCCTGGTTCCAGGTCATGCTGGTTTGAGATGTACAGAGAAGCTGAGATACCGGCCTAGGAAATCACCACCGAGGAGTACTTCATAGCATCTTATTGCCTTATCATTGTATCATAGCGGCTCCCGCATCTTGCTATCCGGAAGAGTCAAACACCCAAACAGGAGCACGGAAATGAGGGAGTGCGCCGGGGCGCCTGACATCAAAACCCTTTTGGTCTAGTGTTGACGGTGCAGAAATTCCGCCTCCTTTCTTTCGTCACGCCAGTCATTTCTTGGTTGATGGAGATCTTAATTAACTTTGATAACCGCGCGGGTGCAAGGCCTCTTGGGTCTTCAGGCAAGATCAGGATGATCTTCGCTCACAGTTCATTTGCGAGGCTGAAATAAATTTCCAGAAGTTTTACAACGATGCGAGCCACGGGTTACTCAACATTATTAGTGGGAAGCGGAATTTCTGTGTTTTGCGGTGTTTACTGTTAGCTGCGGTTTTGAACTGCCGATACGAAAATATAGTTTTGCTCTCCCGGGCCTGAGGCATCAGCAAATGAACTCCTTCAATGGCCTTGGGTCAACACCTTAGTTTTACCAGATAGATTGCACAATAGATAGTCTTGAAAAGCCAAAATGATCTAGAGATGTTGAAACCCCAAAAGTCTGTAGTCGTTGTGAGGATACTCATCGATCCCGGTTCACTGGTTCCTCGTTGCTGCACCAGAGAGGCGAATCCTACTTTCATGTTGACGTACTAGTTTGGATATAAAAATCTGCTCTTAGATCTGGGAGAGCCCTTTACTGACACCCAGTATAGACTCTGAATTTGGTAAGGTTTTCGTCCGCCTCCTACCAGCTATGAATATTTAGGCTCGTCACCCAATGGCCCGGCTGTTGCCTTAGACGCTGCGGGCTTATATTCATGGCTGAAGCGGTCAATATCGAGCCCTGACTCACTGCATATACTATAAAGGCCATTTCATTCACTCGGGCTAGAGTGCTGTAGTGAATTCTTACCACAGTTGCTTCAGGCGGCCAGACGCAAATATTGACCAAAGTGTAACCCCTGATACGTTCGAACCATGTATACCATTGTGGTAAGACTGAGAAGAGGCGCTGTCTCCTTGATTCACCGGTTACAGCATATGCGTTTTCGCATTATCATCGGTGTAGTATTGGATAGGAAATATAAGGAACACGGTTAATAAATGGCCGGGTTTATTAGGCGATACTTACTATTGGTTACATACACTGCTTATTCTACGCTCCCGTAACTGCATCTCCATCACCATGATAACTCTATTGATGAATACCTCTTCATTCACCTGTTGTCACAGTTTCTCGAAAAATTGCTAGATCGTTCAGCGCAATCCAAAGAAGCATATATATCCCTCATACTGCAGCTCAATCTTGACTTGATTACCAACCTCTCCAGCTTGTCGTCTCAGATCTCACCTTCTGCCTACAATCTATTACAACAGTTCATCTTATTTTTAACCATCCAAAACTTGACAATGCGTGTTAACACTGTCATATCCTCGATTGCCATGCTGACCACTGCCGTCTCCGGCGTACGTACCCCATAAAAAAACCAAACATGTCGTCCTTATCCGCTGACCTGGCTATATCGAACAGCACTCTGTCAACTGCTGGGGTAAAGCCCTGCACCCTGACTTTCATACCTTGAGGCAGGCACTTGGCGCGGTTGAAAACGGACCAGATAGTGCAAAGGCTGACGCCAACTCGTGTACCAAGGTATTCTGCGGGAGAGATATGAGCATTCGGTACTGTAACGAGGTATGTTGAATATGCCCGATTTCTTATAACGTCGCATACTGCAATAGAAGCGGCCTACCAACCTGGATTTGTTATAATATAGGGTGACAAGACTCGCACCATGCCTATGCAAAATATCATGGACAGCGTCAAAGTGATTGCTCACGACTGCAAGACTGAGTATGACGGCGAGACTGTTGCTGGTGGTGTCGTCGACCACCCTGACCACTGGTCCGTGGTTGTGCAAACTGAGGACGATGACTGCGGTTACTATGGTTGGGACGAGTATCCACTGGCTGATCTGTAAGGGGGTGTCTATGCTGAGCAGAGACCCCTATGGCCTTATTGCTGTCGTGAGACAGCTTCCGAGGTAGAGGGGTTATATATTCAACGTATTATCGTCCTATCTACCTCCACCTGCTATATGTGTGTTTTTTAGCAGGCCACTTTGTCTGTGTCATTTATGCTACTGAGGTCGGCTCAACGTCGCTTCCTATGTCAATTATACCCCTCTGGTCAGGAATATGAATGCCTCCATTACTTACGATGCACTGTAAACGATATAACTGTAAGCCGTCCATCCACCGACTACGTAAAGCAGTAAGCTAAAGCAATCACTGCCTCGTCCTAAGCCCCCACATATCAAGAACCTTTAGATTCTCAAACTCACTCATCGTCTTGCACACCCCCGTTATGCGTTGGATATCCTCCTCCGTCTTCCTCTTTAGCTCCTGCATACCTCGCTCTAATTCCCGATTCTCTTCCCGTAGACGATCTCGCTCAGCTGTGATACTGTCAAAAGAGGACAGACGAGCTTCGAACTCTCTTCTTAGCTGGGTATTTTCCGCCTTCATTCTCTCCATATTAGCCACGTGCTGCCTCTCGGTTGCTTCTGACCATAGCGCTAGAAAGCTGCGCGCTTCGTTGAAGTAGTACTCCGCTGGAGTTGGTCGTGGGAATGTACTAGGTGACGCGTATACTGGCCCCTCATGTTCCTGGCTAGGCCTTTGGTGGACCTGCTCTGAAATTGTGCTTGATGGCTCCCGAACTGTGTTCCAAGCCACGGAGGCCGGATCGCGAAATTGCTGGACTAAAGCCGCAGAGTGAGGCGTTGACTCTGGGGAGGGTGGGATTGTATGAACCGCCGACCGTGCCCGCGACGCATGTACTTGATTGTATTTAAGTTTAGAATCGGTAGGCGTCAACCGAGGGGAGAAATCCGCAGCTGGAGGCTCTGGTGTTGCTGTTGTGCTCGGAAGAACAGGCCTCGGCGGCCTTCTCAGTCTATGGCTAGGGTGTCCGGGCTGGTCAGTAGTGGAGGGCTGGATTGCGGGTTGGATTGTTGCAGATGTCATTTCTCGTGCCCTCTGTAATCTATCATCTATTGATGCGTCTGGCGCCTGGGGAGGTGTGCGACTTCTATCCTGTAATCCGTCGCTCTACCGAACCGCACCTTTAGCAAGTAAATCCAGCCCAGGCAGTGCTTGAATCAACATACCTCTGGCGTTTCACTACGAGACGAATTTCGTCTCTCCTCTTCATCGTCATGGTCAGTTTCGTAGTCATCATCGTCCGAATCATCGAACACGATGGGATAGTTCAGTTGGCGAGGCTTTGCACGCCGGTGCCGAGTCGCAGCCGTGGTACGTCTCGCACGGAAACTGGGCCTTGGTGCATGGCTCCGACTGCGAGCTCTGATGGGTTTCTTGCGTCCCTTGTGTAATCGGAAATGCTGGATCTGGAGTGCCGGGAGGGTTCGGTCTGGGAAGAGGTTTAACTAGTCGGGTGCGGTGTGTCAGTTATATGGGATTGGAATATGTATAGAGTGCAAACAATATTTCTGTGATATCATGGAGGCGTACCTCGTGGAACTTCTCCCAACTGAGACTTTTATGTTCCTCTCTCAGGCGCAACAGTCGGCGGTTCTCTTCGCGGCTCCACGCATAGCGGGCTTTTCTGTGTTGGCGCTCTAGAGGCATAGCCAGGATAACCGTTGATTCGAGGTACTATGATATTCGATATGGCTGACAGCTTTGATAGAAATAAGAAGTTGCTTCGAAGGTAGGCGATCTCTCCAGTGGGAGACGAGGAACTATCTCCTCTCCCTCGTCCTTTTCCAGCCCCCAGTTCCTCGAAGTGGCAGCCTGGATTTACTGTGGCTTTGCTTGCAGGGGTACAGGGGACTACAGCACATCGCTGGTCAACCTTGTGAAAGTCGGAGATCAAAGATACCGACAATACCCTGGTGACGACGAGGCTGCTCCATAATACGGTCACTTTCATATTTTACGCTCAAGATACCGAAAATAAGATTAAAATAGCGCCGGCAAGCGCGGATAGAAGTGGAGCACCGGAAATAAAATAAAAATAAACAAAAAGGAACGAGGCAGGGATCGCCGGTGTGGTAAGTAAAAGAGTATTTTATGGCGAATTTCAGTCGTTTGATACAATCTCTTTAGGTATTGTAAGATATGGCAAGGCTGATCTCGAGGAGATTGACTTTTAGTTTTATTATAATATCATAGCGCTATAATATACACCATCGGGGCTGTATTTTTGGTGGTTGGGACTGACTCTGGACATGCACTTGGCCCCTAATCTATGGGTGTAGGCGCCGACATTCAGCTGGCTGCTGGCGAATTGCCCCTGCATTGTGATGCCAGAGATTGATTTGTGTGAATATACAGCTTGCCAGGTGGTAATTTATTTTTAATAACTACTAGTTATTACTACGCATCACACCTAGCTCAGCGGGCCACACTTCAAGAAACTGTTGCATATGCCAGAACCAGGTTGTCTTGGCGAGGCTTCTCGATAACCAAAATATTCTTCTGGTGGAAATCCGAATGCGTTAACGTAGGCCGGTGTCCCCGAAGCACCTGAAAGAAGTATTTCTCATAAAAGCTGGCTTTAAAGTCCGGCCGGTCACACCGCTCAAGGGAGACTCTGAAGTTCTGCAACATGCCTGCAATAAAGGCGTCCTCGCCATAGTACGGGCCCAGAAATCTAAAGTCCCTTTTCTTCTGACTGTAGAACAACCAGTGGTGCACTCTCCCGGCATCCAAACCGCCATAAAACTCCGGCCAGAGACATTCAGCCTCCCGCATAGCATGAAATGCCGGGATTAGTTTGGCCGTAATGCCGTTTCTCTCGGAGTCGGTCAATGCTTTCCAAATAGAGTCGAGTGGGACGCCCGGGATACGCTGGATTATCAGGTAGGTCATACCGTCTTCCTCGAACATTGCGTAGAGTCGGGGGGCTGGTACTTTGGGGGCGAATCGTTCTAGGTACATCAGGTTCTGGCCTTCTGTGGCGTCTAGCCCGCCGTCATACTTGACGATAACACCATCGTTTAACGCAACGACTGTGCGTGTTCCATCCCATAAAATATTGGTGCATGCCCGGATTTCGGCAGCGGTGGGTATAGCAGATAGAGGGAGGGAGTCACTCTTGTAGGGGAGAGAAACTGGTTTCCACATGATGAAAAGAGAAGAGGGACTGCAGGGAAAGGGAGGCGAGGGAAGGAGAGAGATGGGGGAAATTGCAGTGTTGGCCCCCTATCTGCGTGTGCAGAGGTCAACGTTCAGCTGCTAGGCGAATGGCCTCTACGTCTGCAGCACCACTGCTTTGCTGAGATATGGTTGATTACCACGGAGTGTCCATTAATTATCGTAGTTATCTACCAAGTAAAAATGAAATTTTCCCCTGCATTCCCCGAATTATGCAACTGCTTATTCTGTCAATGAATGCCTCACTTTCTCCAGTCTCCGCCTATCTGCCGTCCCCTGAGCCACAAGATCTGCAACTCGCTTCTCCAACGCAGCAACATGCTGACTCCCCGCCGATTCCAAGCTGTATATCTGCTTCTTCTGCCTACTCAGCTGCTTCTCTAGCTCCTTGACTCGCCGCCTCAACTCAGCAATATCCATCTCTCTTTGGATATTCTTTAATTTCTGCCTTTGCGAGCGCCGGGCTATCATATAAAAGTCCACTTGATCGTCGCTGAGGTTATCTAGTAGCTCCACGGTAGAGGGCGGGATTGAGTCGTCGTTGGGGATTATCTCTGCTTTCTTGGGCGTTGTATCTTTTTGTGTACTAGCCCTATCGTCTCCTGATGAGGTGGAGGCCGATGTTTGCTGGGGTTTAGCTGGCCCGTGAACCCATAGAGAGTCCGGCTCTGGAAGCTCCGAGTCTGTCGTGGACGAGGTATCATCACTTTCCTCGTCGGTGGATTCTCCGCCTTCTGCTATATTTGTAGAATCAGTTTGCTGTGGGTTCTGTGCTGGTGCTGATGCTGGTAGTGGTGCCCGAGGGACTGGGTTGTTATTGGGACTCGTCCCAGCCATGGTAACGTCGCTTTGGACTGGGATATGAGGGGTTTGCTCTATAAATCTAGTCGTGGTATGAGGATACGGCGCAGTCTGTCCGGTAGTTGGCACAACTGGTCTGTATGATCCAGACGAGAAGGAAGGCTGGAACGGGGGAATCCCCGGAGCAGTGGGCTGCTGGAACGCATATCGTGGTGGGACGGTTGTAGCAGATTGTGGCGCTGTGTACTGGGGGTACTGTGGGTTATTCTGCTGGGAGAATTATGCTAGTCAGTATAGACTACTAATATAATGAGATGTCGCTCACAGGAAGTATCTGGCCGATTTGGATGGGCGATGAAACATCACAGTCCATGCCTCCATCATGTTGGCGTCCCAACCTGGGCTGTTTGGACGGATTTGGCTGGGCCATTGTCTCTGTCGTAGGGACTGGGCGCTTAGGCAGTTTAAGGGTGACGACAAGGCTTTTAAGCGTGCCTTCGCCTTTGCCCTTTTCCCGGTTCTTCAGGGTCTGTCCGCAGTAAGTATGCTATATTTCAATATTCTATCCACCTACACTGAATCGCTGTTCCAATGCCTTCTCAGATCGATTGGGGAAATGCTCTTGATTTCTCTAGGATGACAGTGAGTTAGAGATGGCTTAAAGTACGACAAGGATGCATTCAACGTACCCTGCAGAACTCACGAGCTGGGATTTCGCTGGCTGCCTCTCTGAGCTTCAACAGTGTCTTATCTTCTTCCTCGGTCCATTTAGACCATTTTTGGCCTGCACGACTGGGTCGCCCATTCTGCGCTGCAGGCATTCTTAAGTATTAAACTCAGGAGCGTTTCTGTGGTGGCAGACTCGGTGGGCAGCCATGTTCTATAGCACCGACTTAAAGACAAAACCTGCAGTCGTTTAATACACCCGCTAATCCTGCTCAATATCCTCTTGTAATTTTGCCTGTCCTCTCTCGCCTTTATTTTATTTTATTTTATTTTATTTTTTATTTGTATTTTCCCCCCGGGGGTCTGCTTCCAGCTACTGCAAGGATTCTGTAATATTCGGCGCACGCCAGAATTTCCCGGGAACATACAATAATACAACCACTCACACTCCGAGGCAGTAATAAAGCTCGAACAAAATTACAGGTCGAATCTCAACCCCGGCGCTAACATCACAAGTCCGGGGCTGAACTTGCCGATCAACACCATCGCAAGCCCCAAACTTTCCAAAATTACAACGCAGGGGTAGAATTTGTTTGGCCAGCAGCCAAGGCACTCTCTTGTATTGGCCAACCACGTTCTGATATGCAGGGGCTGTCTGTTGGGTCAGTGGGCGCCTGGAACCGGAACTCGAGAAACGCTCGAGCATTGATTGCGGCACAGTCGCTCTGCAGGTCGGTTATGTGGAGGACCCCAAGCACGAACAGAACTGGAGATATCAGCCAATCAACAAGACAAAATTCGCTGTTCTTTCCATCATTGCCCGGGCGAACTGGGTGGGCCTGTTCAAGAGAAAGAACTGCCGCCACTGAGTGGATATGGATATTGTCTCTGTGCCGTCCCTTTGACAAGATTGACAACATCATTTTCCTATCCTTTTTTCTCTGTCTTTCAATAAACCCGCTGTCTTGCTGTATTTTATTTATTTTACTAGTCTCCCTTTTCTTTTCCTTTTCCTGTCCCCATCTCGGTTTAAATACAAGTGCAGCCATAATCCGCGTGATCGTAAAATACAACAAAATGATAAGTATAAAATAAAATAAAATAAAATAGTTAAATCCAGATAAAGATAACGCACGTGCTGTAAGATTGGTATCTTCCTGTTTCTGGAGGAAAATACCAGCAGCCTGGAATATGCCATCCCCAAAATCATGGAACATGACTGCGCACCACAAAATTACATGATTTGGAAGGGTTTGAGGCATCCCCACCACGGTCCTGAAAGCAAAGTTGGCTGGTAGCTACGAGGGCAAGAAACTGGACTATCCAAGCAAGTCTTTACTCTCAAGGCAGGGCGGGGAACTAGATGATTCCCAGGCGCCTCCCCTCGCACCCATTAAGTAGGGCACTAGTATTCCTGCCTGAGGCATTGCTCATATGCTAAGGCAATTAAATATCCTAAGGCATCTGATCATCCATGTTCTCAATACACCCAGACGACGATACTACTCCGTAGCTGTTAATGCTCTCTATTTGATTGTAGGATATGTACTGTTTCTGGAAGATGAGGCGTATTTTGATCGCTTTAGAGAACTTTCCAGTCTGACCTTTCAGTCCCAACTGTCCCGGCTTCTGGGCGAGATCTTAGGGCTTGTCGCTTGGATTGTCAACCCTAAATTGCATATTTGTACATTGGGTGCGTTGTTTTAGTGGCTTTCCATTATTTTATGCATCCTTTGCATATTTCTCGAGTGGTTCATTTGCATTCAACTTGCTCGGTAAAATATATACCGAGGTCAGCTATATGATTAAAGGGTTAAGGATAGTTTCACCGGTAGTCCACCAATCATGGCTTGTACCTCTGGCCGACGGAGCTGATGAACCAGAATCTGAGTATATAATCCCCGCTTTGAGACATTCCCCGCGTGGGGAAATCTCCGATTGCAATTCTGGAGGAATGGAGATGGACTGGCTCGGTATTGGAGGATTCAGCACCGAGCTGCTTGGCTTGGAGATCACTTTAAATGCCAAAGCCGCGCGCCCCTATAATAAGAATACCTAATATTCGAGGTGTTGTGCACGAGAAGCTGACGCACCATGCTCATACCGTCGAGGCTAAACGCCCTGGCCATCCTGGCTGGGATAGGCTACTCAACAGCACTCACAACGACTGAGAGCTCAACCCACTTCACACTCGCCAATGACCACCTCACCGTCGCCTTCTCCAAATCAAGCGGCCATATTGAGGATGTTCTTCTCGACGGACAAGACCTGCTCGGTCCCGTCGACGGTAACACAGGCAAAGGCCCATACCTGGACTGTTCCTGCACGCCCGATGGGTTCTGGACACCAGGCGAAACAGCAGATCTCGAGCTCGTGAATGGCACAGACTCAACAGGGACACCCTACGCAGGGGTTATAATGACAGACAGATACGCGTCAACCAACCAAACACTCTCGCAGTATCTTTTCCTACGCGGATCCGAGACAGGCCTGCACGCCTTCTCGCGGGTAACGTATTTCAACCAGAGTACACCCTTCCTACGAGATCTCGGGGAGCTACGAACCCTCTTCAGACCGAATACAGACCTATGGACGCACTTCTCAACCAGCGAGGGTAATCACGGTCCATTGCCACTATCCACCAGCGAAGGCCTGACAGTCCAGGACGCGACAACATACTACGGAAACAACACAGACGACCCCTACGTCTCCGAATACTCCGACTACTTCACCAAATACACACTAGCCGAGAGCTGGCGAGACCACGACGTACACGGGCAGTTCAGCGACGGGTCGACCAGTGCTGACGGGAGTACGTTCGGCGCTTGGCTGGTGCATAATACGCGGGAGACATACTACGGCGGCCCCCTGCATTCTGACCTCGTGGTTGATGGGATCGTGTATAATTACATTGTCTCGGGGCACCAGGGGGCTCCGATGCCGAATCTTACCCATGGCTTTGATAGGACGTTTGGGCCGCAGTTCTATTACTTTAATAAAGGTGGGCCGGATACGACATTGGCGGAATTGAGGGAGGATGCTGCGCAGTTTGCGGATCCGAAGTGGAATGCGGAGTTCTATGATAGTATTGCGAGCCATATTCCGAATTTCGTTCCGGGGGCTGGTCGCACGGAATTTAGGGGGAGGGTTAATCTGCCAAAGGGCGCGAAAAGGGCTATTATTGTTCTCTCGGAGAATGGGAGGGACTTCCAATTGAATGTCTTTGATAACAAGGCTCTGCAGTACTGGGCTGAGATTGAGGATTCGGGCGCCTTTACGATTCCGCGGGTTGTGCAGGGGACGTATAGAGTTACGGTCTATGCAGATGGCATTTTTGGATGGTTTATTCAAGACGACGTCAGGATTGACTCTAAAGGGCATACCTTTACCTGGAGAGGGGACAGCGCTGGCAAGGAGATCTGGCGCATTGGAGTCCCAGACAAGTCATCAGGCGAGTACCTACACGGCTACGCACCGGATCTATCCAAGCCACTCCAGCCAGAGCAATACCGCATCTACTGGGGAAAATACGACTACGTTGCAGATTTCCCGGATGGTATTAATTTCCATGTCGGAAAAAGCGACCCCGCAAAGGATCTGAATTATATACACTGGTCGTTCTTCCCATCGCAGGGGAACCAGTTCCGATCAGAGCCGTACTACGAGAATGTCAATAACTGGACCATCACGTTTGATTTAACCAAGCAGCAGCTGAGGAATACCAAGACAGCTACCTTTACTGTGCAGCTTGCAGGATCGAGAAACGCAAACGGGAATGCGAAATGGACGCCGGTGGAGACCGGGTTCAACGACTTGCCCTGGACGGTCAATGTCAACGGGGAGTATGAGGACACCTGGGTGATTCCGTACTGGCGCAGTGGATCGTGCGGTGTTCGCAGTGCAGTTACGTGTCAGAATAGCGAGCACAAGTTTGTCTTTCCTGTGGATAAGCTGCGGAAAGGGAGCAATCGGTTTGTGCTGAGTTTGCCGTTTAATGCGACCAGTCCGGAGACGGCGCTACTGCCGGACTCGCTTTATGTACAGTATGATGCGCTGAGACTCGAGGTACAGTGAGTCTTGCAGTGGTACTCCGTTGATTGGACATATTGATGTCACTATCAATGCCGGTATAGCAAACAAACTGGTCACAGGATGACACTTGCTAGCCCTAATTGAAATCACCACGTCATTCAGTCAGCATGATACGACACGATCAGAGGCCTAAGCGGATATTGCGCTTTTGGAATTTGCGTAGCCAGTCGTAGATTCAATTTGGATAAATCGAATTATTTAATATACCCCCCTCTTCCTCAGCTCCAATTCCACATCTGCCCTCACAACCACCACACACAATGGCATCCATTCCCACCACCACCACTATGCCAGTAAACCTCTCCCAATACCCCAAACTCACCCGCAAACAAGCCGGCCACCTCCGGCACTTCCACAACCTCAGCAGCGCCCCCGACGGCGACTGGCCACACATGGGCAGCGAGGAGCCTGCCCAGGAGTTCCGAGACGCATACCGGTACCAGCTAGCGACAATGGCTTACGCCTCTGCACTAACGCACTACCACCGCCTTCCCGCCATGAGGAGTCTCTTCAAGACCTTACTCCACCGCCTCATCACCAAGATGCTCCGCCGCGAGGTCTGGGGGTACTGGTATCTGACCTCGCAGTCGGGGGTGAAGCTAGATCCGGATCTGAAGGAGCTGCGCAAACCGTGGGCGGACCCTGTTGCGAGGGAGAATATAATGTATAGCGGGCATTTGCTGCTCATGACGAGTTTGTATGCGATGTTGTTTGATGATGGGGAGTTTGAGAGGGCGGGCAGTCTGACGTTCCACTGGAATCCGTTGTGCTGGGGTATGAGCGAGGAGGGGGAGAGGTTTGAGTACGATAATCGCAGTTTGCAGGCGGCTATTGTGGAGGATATGGAGAGGAATGGGTGGATTGGGTCGTGCTGTGTGCCGAATCTTGTTTTCGTTGTCTGCAATCAGTTTCCGGTATGTCCGTTTCTCCTAACTTCTCGCAGTTGGTCTCAACGATAATCATTGCTGCAGATTATTGCGATGCGTCTGAATGATGTCCGAGACGGTACGAGTGTCGGCAAAACGGTTCTAGAGAAATACAAAGACGCTCTCGAGAAGAGAGACATGGTCTCTAGCGACGACCTGTACAAGGAGTGGTTCGTGTTGAAACAGAGACACACCAGGCCAGCGGCAGGAATTGCACTCACTGCATGGTACGTCTATTGATGTCGATGAATTTGGCAAATCTAATGGCCCAGGACTGCTGCATTCATGAACACCTGGAACTCCGAGACCGTTCGCTCCGGCTTCGATATCCATGTTAAAGGGTTCGTCACTAAGATCAACGGTGAGGTGGAGCTGCACCATCCTTTGATTGCATTTGCCTATCGAGAGGCCATGGCCAAGGCGGACGTAGCCCAGGACTCTGCTCAGATACGCCAGGCTGCGCGGGAGTACTACAAAGAACATAAGACAGATATTGACTTCCCTTACTGTGAACGGATGTTTGGATACGTCGTGAAATGGCTTTCGGAGCTGGGAAAGAGCACTGAATTGGACGGGCTGCTTTCGTATGCTGATACAAATCTTCAGCCGACATGGGAGAATGGAGGACTCTACTACCCACGCAATAATAACGCCACAGATGATGAGGGGCGCTGGACTTACATGGACCCATTCACCGGTAATGCGGCGATTGGATACGCACGACTGAATGTGGAAGATGGGATGAAGAAGATTTATGACGATCCCTGGACCCGTGAGACTCTGCAAAGCCGTCCGTATATAGATGGTCTTGATCTATCAGATGGCGTTGACTGTTTGAGAGGCCTGTGGGATTCTGAGCAGGGTGCTGTCATTGTGACTCTCTACGAATGGGCTGGACTGGGTGCCGGTGTTTCCTTTTCGGTGGAGAATCTGCCGGCTGGTAGCTGGTCGGTTTATACATCGGAGGGAGACTGCACAAAGTATGAGCTTGCAAAAGGCGGACGGATTATCGTGAATGCGACGGTTGGGGTAAAGGAGGAGGTTGATTTCGTGGTACTCCTGGACAAAGAAGTTGCGTAGAGCAGGCCTGACCAAGACAGGTTTAATACTCCGTTTGGTAGAAGTTGGGATTAATCATTCCCCTGTTGGACAGTTCCTGGGTGGATTGATGTATTTATCGGAACTTCCTTTGGTATTTTGAGCTTATAATTGTATTCAATGCAATCCAGATTCCCTATAAACTTGGGCTACTGTACGTCGTACGAAATATCCAGTAAGACTAGTGGCTGGTTTATTATATCCTCTATCACAACACTATATAGACTTTGTGCTAGTGCTGAAGGTAATGCCGGAGGGTAACGGAAGTATATTCGAAGCGACTTAGAACTAACATATACAGATATACTTCGCCATGCATTGACAAACATACCTTTCTCTATACACCTTAGATAGAACTCCCGGTTCCCTTCCTTCCAACACCCACTGGTAGATATCTATGGTAACCGATTCATAGCAATAATCCCCCCAACCAACGGAAAAATGCTTCTCACAAGATGCATCCAGCTCCACTTGATAACCAACCGCCTAGCATCCTCCATTTCAATAGCTCCCGCACCCTGACTCCCATGTACCAGATTCGTGATCACTTTGTTGGTAGGCAGTAAGAACAGCCACGTAAACGGGGATATGGACATTGTTAGCAGGCCAGCCCAAGCAAAGGCAGCCCAGGACTTATTCGCTCCTCTTCGACGTAACGCGCAGCAGCCGTAGAGTGTAGACGTCAAGGCAGCTATCGTGGGATGGAGACGGTGGCCGTAGTGGAACATGCACGTCCACAGGTGCAAGAGATGGGAGGGCTCTGCTGCTGTTTCGAGTGCAACGGGGATTGATATTAGAGAGATCGTCATCATGGAACCTGTACATTCTCAGTACTTTAATCCATTGCAGTGGCTCGGGTCTGTATACCGGATAGGAATGACCCGGATAGTACGGCGGTCCCCTCTAGAGCTTTTGTGAATCGTGCAGATGCCATGATGCTGTACTGAATCTATTGCTGCGTCTTAGCGGATTCGATGAGTCCCTTGTTACTCAATCGAGTTATATTATCTGTGATGAAGCTCCGGCGGTGAAGATATGGCATGGTGGTGAAAGCAGGTGGTTTCCCAGAAATTCCCCGAAGTCGATCGGTGACTTTTTTGTAAATCCTATTTAGATACATATAATATACTTTACTTATTTTCAGCACTTGCGCATTGAACTGGCCACCGATAGGTCGACGAAAATTGTCTTTGTTAAATATGTTGACTACATATCTCGGCTACGCGGTAGGGCAAATGTAAACGAGATGCTGCAGAGCGACTAGTTGAAGCAAAATATGACTGGGTCTATTTGCAAATATAGAAGTTTGTCTCTAATCACAATCGGTTTCAGTAAGATAGGTGGTGTAAAAATACAAGATAGTCCGCCTCTACCCTAAACGACAGAACTACCGAAGCTGAGTGAAATGCTTTACGTTTCGGATCCCCCGGCTTTTAACCACAATGACGACTGTCTAGAGGTATATATAGCTATCTAATAGCTTCAGATCCTTCCTATTTAGGTCATTGGATCTAATATCCGGATTGAATATATCGATTCGACGTAGCGAGGTGCTGGATATCAGTATTGTGAGCTACGCAGCGTCTAATGGAGGATTACTCAGCAGGAATCGAATCGCTATCGAAGCTAGATTGAATTGAGGCTTGATCCTCTAAAGAATGACTATCTGGAGGTTTATATAGCTTTCTAATGGCTTCAGGTCCTTCCTCTTTAGGATATTGCACCTGGTTTCTCTATCCATTTGATACAGCAAGTTGACGTAGCAATTTGATAGAGCAATTCGATGAAGCGAGGTGCTGGATCTTGGCATGACTAAGCGTGGATCCGACCACCACGGGTTGACAGTGGTGCTGGGTCACGCGACGCATGACCAATAGGGGCACACGTTGCATTTGAGCGCGACTCATCATTGGTCAAACGTCACGTGACTCTGAGAAGCCACGCACCAAAACTTATGGTGCACGCCTCCGTACATGAAAAGGAAACGAACATTGGAATAATAGTTGATGCCTCACCCGAGGTGCTACAGTATGAATGCTTAGCCTCCAAACTAATGCTGTTGGGGGACTTGCCACAATGTGGAGAATAACCATGGAAGGGGAATCCAATATTTTGGCAATCACCATCTTTTCCCCACTGAAGTCCTTATTAACCCCATCCCTCCCACATATGCGCATCCCAAAAGTTGGATTCCCAAAGATTCTTCTTCCCAAAACATGAACCCGCTAGCAACTCAACAGACAGAGCTCAGAAGCATGCGAGGCATGAAAGGATTGCATGGGAACGAGAAAAGTGGGTTCGGCAGGATTCCGCCCTTGAGAGGCCGAGAGGACTGGCGCAAATGGTACACATTCATTCGAGTTTCGGCAATGGCAGAGGGCGTATGGGAGTATCTCACCCCTGAAGGCGAACGTGGCCCAAAGCCCGACGACGACCCAGTGCTTTCGCCGGAGGAGGCGTTCAGCGATATAGGCTCGCGCTTGAGTGAAATGAATGACGGCACCCTCGGGAAGGTCCAATGTCGGTTGTGCGCTATACGTGAAGACTCTACTGACTCTTGGTTCGACGAATGCTCCGGCATATCTGGCAATTTCTGTGACCGGTACCATAGGAAGGTGGTTATGCCGGAAGAGGTGGCCCGCGATCTATACGGGGAAGGCTCAGTGACTTTGAAGAGAATGGGCAGCTGGGAGCGGTGGTATGCCGCCATCAAACAGGCTGCCAAATGGAAGCGTGTGTGGGAATATATTGATCTCGACGTCGAGGACGACAAGCTCCCAGTACCCCCGCCTCGTGTTCATCCGGGCTTGAAGCCTGCAGTTGAGAAGATACAGGACCTTCTTGAGGCAGAAGGAAAATTCTCGGAAGATGACTGGGTGCGCTTCCTGGCGATCGAAATGGTGATTGACCTTGATCTGCAACGAAGGTGGGAGTTTGACACTGGAAAGGGATATATTGCATGGGCTATTCTTTCGACGGTGGATGAACCGTTTATCTGCTCGCTTTACCACGAGACAGACCCCCGGAAAATGCTGCGCATTCTCAAGGAGCGGGTTGAACCAGCGTTACCTGAAGGATACGAGAAGGTGGGGAGGCAGGGAAATCGGCGGAATAGACGGAATAGATGACGATGAGTGCAGTGAAGGTCCGACTGGATGGCCTTCTGTATCCTGTCCTGCTACAAATTTTGTATTTTGTGATGTGAATATATGAAATTGACGAAAGAAGCGTGGTCAATGCAACTCTTATGTCCCGTTGGCCTTGGTCTGTAACCAGGAGTATTTTTGTAGCTTTGCTCTCTGGCATCTCCGTATTAGGGTTACCATGAAGGACAGTTGTAGAAGCAGCGGAGAAGGCAGTGCATGTCGAGAATGCGCACCCAAATAGATCGAGGGAGAGGTACTCCAAGGGTGAAAGTACTTGCTCTCTAACTAGCCCTAAATAGAAATATGTCCAGCCGACCAGGTGGAGGGCTCATAATATCCCGGGATATATCAGAATAAGGCAGGAATTCTGCACCCCAAATGCCGTTATCGACTCAGAACTACTCCAAATATTGTCTGTCAGTTACATGATTGGATGAAGAGTGCCTCCATTGATTGTCGATATCGCGCCAATATCACGCCAGGATGTCGTGATGGACTAGTGCAGTCGACGGCCTTTATCTTCGCCATCTGCGCACGAATATACCACAGAAACAATTTGCCAGAGGCAAAATGGCGACCCAAACAGCAGAATTCGACCAGGTGAAACAGGCCGAAACCTCTACAACAACCCTCCCAGAAAACGATGCCTCACCTCCAAGGACATTCCGCTCCTTCATATGGGACACAGACACGCACCTCAAATCCCCCGCGGAGAAGCGTCTTCTCCTCAAACTCGACGTCTCAATCCTCACAATCGGATGTCTGGGCTTCTTCATGAAATACCTCGACCAGGGGAACCTATCCAACGCATACGTCTCAGGCATGCAGGAACAGCTCTCCATGTACGGCAACGAATACACATACGCCCAGACCGTGTACACAGTCGCATACGCTGTGATGCAAATCCCAAGTACACTGATCATCCAAAAGATCAGACCCAGTATCTGGCTTGCGGTTATGGAAGTTGCGTGGGGCGCGTTCACGTTCGCGCAGGCGGGTATCCACAATGTGTCTGAGCTGTACGCGTTCCGGTTTCTGGTGGGGTTGTTTGAGAGTTCGTTCTTCCCTTCCTTGCTTTATTTGTTGGGGAGTTGGTATACGAAGACGGAGCTTGCGAAGAGGGTGGCCCTGTTCCATATGACGGCGCCGCTGGGGACCGCGTTTGGAGGGTATCTCCAGGCGGCGGTTTACGAGAATTTGAACGGTGCGCGCGGTATTGAGGGGTGGAGGTGGTTGTATATTGTCTGTGGGTGTATGACTGTGCCGGTTGGGCTTGCGACGTTTGTAATCCTCCCTGATACGCCGTATACGACGAAGGTGTGGTTCTTGTCCCCTGAGGAAAGGGAGTTGGCGATAGAAAGGGTGAGAAGGGCGGGGAAGGCGGCGCCGGTAAAGATTCGGCTGGCTACGTTTAAGACGATTCTGAGTTCGTGGAAGTGGTATGCGTTTGTTGTTGGATATGTGGTATGTTGTCCGTGTTCTTCCCTGAATTATACTAACTCGTGTAGTTATATGGATCGTCCTGCGGTGCAAATGGATACTTTGCCATCTGGCTAAAGTCAGAGAACTTCTCCGTCACAGACCGGAATGTTATTCCTACAGGGACGTCTCTGATATCTGCAGCCTGCGTTGTCCTCTGGGGGTTTCTCTCAGATTACACTGGAAGCAGATTCGCCTGGGTGCTTATACCGCTGGTATGTCTACCTCACCACGCATACCAACCACTAACTGTCCATAGATATACGGCCTCCTCCCAAATGGCATCCTAGCCTTCTGGCCATCCAGTCTCGCCTTCAAAGAGTTTGCATTCTTGACAATTTCCGTCCAGCTCATGACAGCCGTGTTGTATGTGTTCATCCACCTTATCTTGTGAAGTCCTAACAGGTCCAGCTACTCCTGGGCTAATGAAGTCTGCGCCGGGAACAATGAAGAACGAGCCGTGGTGGTTAGCAGCATGAACGGTTTCCAGTATGCTGTCGCTGCGTGGTTGCCCATTGTTATATTTCCGCAGACAATGGCGCCGGACTTTCGTAGGTTCTCAACTTCTCCATATACCTGGCATACATATCTGACCTGTATAGGGTACGGCTTTCCGACGACATTTGGCTTGGTTATTGCAGCGATCCTTGGAGTGATTGGAATCCAGTTGTTTGTCCTCCGAGACGAGAGGAGGGCTAAAAAGGGAGCCAGATCTGGGGGTGGTGAATAGTGGAAATAATACATTATGAGAATATCCACAATATCACGGGCTATATCTATCTTCATAGCCCAGAATGTTATTATATATCTTAGCGGTATCTGCCAAAGGTCCTTTTTTATCCTTCAAATCCAGCGACTCAAAGTCCGCCAACTCATATTTCTCCGACGAGCCCATCTCAGCAATCTGATGGCTCTGAGCCTCACAGACCTGATTATAATCACCAGGCAACTCCGCAACAAATGCCTTGGAATCCGCTTCATACCAGACCGTCTGGAACTCCGTCTCTGTGACTTCTTCTTCCTTCTTATTAAGGCTGTCCAAAGCCTCATCGTTCTCACTCCCCAGTCCGCCTTCTTTCTGGATGCTGGCCCATCGGAAGCAGAATATCACAATGGCAGCCCAGTACATGATTCTGCTCAGCGCCCCGGCGACCCGCATCGATCCTCCCACAATTAGCGATACGTTGAAGATTGTGCCGAGCAGGACATCGAAGTTGGTGGCTAGACAGACGAGGGAGATTTCGACCGCGATTAGACAGTTCGAGATGCTCCAGAATGTAGTGGCTGTGATGAGCAGTAACGTCGGGTGCTGTAGCCAGTTAGTATCCATACACCTCTGTATTTGCAGCAGGGATAGGAGAGTCTGTCTTGTGGTGTTAGATGGGTGAACGTACGACATGCCCTCCCACACATCTCGGATGCTTAATCGCCACAAATAGCGACCACGCCATATTCTCAACTGAAGCAATCCACGCAACGATCGCGGCTGTCGCCTGGATAGTGCCGTAAGCACGAACGTTGCGGGTATCCTCTCTAATACTCCGGGCGTTCAATAGGACGCACAGCATGACGAAGCTCAAGCATGCTGTAAGCACGACGACCCCGAGACAGACCCAGTGGAAGATACGTGTCTTGCGCCAGGGCGTACTCGGTCGGGCGGTCTGCGTTTCCCCCAGTATCAGGTGGATAAGGGCGTAGAAGACGTGAAAGGTGAGGCATGTTGCGAGCCATTGGAAGCCGGAGACCATGGCGTTTTGGTCGCTGATGTTAATCACCGAGGAGGGGTTTTGGTTTGTGGATATGGCTACGAAGACGATGATGTCGAATGCCAGATATCTATCCAAATCAAGAGTCAGTTCCAGAAATAGTCCCGTTGTGAGGCCTGGAAACTCACAGTATCCACGCAACCAAACAGGATAGGGTAGTCTCGAGTGGGAGAGTTCGTGGCCGTCCCCGTCCACGGTGTACAAGAGCTGCAGTGTATCCAATACAGGTAAGACCGGCTATCATACAGATAGCGTCGAACGCAGTGATGGACTGCGTGACGCCCCCGGCGCTGATATCGATGGTTGCCTCGACCATGTTGGCAGAGTCGACGTAGGGGGTATGAGGAAGTCAGGACGTTAAATCGAAATAGCAATGGCACTAGTGAGCCATTACCAAAAGGCCGTAGGCCGTAAGCCTTTGGATCGACAGGCTTACGCTCTAGCGCTCCTTCGACATGATGCGGATTTCTGACAGGCTGTGATGCTGCATCCTCATCTTGGTTAAGAATAAACGGGCGAAGCCGGCGGTCCACATATTGTGTACCCTGCCCTAATTGGAGTGTCTGGCTTCAGAAAATTGGATACCAGTCCAACTGGCTTTTCATAGGGCAGTGGGATATTTAGAAGGCAGGTCGTTTTGCTGATCTGGAATTGCCACGACTGTGCATGGGGCCAAACCAGTGCTCAGCCTCGTTGTCTGAGGTACCTGGGTTTTTCTGTCACGCATTTTTATTCACAAATCGGACTGACTAGTTGATTGCCAGAGTAGACGTATGTAGTACATAGCTACCCCATCGTCGCGTGGTGTTCGAACTTTGCTCGGCCGGTGGTTGTATGACTCTGCGGCCCCAAACCCCCGATTATCGTAGCTCTGCAACGCGCTGCGTCCAGCAGCTAGTGGCGGAAGGGGTTGATTCAGGCCATCCGAAATGCACAGGCCACATGGGATAGAAGCTGTTCTGCTCTCTCCCCAATATAGCGGCCGTTTTTTTGGTGACACATTATAGCTTATTATTAGCTCTTGCTGGAAGTCTGGCTCTCCTGGCCCTGTTGACGTTGACTAATTTGACCGGTTAGCTGTCAACCATCGTAAGAGCACATCCAGTTCGTCGTATACTCACAATTCAGATCAGTGGGCTACCACGAGAGTGCTAGTATGGATTGTTTTACCCTAGCAATGATCAATATATACAACCGAAGGCGAATGGCATTGTACCTATATATCTATAAGATAGCGGATGATTCTCCGATACCAAGTAGCCTCGTCCCTTGAACTGACATCATATATATATATTCCATACCCCGCATATGTGAGGCGGCTTTCCGCGGATGACGTCCAGGCTTACCACGGTCTCGGGGAATCTACCCGGCGGCTCGCCAGGAACCCATTTATTAGGAGATATTCTAACTGGTTATATCTAAAGTCAGAACAAGTGTCTTATCATCACAAACTACACATAGTTACTGGAATCGACATGAACCGGCTCAATCGGACTCGCATCCGTGTCTCCGGTCAGGTGACCCGTGCAGCATAACATTACCCGATTAGGGCAAACAATGCGACAGCTTACCTCAGTATCAGCAACTAAACAACGACGATATCAGCGATTTCAGTCCGAGCATATATATGATAATACCATAAATATAGATAGCAATAGAACAGTAGAAACCTCTAATATATACCTGCTACCGGTGCCGTGCCCGACCCCACCGTCTCCAATTCCATCGGAGCCCTTCCCGGCCTGTTACTCCGCACCCCGCTCTCCCCGCACGCCTGTCTTAATTATTTTCTGCTGTTAATATTTGCATATTGCGTCTTTGCATCCTCGCACTTACTCTGACAAAATCCGTTCGTTGACTGAATTCACCGACCATGAGCGATACCGTTGGGAAGGTATGTACTCCATCCAGACGGACTTGATATCATAGCTAACCACCCTCAGACCATTACTTGCAAGGTAAGCCGCTGTCCAGCTAGTTTTACTTCAATGAGGTAAGAAGAAGACTAACGAAATAAGGCCGCAATCGCCTGGGCCCCGAACGAACCGCTCTCCATCGAGGATGTACAAGTCCTGCCGCCGAGGGCACACGAAGTGCGCATTAAGGTTCTGCATACCGGAGTCTGTCATACTGGTAAGAACAATCCACTCTCTAGGCTGAAGAAACTGGATGAATAACTTAGAAAAGACCAGTATACTCTCTCCGGAAAAGACCCCGAAGGCGCATTCCCTTCCATCCTCGGGCACGAGGGAGCCGGGATCGTCGAGTCCATTGGCGATGGCGTAACGTCCGTCAAGCCCGGTGACTATGTGATTGCTCTATAGTACGTGATCATCCCTGCCACACTATATCCGGCTGTCAACCTAACAATGTTTAGTACCGCGGAATGCAAAGAATGCAAATTCTGCCGCTCGGGCAAAACAAACCTCTGCGGCAAGGTGCGCGAGACGCAAGGCAAAGGCGTCATGCCGGACGGGACATCGCGGTTCCGCGCGCGCGGAAAGGACATCCTGCACTTTATGGGCACGTCGACGTTCTCACAGTATACCGTTCTCGCGGACGTCTCGTGCGTGGCTGTCACGGACCGCATTGGGACGGACAAGTCGTGTCTGCTGGGTTGTGGGATTACGACTGGCTACGGTGCTGCGGTGGTGAGTGCGAAGGTGGAAGAGGGGTCTACGATTGCGGTTTTTGGCGCGGGGTGTGTTGGGTTGTCGATTATCATGGGGGCGAAGAAGAATAAGGCTGGGAGGATTATTGCGGTGGATTTGAATGACAATAAGGAAGGGTGGGCCAGGAAGTTTGGGGCGACGGATTTTGTGAATCCGCTCAAGATTCCGAGGAATGTGCTTCTGCAGGAGTATCTGGTGAATATGACGGATGGGGGCTGTGATTATACGTTTGATTGTACAGGGAATGTGAGCGTGATGAGGGCGGCGCTGGAGGCTTGTCATAAGGGGTGGGGGGAGAGTATTGTTATTGGTGTTGCTGCTGCTGGACAGGAGATTACAACACGTCGTGAGTACTTCCTATTACTACTATCACTTTGCTGGTTCTAACTGATGCAGCATTCCAACTTGTTACTGGCCGTGTGTGGAGGGGATGTGCATTCGGTGGCGTCAAGGGCCGCACTCAATTGCCAGGCCTGGTGGACGACTATCTGCGCGGAGAACTCAAGGTCGACGAGTTCATCACTCACCGTGTGTCCATGGATCGCCTGAATGAGGCTTTCGACGTGATGAAGCAGGGCGATTGCATTCGCTGCGTTGTTGATATGAGTTAGAATGGGAACTATGCTCTTCAAAATGTCTTATCAATTCAAGTCATCATACCGGTGTTTTATTCCTAGCTCATCAGACTGTAATCATATTCAGGTATTGCTGTCAGGTGTCTATATTGTAAGCACCAGTTATCCTTGATGTGTCTGATGGCAACCATCGCATATCTACCCTCAAGAACGACCGTCCTTTCACTTACCAAGTTATCATGTCAGTCACTCCTACCAGCGCTTACAGCGGATAGACCCATCGTTCGAGTTGCCAACTCGACGTCAGCCTCGGGGTTCGCGGTTCGTGCACGCCGTGTAACAATTTGCATTGCATCATCACGATAAGAAATCCGATCGATTCGCGTATTACCTGGACATCCACCCATCCATCCTCTTCCTTGGTTGGAAGCCCTGGTCAAGAACAGGTGTCACAGCTCCAGTGGATTCGCGCTTGCGCAACCTCTACCCTGTCGTGCATAGGAGCGGGGTTGTGGCGGCCATAGCAACAACTGGGGTGCGAGGCTACTATAGCAGGGATGATATTCAAAAGTACCGGCTATCTAAGTGGCCATTGTCCAATTGGCTGCTCCAATCGGGGACCTCTGTCGTGGCATGCAGGTAAAGGTTGCCCTGGATGGAGAGTTAAGGGTCTCCCCGCTTCCTGCTCAAGTTCGGATATATGGAACAAGGATCGCGTGGGCGATCGAGGGTCGGTGCGTGCCGTAGTAAGAGGTTGTTTATGATATTTACTGGCTCGTTATCCTTGTCTCCAAAGCCTCGTACGTTCTATAAGTACTGGATTTCCTCGTCGGTGAGAAAAAGTAATATTTCCTCTGTCCATTCATTGAGCTTTGGACCCCTCCTTCAAGTTATATCCCGTTAATCGATCTGTTTCTATGATTATACTGTCCATACCTGTTCGAGTATGGATTATGTACAGCTGAAGACCGACTGGGTTCATGGACGAAGCGACGGGGCGGTCCCAGTCAGCCTCACCATGGACTATATAAGGAGATGTTCCACTGATTGAACTCGACAAGTCCCAAACTCGATGATGGGATAATCCGCCACTTTCCGTACTCAAAAGAACAGCCAATCAGTCTAAACAAACATGAGTGATACCTCGTCATCAGATTCTTCCCCCTCCAGTCCGATATCCGCAGACCCCTCGTCTCAACAAACAACACCAGAGCAGAGCCCAGAATGCTCTCCCACATCCGCGTATCGGCCGGCCCTCTCTAACGCCTTGGGCGTTGCAGACGGAATTGTCCGTGAGCAGCAGGTCGTCGCCATGATAGGCGAGACGGACCACTTGTACGACTTCCTCAGATCCGAATGTCTGTCTCGAATGAACATGAAGCAGGAAATTGAGGCCTTACGGGCAGATAAGGACGACGCCCGGAGAGAAGCTGCAGAGGAGCGATCGCGCGCGAATACACACGAAAGGAGCTTGACGGATGCAAGAAATGACGCTGCACGTTTTGAAGAACAGCTCGAGGCTGCTGAGGAACAGCATAGGATTGCTATAGAGGAGAGAGATACAGCCACTGGCCAACTGCAAGATAAAATTCAGCAACTCATCCAAGCGGAGGATAAGCTCCTAGAGGGTCGAACAGCACTTCGATCCCTCATTGAGCACCTCGCAAGGACGGAGAATGAGAAGGGTGAGCTCCGGCAACAGCTCGATGGAGCAAGAGAGCAGCTTATTACTATGGAGGGTAATCTGGATGAGCGCACACGGAGCAGTGAGAGGTATCAAGTAGAACTCTCCGATCTTCAGGTCCGCTTTGATGAAGAGGAGGCTCGAAGAGTGGCTGTCGAAGAGCACCTCAACAAACAGGCCGACGAGCTAGAACAAAGCAGAAAAGAGCTCGACAATGAGAGGAGCAGAAGCTCTCAGCTGCAGTCGGAACTAGACCGAGCGAGGACAGAGCTTGTGGCCATGGATGCCTTGCGCTCAGAGACCGATGGGCTTCGAGAGAAGAACAGAGCACTTGAAAATGAGACTGTACAGCTACGAAACGGACACGGCCTGCTTGAGCGTGGAGTCCATGACTTAAGAGAACAGCAAAGGGCAACTGTTGCTGAGCTCGAGACAGTACGTACAGGTCTACGAAACGAGCAGAGGAGGTCAAGGCAGCTACAGGATATAGCAACGAACCTCCAGGGAGCTCGCGAGGAGCTAGACAATGAGGTTCAACAACTCAGGGTACGAAATGGAAGACTTGAATCCACCAATTCTAACCTTCAACTCACCAACGGCGCCCTTGAGGGAGAAAACCGTGCCCTGAAAGTGGAGTGTGCCGCGTTCAAAACTCAGGCCAACGATCTTCAAACCAGGATAGATCAGGAAGATGCCGAAAGAGCGAGGGCCCCTCGCTGTCTAGGGATTGTCAAAGGGAGACATTCCTCTCGAAAAGTGTAAGCCAGACTGCAGATCCAGCCCGATGGTACATGGTAGCTGACAAGGGTTGATAGGGCTATCTGTCAAAAGAGACCGATCGCCATGTACAAGACTCATCCTATACGACCAATGTTCAGGATGCCTATAACCGCATAATGTATTATAGTACCGTTTCGGGATTCAACTTGTACTATCGTTGCCAACTCTCATCTGCTGTCAGTTCAACAAACGGGAACTTGGAAATAGATATCCCTCCAAGCAGCGTGGATCTAGGGTAGCCATAATGCAGATATTAATCTAAGTTTATACACTATCAACATGCACATCCCCCTTCCAAACCAACCAAGCCAAAACAATCATCCCCTTCCCAGCAACCACCATCCAAAGCGCCCCCATAACCCCAGCAGAGCTCTTCGCCCACATCGCACCCATCGAAACCCCCAGCATCAAGCACAGAATAGCCCCAGCTCTCCTCCCCTCATCCGCACGCCGCTTCCCCGTCCCCACAACCACAGGCACAGAAAACAAATCACAGTAAACACTCGTCAGAACCACACTCGTCAGCGCATTCCGGTTCAGCACCCGGCTGCTCACAGCCTGCCCACTACTCTGGAACGCCACAAGCGCCAGGGGCACAAATACCTGCCATCCAAGTTCATCCCCCGAGGCAGCCCGTCCCACAGATCCGTTAAGAGTAACCAGAACCGCCGCAGCAGCAACACAGGCCATCTGCACCGCAAACGAAGCACAAAGCGCCCACCGCTGTCTCGGCAACCCCCCAGCAGCACCAGAAGAAGCCCACCGATGCGCAGCCGAAAAGCACGCCGAGCCCACACAGAAACTCCCAATCGAGGTCGCGGCTTTATACCAGCGACTAGCGTTGCTAGGATCAGCGCCCATAGCGCCAAGACCTAGATACACTGTATTTCCGGTCTGCATGCTCGCGAACGAGCCCCAGATGAACACGGCGGCGCTGTCGAGCAGGCCGGTGACGGTGTAGCAGAATAGGAGGATCAGTTCGGTGTGTTGCGGGTTTATGGGTGTTGTCAGGTGGGATTTAAGTCTGTGGAGATGGGATCTGGGGGTTGGGTGGGAGGCATGGCCCAGCAGGCTGGAGGTTTCGTCTGGATCTTGCATTGGGGATCGCATTGTGTTGATATGTTATTTGCGAATATATCAATGGAAGAGTTGAACAAATGAAGGAAACAAAAAAACGTCACAGAATATCTGATTATGTCATCGATAGCATGTCATGTGACTGTGATGGGAGATTGCACTGACCGGCCAGGGCTATATAGAACAAGAAAAGTGATGGGCTGAGAGGTTCACAAGAATTTTTTGTGTTTAATATATTCATGTGTCTTCAAATTGAATTGCTGGAGGGTTGCCTCAAACGCAATCCACCAAAGAATGGAATGCCAAGACGTTTGATATATATAGTGGTTGTATCAATGCTCCAATAAGTAAGATTGGGTCAGGGTTCTGTCTGAGTATGAACTGAAGCTTTAGTTGAGTATCAGGGTATGTAGTCTGTTTTTCAAGGCATTAACCCGTCAAATATCAACGCAGACGGCATCTCTCCTCTTCTCATCACGAACTCCACCTACTGCTGCAGCATTAACCATGACTGTCGCTTGTTCGTTTTTAGTCCCCCATCCAGTAAGCCATCCCATCATCCAGGAATACACAAGAGACATTAAACCGACCCCTCTCGACTCTCCATCCATCACAGTCTCATAAGCCCTCTGAAAAGAGTCCCAAAGAACCACCTCTTTCCCGTATCCCCCATGAATATGCCCGAATACATGTAGCAAGGGTCTCTGCTTCATTCCCCATAATGTCCGGCGCAGGAGTAGACAGCCGAAATGACCGAGATCGAGATGTGCCTTTGGCGGACCATGCGTTATCAGGATATCAGTATCATCGGGGATGCTAATCTCATCCCATATGGCGGCGTTGGATCGTGGGTATTGGAAGGCCCAGTTTCCGTGCTTTGGTGTGCAGGGTGAACCGAAAACCTTAATATTTCTTCCATTGCCGAGATTCAGGACCGTCGATGTGTTTTCGAGGTAGACTAGTGATTTCCAATCGATGGCTGCGCTGTCAGTGTCTGGAGCATCTCCCCCGGATGATGTCCCGGTTCGCGACGATTGAAGCTGCGAGTCAAGACAAAGCTCATGATTCCCGGCAATTACCACCTTGTATCGATGCGGCTGGGCATTTAGCCACTCGATTTGCTCTTCTAGTTCAAGACGCGATCCGGATTGTGTGAGATCGCCGGCATGGATGAGGATGTCGCCATCTGGAAGGTTGGGTTTTGTATTATGGGTGTCGGAGATGCAGACTACCTGGATAGGAATAGAATTACTTGCTGGTGATTGGGATACTGCGCGAGAAGTGTAGATGTACTCTGCCAACACTTTTGCTGGTGATCTGCGAAGGCGGCTCCAGAAGGACTCCTGCTCCGGTCGATGGAGGAGCGCGTCGAGGCCTGACATTCTCCAATATTATTCGATGTCGGTAGGTGGTGAGATACTGAAAGGAAGATGAAGATGAAGATGACGTGGCATTGTGTTTATCATGGGTTACTGAGCCGCACCTTAATCTGCTGAGTCAGTTAACCTTACCCACGATTAGACCTTGTATTTAGAATCTACAAGCTAAGAGCCATTTATTGATGAATCTAGGAGTAGTTATAGCATTCTTGTTGATTTCACATATCTTACATTCGCATAGTGAAGATCAGATACATTCCCTTTGTCAGATATAGACTTGGTTTAGTTACAGTGGAAAGAACCACCCCCTCACTGTCTTTAACAACACCAATTAGCAACCAGTATCGAGTACCGGAGGTCGTTATCGACATTTAATGAACAATCGATTCGGAAGTCTTTCATTTGAACCCTTGAAAATACTAAATCGAAACTAAGAGCCGCATGGGGCAGTAAAACACAGAGATACATAAGCGCGCCAACCAAGCACTGGAAAGCGGTCTTGGCCGGTGTCAAAGATACTACAGTGCAGTATTTTACGATATTGTAACAGCATTCCCTGGCCCAAGGCAGATTGATTGCCAAATCATGCACTGATCGACACGGTTTCAGCACCAGCGCACTTGGCAGGGCAGCACTGCCACCAGCCCCCACGATCCACTTAATTGTTGAAGAAAGGTCATGGAATGCTTTGCACCCTTGAAGTCGTCGTGGACTCGAATTCCCAGCCTCAGTCATATTTTCACACTTGATTCCGCGACACGCAGAACCTCGCGTCACTATTCCTGGAATGGACCCGGTGGCTACGAAACAACAATGGGCCTAGAGTCAAACTGGCATTTCAGCTCGGTCGAGGATGAAAGTGAACTCACCCAGGACCAAGAACGAGACAGGAAGACCGAATTTACTACGCGCATTCGACAGTCATCTGCCAAAGGAGATCCAACCCAGCCAACACCGAAATACATCGCTCGTTTAAGGTGGATCAATGACCACTGGGCTTTAGAGATTGCCTCTTGCGCTGGCGGTCTGGCTGCCCTTTTCTGCATAGTTGGTGTGCTTCTTGAATACGACGGGAGTGCTCTCCCGGAATGGCCGTATGGAATCACAATCAACTCGGTTCTCTCGTGGATTGTCCTGGTGTTTAATGCCTTCATCCTGGGAACCATATCAACGTGCTTTGGCCAAATGGCGTGGATTAACTTCAGCACGCCCACTGACAGGCCACTGTCAGACGTCACTTCATATCATTGGGCCAGCCGAGGGGCTATCGGCTGCGTCGCCTTTATATGGAGGTCCAAGATGAGGTTAGTGGCCGATAGCCGATTCTTTAAGCATAGCTGACAGTTACAGGAATTGGGCATCTTTAGGGGCCTTTTCTACTATTCTTGCAGTCGGGGTAAGCCCTTTTGTTCAACAGATGGCCACTGTCCAGAACAATCTTGTTCAGGTCGATGGGCCAGTATCTGTAGGACGTGCACAGACATACTTCAGTGGTAGAGACAATATGGTAGTCGAAAGTACACACGCTGCTATCTATAGCTTCCTGCTAGCCAGTCCTGGGTCTGGTGACCCTGGTCACAGCTCTGCCGCGTCTCGTCCAAGGATTCCAGTGAAGTGCGATTCGGGGCAGTGTGACTTCGCTCCATTTCAATCGCTTGCCGTCTGCTCAGACTGTTCTGATTTATCAGATGTACTCACTTCACATTGCGAAGACGGTCCTTGCGCATCAGAGGCAACCATGTGCAATTATTCGCTACCGAACGGGATGCACGCCAATATGTCCGACTATGCTATTTCATCAAATACATTCCTCGAAACAAATGTTTCATATACGGGGCAGAGAACTCATTCTGGCTTTTGGCCCGACGACCGGAGCATGATTTTAAACCTCACAGAGATACGGGCTCAGTCGTTGGCCAATAGAACCGAGTTCAAGGCTACTGCGGCACGATGCTCTTTACGCTGGTGTGTCAACACATACTCTGCGCGTATACAAGACCATAAATATGTTGAAAATATTACGGACTCTTGGTACGACCCGAATCCTGTGCGGACTCTGGCAACTGCACCCGATGGAGTACGGCTTGATTTTCAACCGCCCAGCAAAGGCAGCTTCAAACAATCCAACTTTACTGTCGATGAGAGAGACAGTTTTAACACCCAATCCTGGTTGGTAGATCACATGGTAATGCGATATGCTTTCGATGGCTGGTGTACGAGTCACGGGCCCTTGCTGGGGTTCAATTCTCAGACTCAAACAGAGCTTCTAGGGCCACTAAGGCGTTCTAGTTTGAATGACACATTTCAGAAAATTGCAACAGCAATGACCGTTGCAATACGGAGTGTAGACCCAGCTGCACAGGCTACAGCACCAGAGGAATTCGGGCCCCTGGAAGCTGTGGAACTCGCCAATGGGACGGCCTTTGCAATGGAAACCCAGATCCAAGTCCAGTGGCCATGGATTATCGTCCCCTCACTACTTCTTATTCTGACTACCATCTTCCTGGGGATCACCATTGTCAAGACAAGGCAGAATGGCCTGAAAGCGTGGAAGCGGTCCCCCGTAGCTCTGATCTGTGCGGGCTTAGACCAGACTGCCCAGCAGCAGATACGTGGAGCCGGGGATCCAATTATGATGGAGGAAGTAGCGGCTGATATAAAAGTGCATCTTCAAAAAGGGGAGCCGAGGTTACAGATGGTTGTTGGAGGTTGGAGGTGACGCGTCTGGACGTTTATTATTTAGTTACAAGTGCATGTCAATTGAATAGCGAGTCTGCTTCCACGTCAGCTGGAGAGTGTACCAGGGACACTAGCCGAACCGAAACCCTGCAGTTAGCTGACGTCTACGTCCCCGCATGAGAATCAGCCTAAGTATGTATCAGTTTAACCGCCCTCAAGACTACGCATGAGGGGCATCTCATCCTCCCGACATCCCCGAGCCTTTGCCCTACAAAACCCCAGCACCGCGGAACATCGATCAGCAGAAAGCACAAAACATGCCACCCATACCTGGGTTCTCAGACAACACGCTGATTAGCCGCGCAGATCTAATCCGCGCAGCGGCAGCAATAATAAAACCGCTTCATGCCTACTTCTCACCAGAGCGGGCACTCATCCGCCTCCCCGTCTCAACCGGAACCCATTTCGACGAGCGCGCGGCCCAACTAGAGGGATTCGCGCGTCCACTATGGGTTGTATCTACCTTACTCCAGGCGACGCGATCACATTCTATTCCGGAACATGAAGCCGATTTTCAAACTGCGAATACGGATGCACAGTCCATCCGCACGTTATGCCAGCCCTGGATCCGAGGCATAGCAACCGGCACAGACCCCTCACACCCTGAATACTGGGGCGCAATTGCGAATGGCGACCAACGCATGGTCGAAGCCGAAGTCATCGCCTGCGCGCTGCTCTTCGCACCGGATGATTTCTTCCACAGCCAGAGTGCTCCCGTGCGCGGGAATATCACCGCCTGGCTGCGCGGGATGAATGGCAAGGACATGCCGCTGAATAATTGGCGGTGGTTTCGGGTATTTTCGAATCTAGCCTTGGTTCTCGTATGTGGGATGCCCTATTCTGAGGTGCAGGGAGAGATGGAGGGGGATTTTGTGGTTTTGGATTCGTTTTATCTGGGAGAGGGCTGGTCTGGGGATGGGCCGTGGTTGACGGGGGAGCAGGAAGCTGAAGAGGAGAAAAGATGTAAAACAACTAGGCGTCGGGATTGGATTGGATGCGGACGACAGGTTGATTATTATTCTGGGAGCTTTGCGATTCAGTTTAGTCAACTGCTGTATGCGAAGTTTGCGGTGGATTTGGATCCGGAGAGGGCGATGTGGTATCAGCAGCAGGCGCGCGATTTTGGGAGGCAGTTTTGGATGTATTTCGATGATAATGGTCTGTTTAGCATGTCTCCTTGGCCTGACTGTTACTGATTTTTGCAGGTGCTGCTATTCCGTTCGGTCGATCGCTCACGTATCGCTTTGCTTGTGGTGCGTATTTTGCTGCGCTGGCTGTTGCTGATGTGCCTGATATGCCTGCGCCACTGAACGCAATTGGATCTGTCAAAGGCTTCTTGATGCGTCATCTTCGGTGGTGGGCAGGGCACTCGCAAGATATCTTCTACCCCGATGGGACGATAAACATTGGGTATCTGTATCCGTACGTGCAGACCACTGCAGTGTGTATAGATGGCTAACGGCGACCAGGAACATGTACATGTCCGAAGACTACAACTCGCCACAGTCAGTCTACTGGGCCTTAAAGTCCATGATCCCGCTTCTCCTGGCGGATAGTCACCCATTCTGGACCGCACCAGAGTGTCCATATCCACCCATCGCCACCGCAGCCCTAATCGCCCAACCCACCCAAATCATCAGCAACCATCCAGCCGGCTCCCACCATTTCCTCCTCTTAGCGGGCCAATTCGTTGCGTGGCCCATGAAAGCCAGTCAAGCCAAGTACTGCAAATTCGCATACTCGTCGTCCTTCGGCTTCAGCGTCCCAACCGGTCCCCTGATCCAGCAGATCGCACCGGACAGTACACTCGCGCTGAGTAGGGACGGAGCGGCAACGTGGGCTGTAAAATGAAAATGCTCGTTGTCGAAGTTCGGAACGGCCTCTGTAGCTGGTGAAACTGTTCCAGTCGCTCATGTTGAGTGGCGTCCTTGGGCGGATGGGGGTATTGTTGTCACGACGACACTGATTCCCCCGACGTCGCGTTGGCCGGATTGGCATACCAGGGTTCATCGGATTAGACTAGAAAGACATTCGAAGCTAGGATCTCTTCACTTTGTCGAGGGCGGGTTTGCCATTTCCCGGGCCCTGCAGGAGGATAGCAAGAATAGAGTCCTGGCGGTATTTCCAGAGGATGCTGACTTGCCAGATCTCGAGATTGGCACCAGCGAAGGGATCTACGCATCTGATACAAAGGCACTTGTGCTCTCGCATGCTGGAGCTAGTGGTATAGTGGGAACAGCTCATCGTGAAGGCGGTAGTGTCTCAATCGAGCACGACGCGATGAAGCCTGATTCGAATACCAATATCATGGCTCAGCGGACATTGATCCCTGTTACGAAGGGCGAAGCGCTTGATATCTCGGCGAGTGAAGATATTTTTCTTGTGACAAACGTGTTTGCAGTTTCGGCCGTGAGTTCGAAGAGAGGGAAGCGGAATTTGCGCGAGATATGGTTCGATATGCCTAGGATATGTTGGAAAGGAGGAAAGCGGGAGGAGACTGAGGACGCGATTATTGTCAACCTGCCTATATAGAATTAGTATTGGCGCTGCGATAGCGATGGAGAGAATGCAAGCCCGTGGCAATATGGTGTCCCAGAGTGCGTATAGCAATGCTCTTGGGGCCGCTGGTATGGCATCCTGCGGGTGGTGGATTGTTGACCTTCAAGCCTCCGCCATTTACTGCTGGAGTCCGCGCACCTGACACCACTAGTGAGCATATAGGAACAGGTTCTGAATTGCTTCTTTGCCAGCCGGAAACTGCCACTATATAGGTAAAGAGTGAGGGCCTTCCGGAGTTCGTCATCACGATATCTTCGATGATATGGCTGAGGCAGGGTTAGTCGTTGAATCCGCCAGTGATGGTACGGCTTTTCCTACCTTCAGCCCATAGCTTGAACTTTTTCTTCTCCGGAAGCAATATGTACAGAGCAAAGGAGCATCTTCAGGTGCCGATGCAGAGGTGAGCAGCCGCCAAGAGAAAGCGCAAACGGACAAATAGCGACCGCGCCATGTAGAAACACGCGATGAGCCCGTGGAAGAAACTTCGCAAATCAATACAGCGAACTATTAGATCCTGGGGAAAGAGTGGGCAGTGTTGTTACTTCGGTTGCTGGTTCAGCTGGCCCATGCCTTCGATATCCAAATCCTTCTTCTCCTTCTGCCGTTTTTGCCAGACTCTCGCTAGCTGTTCTTTTCTGTCTCTCGCCAGTGTATAAAGCCCAGCGGGAGTTAAGTTCCTCATTTCCCCCTTCTCGTGACGTTGATACCGAGAATCGATCTAGGTTCGTATCCGCAATGCCGCCGATGCCGAAGACCACCGCTGCGTTTCTTGAATCCGAGAAGGATGACAAGACTGAAGGAGTTATGGGACAGTTTCTCTGGGATGCGCAGTCGAACAGCATACAGGAGGCACATATCGTTCACTTTGGGAGGAACAGAAGTGGTCGTGCAGAAGGCACACTTTGAGGGCCCCAACACCAGCGAATACAATCATTGCGGGCAGAGATCTGTCGGATTCAGTTATGGCCACAATCATTCTTGGTTGTGTACGCAAAGATTCCTGTGGTTGACATTGTACCAGCTTATATACTACATGCAGTCCATACAGGGTTCACGCCCGTTGTCGATGACAAAATCCTTTGACAAGACCGTGGACACCTTCCTGATATACCGCAATTCCTAATACACTATTCGTTCGTGTTCTGGAACTCCCTTGTATATACATGCCTCTGTGGTCGGCTACTGGCAGCTGTCGACTCAGGTCTGGGAGGATGATCAGTCTCAGTAGCTACATAGGTCTTTGATATACATCGAAATGCCAGATCCTTGTGGAGGGGCGTATTACAATACAACCTGTAGACCAAATATGCGGGTGAGCTTAGGATCTATACCTAGCATGTTATACGAAATGTAAAGCCTAGAATAATGCCTACTATCTATCTTCAATCTCCCGTTATCTAGCGACCCGTTCTTGTGTAGAAACTTTAAACAGCCGCCATTCAGTACTTGATAGACAGCTGCTCACCTATAGAGTACCGGTTCTATCCACTCTATACTCCAGATCAAACATTGCTAAGAAAGCGGCAGATATAGTGAATTATTATGCACCTGCTTCATAATGCTGTCCCTCTTTCTTCCCTTCTCCCTTGACCTCGTTCTTTCTTTCAAAATTTCCACTCCTACCCCCACGGCTCTCGATGTACCACTGACAGTTCGGACATGGACCTCTGATGTGTGATATAATATCATTCACGTTGTAGTTGTCATGCAGGGTGATAGCCCGCTTGTTGAGGGCAAGGCCATGCGCATTTTCCCACGGGTCAGTCTTATCGCTATTCGTAGCAGCTAGATTAGCACAATAGGAGCAAAGGAAGGTATGGGTCTTTATACCTATCCAAATAAGCGAAAGGATATGTTTCCGCACAATTACCCAACTTGATAGATTCATCTTCCTCGGCCAACTCCCCTGCGGGAGACATATATAGGTCGTAGCCTGAGAGCTCCATATGCTCCACGTCTAGCAGCTCAAACCGCACCCTCTGAATTTGAAGCGTCCAGGGAGACTTGGCTTTTGCGCTATTCGTTGACCTGCCCATGGAGGCACCGAGAAAGAGCTTAACTGCACCGCCAACGCCGTCGGTAACCCAGACGCTGCAGAACATAAACGGCAGCACCTTTTTCGAGTTCTGTATCAGATTATAGCACCATCTCCCGTATAATGCTGTCATATGAACATAAAAGTTATCCCTAGTCGCGTGTTTAGGCACGTCGGCAAGCAGAGACATCAGGCGCCCTAACACGTCGCAAAGGCCCCAATACGGAATCCCATCGTTATTGAAGTCGTGCTTCTCGATATTAAACTGAGATTCCCCCTTTTGGTAGTTTGGTACAACCGTTCTTGCAATAGCCTGAGATGGTCTGAGCTGCTTGTCTGCATATATGGTGCCGTCCAGAGGGCTGCAGCGCGTATTAGAAATGGACTTCTGTTCCGAGCAGAGTCGGGGTAAGGTTGGATATTACCACAATCCTTTGATAAGATCTAGCATTTTCCGGAGGTCGTCATTGCCTGGCGATATTGCCCTGTCTAGCTCATCGAAGATCTTGGTTCAGGTTAGCATCAGGATTTTAAGGAAGTGTATCAGGAATATGAGCCTGGTTATCGTACTTGAGTAGTTCTGAAATTCCATGCCTCCTCCACGTTGAGAGTGTATCCACCTAGCCTCAAGGAAGGCTTTGCGCCTGCTGCCAAATTTAAAATATCCATTTTAAACTGCGAAGTTGTCTAAAGGAGAGCAACATTACGAAGAGGGAAAGGAGAAAAACTGTAATGCAGTTCATTTTATCATTAATATAGCCTGTTCAAAGACAAACGCACAGTAGACAACCTTGAAAGAGTACGGATTGCAGGTAATAAGAACAACAACAAAAGAAGAGTGTTCACGCCAGCCATATTACACGGCCACCGGAGGAACGACCACTGTGAGGGGCATGCTTTGACTAGTCCTCCACGACTTCCAATTTGATCTTGCGATATGTCGTACAGTTCAGGTAGACAAGGATTTCGTTCTCTGTTGCCGGGTGAATCACACGCTTGAGGGCATCAGAGAGATGATCTCCTATATAGAATCCTCCGTTTGTTTCGAACAAAATCAATCCTTCATCAGGGATGCAGGCTATATTCCGTGTAATTGGTCTCTTTCCCGGTCGAATATTGTCATCTTCGTCGAAGAAATCATCATCACCAGTGATCATTGCCAGCCATACATCGTCGACCCAGAAATCCCAGTCCAGCTGTTCAGGATCGCAGGTCCAAATCTCCCCCTCGGCGATAAAGGGCGTTTTGCTGTGAGGGCGGGGCTTAGCCCGCGGAAACTCCTTATTAGTCTGCTTAATTTCAGAGCTAGGCTTAGACTGTCGGAATCCATTAGTATAGGGTTACGTGTTTTTTGTGGGATACTTACTTCCATTATGGGAAGAGAGATTGAAGACGAATATACTGTTGACGAGATATCATGCAGGGGAAGCTGAAGACTTTATAGAACTGCCCACACCATAGAACATGCGCCGCACCATCGAGTCTCCATGAGAATCGTCAAACATTTCCTGGACCCATTCCTTCTTCAACTGGCCAGGTGGGTCTGTCTGGATCCTTGAATGACGGAACGAAACTGGCGGCACCCATGGTCCTTCTGCAACATGGAAGCCTTCAGCAGTTTGTTTATTTCCAGGATATTTGCAGTATCATACTCTGTTTTGATAGACGTGGATGATACTCACGGGACCTTGGGGATGGCCACGTGACATGTCTGAGGGGCTCTTCTTTCTTTCTCCCTCTCTCTCTTTCTCCCATCTTTCTCTTTTATCTCTTATCATCCGCGCTTCTCCTGTCCATCTATAAATAACTACAAAGCAACCCAGAAATCCTTCAAGATGCGAGAACAGAAATCTGTTGCCATAATCGGCGGTACGTGATGCCCAGATCCAGGATTCCATTTATGTATTTGCCACTGACCAACGCTCAGCCGGCATATTTGGCCTTTCGTTGGCTGTTGCATTGCGAGACAAGGGTTAGTCATCTCTTAGGTGGACCAAATCAAATCCTTGATCATTCTATTCACACCGATGCAGGCCACAAGGTTACTGTCTTTGACCGCGCCCAGTACGACGCGAATGGATACGACCCCGCGGCCGACGACGTCCAGGCCGCTTCTGTCGATCATAACAAGATCGTAAGAGTCTAGTACCACAGATCGATGAATCATCTTACTGAGCTACCTAAACCAGTTTCGCGCCTCGTATGGAACAAAGCTGCACTACCAGCGGCTGGCCATGGAGAGCCGCGACGCCTGGATCCTTGAAGATGAGAAAAGAGGATTCACCGAGCAAGATGGTCGCTGGGATGATCGCAGGCTGTTCTCATCTAGCGGGATGCTGCGAGTCCAGCCATCGGACTGTCTTGGTGCGCTGGAAAGAGAGACGCTGGCTAATATGGAACGCGATGGTCTTCGGGACACGCAGTTTGTCAAGAGTAACGCGGAGGATCGTCATCGTGCTGCAGAGCTTGGTTGGGATGACAAACTGCTTGACTTTGAGATTCCAGACACTTCGCCTTCAGTGAATTATGAAACAGTTCTTGATTCTCTAGCTGGCTTTGTGAGGTGTAGCAGTGCCTGCGCTTACTATAAAAGGTTAGCTGTCGCCAAGGGGGTAGAATTCTATTTCGGTATTGAAGGCGCGGTTGAAACGCTTGTGAAGGCGAAACATGGCTCTGACTGTGAAAGGGAAAAGGTTACAGGAGTGAAGACAAACGCCGGTAAAGTGTACAATGCAGATGTGGTTGTTGTTGCCGGTAAGTCCAGTCTTTGTCGTTATCCACACATACTGATAGCTTGTAGCCGGATCCTTCTCAACCCAGATTCTTCCCGACTTGAGCTACCATCTAGAGTCCTCCGCAGGAAGCATTGCCGCCTTCAAGATCGACCCAGCCGACAAAGGCCTGTGGGACAAATATTCCCCCGAGCGATTTCCCGTCATGACGTGGAAGAGCGTCCCCCGGGATAGGTCTGGGAAAGACACAGGCAGCATCTATGTTTTACCACGAACCCCAGAGGGGTTGATAAAGATTGGCTATCGTGGAATCAAAGTACGCGCAGACACGATAATCTATAACGAGACTAACGAATACCCAGTTCACAAACTTCCAGCCCGCCCCTGCAAGCACACCCTTCACACAAGACGGTCAATGGTCAGTGCCTCTTCTTCCGGAAGAGTGCTCGAAGCTTCATGAGTCTGCGGTATACGCCATCAACCAGTTTGTTTCAATCTTCCTGCCGGAATTCCACGGTGTCCCGTTCGAATTCACCAAGCTTTGCTGGTATACCGACTCTTTGGATAATTCTTTTGTCGTCAGTACTCAACAATCAAATCATGGCGCATATGCTAAACTGCCAATAGATCGATTACGTACCAGACTATGCAGACAACTCCGTGTTTGTTTGTACTGGAGGAAGCGGTCACGGCGCAAAGTTCCTCCCTATTCTTGGCCAGGTATTTATCTACGTCTCTTTCATACACCAGCTCTAATCTAGCCACAGCATGCGGCGGATATTCTTGAACATGGTGATGAGAGCACTTCGTACATGCGCCCATTTTGGCGTTGGAGACCAGATGTTCCCCGGCGGAATGGCCTTGAGGAAGGGCCCGATGGACCGCGAAATCTCAAACGGGGTTGATATAGTGGTTTGATAATAGAATCTAGAGGACACGGTATCTTTCACACCATCGTATCAGTCATTTCTATTCGTGCTATGGTAGGATGATGCAGGTCTGGACTGATCACTGTCTCGCCGGTAGCTGCTACATTATACATACTACCGTACTGCTTATCGACCCCGCAAAGCAAGAACCGCCAGCGCTCCCCCAGCCACCAGGTAAACCGCGCCTGTAAACATCTGAACGGGAAAATACGGTCCCTGGATACTTCCCGGATTCCTCAGCTGCAGCGCAATAACCTCGGCCACCGTCCCCGGCGGTACACAAACTAGCCAGAAAATCGCCAAGGCACCACCAACCTCCTGTAGCGCCACAAGCTCAGTCGCTATGGCCGGGGCAGCAGCCCAGATCGTCCCGGCCCCAATACCCGCGAGAATCGAGAACGCAAACAGGGACCCCCTTTCCCTGGCGAATGGCCAGAATACTATGCAAAGCACGCCGCACAGCGCAGTCGCTACCGCAGGGACACGGATCCGGCCGAATCGGTCACTCAATGCACCGACCAGAGGCCGGCCCAGTGCTTGTCCGAGATTCAGTAGTGCACTGGCGAGACTGCCTGTATTGGAGGAGAGTCCGATGGTCCGGGCGTAGCTGGCCAGACTGAACAGGAGCGATATATACCCAAGGACACTTAAGATTCCCCAAGTAACGAAGAGGAGATACCTATGTTCCTTCAGGAGCGACAGACGGATCTGCATCCGTTTCCTACCTGAGACCTTCCGCTCACGTACGAGCATCCCACAGACAAGATTCACAACGAACGAGACGATCCCCAGGACACGGAACGCCCAACGGAATCCCAGGGTCTGGATCATGCGGTTTGTTGCGAGGGAGTAGATGAGCCCCCCAGTCCCTGAACCAGCCGCGACAATGCCGTTGGCGATACCCCGACGTTTGCTGAACCATTGGTTTGGGATGACGACGGTGGTGATGAAGAGGCAGGACATGCCGAAGCCGAAGCAGATTCCCTGGCTGAGGAAGAGCTGCCAGCTGGCTGTGACGAAGGAGGCGCTGACCATGGATGCGGTTGAGAGGATGACACCGAGGGCGATGAAGCAGCGGGTGGGGATCCATGGGGAGAGGAAAGTGATGAGCGGGGCTATCAGGAGGGCACAGGAGATGCTGAGGCCGCTGACGAGGGCGTAGACGATGGCTGGGGTGCCTGGGAATTGGTCAGAGGAGAGGTAGAAGGCTAGAATGACTCCGTAGGCCTGTGAAGTTAGCCATTCTGCACGATGAGATGCTCGAAGCAGATACTCAAAGGGTAGTTACACTATTGATTCCCCAGGTATGGGCATTGATGAGGAAGATGCACAGCACGCATATCCAGCCATAGCCCCCTTCCGGGAAGTCATTGTCGACTGGCGCGATAACTAAGGAACGAGGCTTTTCCGAGCGAGGCATTGTTCAATAGTTTCCAAAGACAAACAGTGCCTTGACAGCCGATCAGAAGTTATACTTTTATACAACAACCGTCGGGGTTAGGGCTGGCCTCCGACGGATCCACCCCGATGCTGAGTCAACGCTCTCTGTTGTTAAAAACGCCACGCCCCCTCCGACACCTGTCGCTGTTATCTCCGGCTCCGATACTTGATCGCTATGTCTGATACTTCCTCCGCCCATGCCTGCGGGCCCTGTCGTGCTACCAAAGTGGGTTGTGACAAGTCGCGGCCGCGCTGCATGCGATGTCTTCGCAGGGGCCTGGACTGCTGCTATGCGCCGAAAGCGGCGCCCCTCGGTCGGAAGGCTGGTCGAGTGACAGTGAGTAGCAGTGACATTCAGCCTAGCAACGGTGAATCGCTCTGTCGGGGATCTGACTCCTCTGGGAAACGTGGGAGCAAGTCACCTCCAGGTTTTGTCCAGGTATAAGCACGCCTCCCTCGTCTTTGCAGTTGGCTCCACAGGATTGGCCTGGGTGTCATCATGTACCGAAGACACTGCTAATTGCTAATCGATAGAGGCGGAACCGTGTTCCTAAGGCCTGTCTGCGCTGTCGCCAGTTGAAGATCAAATGTGACCGGCAGCAGCCCTGCGGTCGCTGCATCAAGGCCAACGGCGGCCGTGACTGTCACTATCCAAGGCCGTCGACTGAGCCAGACAAGGAGTTTGTTCCACTGTGGAAGCAGACATTTCATAGTGGAATCCACTGGTCGGGACTCATTCAGAATGTATGTTCATTCACTTTCTATTTGGGCTCCGCTAATTCTTCCAGATCCAGAGCCTGTTGAAGCATCGTCGGTGGGCTGAAAACCAGGAGGCCGATGAGCATGTAACGTTCTCGTCTGGTGATAACATCTTTGGCAACATCGGCCCTCTGTCGAGTGCACCGCGGAGAACGCTACTGTCTTATATCCCACCAAGAGATGTCGCCCAGTCATTTGTCGCGCAGTACCTGGACAGCGTTGAGCCATTCCACCAGATCCTCCATGTTCCCACCTTCAAAGAGCAGCTCGAAGTCTTCTGGAGCAAGCCCGGAACTGTCGACGACGGATGGCTGGCGCAGCTATTCGCCATCCTTGCTTTGGGCTGTCAGCTACACTGTATAACTGCATCAACCAGCAAGGACATGGGGATATCGCCAGATCGCCTATTCGAAGGAGCCCAGGCGTGTCTGCAGCGAACGCCATTCATGATACGGCCACAGCTGACCAGTATTCGAGCCTTGTGTCTCTTCGTTATCTTCAAACAGACCAAGGTCATGATGACGTGCGTCGAATGCGACGCCCTCTGGCCTGCAACAGGCCTCATCGTCCGACTTGCAGTATTACTAGGACTTCACTCAACTGATTCAGACCAACACCCGCAGTTCGAGTCCAGCGAAACCACCGTCCGAAACCGTCTCTGGGCGGCGGTCATCCTGCTAGATCTACGTCAGAGCCTCGCAGCCGGAATGCCCATAATCCCACCATCAAGCGATCTCATCGCAGAGCCTTTATTCACAATCCACCAGCAGAACCCTGCCACCGGAACTGGAACTGCAACAGACCTCATCTTCCCCCTCGTCTACGACATCCTCCCCCAGATCTTCCGCATCCTGGAGCTAGCCACCTCGCCCCAGGTAACCCTCGCATACAGCCAAGTCGCCAGCTACGACCGCCAAATCCGCGCCCTCCTCAAATACCACGAAACCTCGTTCCTGACACATCAACACGACGACGCCCGCTTCCAATGGACCATGACGAACGTCTTCTTCCGCCGCGTCCTCCTCGCCCTCCACAGCCGTCTCTACCAAGAACCAGACGCCCCGACTCGGTATCCGGTGTCGTACTGGTCCTCGCTCGAATGCAGCATCTCCTTGCTCTCGACGCAGCGCGAGCTGTGGGATACCTCCTCCCAAGCACCGTCTAGTTCAAATCGAGAGGCAAAAACAGCAGGGTTCTTAGCCCGCCTCTTCATCCAGGAATTCTTCCTTGCCGTCGTGACGGTCTGTTTCCATCTAGTCCAGGAACAGGCCCCACTTGTATCTGGGAATGGACTATGGTGTCAGGGTCATGCGCGGCGGACGATACTGGAGCTGTTGCGCTCGTGTCGGGATATTTGGCGAGTGGAGAAGGGGGCGTCGGTTTGTCATGGCAGGTCGTTTCGGATGATTGATTCGATGGTGAGGTTTTTGGAGGAGGGGTCTGGCGAGAGTGAGCATGCGAATGACGAGTGGGAGGGTGAGGTGGTGTGTACGTGTGCTAAAGAGGGGTGTGAGATGTTTTCTCTGGAGTGGGTTGATGGGGCTGGGGTAGAGATTGCTGGATTAGAGTGATTGATGTCTGTTATATGTACTTCTGGAAAGTGTTCCTTCGCAGCAGCTGTTCATATATGCAGACTTGAGCACTTCTATCCCCAATCAAACAGTATATTGCTTTCGAAGTCACAGAGATGGAAAGTCAGTCACTGCACAATTAATCCGTGCTACCGAGGCATTGAATTAAGTAGCCGGATCTTCTACATATTGTGACAAATATATATATATTTGAGGTCGATCTGCCACAACTCCATTTGACGGCACCTTCAGTCAAGGATACAACAACTGCACACACTCTGAACTCTTAAAATCGGCTATCGTGTAGTATCAGCTCGATACGTTCAGTGTTCACTGTCGTGCAACGGTCGCGTGGGCGCAGTCCCAGATTAGCAGAAGAAAGTTAAATAGAGTGATCGGCAGAAGGCGCAGCATTAGGCTGAGCACAACTCAGGGGACTCGAAACAACACTTTTCATGCCAGCTAGCTTCATAACAACCGGTCGGATATTAATTGAGATGAATAACTGAATGATGCAACATGATCCTGGATGCAACAGAACAGTGTCCTCAGTCTCACTCCTCAATCTTCTGGAGGCTCAGATCAGCGCTAAAAGCCCTAACAGCTCCGGCGTTTGGGGGCCTTTTCCCCAGCCACTCATCTGCCCGGAGTCTCCACTGTCATTTCAGGGCGAAAAGCGACTGGCGAATGCGATTCCAGGGCAAATCCACTGCCTGGAGGTTGACAGTCCCGCGGGTGGTCCCTGCTCTCCCTTTCTTTCGTGATTCTGATTCAGTTTCTTCACCTGCACCACACCACTCGCCGCATCACCAAGACAACTCCCGCCTTATTCTACTCTCGTTTTTGTTTGATTTCAGAATGACCGACTTCGACACAGGCCCGCCCTATGGCTTCTACCTCCGCCACAACGGCTCCTGCCCCGAGAGCCAAATCCAATGCAGCTCCCAAGCGCAATGGTCCGACGACTACGGCGAGTGGTTCAACTGCTGCCCCGAGGACACCGTCTGCGTCGATAATACATGCTGCCCGAGCACCTCCGGTTGCAAGACGGCCATCGAGAGCGACCCGCACTGCGCGAACAATCAGACCTGGGACCTGTACGAGCAGGGCGGCGGGTTCTTCTGCTGCGAGCAGGGCACGATCGGGTATGTGAATAGCGGGCTGGAGGTGGGTGGTGAGCAGGCGAGTGGTGTTGCTTGTGCGGAACATTGGATGCAGGGGGATAATTATGATCTGTTGACTGCTCTTGCGAAGGGTGAGCATCCTTTACCATAATATAACATGGAGATGTAGCTAACGATTAAAGGGACACCCTCTCCAACACCAACGCCGTCCTCTTCTGCGTCAGCCTCAGCAACCCCAACGCCTACATCAGATTCAGACTCCGGCTCAGGCCACTCCAAGACCGCAGCCATTGTCGGCGGCGTCGTCGGCGGCGTCGTCGGTGGACTTGCCGGACTGGGCCTCATTATCGGCCTGGTTTGGTACGTAAGGCGCCGCCGACGACAGCAGGGACAGGTTCAGGCCGCAGACCCTGCGCTCCCTACAGCCAGTCAGGGCGCGCCCGTGAATGAATACAAGGGGGCATTTGGGGAGCTGCCTGATACGCATGTCCGATCGGAGCTGTCAGGGTCTCCTAACCAGATGGCGCATGAATTGCCTGCTGAACCGGCGAGGTAGATTCTACGGGATACGATGGTTCTTTTTCTTTATTTTCGTTTATACCCGCTGCAAGTCAGCTTAATATCTTATTGTTTCTGTACATCGCATTGATAGCGCTGCATTGGATCTACGATACTCTAAATCATGAGCGAAAGCTTTGGGTCGGGCAAGACATCCGATATGGTATTATGCCTGGCTCTATCAATATGTCCACGCAAACGGAACGGTCCGCTACTGCCACCGGATATACCCATCGCATCTTATACTCCTGTACTATGTCTGACTGGATCGTAAGTCTCCTAATATTGAGTTCAGAGTAGATGGTAGATTACTCTAGTTATACAAGGCACTAGATTAGTAGATATTATTGCTACCTAGGAAGCAGTTTAAACTCATTATCAGAGCCTGGTCCATAAAGGGCGATTACCAGACGAGAAATTGATATCAGATATATATCCACAACTCCTTAAACCAGACCCTCCTTCTTCCTAAACACCAACTGACACCCATCCTAAAAAATCAGCACCAACAACCAAACCAAACCAGAAAACAAGCACAGAGAGAAAAATAGAAAGAGAAACATACCATCGGAAACAACGTCGCAAACACCCTAATCTCCTCGGACCTCTCCGTAGGAACATGCTCCCAATCCAACTCCATCGCCGCCTTGCCAATCATCCCCGCCATCGACAAAGGCACATACCGTCTCGCCAGACAATCATGCGGGCCGGCCCCAAACACCAGCCAATTCCGCGTCTGCTTCTCTGCGTCCCCTGTGATCCAGCGGTCTGGGTCAAATACATCAGGGTTGGGGTATGCCTCTGGATCATGTAGAGCGGGGTAACAGGATGGGATAACCATTGCGCCCTTCGGTACTGTATAAGAATCTGTAATAGGGAAGGGCTTTGTGGCGAGATATGGCACGAATATCACCGGTGGTCTGTGGCGGAGGAGTTCTTTAATTACTGCGGCGGTGTAGGGTAGATTCTCGAGCATGGGCAGGTCGAATGGTTTGAATCTGTCTCCGTTTCGCGCGGCCAGGTTTTCATGCCGGAGTTTGGAGAGTACGTCTGGTCTCTGAGCGAGGATCTGGAAGAGCCACGTTGTTGCGCTGGAACTTGCGTCCTGCGATGCGAAGAGGAAGGTGAATAGTGTTTCGGAGATTTCGGCGTTGGTGAATTCTCGGATCAGGTTTGGTGGTTTGGGCGTATCTGTCTTTCCTGCGGCGATGGCGTCGTGGTACCTTGCTGACTCCATCATGTGTAACACCCAGTGGTCCACGATGCAGGATGGTTCAGCGCCGGCTGCCATATTGGCTTTGCAAGCGGCGGCGGCTTTGGCGAATTCAGCGTGTACAGCATCTGCGGTGCGTTTTCCTAGCCACGGTTTCGTGTATGGGATGTAGATTGACAGCGGGACATTGACGAGCTCGAGCGCCGCTGTGGCGAGGTAGTAGTCGTCTGCGATTTTCTTGACGGCGTCTTGGGAGATGTATCCACCGAAGAAGGTGCGGATGGAGAGGGCGCAGTTGATCTCGCGGAAGAGGGTCATGAAGGCCATGGGGCGGAGGTTGTTGGCGGCGCTGGCGGATACAAACTTGTCAAAGTAGTGCGCGAGAACGCGCTCTTGCGCTGGGAGGTAGGTTGATATGGCCCTGTTGGTGAAGAGAGGGGCGAGGCCGCGGCGATACTCGGTGTGGGCTTTGCCTTGGAGGAAGACCCAGGCTTTATGGCCGAGGATTTCTTTGGCCATGGGGACGATGCAGGGTTCGGCGTATGTTGGTGATTTGAAGACTTTGTGGGCCAGGTCGCGGTCGGATGCGAGGACGACGAATCTGCTGGTAAGCACATGAATAGACCTTGATGTCGAGACATACTTGTGGAAGATTGATACACAGCTGAGCGGTCCGCTGGCCCATTGTTCCAAGTAGGACTCGAACCTGGGGTGCAATGCTTGGATGAAGGGGCCCATGAGAGGGATTTTGAAGGCAGGCCCAGCGATAGAGCCTTTTCGCCAGATGTACATGACTGAGCTGTTAGATGTGCTTCCATGCCTTCTATATTGGAGGCATACCTTGATCATAGACAATGAGGCCGAGCAGGACAGTGACAACGAACTGCCACGCAGCCCAGCGGGTTACCGCGTCTGCACTGGATATGGATACAGACCATGGCTGCTCATTTGAGATATTATAAGAATCCATGTCAGATAGCAATCTTGAGCGACTTCTACGTATAACCGGACAGTCAACTCCCTTATACTTGTCCATGTATAATGCACTAGCTGGATTAGGCCTAGTCTCCGATTGTGCGCGAGCCTTGGCTGATTCGGAGACTAGTCCCGAACAGGCTAGGCTGCCACTGGCTGATTTCTGCTGACTGACACTGGCACTGACGCTGACACTGATTCATTCCCATTGCGATCGTTGACTGACTGGTTCATTCCTTATTGCCTGATTGTTACTGCCGCGCTGTTCTGCTACTGATTCAAGACACCGGCTGTGATGTGGACGTGGTTGAATGCCAGTGACTGCTGTTCCACCCCGTAAGTTTCCTGCCATAGTAAAAGCGACCCTGCGATTGGCCCTCGGAACAGTCTCTGGTGTCTGATCTGATATTTGATACTATCTGATTCTATCTGAAATGCGCCCAACTCTTCGCCGCTCCTGTGCTGCTTGTGCCAAGTACAAGCACAGCTGCGACCTCCGCACTCCCCGCTGCTCTCGCTGCATCAAGCGCAACGTCCCGTGCGTCTACGCGAACCAGCCTTTGACTGCCCCGGCTGTCACGCACAATGCAGCCCCTGCTGGCTTAAGCGAGTATACATTTGGCTCTTTAGACCCATTTGACTCGTACCCAGTCACCAGACTGCCCCGCGAACATGTACAGCGTCTGATATATAGCTGTACGCCGCCCCTACCGTTTGGTGGCGAATGCTGACCATGTAGTCCTGCATAAAATTGCATTCCAGTATTATCCACTCGACCTCAATGCAACATCGAATCCGTTCCTTGTCTCGTGGTGGCCCCTTGCCTTGGGCGACCCGGCACTTTTTCACGTCTCGCTGCAGACAGCATGTCTTGATGAAGAGCTACTCGCCCAGAAGGGCTTCCACGCGTCGGAGGTTCTCATGGCAGACTCTGTAGCGCTGCTGCGACGCAAAGTACAGGATCCATCATTGGCTGTTCAAGATGGGACTATGAACTCGGTCATTACCCTGGCTGCTATTGAGGTACTCTCCCGAGCTCTTTACCACTACTTACCACTAACAACCGTAGTTCGGAAAAGGGAATGTCAAGGTCAGCCAAATGCACGTCGACGGGGCAAAGAAGCTAGTAGAGATGAGAGGCGGGATCAATTCAGTACGGCAGACGAGCCCGTTAACTGCGCGAATGATCAGCTGGTATGCGCCCTTGTATGTTAATAGAACTGTTTTAACACTACTAGGGTATCGATGCTCGTAATGGGCCATCCCCAGTTCCCAACGCAAGACGACTTCGGAATGGGGGACGGGCTCCCCCTGGTCCCGGAGTGGCAGCTGGACATGCCGGACGACCCATACCTTGCAAACACCCTGGACCTCATAGACGATGCCGAAGTCCGCAATGTCTTTGCCCGCCTACGCAATGTCTTTAACAGGGCACACCAGGTGCCACTATCAAGCACACGACTCCACGATCTGACATGCTTCGTTATCCACCGACTACTCGCAACAATGCCACAATACCCGCCAACATCACCATCACCCACCACAGAAAGCATCCGCTACACCACCATCCTCTACATGTTCCTCATCCACGGCCCAACATACTACTCCCACGACTTCATAATGGGCACGATCGTCTCAAAACTCCTCACAACCCTCATCCACCTCGACTCCCACTTCCCAGTCTCCATCGACGTCTGGTTCCTAGCAATTGGACTGGCGGCGTCATCAAATACGCCGAATTATCAATGGTTCGCAGAGCGCGCACAGGCAATCGTCCACTCCCTGCAAATACGCAGCTGGGACGATGTCGTGATGCACGTGAAGACCGTTCTGTGGTTAGACACGGCGGATACCGTCCTGAGACCGCATTGGGATGGTATTCTCCGCCCGGTTGTAACGGATATTACAGATTTATCGGATGTTACAGATATTGCTGACTCCGATGCATTACCACATACAGTCTCCCCGAGTGCTCTTGTATTAAACTCAGATATACATACAATATAAATAAATACCTCAACTTAGCTCCCTAACCATGACCCAGAATGTCACGACCTATATAGACTATATAGATACGATCGGGGCAGACCAGACTGTAGAGTCTGGTTATAGTGATCTTTTGGCCCAGTTGGGAACATGCTTGCCCTGACACGTGCTCTTACATAGAATATATTATATTATTCCACCGAAAACTATTTATCAACCCACCCCCACTGTGCAAGAACACTCAGCAACACCTCAATCCATAAACACCCCTGCCCATCCGCACGTGCATGTGAATGTGTACGTGTATATGGAAACCCCTGTACCTGGGCAAGAGCCCACTCCAGCGCCCCGAAAAGCCTATACCCCTCTTTCCCCTTCGGCACGTCACAAACAACCAGACAGCACTCGGGACTGGTAGATGCAGCGTCTACAGTCTCGAGTTTGGCGGTGTCGTTTTGTTCGACTGTCACCGTGTATCCGGTTTCTGTGGATAGGATGTGTAGGACTGTGTAGAAGGGGGTTTGGGAGGAGGAGTGGGGCCCGATTAGTAGAATCCAGTGGGAGGGAGTGGGGGGTTGGTTTGGGGGTGTTATGATTGTTAGGGTTTGGGTGGGCATGTTGCTGTTCTTTCCTGTTGGGAGGTTCTGTTTGGGCTTTCTGGGTATGAGATGTGTGTTTTATATTATATTATGCATCATTGTATATTTCATTGTTTGAATAGTCTTTATATTGAATAGACATTGTCTCTTTACTGTTCATTCAGTACACGATAAAGAAATACCCATTGTCTCAGCCGATCCAAAATATTTCAACCCTGCAAGTAAACGTAACCTCAAGGCTGGACTAATATGCAGCCGAGGACATCCAGGCACACCAATAAAAACCGCAGGTCCTGACACGAGGGATCGCGCGATCTCGATGCGACACTGGCGTCTTGGCACGACAATACATAAATAAAGCTCCCCCAAGCCGAATATTCTAAACGATTGTCAAGCAAGATACACAAAGAAATGCATTTCCCACGCTTAGTTGGCACCGTTCTCGCCCTATGCATAGGGGCAGCTGCCTCTCCGACAGCAGACCTACCCATCTCAGCCCTGACAGATGAGGTAGAGTCCGACCAGTCGGTTCTCTACTACGGAACGAGCGGGAATACTTCTTTGCTTATTGGCAATGATGGCGGCGCTGCAACGGGTGGAATACGCAGCTTCGCGTTGACACCGCAGAATGGAACCCTAACCCAGGCTGCGGAGGTTACGCCCGGCCGGACAAAGACTGTCGGTGTGCTGTACAATATCGACAACCAGGGGAAGGATGTGGTCGTGTCAATTGCTGCCCCAGACTCCTTGATTCGGCTGTTCGATGTCAATAGTTTGAAGCAGGTTGCTGGCGTTGAGAAGAAAGCGCTTGGGGATTGGTCGTGTCTGTGTACGTGGGGGAACTATTTCTTCCTTTTCGGGAAGAAGGCTGCGATGCAGTTCTTGGTTAGAGATCGTGGAAGCCTGGAAATACTTGAGGTTGGTTTTTTTTTATAGATAGTTATATGTTACTGACTGGCGGATAGATTCAAACATTCCCACTGCCCGTGGAACCGAGCTCGTGTGCTGTCGCAGATAACCTTGTCTACTTTGCTGCAGAGGACGAGAATATCTATTCCTTTACAGCCGCCGAGTCTACAGCTACTCCTGAGATAGAGGTGCTTGGACAAGTAACCGACGAGATATCAGGACTGGGCGTTTATATATCAGAAACGCACTACGTCCTCGTCTCCCAGACAGACAAGATCGAAGTCTACACACCAGACCTACAGCTACAAGGCTCACTAACCGTAACCGGAGCAGAAGACATCGAAATCGCCGGGCTTTCAATCCACCAAGCCAATTCAAGCCAATATCCATACGGCCTGCTAAGCTTCGCCATCGAGTCAGACTCTGCCAATGGCTATGGCACCGCCTCGCTGGAGCCAGTATTCCAACAACTGAACCTGAAACCAAACACAACATACACCCCAGGACGCTCACCCCAAATCCCCGTCCAGAACGGCTTCAAGAACCAAGACGGAACCCTATCCTGCTTTGCAGGTTTCACCGGCCCACGATGCAAGACATTTACCTGCCCCAACGCCTGCTCCTCGCAAGGATCCTGCACCGGCCCCAACGAATGTCTCTGCGACGCCCCCTACGCAGGCCCCGACTGTTCTTGGCTAGGCACGTCAGCGAAATACGAAACAGACGCCAACGGTGGCGACGGTGATGATCCTGCGATTTGGATATCCCCCAACAGCTCGAATACATCGACTATCATCACCACGACCAAGTCAGGGAGTGGTGCCGGATTGGCGGTTTTTGACCTAAGGGGAACATTACTCCAGACGATTACGGCGGCAGAGCCGAATAATGTGGATGTGATTTATGGATTTCAGCATGGCCGGAGGAGGGTTGATCTAGCTTATGCGGCTTGTAGGGGGGATGACACTCTTTGGTACGACGACCCTATACCAGTATATATATAGAGAGAGAGTTGCTGATGCTTTTGACAGTTTGTTTGAAATCACACCAAAGGGCCATCTAAAGACTATACCCGGTGGAAGCCAGCCAACACCGGAAGACTACACCGTCTACGGCTCGTGCACGTACCGCTCGCCAAACTCCGGAAAGCAGTATTTATTCGTGAATGCCAAGTCTGGAGAGTATCTTCAATATGAGCTGCACTCTAACGGGACTGCGCTATCTACCACGCTTGTCAGGTCTTTCACTGGTGGTTCCGGTGGACAGCCTGAAGGATGTGTTACGGACGAAGAGAATGGGTGGTTATTCCTTGGTGAAGAGGCGCTGGGTGTATGGCGGTATGATGCTGAGCCAGACTCAGAGACAAATGGGACGCTTATTGCGGAGGTTGGCGGCGCGGTGTATGCGGACGTCGAGGGGCTGTCTCTGCTATACGGAAAAACAGCCGATAAGGGGCTTCTGGTTGTGTCGTGCCAGGGGGTGAGTGCGTATTCTGTTTTACGGCGAGAGGCGCCGCATGAGCATGTCCTTACCTTTACGATTGGGGAGGCGGATGGGGTTGATGGGGTGACGAATACGGATGGGGTTGCTGGTGTTGGGACGAGGCTGAACGGGGATTTCCCCAAGGGGCTGCTGGTCGTTCATGATGATGCGAATCAGCTTGAGAATGGTGGGACGGCAGAGTTGGCGAGTTTCAAGCTGGTTAGTCTGGAGGATATCCTGGAGGGGGTGGATGAGGTTGATACAGAGTGGGATCCTCGAGTGGTATAGGGCTAAGTGCCTGGACACCAAGTTATTCCATTGAGATAGAATATCTGATAACTACACCCAGTTAGGTAATTAAACCCGTTCTTCCTTCACATCCAACCCCATCTGCCTCATAGCATTAACCCCCGCCAACGCATCCGGCCCATCAAAGATCTCCGCAACCTCCTCAAGCCCCTTCCCCTTGGTCTCAGGAAAAAACAGCCAGATAAGAGCAAAATTGACTCCAATCACCACACACCAGACAATATAATAGCGCCACGAAATCGCATCCATCGCCACCGGGTTCGCAAAGCTATTATACAGCCCCGCCAGATTGCCCGTCAGCTGGTACATCATAGCCGCCTTGGACCGGAGCGAGAAGGGCACCACCTCCATGATGTATGTTGGCGCGACAGGCGAGCACATGTGGTACGCGGCGCTGAAGACGAAGATCATGGCCAGCACGCCCGCTGCGAACCCTTTATCCTCGAAATTGTGCTTTTGGTTCAGGGCGGAGCAGATTGTCCAGATTATATAGGCGATTCCCATCCCGCCCATTCCAGACAGGAAGAGGTTGCGACGCCCTGCGCGGTCGACTAATGTCGCGAAGAATGCGGCTGTTAGGAAGCCCCAGACAGAGAGGCAGGCGTTGATAATAAGCTGGGTTTTGGCGTCTGTTACGTTGATCGTGTTCAACACTTTGGAGAGGTAATACGAGGTCAATGCATTTCCGGACCACTGTAGCATGGCCGGGATATACAAGGCAAGAAAGAGACGGTGTCGGTTTCCCCTGGTAGAAAGCCATTCTGTCCAGCGAGACAGGCGCTGCGCTTTTTCCATCTCCAGTGTTGCTGTGATTTCGGCCATTTCGAAGCGGACGAGCCGGCTGTTTGCGTCACCGTGGCCGTGGTATTTTGTTAGGATGGCGAGTGCTTCTTCGGACCGGCCTTGGTAGATCAGCCAGCGGGGAGACTCGGGTGCGAACAGACTCAAGATGGCTTGGGTTAAGGAGAAGAAGCATTGCAGGGCGCTTGGGATTCGCCAGCTCCAGGAGGAATTGGTCATTTTGAATGTGCCGTAGGTGACCCAAGCGGCGATGAGGGAGCCCAGCGGCCAGGTAACGAGATAGAACGAGACCAGCTTGCCACGGTGAGTTGGATATGCGACTTCAGTGAGTAAAGGAGGTGCAGCGGTGGCAACGATTCCGAGACCGAAGCCCACGATGAATCGAGACAGGACGAACATCCCGTAGTTGACTGCTGCTGCTTGCAGGATTCCACCGACGATGATGATCAGTGACCCCCCGCAGATTGGGTATCGACGGCCATATCTCTCGCAGACCTGCGAGGATATCAAGACTGAAATGAGAGTCCCGCCGGTAGGGCCAAAGGTCATGGCTCCCAGACGGGTTCCTGTTGGCTCGCCGAAGTAGCTTTCCCACTGGGGGAGTGATTGCATGCCATTCAGCATGCTGCTGTCATAGCCAGAGGCGATTTGGGTGAGAAGAGCACAGAGTAGGATGGTGTTGAGCTTGATGAGGGTGCCATCTCTGTACCAGGGCTTGCGGTCGTTGGGGATGACGTCCTTGAGCGCAAGCCCTTCGAAGTTATCAGAGTGAGACAACATGTTGATAGTGAATGAAGGAATACCTTTGTTCAGTGAATTAAAATGAAAGAGTACCTTCTTTAAGGGTCTTATAGCCCCCGCAATTGAGAATCCGGGGTTCGGGGATGTCGGATGGAAGATATAGGGCTTTGATCCTATTAGCGGAATTATATACTCCAATGCACCAATCGATGTTGTCTCATGAAACCGGGATTCGTCCAGGATTCTGCGGGGTATTTATACCCGGACCAGCCTGAAATATCACATCATCATCGTATCATGTCTGCTGAAAGTGATTTTCTGTTGGAGGTCTTCTCCGAGAACGTGGTAGCAAAGGTGCTACGCGTAGCCACAGAAGCACTCAACAACAACGTACGCTATACAGCTTCAAGTGTATATCATTTCTTCTTCTAACGTGATAGAACCCACCAACCGTCTACCCAGAATTCGTCCCCCAGCATGAAGGCACCGGCCGGTACGTCCTCCGCGACGCAGACTTCTGGACCTGCGGCTTCTTCCCAGGGCTTCTCTATCTGCTGCGCGAGCGCGCAGTCAAATACCCCCAGGCCTTCATGAACCGCAGCGCTTCAAGCAGAACTGCCTTCCTGGATGAACTAACTCAGCTATGCAATATCTGGACCAGCCCAATCAGGGCCATGACAACACGCACGGACACCCACGATCTCGGGTTCATGTTGCAGCCATCGCTGCGTCGAGACTGGGAACTCACCGGCAACGCCTCAAGTCTTGACGGCATAATCACCGGCGCGCGCAGCCTCGCCTCCCGGTTCGTCCCCGGCGTTGGGGCAATCCGCAGCTGGGACGCGTTGGTGCAGTCAGACGTCAATATCACAAGCTTGGAAGACGACTGCCTCGTTATAGTGGACAGCATGATGAATCTCGATTTGCTGTATTACGCCTCTCATCATGTTGCCGAGCCGGGGTTGGCGGATATAGCCACCAAACATGCTCGTACGGTTATACGGTCCCTTCTTCGACGGGAGAGTCGGGACGAAGTTGAGGGTCCACTATACTCAACATATCACGTCGCAAACTTCGACCCGAGGACAGGCGGTATAAAAGAGCACCGCACCGCACAGGGGTATAGCAAGGACTCAACCTGGGTGCGTGGACAGGCGTGGGCCATAACGGGGTTCGCACAAACGTATACCTGGACGAAGGAGAGGGAGTTTCTTGCTGTTGCCTGCGGGTTGGCGGAGTACTTTATCCTTCGGTTGGAGGGTTCGCCGGCGTGTGTGGAACGGCCGGCACCGACGGAGGATGATCCGCGTAGGACGGTTGGACGGTATGTACCGCTTTGGGACTTTGATGCGCCGGTTGAGGATGAGAATAGCCCGCTGAGGGATTCGTCTGCTGGGGTTATTGCGGCGAATGGAATGTTCGTTCTTTCGGCGGCTTTGGGTGCGGATGGCCAGGGGGTTTTGGCGGAGAGGTATAGGAGCATTGCGGTTAGGATTGTTGCTGAGACGATTGAGTATTCGCTGTCCAGAGAAAAGGCGAGGTTGGTAGGGCTGACAGTGGAAGATGAACTCCCTGGGGAGCGGTTTGATGCGATATTGAAGAACGCAACGGCCAACCACAATTCCAAGGACCATCACCGGTACAGCGACCATGGACTGGTGTATGCGGACTACTATCTGCTGGAATTCGGGAACAGGCTGTTGGGGATGGGATGGTAACAAGCTGTCTTGGTCGATATTGTCCAGATATCAAGATATCAATCAATCAAACAAACGCCCAGTAAACACGATATACCGCACAACCTCTTCTCTGCACGTCCTACACACGATAATCCCACAATTTGTGCACCTGTAGCGTCTGCCAGGGGGCTCTTGGATGCAGTCCTCACATCGACCAAGGCCATACACTTCCCTCCACTGGAGATGCTGGCAGTTAATCCCAAGACCGTGCAGGACTCTCTCTGCAACCTCGTCGTGGTCACTGATCTGCTCGACCTCGCTTTCGTCCTCAATCTCGGTCTGTTCCTCGCCCTGTTGCTGGCGCTGCTCATTAAACAGTTCGCCGACAAACTCCTCAGCCCTGCCCTCGACTCCTGGATCGAATGGTGCATCCGCGTTAAAGACCGGCTGTCCGATGGGTATACCGATTGTATCGATATTGACGCCTCCGTCGCTCTCGTCGCTTTGCTGCTCTATATATTCAGGCGCATCATAAAACACATCCCTCCCCTGTTCAGCCTGCTCTGCATCTCTCTCCTCCCGTACCCGATTTTCCTCATCAACCTCACGCTGAAACCCTGCATGCTCCGAACTCATATCGCGCTGAGATGCTTCATGCTCTGGGGTCCTATCCCGGTGGTCGTAATACACGTCAATCAATTCCCCTATCTCACCCTCCTCCTCATCCTCATCATCCGCATCCCCATCACTCCCCTTGTCATTCCCGACGCCTTCCTCAGGAAGTGGCCGAGGTTGCGATCGACCTCGAATGACAGAATCCGACACAATGACAGGAAGCGCGCGAACAGAGACCTCGTCCTCGTGCCGGTGGTTCATATCCCATTGTCGACTACATGTACAGCAGACAAGAACACCACAGCGACATCTATCCAACGTCAGCTATCATTTCACAGACTAGAGGATTGGGAAAGGAAAGCTACCTGATATATAGACATCCATCCGTCCGCTCTATCGCACGCCTGCACCGATAACATGTCGTCCATGTTCTTCCCGCCCTCGGCGTGTTGGAATTGTACTGACAGCGCCCCGGATGCTCTCCGTTCTTGCACCGCGCACAAGTAATAGCTGTGCACGCCGGACACGTAGCAATAGTCCCGAGGATGGTAGCCGGGTCGATGAAAGTCCGACAGTAAGGCAGATGGCAATACGTCCGGTCATGCACTGGGGCCTGGAATTCAGCTCTCTTCCTCTCATATTTCTCGATCAATTCGGTCCGTAGGAAGATACGCGCGTCGTCGAACGGGATGGGCGGTCTACTGGGACAGCAGCGCGGGGGGAAGCAGGATTCGTCACTCAGACCCCTCTCGAAGAGGCGGTTGATGCATTCGCCGCAGCAGTCGTGAGTACAAGGGAGGATGGCGATGTCGGGGAGGCTTTTTGCCTGGAGGCAGATGTTGCATGGGAGGATGAGGGTTGGGGAGTTGTCCCCGCGTTGGAGTGCCGCGGCGGCGGACTCTGGTTGTCCTGTTTGTTCTTGCGTGTGATCTTTGTCGTCGTCTGCCGGAGGGCTCAAGATCCCCATATCGACCAGCGTCTCATCGTCGGCGTATTCAGGGTACAGGCGTTGCCACCATGGATTTGTGATATTGGGTGCCGCGTCTGCGAGAGAAGGGTGCGTCCTGCGCCGGCTTGCGAGCGGGTCTGGGGCGGCTTGGAGCTTTGCGAGAGGAGTGCCAAAGGGGATTTCCTCGTCGGAGCTGTAGACATGGTGTGCGTTTCGGTCACTCTGGGTTTGTTCGTCTAGGGAGGCTGATGCTTGGTCGATGTTGTCGGGAGCAGACATGATCGAAGATATGTGGATGAAGGAGTACCTAAAGCAAAGGTCAACAAATGATAAACAAATAGAAAACTTCCGTTGAGATTTGTGTGGATCGTTGGAGATATCGGTGGTCAGTTGAGACAGTTATTCTAGAAGAAACCTACGGCTATCAACATGTTCTAGAGGCATACTTATATCCATCAACAACAAGACTAGCATCAAGCGAGAGAGTCGTGTCACATTGGAATAAAGACATTGCCCCTCTATGCAAACAGACTGACCTGGTACCTAAATATGGTACCAGGCTAATCCATCATTGTTGTTGTGAATAACATCTGCAAAAAGCCCGTCTAAATTGAACGGATCTCCACTACATTCACCTAGTTATGGAAGCATTATATACCACGGTAAATGGCTTCAACGCAGCCCATCCACTTGGATGGTCTTCTCGCAGTACATCAAACTCGTTGTAAAACTAGAATAGAACTTGAATGTGTCATCGACCACCTTCACCGCTGCGTCTGGTTGAGCCAGTTGATGTTAGCACGGCGGCATATCGAGATACCGTTGAGAGCAAGCTGGTAATTGTTAGAATATTGCTAATGGACAGTTTGGTAAGGTTTAAAGAGTGCAAAGCGTGGAGGAGGCTAACTAGGCGAAGTTGGACAAGTTCTGGCCCTGCAACTTATTGAGGCCAGGTCGATATCCCACTGGCTCCATATATTCCAGAATTTAAATACTTCTCATCCACCGGGGAGGCAACTACTACTAGTCTACTAGTACATTTCCTAAGATGTGCCTTGTCTCTTGAAAGCCTATACTACTTCATGTCTAGTATATGCTGTCTTATTGGTTAATGTCGCAGCTGATTCTCGTGGTTTAGTAATTTTATTAGAAGGCTAGCTTGAAGGCGCTTCTTTAAGTATTAGTATTCTATCTTTGGCAGTGAAAGGCATCACACTTCTACCATGTGAGCATGATCTCTCGTGCACGGTAGTATCTCGTCAAAACATATCCAGTCATCTGTGAATTGTTGGACTATGAAGTTATATGCCATTCATATCATGATCCATCAAGGGCCCTTCGAAGACCTCTTCTACAAACAGCAGCTCGGCAGCAAGACCTCCTAGAATCCCACTCCAGGAGGACCCCTAAGCGGCCCGGCTCTTTTCCCAATTTTCATATCCGAATATACCTGAGGTGGGATCATGCTTTGTAGAGCTTATTGTCGAGCTAGGTTAGCTAACGCACAATAACTGATCACCAGAGATTCATCTGTTCACATACCTTCCCTTCTAGCCTGTCTACTCTCGGCCATATCAAACCACAATCTTAACACCCACAACGCAACAAGAACGTCTCTCATCTCCCTCTTCATCGGAGCTGTAACGACCAATTTCTTCACTTCCTCAACCGCAACCTCCCTCCCATCTGCATTGGCCCCTATATACCGTGATCACTCGCTCTTCTAGTTTGATTTTGGCTTAATGTTGAAGAGTTGCTGACACTGCTGGTTTTCGGTTTCCCCATCACTGAAAAAGAATAACGGGCTACTTGATGCGGTTTTGTTCGGGCTGAGTAGTGCCTTAAACTCTGGTTTTTGCAAATAAACCCTCCGCATTGCCAGATAGTACGGTATTACTATACTACAAGTTGAATTACAGTGCCCCCTTGTAAATCCCCTTCCTCGCCTGCCAGCTCCGCAGCCTCTTTCCATAGACATAGACTGGTAGCGCAAGCAGGGCCAGGAAAAGCGAAGTCCCCCCAAGGACGTACATCATCTCGGCCGGTCCCTTATCAGCCACCCAGTCATTCGCAAAGTCGCTCAGCCCGTAGAATAGAAAGTTCTAGCAGCACACGTTAAAGCTGTGCGCCAACGACCTAAGCCAGGCAGACTGACCTTGAATACCATATTCATGATGAAGATCTCATTCGCCTGGGACTTGAACGCATCGAGGCCGTAGGAGAGGGTTGAGAATATGCCGACAAGCACGCCGAACATCATGACACCCTGCAAGAAGGCACAAAGCATTGCGTTGGCCCCGATCGACATTGTATATCCAAAGAGGAACATCCCAACTGTGCACGCAACTCCGGCGATGGGCATGAAGATGAGACGGAATTCCGGTTCGCTTGGAACCACGGTTAGTGAGTGTCGTTGCTCTAATCCACAAAGTAGAAAAGGAACTTACTATATCCCACCATTCAATCTTCCCATGTACTTAATGGCAGGGTCACTGCCCCAAGCTACGGCAATGGATCCAATCATCCCTCCAATAAAGGGCCCGGTGCCGAGGTACCCGATTTGCGCAGCGTCATAATACCATGGGGGGCCGGAAAAGACCCCAGAGAGAATGATGGATGAACCGACGTACCAACTGTTGAGGAGGCCCGATGTGAGAATTGAATAGCACGCAGCTGGATTTAGTAACGCCACGAGCGGTCCCACGAAGAATTTGTAGACCTCCTCGTGAGAATAAACCCCGTTGAACACTGCGAGCTGTTGAAGAAAGGTCCTTTTGGTAGTATTCCCGGTAGCTGCAGACGATTCACTGGCCTTGGCAGGCTCTTGGTAGACTTCCACGTGAGACGAGCCTTCTTTAACTGTCTCGTCGACTGCCACGGCCTCTAGAGCTGCGTCGCCTGTTGCCGCTGCAGGTTCACGCAGATAGGTCGTCTCAGGGCAGAAGAGAAACATCCCTACAAACTGGATGACAAGAAAGACCTGAAAGAGATGGAACAGCCAGTAATATCCAAGACTCGTGTATACCTGGCCACAGATAATAGAGGATAGACTTGAAGCGGCATTCAAGATGAAATTAATGACGCCAATCCGCAGGCCTCGTTGATGAACGAAATATGTGTCACCAACCGAGGCGATGATCAGGGACTCGAACGCGGTGGTAGAAAACCCTTGAATAATCCGAGCAACAAGAAGGTACTTGTACTCCATTCTCGCTTCTCCTACGGCAGTTCCAATGATCGCGAGGAGCGTGGACGCAAGGTATACCGGCCGCTTGCCGTACTTTCGAGACGCAGCACACGCGAAGGGACCAGCACATCCGGCGGCTAGTAGGTTGTACCCAGAGGCAAGGACAACATCTGCCATTGGAACATTAAGTTCTGAGGCAATTGGAAAGTAGGACGCATTCAGCAGAGGGCCCTTCAAGAGACGCTAATTAGTGGCCAGATCCGTCAAATCCCCCCCCTGGGATGACCTAGTGACTCACGTTTGTCCCGGCATTCAACATCGCCCCAAGGCAGAGAATGACGATGTTGAGCTCCTTTTTCCAGCCTGGCCAATTTAGCGGGTCGTTAACGTCGTCACTTGGCTGAGGTGACAGGACGGTATGTCCAGCCCCAAGACGAAGCTTGGGTTTCTCATTTTCTAGACCAGCAGCAGAATCGTCCAGCAGAACAGTCCCAGGCACGTCGACCATATGGGAATCTATTGTCGGTCAGAGACTGCAAGGATTTAGGCTTGTACCGCACGAACCTCCCAGAACGCCTAGTCCCATAGTGGCCGAGAGTACAAGATAGCGATGAAGGGTAATCGCACTGATAGGATGTGCCGCGCAAATCTGGTGTCTGGAACTTCCCGTTTGCTGGGCTATCTTTATACCATTCCGGCATGGAGGTACATTCCCGGGTTCTCCAATAATACCATCAGACGCATTCAAAACCGGGGGGGAACCGATCGTATTGTATTTTGGGGCTTCTGGAGACCAATCAGGGCCAGCGTCGCAGGAATAAAGTTTCTCCCCCGGACACGAATCAGTTGTTAGTGTGGGGTAGTCTGCGGGGAACGCTTGTGGTGATGAGGCATCAATACGAGATAACTAAGACGAATTTTCCTTCAGGTACTTATTAGAGGGGTGAGCGAACCCGACTGCGGGGCTTCCCTCCCCCCCGGACCTGTACCACAGTTTACTCTGGTTACAAATCGGTTTCAACTTCATACCCCGCAGATTGCCCTTGACGATCAGAGGAGTAGACAGTCCTCTGCCACATCTGCAGCATGCGCAGGATCACTACTTGTATGGAATTTGTGATTTAAGCGGGGTTAATCCGTAGTTGTGTATACATGTCGGGGTTAATCCGCGTGTACATGCGGCGATAAACTTCAGCGAATTTACAATCAGAGCCATAACAGAAGGTTACCGGGTCAGTCCGCTCAGAGCAACTTCTTTCCGACTCGCTGCTCTGGTTTTACGTTTTGGAGTCCTTGGCAAAGAAGCTAATGTTAAATAGCAAGCCTGTTCATCTGTCGGGTCCCAGCTTCAAATCGTTTCCAAAATTTATAGCCCTTCCTGTCTATTTTTACCGCAGATCGCTATAAAATGACCATTTTGACACCTGTCTGTGGTCTTTCGGACTATAAAACGATACTATGTAGCCTCATTGGGGCATATTTGTTCCTCTGGGTTATATATGCACGCACAGTTCATCCCTTTGCCAAATATCCAGGGCCCTTCCTGGCATCGGTTTCGAGGTTATGGATCATTCTGGATGTCATGCAGGGAAGTGCACACAAGACGCAAGCAGAGTTGCACAAAAGATTTGGTATGTGTAGCTACAGGCTTTCACGTTGATTCGACTCTGATATCCATGTTATGACGCTGTCATGTTAAAATCTTGAGAATGAATGCTAACTACAAATCAGGTCCGATGATTCGGATTGCCCCAAACGAAGTCGCTATCTCTGATCCACGCGCAATAAAAGAAATATATGCTGTGAACTCTGGATTCACCAAAGTAAATATCCCATCATTAATCTATACCTTGCAACGCTGACATTTATCAGACAGACTTTTATCTGCCGTGGAAAACCAAATTCTGTCAGTAGTATTTATTGAGACTGTCCAGTATTGAGGTGAATGAAGCTGATATCTTCTATAAGCTCGCTTTCCCGATCACTTTTCGCAAACTGATGAAAAGGCCCACGGCCAGAGAAGGAAGATTGTTAATAACATCTACTCAATGACGAGCGTGGTCAAATCGGAGCCTTTAATTGATGTTTGCATCGAACTGTTCATGGAAAGGATGAACGAATTTGCCCACAAAGGTCAGTCTATAGATCTCGCTACCTGGCTGCAGTGGTATGCCTTTGATGTTATCGGAGAGCTCTATTTTAGCTCCATGTTTGGCTTTATGAGAGAACGGACGGATTATGGTAATTACATCGCATCTCTTGATACTTTACTACCCGTGCTTTGCGCTGCTAGCGTAATGCCTACCTACCTCAGGGGCCTGTTTCTTTCTTCTGGTATGCTATTAAGCTCAGCCAGGAAAGCACTCAAGGCCCTGCAGAATATTGAACAAGCTTCCGCAACCTGTGTTCAAGAGAGATTACAGTCAAATATAGTTGAAACTGATACCAGAGAGGATTTTCTCGGCAAGTTACTCGCAATTCATGAAAATAAAGGCAAGGAACAAGATTTCGACCTAGCAAATGTACAAACAGAAGTGTACAGTGGATTGTGAGTGAGCCTATTTTCTAATCTAGCCTAGAGTGTACTTTACCTATTAACTCGCTCTTCATGATGCAGGTTTGCTGGTAGTGATACAACCGCTGCAGCTCTATCCTCAATCATCTATCATGTGTTAAGCAATCCCGTTATCTACGCCAGACTTACCAAGGAAATTGATGAAGCCACGGAAGCCGGGAAGCTCAGCTTCCCGCGAGTAAAATATACCGAAGCCACTAAGCTCCCATATCTTGTCGCATGCTGTAAGGAGGGTATGCGAATTCACCCCAGCGTTGGTTTGACATTGCCACGGGTTGTTCCAACGGGAGGGTGTCGCATTGCAGGACAATGGATCCCCGGTGGGCTTCGCGTTGGGGTAAACGCTGCGGTAGTCCACTTCAATAAAGAAATATTTGGAGAGGACGCAGAGCAGTATAACCCTGATCGGTGGTTTCGGGAAAATGCTGTGCAGATGGACCGACACATGTTCCAGGTATGTTTCTCCCATAAGCTTCGGTATTTGGATCCATCCTAACAGAAAGACAACGAAATCCGCAGTTCGGTGGCGGCTCCAGGACATGTATTGGAAAGAATGTGGGTCAAATTTTCCTTTTTTCTCCATTGGGAGCGACACATTGTTACTGACATAGACAGATCTCCCTTTGTGAGATTCAAAAGCTTGTTCCAGAGATTCTCCGGACCTTTAACATCACGCTAGAAGCTCCTGAAAAAGGGTTCAGGTCACTCAATCACTGGTTTAACAAGCCACTTGCTCTTAACGTGGTTATGCAGAGGCGCGAGCTTAATGTTTAATGCTCATCGGCCATTGAAAATATTCGATTTTCCCTCCAAGGCTAGATAGCCCTAAGGAACCAATTGTGTTTCCTTTATATCGAGGCGAAATTTCTTAGATACCTTGCAAAGAGAATTCACCCGGTGGAGGTAGCGAAGGTCTGAAATGAATACATATATTGAAGTAGCATGCATTACCCTAGGTTTTATTACATGGTCTCTTCAACATTATAGACAAGCTTCCCCCTGCTCACCTTGTCTCCTTCAATAATTACAGTCCTTAAGGCCGTCATTTCGAACGTGGGGCTGGACCTGGGATGAACCTTGATGCTGGCTGGTAGGAGCGTGCAGTACGCGCCGCCCTCGGTAGAAACAGCCCTGATGCAGAAGCTACTGCTAGATTCAACTTAGATACAGTCGAACATGAGCTTCAGGTTGTTATTGGTCTGCTTGTTGATTGTGACAGTGGAACCCTCCTTGGAGAGGGCTAGTTCTGACCAATACTCCGGCTGTCATATCCAAAGCTATGCTATGAATATACAGTCTAAGAAAGTTCATCAAGCATTTCCCCACCCCCTCTGACAGAGGACCAGCAAGTATCCATCCGGGTCTCTAATAGTAACACCCCACTTCTCCCAATACACGTTCGGGTGCTTGACCCGTTCCCCGCCGGCCTGAATGAGTCTTTCGACAACAGCCGAGTCTATCGAGCCATCCACATAGATAACCAAGAGATCCTCCTCTGTTGGTGTTGGCAAAGCGCTTCCATCGCCATTTTTGTCCACAAGTACTAGCTCCAAATGCCATGCAGCGCCAGGCCAGCCAAGCATAAGCAGCTCATGCCCGCCCTCAATTTCGTGCGCAGGCCCTTCAGTGCGCCAAAGCGCTTTGAGGCCAAGGCCTGTTATATAAAACCGTTCGGCGGCTTTGAAGTCCCGACAAGGGCGTGCAATGCGGATGTGCGAGCTTGCGTTTGGGCGGAATCCTGTTCCTGGAGTTGGGGCTATGGTTGGCTTTTCCGGGGTAGTCGAGTGGGCGGCCATTGCTGCAGTAAAAGACTGTTTATTGGTGAAGACGATAGTCCCTTTGAGTTTGTAAAGTCGATTTCTGGTCTGTGATCTAAACGCGTTTACGGATGCTTTTATGTTTGTCAAGTGCGGGCTGGAACAGTTCGTATTTGTCAGCGATGTAAATGCAGGTTGAATACGTGAAGACCACCAAGTCTATTCATGGAGATACTTGAGATAGTCAAGCCAGTTACACCAAGAGAGCCCGATGGTAACACTGCTGTAGAAGGGTTATTATTTATTACAAGTCAGTCTTTACCGTCGGCTACTACACCCGACAGTCTACTTATTGATACTACTGGTTCGCTCTATCGTGAATCCAATAATTCTGGGGTAGACTTGTTAAAAAACATAAAAAAATATTATCGTTGTTTGCCCCTATCCATGAAGAACAGTGACCTATCTCTTGACCCTCTGGATCAGCCACCGGGTTCGTGGGTGGAGTTTCTTACCTCGATCCTGGCGGATCCATCTGCGTATTTGCCTCTTCCTTCGCTCCTTGAGATCGATCTGCATCTGTTCAGTAATTAAATATAGATCAAGGTGGAGAATATATTAAGACATTATCCTATAGGGTACGTCAGAAGTTAAGTATATTTATACAACCTATCAAAATCTCCAGTTCTTAGTATTATATTAGTTTCCTTTTACTATATTATTTAAAACAAATATATTGGGCGCTAGAACGTGAGCATACTCTGTACAATGATATTACAGACTCGGTTTTAGACTGATCTAGATACGAATCATAATAACTATTTATATCTTAAGATCACTGAGAGCAGCTATGTCTGGGTAAAAGTGATTACTCGGGTGATATCTTGACTCCCTGTCAGGTATAAGAGCTGGGATAAGATATATAGAATACCCGGGGACTTATTATACTTTATACTCATGTATATACTATGTAAACCATCAATAGTATTTTTAGGTTAATATTATCTTAGGTATTACAGTACAGCGCGCGGTTAATCAGCTAGTAGAATAAAGGATTTCTCTGTAAATCAAAAGCACCATCGCTACGCCACTACTTTCACCGCATCGCCACTTAGCCTGGATGATCAACTGCACCCACTGCAAAGGAATGACCGACCAGCGATGAAGGAGTGGCCCGAGCCAATCTGGTGGATAGGAGTTCAAGACATGTAAGTTGGAGACTGGAAGAGATAATGCTAGGGAATAGTTACTCCACAGATTCCGTGAGATTCCGCGAGATGCCGAGCAATCCCTGATGTTGCTACTCCAACTGTGTCCAATTCCTGGGGTATTTGCGGGGTTGGGCAATAGACAAGGAATGCAATTAGCCAAGCCTGCTAACCCTTCTTGAGTATAAATGACTCGTAACCCCAGAGCGTCCGGTCTACCGCGCGAAACGACTTGGACTGCTCTGACGGCCCTCAGTATGACTCTTGAAAAGCCCGAGGCTAACGACATCGAAAAGGCTTCCATTGACGGAAGCCGTCGAGTCTCTATCCCGAAGGCAGCGAACCGGCGGATTCGCCAGGCGGTATGAACCCTCCATCGCGGACTGGCACAGTTATTGGCTGACAGACAACCAGTTCGACTGCCGCGTCCTGCCCATCGTTTGCTGTCTGTATGTGCTGTCGTATCTGGACCGTGGCAACATCGGCAATGCCCGAACGGCGGGGGCACAAGATGCACTCGGACTCAGCTCCTCGCAGTGGGCGTGGGTGCTCAACGCGTTCTATATCGCGTACATCCTCTTTGAGTGGACGACTATGTTCTGGAAGATATTCCCTGCACACATCTACGTAGCAACACTCTGTATTGGGTCAGTCGTCTGAGCCTACTTGAACTCAAGGTGCTGACGAGAAGAACAGCTGGGGCGCAGCTGCGATGAGTTCTGGCGCTGCTCGAAACATGGCCGGGTTGGTCGTCTCCCGCGTTTTCCTGGGCATCTTCGAGGCAACATTCGGTGCCGGGGCGCCTTATTTTCTGTCGTGCATTTATAAACGAGAGGAGCTCGGCTTTCGCATGTCCATCCTGCTGGGCATGTCGCCGCTCGCAAACACATTCGCCTCTAGCCTCGCCTACGGCATCACTCACATCCGCGGGTCTTTAGAACCATGGAGACTCTTGTTCATCATAGGTATTATTCTGTCGTTTGATTCCGCAGCCCATGTGCTAACAGCAACATCAGAGGGTGCTCCGACCGTCCTCTTTGCCCCGGTCGTCTACTTTTTCCTGATTGACTCTCCTTCCACAGCCAGGTTTCTCACCGAAGAAGAGCGGACATTCGCTGTCGAACGTCTACAAGTTCGCGATACCGCGTTGAGCCAGGCCGTCAACTGGAAACAGATTATCGCCGGCATGTTAGACTACAAGAACTACGTCCACGCCATCATCCACTTTTTCTGTAACTTCTCTTTTGCGGCACTGTCGAACTTCCTCCCCACGATTGTTGATAGTATGGGCTACGACTCTGTCACTGCCCAAGGCTTAACAGCGCCCGCGTACTTTGGCGCGTTCCTGCTCTGCATCCTCGCCGCTTTTGTCTCGGACAGATACGGGAGCCGTGGGTTCATTGTTGCCGGGTTTGCGGCGATGGGCGCTACCGGGTACGGCCTTCTCGCCGGTATCCAGGACATGGAGAAGACAGGACTGAGATACCTTGGTGTATGGCTTGCCGCGTGCGGGATCTTTCCCGCGCTGGCAATCAATATCACCTGGCTGCTCAACAACCAGGGCGGAGACTCGAAGAAAGGAGCCGGGCTAGCTATATCCCTGATTCTTGGGCAGTGCTCGTCTCTGATCAGCAGCACCGTGTTTCCTTCGGAGCATGCGTACGTTGAGAATGGCCTTTGCTTTGTGACCGACGCTAACGACAAACAGGCCCTTTTTCACCACTGGCTGCGCCATTGGGTGTGGCATGAGTAGCGCGATCGTGGTTCTCGCATTAATCATGTATTTTGCCTTGTCTCGAGAGAACAAGCGGAAGGACGAGCTGTACGGGCCTGTGGATGCCCATGTCGAGGTGGACGTCTCCGAGGAGGGGGACTACACCCGGAACTTCCGATACTTTACGTAGTCTAACGTAGATGATATCGGCGAGGACATGATGTCGTCGAGACTGACCTCCAAACTGCAAACATATCATAATTATTAACCTGTTCTGTTATTTGAAACCATTACATCGTAGCTCAAACTATAAAATATAACGTACTTTACGTAAACAAGGTGCCCACTGCCCATTACGCGAACTAATTAAAGACAGTTTCCCCGCGTTAAATAAATTTACCCCAGACCCCCAGACTATGGCAACCAGGCCAGACGGCGTACGAACTCTCGGCCCAGGAAAATGAGCTTTATTCCCATAACCCGTACCAGCAGCACTCGCAATAAAGCTCAGCCAGCTCGCCGCGCGCGTGATTATACGCGCACCTTCAAGGCATGCGACACTTGCAGGAAGAAAAAAACAAGGTGCATCCTAGATGCCCCCGAGGCCTCCAGGACCCCTTGTCGAAAATGCAAGCGTGAGCGCAAAGAATGCTCCTTGTCAAAAGCCGCCAGTTCCGGTGGCATGCATGCAAAAGAGCCATCGAATGGGCTTGCATGCAGTGAACTCGAGGATTGCATGATGGGCATGTCCTAATTGCCATGTTTGTAGACACAAGACTGACTGGTTCTAGAGCAGGTCCAGCTGGAGGGCCATGTATCGCCTGTTACGAGGGCCCATTCAACTCCATCGAGCCATGGACAACCTTCTAACTGTTCTCTGCATACTCGAATCCCAGACTTCAACTCAATGGCCTCCGCCGTAGGGGGTGTAGGTGAGAGCGATACGACACAAGCGGTCATTCAGGCCTCGATATCCAATGACGGTGACACCATGCGAGTTCTGCAACAGTCCTCGAGGCACCAGGACAATCTGGAACAGGGGAACGGCCGTGACCACCCCCCTCGTCCGACGGGGTCATTCATCTCAGAGCCTTGCCATCCAAGCAGCGACATCCTCCGCCTCTGGAACTCGCTACGTTTTGTACGGATGGGCTGGCTGACTGCAAACGAGGCAGTCTCGTACGTTGACTTGTGAGACTTGCGCCGCACACCATCTGATACTCAACAGCTGACTTTGTAGATTTTTTCAAAATCTTTCGCCTCTATCCCCAGTCCTGGACGACCACTACAGTCACCACGAAAACCACTACTGGCTCATCACCCAAGAGCCTCTTCTTTGCTGCACCATTCTCATGATCTCCTCTCGCTTCCACGCCCTCCGCAGCACGAGCAGCTGGTCGCGCAGCGTCGCCCTGCACGAACGTCTTTGGGAACACTGTGAGCACCTCGTGACACGCATTATCTTCGGCCAGGAGAAGAAATCCAAGGCCAAAACGCGCACCGTCGGCGCCATCCAGGCCCTCATGCTCATTACAGAGTGGGCGCCCAGAGCCGTCTACTTCCCGCCAAGGTCGGACGGCTGGGACTCGGATTTGATCTTCCAGCTCCCCGACGACCGCGACCATCCCAGCGGCAATGCAGCAGATGTGGCGCAGGATATCAACGGGACCTGGTTCCGCGATGTGATTGCCCCCGCAAGAAGGATTGATCGCATGGCTTGGATGCTCCTCGGATGCGCCGTCACCCTCGGCCATGAGATTGGCATCTTCGACGCGACCAAGGCCAAGATGGCCGTCGCTGGCTTGGGATCCCCAGAACAGCAGCGGCGCCGCTTGTGCTGCTACATCTGGCTGCGGAAGGCCATTTTCATTGCGGATGAGCAGTTCTCAAATCGACTGGGGTCTACGTCGCTGATCCCGTCGAGCTTGAATTCGTCTGCCTTTGAGCCTTTGCCACTGGCCTCAACTGCGCAGGTCGAAAAGAAGTGTGTCTTTATTGATGGCCAGCTAGCTCTGACGCAGTTGGCAAAGTCCATCTCGAGTACGCTGTTTTCCTCGACCGCGGCCACGCGGGAGCTCATCCAGAGCTACAAGTACGTGGGCAGTATTGAAGGTTTCCAGCAGCAGCTTCTAGCTTGGAGAGAGGCATACCTTGATAACAGAGGTAACCATCTCTCACAGCACGCCCGCGAATTACTCGCTATAGAGTATCAATATAGCCGCATTTTCCTCAACAGCCTCGGAATGCAAGCCGCCGTCGACCGGTCCGCTGACTTCCTCACAAGAGGCCAAGATACCACAAGTTCATCCGACCAGACTCCTTCGACGTGGGTCCGGAATTTCGCGGCCTCGACCGATCTTCAGTTCGTCCTTGAAGTGATCGACGGAGGCTGCCAGATCCTGCAGAGCGCCATCCGCCTCGCCGAAACAGGCACACTGCGATACTGTCCGACTCGCGTCATCGTGCGCGTCATTGCAGCCTCCGTCTTCCTCGTCAAGGCCCTGGGATTAGGCGTCGAGCGAACCAGGTTGGAAGCGTCGCTGGACTATTTGCAGCGTGGCATTGAGGCTCTTCGCAATAGCACCTGGGACGATGTTGAGCTTGCTTCGCGGTATGCCGCGGTACTAGCCCTGCACCTTGAAGAGTATAAGCGCAAGTTCGTGCTGAAACCATGTCGCCAGGGCGTTGAAGCGACCGACCCAAATGCGTGTGCAGTTTCGGTTGTGGATGAGCCTATTGCAAACGGCAACGATGACGCGAGCCTGGTGGACATGCAAGTCTTCCAGAATCCGCAGGACTGGCTGTCTATTCCTCTGGATATCTCGATGGCGCCTTTTGGAGCTCATATAGATGAGGATGAGTGTGCGGGACTTGTAGGTTTGGAGGAGGGTGACTGGAGCTTCTTGTGGAATCTTCCTTCATTTCCTGGCTAGACTTCACCCATCGAAGTTGTATATAATTAAGGAAATAATATTAAGAATGAACGTATCCGAGGTACCGATGCAATCAATGGACAAATCAAGGTACCTCTGTATGTGCAATCACGCCAGTATCGCCATTTGTCTCACCATTTACAGCGCCAGCGTACTTCCGTTCAAGATCCTATCGCAACGATTAGCAAGGTGGCAATCCGAGGGACCACGACATACCCAGTACTCGGTGAAGCCCACGCCCTTGCAGACATCTTCTGCCGAGAGGATCGTAGGCGGAGCTCCAACAGGCATACTCCCCTTGAGAGCACGCAACGTCTCCCGGATGCTCTTCAACTTGGCAGCGACAAGCGTGAACGGATACGCAACAACGGCGAACCCTAGGTCTGCCAATTCCACGGCAGATAGATTCTCTGTCAAACCCCCTTCGATGACTGTAAACGGGTTAGGAAGATCTGTTAGGAAGGCTCACACGTACTGTTGGCCATCATCGGCACTCTAGTCTCCTTGATAGCTCGCCCCATGGCAGCGCGGTCAGGGAGGGCCTCGACAAAGACGGCATCCGCGCCGATTCTGTGGAATTCCCTGGCTCGATAGACTGCCTCGTCCCATCCAAGGATGAGAGCGTCCGTGCGAGCCAGGATGAAGATGTCAAGGCCGTTGTCTCTAGCATCACAGGCAGCCTGGATACGCGCGAATGCTTCTTCGCGAGAAACAACCGACTTTCCTTTCGTATGCCCACAGCCTGGTTGGTTCATACTGTCAGCAAGCAGTCGGTGCCATAGGTATGCGGGTTGCGATGCGAGGAACGTACGCTTCGGCCAGGTCTGGTCCTCGATCATGATACCCGCCGCACCCGCCACAGCGAAGCTCTCAACAGTGCGCTTCACATTCACCGCACTCCCGTAGCCAGTATCGCCGTCCACCATGATGGGGATCGACACCTGCCTTGCCGTTTCCTGCACCTTGTCGCACATCTCCTGCATTGCGATGTACCCCGTGTCGGGAAGCCCGTGGGTGCTCGCCACGGTGTATCCAGACAGAAAGAGAAAGGGGAATCCAGCTTCCTCGACAAGCCGCGACGAGAGCGCGTCGTAAGAGCAAGGTGTGGCGAGGATTTTGGCCTTGTCGGCCCATGCTTCTAGCGTCATGGATCGCAGCCGCGATGCTTGCGCGGAGACCAGCCGGCCTCGCGAATTGGGGAAGGTTAGGGTTACGGTTTCAGGGCCGCTGCTATGACGCTTTGTCTTGATTTCCCTTCCTGTTTGAAAAGTGAACGGGTAGGGGACGTCGTCGGAGTATGGATCTGTCATGTTGTTTCGATTACTGGGCAGGCTCCGTGAATGATGAGATTACCACGTACATGCTGCGAGTTGAAGATCGAAGGCCGGTATTATAAGTAACAGGCGTTGACGGAATGTCGACGTCGATTCCCTGAGATCCCTGACTTTTCCGTTATTTCCCGCCAGGTCCCCGTCTACCCCTCCGGCATCCATTATCGGGACTGTTCGCTGCGGAGAGCTACAAGCGCAGAGTATCCTGCCACCGTGTATACATGACCATCGGCTGATTAAGGGTCGTTGGGACGACGTTAGCCGTCAGAAGGTTTGCCGTGTTGGGCATTATTGGGCAATATATTATAAAGGATGCCAAAGCACTCAAAACCTCCCCTCACCTGGCGGAGAAATTCCAGAGGCTGCAAAGCTCTAGCTGCGACTGTCAGTGTATACAGTAGTAGTGTGGTTCACTCAGACCTGTGGATTTAGGAAGAGGCTGTCAAGGTTAGTATGATCCAGACTCTATATACAAGACCCGCAAATTGTTGAGTATTATCTGTGTCAGAGCTGGCCAGACGAGAGAATGCTACCGGTCAGTTAATCCTGCATCGATAGGGGCTTTGTCCTTTTTCTCTAGCCCACTCAGCTGCAGCTAACCAACGACAGCTCCCACGTCATCTGTAAATTCAACTGCAGTACGGCACGATTTCTTACCAGCAGTTGCTCTTGTAGACGAGACTACCGGTTCACTTCCAATACCGCCGTTAGTCCTCGTCACTGCTCTCCTCCTCGCTCTCTTCCTCCTCTTCCTCCTCTTCCTCCTCTTCCTCCTCTTCCTCCTCTTCCTCCTCTTCCTCCTCTTCCTCCTCTTCCTCCTCTTCCTCCTCGTCCTCGTCTTCCTCTTCCTCCTCCTCCTCTTCACCAGCTTCACTACCGTCACTATCGGTCTCTGTCTCTTCGTCCTCAGTACTATCCGCAGACTCTTCCTCTTCATCCTGATCCGGGAGGTCCTCCTGGTTGCATAAGCCACAGCCGCAGTCGCCACGACGATCGCTGTCATCAGTATAGTAATCTTCCTCATCAGCGCTGGCATCATCCGTTCTGCCATTTTTCAATCCTTGGATCCACTCGTGGATCAGCGATTCTGGACTTGGCCACATCGCGCGACGGACATCCTGCGGAAAGACAGATCCCCAGGGCGAGATATATTCCTCCTCCGAGCGATTGTCATCGAAGTGAGTAGAGCCAGAAAAGTACTTCCCCCTCAAGACGGTGTAGTCGTAGCCTAGCCGCTGCGCGCCTTGCTTCTCCCAGTAGCGCAGGGTTTTCGCGATCTTATGAAGTTCCAAATCGTCCAAGTCCACAAAAACGAATATACAGAATGCTTTTGCTTATTTATGATACTTTGGTCGTCCTTCTGTATCTACGGCAGTTGGCGACTTCCTCCGGGTCGCGAGGCAGCTGGTCGTGATGTCGATATCATCATGGAGCATTCGATTAACTCTGCTATCCAATCCTCCCGTGCTATATTTCTATGTACCTGACTAGCTACATCACGATAGAAGCCTGTTGTCTAAACGCGATGACTTGGCTAACTCCTTTTTGGCGTTGGAGAGCCTGGCCTCACGCGTTATCGGTGTCGTCCGGCGTCGATCTGGCTGCATTTGAAAAGAGGACGACGAGATAAACAAGAATAGGAACCATCGCCGATGACTTCTTGAATAGGTTTTTTGATGGTCTGCTAACATCGCCGCAGCCTTCCATGTGCAGTTACTTTTAACCCGGAAAGCCTCCGGAGCGATCGACCAAAGTTGGCGGCGCCGTCGATTTCCACATGGAGTAATTCTTGCTTGCCACCGAATGGATCCAACGCTGACAGTGGAGAGACCCCATACTAAGAGCATAGCCGGCCAATCTTCTGTATGCCTGTCCAGCCGGGCCTCCAGATCTGGGGCCCCAGACTCCAACAACCGTGTGGTTACTAGACATAAATACTCACCCAGGAGCCTGTTTGTACGTTTATACCACGCAGCAGTTGTCCCATCTGATCAACGCAATGAGTGAAGACACCGGAAAAGAACCTGACAAACGAACAGTTCCATCCTCCGAACATGAGGAAGTCACGGATGAGCTTGCTCACTCTGTCGCCGCGTACGGACCAGATGGCGTCCGAGGAATCTTCTCCTCAGGCTATGTGTTTGGGGCTGCATTGCTGGCCTCGCTTGGAGGGTTCTCCTTTGGATACGACCAGGGTGTTATCTCTATCATCAACGAGATGACCCAGTTTCATCGAGCGTTCCCGCAGACGGAAACTGCCTTTGGCACGAGTTTCATGACTGCGATGTTGCTGCTTGGGGCATTTGTTGGTTGTCTGTTCATGCCTTACCTTGCGGACAGGATTTCCAGGAAGTGGGCATTGACGGTCGTTGTGATTATCTTTGATGTCGGTGCTATCATTCAGACAGCTGCCCAGGACTATGGGATGCTCGTCGCTGGGAGAGCAATTGGAGGTATCGGTGTGGGTACTCTGGCTATGGTACATACTCATATAACCTTTATTCTTTTCTGTCACTAACCTTGTCCCAGACAGCGCCGCTCTATATCTCGGAAATCTCCCCGCCAAACCTTCGAGGCACGCTGCTAGTCCTGGAATCCGTCTCGATTGTCTCCGGCGTCGTCATCGCGTATTGGATCACCTTTGGAACTCGCCTCCTGGAGGGTGGGATTTCCTTCCGACTTCCATTCGGCTTGCAGATGGTCTGTGCAACGCTCCTGGGTGTCTGCATACATTTTTTCCCGTACTCCCCGCGATGGCTTGCACTCGTTGGCCGCTCGCAAGAATGTCTAGCAAGCCTGGCCAAGCTCCGGAATCTACCATCTACAGACGAGCGCGTGCAAGCTGAATACCAAGGTATCCTGGCGGAGATTGTATTCCAGCGGCTTGTGGAAGAAAATACTCACCCTAACGTCAAGGGCTGGAAGTTGGAAATGTGTACCTGGCTGGATTTGTTAACAAAGAAGAACTGGCGCCGCACAGCTGTAGCAGTCGGTGTCAGTTTCTTTCAACAGTTCTCTGGGGTCAATGCGTTCATATACTACGCGCCATCACTCTTTCAATCTCTCGGTCAATCAGGAGAGATGTCGCTGATCCTATCCGGGGTGTTTAATGTTCTGCAGCTCGTTGGTGTGTTCATCTGCATTGTCACAATTGACCGAGTCGGACGCCGCCCTCTGGCAGTTTATGGTGGGTTTGCGTGCGCAGCCTGTTACATGGTTATCGCTATTCTCAGCGGTCTGTTCTCCCAAGACTGGACCTCTCACGTTGCAGCTGGCTGGGCGTGTGTTGCGTTTGCCTTCTTGTTCATTCTCGTCTTTGGTGTCTCATACTCTCCACTAGGATGGGCCCTTCCTTCGGAAGTATTCACCACAGCGTCCAGATCCAAGGGAGTCGCCTTGGCCACCTGCATTAACTGGCTCTCTAATTTCATCATCGGGGTGATTACGCCCCCTATGATGGAGACCCAGGGGTACCGGACATATATCTTCTTCACGGTGTGGTGTTTCTTGGCTGGTGTTTGGGCGTTTCTGTTGGTCCCTGAAACGAAAGGGAAGACACTAGAGGAGATAGATGATGAATTTGGGGATACGCAGGGTCTTTATGAGAGGGAGCTTATGAGGGCTGCTGTTCACTCGGTGAGGCAGGGTGTGGCCGTTGATGAGCTCAGGGTGTAGATATATATTATGCTTTTGGGTATTGAAATTTGCCGGCCTGAGGAAGAATTATCTGGCAGAGTCTGTTAAATTTGTAGAACATATCGAATATATGATATATGGCGGCTGTACTAGCAAACCCGTTAACAACAAAATAATAGATATGAGACCTACAATGGGGGTAAGTCAACTTCTCTTGCAGATAAGAACACTGGGGTATTCCGGCCCGCCCCAATGCCAGCCGACATGTATCGCTACTTAGTCCCAGAGTTAAGGATTTCAAAGAAATATCACGGACCGTGCCCCAAAAGGCCGGATGCAGCCACATCCACCGAGTACTCATCACATCGTCACCATATATGCTCGGAATCCTTCCAAACTCCCTACAAATATTGCCCATGACCCAAACATTAAAGTAAGCGATCTGTCCCTCGATGGCATGTACTTGCTAAACATATGCCATACAGGTCATTTGTGGAGACTTGACCGACGCAGAAGCGTTATCCAAAGCAGTCGAAGGCCAATATGCCATTGTATCGCTACTTGGTCCGACTAGCAATGTTGCGGGTACCCCTTCACAAATGCCTATCACTTGAGTTTTCCCTTGATGAAGCGATGGGGAGTTAAGCGAATCCTTTCAATGGGCACCCCAAGCATCCCTGACGAGCAAGACGGATTCTCAATCATCGCCTTCTTAGGTGTCACTTTAATTCGGATAATTGCGAATTCTGCCTATAAGGATATTGTTAGCGTTGGAAAACTCTTTGAGACAGAGGCCACAAATGACGGATTGGAATGGACCATATTCAGGTTGGGATTCTTAGGTAATGGTGCACCGCAATCATCTAAAGTTGGATATGTCGGGAAGAATGGTTGGGTGATGAAGAACCAAAGAGCGGATATTGCAACATGGTTGGTGGACGAGGTCGAGAATGATAACTCTGAGTGGATCAGAAAGAAGCCCTCAATCTGGTCATGAATGAGACGGGTGAATACTGTACAGGATGGTTTTTACTTTTTTATTCTTGTGGGGTGTACTGGCACTATTTAGTCCCAGGCTTTTATATATATAAGTATCTTGCTCTCTTCCATCCACGGACTATAACTATATCATTGATTATTTTTTAACCGTCTTTTCTAAACCCACTCCTAAACACCAGACCGAGTACCAACAAGATAAAGGTATTGACTGTTCTTTGTGCATTTATCTTTGCTATGTTACCCGTGCAAGTGAATGCCCCTGTGTATGTAGATATAGCAGAATTATTAAGCCATTGGCTATTTGACCAGCAAAGGAGAGCATAAATGGACATTCGACGGAGAAACCGCTATTATGGTATCCCAGTTACGTGTATATATATATAGTTTCTGTTCGAGTATAGACGCAACCTGGCAACAAATTTTCACAATCACCTTATCCTGGGACGCCAAACAATAAACAATAATAGTTCTATAGTCGGTCCTGGTGGACCTATCTTCCAATCCCATAGAATGGCATCAATACTAGTTCTTAATCCCCCACAATTCGTTATCAAATGGGTAGTCGGTATATCCATTTTCTTGCATCGGTGTGTAAAAGGTATCACGGTCATATTTGTTCAATGGAAGCCCCAGACGAATCCGATTTGGTAGATCAGGGTTAGCCAGGAAATGGCGACCAAAAACCACGGCGATATCGTTATTCTTGTAATCCACGAAAGCAGTGTCGAAGTTTGTTGCGTTGTAGCCGCCAGCCACAAGCACAGGTGATGTCTTGCCCCAGATATCAAGAAATGTTTCAATACCTTCGGTCTTTTCGGTATCCACATTGTTGATGACACGGGACTCGATAATGTGAAGGTACGCAAGTTTTAGTTCCTTCAACTGTTCCACAAGGTATGTGAACTGAGGAATAGGATTAACCATCTTCATTCCTTGCCAGGTATTCCAAGGACTGATGCGAAACCCGACCTTTTCGGGCCCAACCGCATCTACTACAGCCTTGGCTACTTCAACGGCGAATCTGGCACGGTTAGGCACGCTCCCACCCCATAGATCAGAGCGCTGGTTCGTGACATCTTGCAGAAACTGGTCCACCAGATATCCATTGGCACCGTGGATTTCAACGCCATCGAATCCAGCCCGAACAGCATTCTTCGCAGCAGCCGCGAAGTTTTGAACAGCCTCCGTAATCTGCTCGAGGCTTAACTCCTTCGGTGTATAGTCTGGCCTGGTGGGATCTATCGGGATGGCGCTTGGAGCCAGGAGGTCATAGTCCCCGTCCTGTTTCAATGTTGCGGGGTCGGCTGCCCGGCCCAAAGCGATTAACTGGCAGAAGGCATAACTGCCCCTGGCGTGAATTGCGTCGGTGATTTTCTTCCAGGCCTGGATTTGAGGTTCCGACCATATTCCAGGGCCGTGGGGGACCCCACCTTGGGCGGCAGAAATCTGGGTGGCCTCGGCGATGATTAACGTGCCTGGAACAGAAGCACGCTGTTCGTAATACGTGGTAGCGATAGGAAGTTGGACATGTTGGCTGTCAGCGCGAAGTCGGGTAAGCGGTGCCATAACAACGCGGTGCTGTAGCTCCACCGTGCCGATGCGGAGAGGTTGGAATAGTGTGGACGCCATGACCGGCGGACTCAAGGTTGGTGTGGTAAGATTGGATATATCAAGATAGGAGAAGTTGATGATCTACTTGCAGATAATTCACTAAAGAATGGTAAACTGTCTTGTACACCACTCATTTATTTATCTCTGTTATCTTGATAGAAATCTGATTTATAAGCGGTTTGCCTCAATATTGTGCTTAATAATGAATGGTGAGTTAGCAAAAATTTCCGAGTCTTCCAAGGTTACCAACTCGCGATCTCCAACTGTCTCCAATCTGCAGCCAAAAGAAGAAAGTGAATGTGGGTCGGTCTGTTCCCGAATAGACAATTTACCCCAATATCCAGGAAGTGTGTAACACGTGACCTGCCGGCGGAATGATTGCACGACCCAAGAAAGATGCGGGGATTCCAAATTGGGCAACCCTTACTGACCTCTCACTTCTCCAGATTTCCCCCAGGAAAGATGGCCACCATCCCGGAAATCGGTTCCATGTCCCCTACACCTCCTGACTACCAAGCAGTGGCAAGGCAAGGGACTTGCATGCACTGCCACCGTACATTCAGGCGAAAAGAACATCTCGAACGTCATCTACGAACACGTGAGCCTAGTCCTGCTTTACAAGATCTGACCCTGGTTATGATAGAGTCATCTTAACTGAATATCTTGCTAGATACCAAAGAGAAGCCATTCAGATGTGGCTGCGGGGCGGGTTTCAGTCGCCGCGATCTTCTCACACGCCAGACGAGATTAGCCCATAGGCAGGCGTCGGAGCCAGAGTGCACCTCGCCTGCAAGGCAAAGGCGTAGCGGTGATAACAACGCTTCTAGAGAAACCACCACGTCTGTAGCACGAGACCCGTTTGTATTCTATGTGCCACCACAACCTCTGGGCCATGGCTGTACGGACACTCCCATCACGGCCCCTGCGCCACAGCTCCAAGGGCGTGCCGCTTCATCTTCAGCAGACCACCCTGACTCGAATGAATTCCCCGTCACTCACACCGAACCAGATGCACTGAACCTGCAGTCTGATATTTCTGGTACCCGTCAGTTATTGGGAGACCCACGCAGTGTAGACCCGAATCTAACTCTAGGCGAATCGCAAATGTCGGAAAATGTGCATCCTTTTGACGAATTTGCTACTTTTTTGGATCTCATCGGGTTACCAGCGGAATGGGCTCCGGCGGGGATAGATATTCCCAGTGCTATCCCTGAGGATAGTGGTGCACGCCTGCCTAGTTATGGCGAAGCAGATCCTGCCGCAGAAGAAGCTGCCCCAGATGACTCGCCATTCCAGGCATGGTTGCCATCGGTTCCCACAAACGAGGAGTGCCTCCATGCCTTCAACGAGCTGCGTATGTCCTTCACTGATATATAGTAGCGCTAGTTCGATTAATGTGTGGAGTAGCTTCGCACCCGCGGCACGAGCAGTCCCTGCCCTTCCGTGTCAACGAAAACCAGCGGGCCCATATCATGGCATCGCTGGAAGGCTCCCGAAGTAGTATTCCTAACTTCTCGTTGCCCTCACGGCACACTATATCTCGCTACCTAGTGTCCTTTTTCCAGGGATTTCATACACACATGCTTTTTTTTCATTTACCCACTTTTGAGCTCACCAACCATTCCCCAGAGCTTATTCTGGCAATTATGGCCGCTGGTGCCCAATATCGGTTTGAATATCAGAATGCGGATTCATTTTTTCGTGCGTCTAAGATTATTGTAACAGGTAGACTGCAAGCCTACGATATACAGAGGCCAGAGGTCTGCACCGCTAGTAATGGCGGCTCCTGGATGACCGCATTCGAAGAACTTGAGATCATACGTTGCTTGCTTATTCTCATGGGATTCGCAACGTGGCAGGACTCGGCGATGCTTCGAGAGGCATTCAACCTTCGGAACTTATTGATTGAGACTCTTCGTTGCTCGGGTTTAGAGGAACCAAACATGCATTCGCCACTCGAAAGGATGGACTGGCTCCGCTGGGTAGAGCAGGAATCAACCCGCCGAGCCAAGCTGGCAGCCTTTGGCTTTATTGACATCTATAGCATCGCATATAACAAGTATCCGGCTATCCGCAGCCATGAGGTTAAATTACGCCTCCCATGCCAGACGAAGCTGTGGGACGCTCTCAATGCAGCAGATTGGTTGGCAGCGTACGAGGTGGTTGGTCAAGAACAGCTTGTTTACCATGATGCTCTGTCAAAGCTCATGCACGACCCCCCTTCCGTCCTGAACCCGATACCATCGCCCTTGGGAAACTTTTACTTACTACATGGGTTGATACAGCGCATTCATATCATTCGAGAACTCGCTCTCGACCTCGGTGACCAACCGGGTGATCTCCCAGAGGACGAACTGACCCGCCTTAAGTAAGTCGCAACGCCCGCTGTTTCAGTCCAGTCTGAGATAATCCGTTTTTATTAACTAACCACTTATTCGCCTGCGTGGCTAGGCGGGCTTTGCGATGCTGGACCTCAATGTGGCAGCAAGCCCCCGAGTCTAGCCTTGACCCAGCCAATGAAAACGGACCAGTCCCCTTTACCTCAAGCTCGATGCTTTGCTTAGCATACGTGCGTTTGAACCTAGATTTAGGCCCATTCCGCCAGCTGGAAACTCGAGATCCGTCACGTATTGCTGCTGCACTCGCACAGTCACCACCAGCCACACGCAGTAGCCACATGATCCCAGCTCTTATCTATGCTATTCACTCGTTCAGCATTCCAGTCCGCCTTGGAATAGACTACATCGCTCGTAGTCAAGCGTTTTTCTGGAGCGTACGCCACGCATTATCAAGCTTTGAGTGTGTTATCCTCCTGAGCAAATGGCTCATCGCTTTAGACATTGCCGGAGGCACGAAATTAAGTGGTAAGATAGGAATCTCCCCAAGCCTTTCTCTAAAGCTGCCCAGGATCTAAACTATTCCACTGACTCTTTATTGGGAATAGTAAATGAAAGGCACATTCTTCGATGGACATCATTAGTTGTCGACGAAGCGTTTGATTCCATGGATCTGTATGGAGGAAGCTGCCCTCCGAGGCGGAGCCCGGGGGAGCTTGCCCTTGGGGTCCTGGAAATATGGTCACGGTTCTTCAAACATAACTCACAGTGGCAATTTATCAATATTTTAGGGGAGAGCTTGTTCATATATAGAGCTCATCTGCAATCTAGCTTGAGAGGTAGCCCATAATAGCAGTATCAAATACATATCAGCGCCTCGACTTATTTGAGAATTCTGCGTTGTGAAGCTGGGCCCCACGATTTTCTGGGACTAACAGACAGGAGTATTTTTCTGTGAGCGCATGTTGGGGACAGCTTTGTTGCGTTCATAATGGATGGTACTGCGGGCTCGGTGTGCTGTCACAAACCTCAGTTCACTTAAATATCATACTGCAGCATATGAATAAGCTACAGCAGAATACTATATGATAACTCTTATTAAGAATCAAAACCAAGTTACTGAACCTTACTCCGTTTCGTAAGTGTCTAAATCTTTTAGATTTAGTTTCCTGCGCAGGTTTGAACCGATACCGAGCGATATAAAGATGGGACCTAACGACCTAACGAATACATCATTGTTGGTTTACTGTTGATATCTAACGACTCCCTAGGACCACTCTGACGGTCAATAGTAAGTAGAACAATAAGCCTACTTAGTAATAAACCCCCCATCAACGACTAACGCATGACCTTGGACAAAGGACGCCTTAGAAGAGCTCAAAAACAGCACAGCATCCGCAATTTCGCGCGGATCCCCCAGCCGACCCATTGGTGCAGCCTGGACATCCGCTCTCAAGGTTTCCCGCCGTTCTGGAGTGATCGATATCATGTCAGTGTCTATTACCCCAGGACACACGCAGTTGACTCTAATGCCGTCTTTTGCGAAGTCGATCGCATCCACCCTAGTCAAGCCTAAGAGGGCTGCCTTAGAAGCACAGTATGCGGCTATAGCTTTCTTGTCAGTGTCTCGGCCACTTAATAAAGGTAGAAGAGGGAAGAGCGTACGAGCACCGGGGCGCGAAACAATCCCAAGTTGACTCGCTATATTTACAATCGACCCTCGCTGGGCTGGCCTCCAGGATTCGGGGCTCGGGATTGGCTTCTGCCCTACCATCCTCTTTAATGCTGCACGAGAACACAGCCACGCCCCTCTGTAATTTATAGAATTGATAAAGTCGAACTGCTCGGTAGTAGTATCGATCGACCGACAAAACTCCCTCTCAATGACACCCGCACAATTAACGACATAGTCCAGGCGTCCAAAGGTCGAGTATGCACGCTCAACGAAGGAATCTATGAACTCTTCTTTTCTTATGTCCCCTGGCAATGCAAGGACGTTGATGTCGTCTGTCGAGGCAGCCGATAGAACTTTCTGGCAGGTTTGTGTGAGCTCTTCTTCCAGAATGTCGGTTATTGCAATATTCTTGCATCCTGCTGCTGCGAAACCAAGGGCAATGGATGCGCCGATTCCTGTCTCAGGTCAGTATTGCACCCTTTATAAGGAGAATGAATCCCGACCTCTTGCTGCTCCGGTGACTAGTGCAGCTCCGGGAAAAGCGGAAGATTCTTGAGAAGCCATAGCTGTCGTTTGGTGAACAATTTCTGGAAGTGACTCAGGAGGTTGATATGCGACGACAATTGGTACGGGTATGCAACCATTTGAGAGCCTTCCTGAACAGAACTGCCCTCAAAACTGGATTTATCAGCATCACCAAGTTGGAGAGACTTGATGATGGATTTCCTATTTTATATTCGTTAATTCTCTCCACATATCCAGCTTCCCACCTACAGAGGGTGCACGTTCCCATTGCCACGACATAGTGGTTGGGGTGTAGAATTCCCGTGGATGCTAGAACTAAGAGCAGTTACGTTATATCGTTTCTTGGCTAGCTAGAACAGTTCTGATAGGTTGTACCATGAAAATCCCGTAATCTCTCAGTTGGAGGCAGCCAGTTAGGGAAATTGGAGAGTGCGGTCCTCTTCCGAATAGGGCAACTTTCCCAACACCCACGTCTACCCCAATTAAGTACTACTACGTAGGTAGGCTACGATGCCTCCACGGAATCGCTATATACCTTTTTTTGTCCCCCTTTCCGGCATTACTTATCATTTCGGCAGTACTTAACCCCGTCTGTAAATGCCTGATGAGAGTCAATAAGCTCTACGGCGTTACTTTGAGCAAACTTATCTTGCCCCAAGAAATTCACTCCTATCCACTGTCGACATGTCGGTCCACTTCACTTCTATTTCACCGTAGGTTACGTCTCTCTATGTTGGATATGAACATCTATCTAAGCCCAGCATAGAGACAATCCCATTAGGGAAGGGGATGTTGAATCCCTACTGGCCATGATCAACGTTGAAGCTCGCACCGAAGACCTCGATGACTTCAAAACCCTGCTCGCAGCTGTCCATGACTGCGCAGACTTCGTCAATAAGCTCCCGGATTACCAGCCCCCACTGAGCAAATACGCAAGGCAGAATATTCGGCGTGCATCACCGGAGGAGCAAGCTCTTGGGCATGCGGGGGCGCACCTCTTCTTGATACAAGGTGAGCCACAAGGTCCACTCGCCGGTAAGAAAATCTCAGTGAAAGACAATATCGCTGTTGCAGGTGTGCCCCAGATGTATGGAACAGATGCATTCCCTGCGTGGATTCCTGACTGCGATGCAACGGTGGTATCGCGAGTCCTAGAGAAAGGAGGAACCATCGTGGGCACGTCAACCTGCGAGAATCTATGTAACTCGACTTCGTCGCACACAAATGCACAGGGCACCATTGACAACCCATATGCAACAGGATATTCAGCTGGGGGCAGCACTTCGGGGGGAGGTGCACTTGTTGGAGCGGGGTTGGTTGATATCACGCTTGGTGCAGACCAAGGAGGGAGTATCAGAGTTCCCGCTTCATTCTGCGGATGTAATAAAAGGATCCCTCTTATTCCGCGAGACGGTGCTGACGGCTGCTGCTAGGCGTTGGTTTTAAACCTACCCACGGGCTAGTCCCCTATAGTGGGTTGTCGAGCGGTGATGCTCTTAATGACCATGCAGGCCCAATCACCAGATCTGTTTACGATGCTGCCTTGGTGTTGGACGCTATATGCGGCTATGACGGGATGGATGATCGAAGCTTAGGTGCACCGATGCCCGGGTCAACCGACTTCGCTGGCAAGCTCAGGGGTCCACCGCCTCTGTTAACCGGGTTCAAGATAGGATTGCTAATAGAAGGCTTGGACCGTCCTGGGATGGACCCTGCCGTTTGCAAATCCGTCCGCTACGCAGCCGAACGATATCAGAAGCTTGGCGCAACAGTAGAGGAAGTATCAATCCCAGACCACCTTCTTGGTACCTATATCTGGACCATTCAGCAGCGTGTCGCAACCTCCATGAATCTCCTTGGTAACGCCCACGGGAGACAAGGTCTCCAGCTGGTAGGGCTAGAGCTGGCAAGACTACCGTGGACGACTGAGAGTTTCCAGAAATGTTTTCCATCCACGCAGAATGTTATCATCAACGGCCTCTATCTAACATCGCGATTTCCTGGGCTATACGCCAAAACGATCAACATTGCCCGGCGCTTACGAGACTCTTTCGAAGCTGCACTATCTGAATATGACGTTATTATTACGCCGACGACGCCGGTTGTTGCGCCCCCGCATGGGAAGCGTAGTACGCCGATGGAGTCTCTGAGGCCGAGCATGGGGATTACCCAGAATACTGCTATTTTTAATATTACCGGCCATCCAGAAATCTCAGTTCCCGTTGGGTTTGCTCCATCAAGCCATGATCCAGCAGTAAAGCTTCCGGTTGGGATGCAGATTGTCGGTGCACTAGGAAAAGATGAAAAGGTATTGACGGTTGCTCATGCGTGGGAAACGGGATTTGATTGGAAAGCTGATGGGGCCGAGAAAAAGAACATTCCTTCCTTGCTGTGATCCTTGGCCTAAATTTCGAGCGATAGATAGGGCGACAGAGTTCTGACTTTCGATTGCGCCATGTATTACTCTCCCACACAGGATCCAATTGACTGATATTCGTGTGGTGTAATCATATGCTTACCTAGCCACAGGAAGTTCCCATAGGCCATGTGAAAACGTGATTATATTACCATTGAAGGTACAGAGTAACATCCCATACTACAAGAGACCCCAGCTTCGCACGCAGCATTGTCAACAAGCTCATTTCTCGGGATCCGTCGGTTACTTGGACACTATCCTAGGGGACTACCGGCTACGTCTGTATCCTAGGTATTATTTTGCCCTCCAGATACGTGTAATTTGAAATATTCTAGCAACCCACCTTGAGAGAAAAGTTGGGGAAGGCCCAGTCAACCGCCGAGAAAGACGGTCAGACTTCCGAAATAGGAAATTTGGGGCACGACTTGGAGAAAGTGAGCATTGAACCTTGGCTCAACTCTATCCAGTGCACGCACCTCGGACCAGACAGTGTTCTTCTCCAGGCTTCCTTTCGTGTCCAAGTACCCCATCCAGGAGCCCCGCGTATTCACTGCTTTTAAAGGCTGGGGGTTGTTGGTCCGGCTTCTGAAACCAACCGTTGTTCTACCAGTTTGGCTCATCAAACTCGTCGCTCACAATCCACCACCATGGGCAAAAAGCGCATTCTGATCAGTTACTGTGTGGATGTTGATGCTGTCGCGGGATGGCTTGGTTCATATGGCGGGAAGGACTCCCCAAATGATATTAGTCGCGGTAAGCATAGCTACGCCGAAGCGCTAGGTAGCTAGTAATGCGTGCTTACAATCTCTCTCGTTTAGGCATATGGGCCGCAACCATTGGTACCGAACGAATGCTTAAGCTCTTTGCCGAATATGATATCAAGTCGACCTGGTTTATCCCCGGTCACTCCCTTGAATCTTTCCCAAAGGAGATGGCTGCAGTGCGAGACGCTGGGCATGAGATTGGTTTGCACGGATACTCGCATGAGAACCCTGTTGATATGACCCTTGAGCAGCAGCGTGATGTGCTTGATAAGACATTCCGACTTCTAACTGAGTTCACGGGGAAGCCGCCGTGCGGGAGTGTTGCCCCGTGGTAAGTGGATTTTCTTTTCTTTTCTTTCGGTGCTCCGCTGCTCTTGTAGATTCTAACTGCTCCTGTTCAGGTGGGAAACAAGCACCGAGGGTGCCCAGCTCCTTTTGGACTATGGAATTGAATACGACCACAGCCTAAGTCACCATGATTGCCAGGCATACTATCTCCGCACCGGAGACTCGTGGACAAAGATCGACTACACGAAGAAGGCCGAGGAATGGATGAAGCCATTAGTTCAAGGTCAAACCACTGGTCTTGTAGAAATTCCAGGAAACTGGTACCTGGATGACCTTCCCCCGATGATGTTTATCAAAGGAGCTCCCAACAGCCACGGCTTCGTGAACCCTCGTGATGTTGAAGATCTCTGGAGGGATCAGTTCGACTACTTTTACCGAGAGTATGATGAGTTTATTTTCCCTATCTCCATTCATCCTGATGTGTCGGGACGGCCGCAGGTTATTCTTATGCATGAGAGGTATGTGTACTTTGAGATCCCCAAGGCAATTGCTAACGTTTGGTAGGCTTATTGAGCACTTCAAGTCGCATGAGGGTGTTGAATTTGTGACAATGAAGACAGTTTGCGATGATTTCAAGTCTAAGAACACACCCCCTGCTGGCGCAAATCTTCCCGTTAAAGGTGGCAAGCCGGGCGTGCGAACCAAGGCCTAAATGCGCCGAGCAAGTCTGTACGGGGGAGGTGTGTAACCACTGAGCTTTGTGGATGGCAGAATGGATTATAGCCATATAAAGAACACAGGCCCATGACATGGAGATCGACCAATCGTTTTTATGTTGTATTTGAGTTGCTCGATGTTCCCTTAGGGGCTTTGAGCCCAGCCCATATGTGCTTAGAGTAGCAAGGGCTGTTTTATTTCCCTTCGGCCCTCATTCCGCCTACGTACTCCTACTACGTAGAGCATCCAGCTGCAGCAATTGCGAGAGCCGACCTAATGGGGATGGCTAGCTCAAACATTGGGCGAAGTTAGGTGTACTATTATCCCTTTAGAGCGCAGTTTCTCTAACCGTATTGTTTAGTATCTTAGATAGGTCAGCAGTAGATACAATGGGCAAAAATAGATTTATCCATTACTAGTCATATCTGCTGGCTATCTTTGATCATGAGACCGTAATCTCAACGGCTTGCTCCAAGAGATACTTATCTCTGACCTGCTGTATTTGGGAAATTGGGGGTTATCTTCTCCAACTATGATGGCAGCAGACACATCACTCCCCAAACGGAAAGCCCCAAATGGAACTTCCCTGGGCTAACCGGCCATTCACCCCACGCTATGTTTATCTCTTCGAAACCCCGGGGTATATTATGCGGGGAAGTGGGCCACGGCTCCACTGGGACAAGGACAAGCATATAGCCACCTCAGTATATTCGGACAGTCAAGCAAGATAGTTGATAAGACACCCATCAAGTTAAAGGAGGCCGGGGCCGCCTCGTTGAGACGTCGTATGTCGGTCTGATAATCGGGTTCATACCAGGCATCCTTCGCATTTCCCACAAATCTATTGTTTGAATCCCTTGAATCCACAGTAGCATCACCACAATTCATTGATGCCAGCATGCCACAGGATTCCATGGATAAGAAGGCTGGCCATTTTTCGGCTCTTGACTTTTCAGCAAGTGATTCAGGTGCACTCGAACTCGGCGCAGGATCTATGATAGATCAGTCTGAAGGGGTCTTCAATAGAGGTGATGGCGATGTGAACTTTCGGACTGTCGGATGGGTGCAGGCTGCCATGATCTTTCTAAAGAGTGAGCAGCTTTCCACACAGATTATCTTACCCTTTAGTAGTATATGTTGACCGCCACAGTCATATTTGCAACTGGAGTATTATCGATCCCTTCTGTTATGGTGGACGTCGGTGCCGTCCCTGGATCCATTATCCTCCTCGGCTTCACAGTCCTAAATGGATATAGCGCCATAATAACCGGAAACTTTCGAAAGCAGCATCCTACATGCCATTCGATCGCAGATATGGCAGGCGTCGTCGGAGGTGCTGTCCTTCAGGAACTCACTGGTGCTCTTTCAATAATCAGCTATATCATTACTGCTTCATCGGGCGTCATTGGTGTCTCTGCCGCAGCCAACGCTCTCCCGAGTCACGCTGCGTGCACTCTTTGGTGGTATCTGGTTGCCACAGTTGTAATATTCATTATCTCCAGTGTCCGCAAATTCTCGCAGATAGGCTGGCTAAGCTGGGTTGGGTTTGTTAGTGTTTTTGCTGCCGTCCTCGTGGTGGTGTATGATTCTGCTACTGAATTGATGCCAGTATGGATGACTGACATCACATAGAATTGGCGTTACGCAACAAGATCGTCCCTCCGCAGCACCGGCCACTGGAGACTTTGATCTAGAATTCAAGATCGTCGGCCACCCGTCTTTCATTGCTGGCGCTTCCGCTGCGATTACCATGTTTGTATCCAGCGCTGCGACATCGGCCTTTCTGCCAGTAATGGCAGAGATGAAGCAGCCCGAGGATTATAACAAAGCAGTTTACCTGAGCATGAGTTTCGTTACATCGTCCTACCTCGCGTTCACTCTGGTCTTATATTACTGGTGTGGCCAATGGATTGCATCACCTTCTCTGGGGAGTGCGGGCCCGATTATCAAAAAGATTGCATACGGGATTGCCTTGCCTGGACTCGCTGTCAGTGGCTGCCTCTATATCCATGTGGCTGCTAAATACCTCTTCGTTCGTATCCTCCGAAACTCGAAACATCTACAGAACAGCTCACCTGTCCACTGGGGCACGTGGCTGAGCTGCACATGCAGCTGTTCAGTATTTGCATTTCTTCTTGCTTCTGCAATCCCGATATTTACTTATGTTCTTGCCTTGGTAGGCAGCATCTGCTTCGCACCACTGACAATTAGCCTGCCTGGTCTTTTATGGGTTTACGATAATAAGAATTCTTGGAAGGACGGTCCTTGCCGCAAGGCCATCTTCACTTTTCATATTTTTCTTGTCATTCTTGGTGTGTTTATGACCGTGGGTGGGACATACAGCGTTGTTTCCCAGATCCGAAATGCATATGCGGATGGCAAGATTGATGCTGCCTTTTCGTGCGCGGATAACAGTGGGACTGCCTAGCCTATCAGGCTATCGGTGGGAAGTTGAAATGGTTAAACATGCATCCAACCTCTTTACTAAGGAATCCCACTGCTTCTCTAGCTATATTTGCCTGTTCATAGACGGACTCGATGAATTTGAGGGTGATAAGGTGGACTACTGGCATCTTACGTAATATTTATAACCCTAGACCCGGTCCCTATATATAAAACTCTACGTCAGCAGTCGCCCATATATCACGTTCCTGTAGTCCTTTGCGAATGGTGTCAATAATCAGATTAATATCTATAACCTCACCCGGGGGGACATCCGCCAGTTAAGCCTGGCAATGTTCAAGAAAGACCCCAATCTCGCCTGTGTATAAGATTCTTACCAAACACTCGTGGATGATATTATTGCAAATTCTAATAGGGTATTTCTGTGGGCAAGGCTGGCTGTTTACTCTCTATTACGAAGTATCGGCTATCAAGTCACCGGAGAAGAGGTGGACAAGAAACTCAAAGCCATGCCAAAAGGGCTCGAAGGGCTATTTAACTAGATTCTCGGTTTAATTAACCCTGAGGACCAGTCTTTATCTAATATATTATTTCTACTGACCATCCCAGATTTCTGCCCCTGGCACCTAATTATTCGCCGTACCATTATCTACTCGTAGCTTAATCTCGCAAATCCGGACTTCTGTTGGAAATAACCCATGCGGGCGTGCTTAGAGTCTGAAATCCAAGAGTAGTTAGATTATGTAACATGCGTCCTGGATCGACTTTCTAGGGGACTGTTGGAAATATTCACTAGAAGAACACGGGAAGTTAACAGCCATGACTACTTTGTATATAAGGTCGGGCTCCTCCACCACATAGGTCGCGAATACCTGGCTGGTACCCGGCAGAGTGAAATAAGAACTCGTATCCTTAATATTAATATTGACTCTAGAATACTACGCCTTATGCTCGCTGAATTTAAATTTGTCCCACTCACAGTTAAAGGCATATCCTGTAATACATCACAGCGCCTAACACACGGTGGCCTCTTGAGAATGTATCTTACTAAAACATTGACTGTAATGGAGTCAGTTATAGATCATGGATATAAAGTACCCTACTATATTATTAAAGAATTAAGCACTATTGCTTGTCGTCACGCTCAACCTGTGAGCGCCTGTCAACAACGCGGAGAATGTCAAACCGAATGTCATTTGCGTGGACAAAAGTTACAAGTCGCGTTTTCGGATTACTTATAGGCCAGATGGTCCAAATATCACCACTCTATATAATCCAATCCTTAGTTACACTCAGTACATACGACCACAGGGTGTGGAAAACAGGGCTTCCCGTCCGCTCAGCCGTACTTAAGCCACACGCCGGCTGGTTAGTAGTATGGTGGGTGACCACATGCGAATCCCAGCTGTTGTATGTTTTTTTTTGTTTTTGTTTTTTTTTTTTTTTTCTTTCGTAATAATCAGCCATAAAGGACTTGCTGGGCAGAGTTGGTAGCAGGGAGAATATAAACCCCAGAATGAGGCTAACAATTAGTGTCACTGACTTGCACGATTATTGCTCAAGGCACTTTGTGATGAGATAAGCACCAATGTGGTCCCTGGACGTAGTTACATATATACATCTGAAGAACACAAGAGAGGAAAAATCAGGAACTGCGATGAATCAAGAGATGGCTGAAAGAGACAACTGTGGGATTACACGAATGACCTATTCAATACCTCGATCGAGAGCTTGCGCACGACACTAAGTCGGTTAGTGGCACATCTTCCTATTAATTAATGTTGCAGAGGGCTTACCATTTCCCAATATGCTGCCCGCTTCAGTATAAGCTGTGCGTGTGATCCACTCTCAAGCACCTTGGTATGTCCATCCTCTTGATCGCGACCCAGCACGAAGATTGGATTCGCCTTTTGGATGGTTGCCAGCCGATGTGCCACTGTGATGATAATCATGTCGCGTTTCTTTGCCAGCCGCTCCAATGCCCCTTGCACAAGGCGTTCCGACTGGGAATCCAGGCTAGAGGTGGCCTCATCAAGGAGAAGAACGGAAGGTCTCCGGACCAGCGCGCGGGCAATGCACACCCGCTGCCTCTGCCCTCCGCTCATGGCCGCCTGGGAATTAGTCCCGAGGGCGGTGTTATAGCCATCCGGAAGGGAAGCGATAAAGTCGTGAATCTCCGCGTCCCTGCATGCCTGGACTATCTGTGACTCCGGGATGGTCTCCGGGTTGGCATGGCCCAGGAGGAGATTGTCTCGGATGGTGCCGTCGAACAACTGCGGCTCCTGCGACACGAGGGCGAGAGACGATCGATACGACGATAGATCGATTGAATTGATGTTCTCCCCGCCAATTAAAATCTCCCCGCTCGAGACCTGGTAGAACCGTTCCAGGAGGGATATTATGGTCGATTTACCACAACCGGACGCGCCTACTAGGGCAGCAAACTGTCGGAAGTACTCCTGGCGGTAGTTCGAGGCCACGTTCTGAGAGCATGTCAGTATATTGAAACACTTATGGGAGAAAATCCTGCACATACCAATGATATTCGATTCGAGCAATAACCAACGACAAGATAGAAGTCCGACAGGGCCAATGCCATGATGAAGAACATGAGCGCCCAGAAGTTGCCCGCATCTACCAGCTTCTGGCCCGTATACTGAAAAACCTGCACAATGCGCGCAAACAGCCAGCTCTGCAGGGCGAATCCGGCTTACATTGATGTCAGTTCTTATATCGCACCGTATCTGTCCGGCGGAGACACTTACATGACGCACCAATCGCGCCGATAAAGGTTAAAGTATAGAGCAACCAATGCCCAGCCGATGCCGAACAACGAATTCATCATTTCGAGAGGAGCTGCCAGCCCCTTGTACTGTTTCTCCGTTTTGAAGATGTCAGATCCTTCCGACAAGGCCTCTGGGCCACTTCGATCCGGCAGTGGCTGCCGGCGCCGAAAGAAGAAATGCGATGAAGACCCCCCCAGTATGCGGGGCCTGTCAACGCAATAAGTTGGAGTGCTTATGGGGAGCGAACGACACTCTAACAAAGCCTAGGCGACGCTACCCTCGGCGCATTGCAGAGAAGCCTGTGCCAAGCGGTACCGAGGCCATGGTGTCTATATTTACTATCCCGAGGAAAGACACCGTGTCACGGCTGCTGAAGCACTTCTTTGACCCCACAGAATTGCCTCTATTATGCAGGTTCGAACACTGTATTGCAAGCATTCATATTCGAAGTATTCTGCTACTCTTTTGCTCTCGCCGCCTACTCCCAGGGATCGAAGTTATTCCTCAGCCAAGCATATCATATCTTTAACTCTCCATCAATCAATGCTCTTATCAACAAGGGCAATATTATGGGCACATCGCAGTTCCTTTCCATAACTATTTTCCGTATCTCCAGCTCAGGCAGACACTCTTATCCATGCCGACACTACCAAGGCGCACGCCTGACGAAGATGCAACTATCCAAGATCTTGTATGGGAGTTCATCGTGTGTCAACCAGCGGTGGCCTTAATCCGTCCTATTAATTGATATCCCTCCCCTCGCGCGTCGAATGTATCTTCTATTGCCCTAATTATTGCTTCGAACTATTTCCAATGTTGCATTGATCGTAATGATCGCTCACATGTATTACCTACCCCTTTTCAGTCATTCATGAAGAAATCCGCAAGCCATATAAACCCCTAGATAGAGATTCATTACCAGGAGCAAGCCTCATTTTTATCTAGTATTTGCTCTGGTTAGATTCCTACTTAGTCATCCCTAGTAGTTAGTTAACGTCGCCATAGTAGCTTACATCGTCGGAGGCACACGTGGGCTATCTGGGTGGGGCGACGGGCCGGGTACCTGCTTGAAATGGCGGAGGAATGGATACTCGACTATCCAATGAAAACCATCTCTGACAGCTTCTCACTCAATCGGATCAAATTTTGTTGCCATGACCAACGGCAATTTCAGGGCACTTGGCACTATATCTGATCTGCCAGTGATAGATCTTGTAGTTCCACGTGCCTGACCATGTTCCTGAACCGAAGATGGGTATTTTCTGTACCTGGTAATGCATGTTCTGCCGATCTTTCTGAGATCTAAAGTCATGTCACTGTTGATCCTTCTAATTTGTTGACCATAACAGACGCCAAATTAAATGTTGGATGCCAGGAAGTCATCGGCAGTGACTCCCCTCAAGATGAAAACCACCACGATTTTCTTTATTATAAATGATCCCGTCGAATGTCTGTTGCATTGTGGTCCGCGAGATAACCTAAACATTCATTTGACTTCTCAATTTCTGACCCTCCGGTTTGACTTATTTCGCTCGAAATGAAGCTCTCCTGGTCTCTCGTGCTGTCAGCGGCAGCCACGGCCACTGCAAGCTATTCAGGCAATCTGAACTACCGTAGTCCGTCTGAAAACCATCCGGGACTAGGTGTCTCGATCCACCGAGTTGCAAAGCGCGAGGTCCAAGGATCGTCCTTCGACCCATCCAAGTTGCACTTCACCCATGGCGTAGCTTCTGGAGATCCCTATGCAGACTCAGTGATTTTGTGGACTCGCTGCTCGCCAACATTCGATGATGTTCGTTCGAACAGCTCTACGCATGGTCTTGTTCCCTTGTACAACCCAGTCCCGATCTACTCAGGGGATGAAGGTGCAGAGGAGCAGGGGGCCATCTCGAATGCTCCTGTTTGCTTGCAATACAAGGTGTCTAAAGATGAGAGCTTCAAGCAAATTGCATCGGAAGGTACTGTATACACGAGTTCCGACATTGACTATACAGTTAAGGTAAGCAAGTTGGCTATGGGTCGAAAACTTGGGAAACTCGCTCATTGAATTTACCAGGTCGAAGCATCCAAGTTGAAGCCATTCACCACCTATTTTTATCAGTTCCAAGTCTGTAATTCGGACAACAAGAGCCCGGTTGGAAGAACCAAGACCGCTCCCGATTCGAAGGACGATATCGACCAGGTCAGCTTGGCTGTTTACTCTTGCTCCAACTTCCGTATGTCTCCGTGTCGACCTGTGTGTGTGGGGGTGTGTGAGCTGACAGAATGTACAGCATTCGGTTTCTTCAATGCCTACGGAAACTCTGTGCGCAAGGATTCCGTGGACTATGTCCTCCATCTCGGGTAAGCGGCGCTTGATATTTACATGAGAGCTCAAACTGATTGCATACAGTGATTACATCTACGAATACAAGAATGGTGACTAGTAAGTAGCTTGAACTGGAGAATGTCGACCAAATCAGCTAAGCTTCGCTTTAGTGGCTGGGGTGACAGCATAGGACGCATCCCTCTACCGGATCGAACTATTTACACACTCTATGACTACCGCAAGCGCCTTGCCACCTACAGGACCGACTTGGATCTCCTTGCCAGTCATCAGAAGTTTGCTTGGATTCCTGTCTGGGATGACCACGGTATGGCCCTATTGCGTTCACAGAAGCAAGTTGTGTTTGGGTTCTAATTGCAGCAGAGGTGTCCGATAACACCTACCGGGATGGCGCTTCGGAGCTCAAGAACGATGAAGAATCATTCATTCAGAGCGGAGGTGTCTCCGTTGACCAGCGTAAGATGAACGCCGTCCGTGCTTACTTCGAATGGATGCCCATCAGGTAAGTCGTCTGTGAATAGTGTCAAGTTGCACGTATTGATTGAGTTTAGACAAGTCGAGATGGACGATAATCTTCGCATCTGGAGAAACTTCAAGCTTGGAAAATTGGTGGACCTGATCATGCTGGACACCAGACAATACGACCGCTCTATTACGGATACCTACGATAACACTGACTATATCAGCAAGATCAAAGATGACGCCGGTCGTAGTTTGATGGGAAGCCGTCAAGAGACCTGGTTGCAACGCAACCTGATTGAGTCCGCCAACCGTGGTGCTCACTGGCGCATCCTCGGCAGCCAAATCAGTATGTTTTTCGTTGTTTACAAGCTTGAAATCTTACTCTAACGGGATGATTGCAGTTTTCTCTCACTTGAACATGACATCCGTGAACGGACCCGAACAACCAGTGAACCTGGATGCTTGGGATGGCTATATGGCGAGCAAGAACAGGACCTTGCAGACTCTCTACGAGAACAGCATTGACAACAACATCGTGATTGCGGGAGATACACACGTCAACTGGGTCAGCGATTTGACCTGGCTCGACAGCAGCCCATACGACTCCAGCAGCGGGGTCGGCGCCATCGGTGTGGAATTCGGCGGATCGGCCGTCAGCTCTCCCTCCTCATTTGGAGAGAACGTCACTATCCCTGAGGCAAACGATATCTCCAAGCAAATTGTCGCTGACAGCGAGTCGTTGCATTGGTCCGAGGGATACTACCGCGGATACTTTGAACTCCATATCACCCCAGAACAAGTTGGAGCTCACTTCTTTGGCGTGCCTGGTAACAAAGAGCGTAATGCTGGGGAGATCTCCCTGGCTAACTTCACGGTCAAGAGCGGCGACAATCGTTTGGAACGGAACTCGCACAATGTGGCCGGTGGTGGAGTTGTGGCGAACGGATTCCTCAAGAATGGAGAGTTGGTGCCCACAAACATGGTCCACGATACTGAGACTGGTCGTTACTATTCCAGCTAGTATGACAATGTTGTTTGACTGAGATGGTGGAGAGGGAGGACTGTAACAGGACTAACTTTACTCAGGCTGTTCCCCGTAAATAGAACACCCATAGCACATATCTTTTTATATACGTGTTAATAAAACGTACGCTATAAATGCTAGAGCTTTTATATAGCTCTAACGATTCTTTCTGGTAGCCAAGGATCACCGAGGTAAAAGAAACCAATCGTTAGCCTCTGTAGAATATTCGGAAGCAAAGCTAGATTTTGAAGATGACAAGGACTACCACAGTCTTCTCTGCAGAAGATTGTGGTAGTTTTGAAGTCTCAATATGCTGACGAACAGTACAAGGGTTCACCGTTGAGTACATTTTCATTACTAACTGTTTATACCCCATATATAGGTCCGGTTTGCCTTCGTTTGGTCTGAGGGTCCAGGTTATGGCAGGGTATCCTACGAGGCCACTGATGCATGTAACAGCCTTGACTCTGTGTATTTGTACCCTGCTATCCAGACATGTCTTTGTGTGAAAGTACAGAGAATGCTGACAATCTCTAGACGTAAGGGTATAAACGTAACCTCAATCTTCGTCAAGTCTCTGAATAGGAACGTCCCGTGGAATGTGATCTTTATCCGTAAGTTGGCTCGTACCTACGGATGGCACTCCTGTCAAGTTCTGATTTCGCTTATTCTAGGTATCCCGCGCGTAATGGTCCCCAATTTATTCGCTTACAGGATGAACCTTGGTCCCCCGAGGAGGACGGTGATGGAGAGAGTGAAGATGATGAAGAGAGTGAAGGCTACTTGGTCCGCAGTTGGGAGTGTTATGAATAATATTAGACAACACACAGCCTGCTTTAGGTAATACTACATCTCTGTGTCCCTTTTCGACTAGGATAATAGGAACCAATTTTTTATTCCTATGTGATAATGGGATCTGGCTGCGGCTCAATACTCTCCTTTTGTGGCGGCATATAGTTGAGGGCTCTCTAAACGGGTCTCGGAAGTTGCAGCCTACTTTATAAACTATAGCTAATATCTATTATCTGTTCCCGCTAGAGCTTTTCACCAGCATGCCAGAACACCAGATATCTATGATTGTTGAAGCTCGTGGCCGGCGGCCTGTAGAATTTCCCTATCTGGGCCAGTACCTAAGAATTATAAACGGTATTAATAGAGTTAGGGATGTCTTTACCTTCCCAGGCTCAATGCAGCAGAGAAATCCCTATAACACATAATATATTACTTACTCCTCTATATCTGCTAGACGGATCAAATAGTCCACCCAGACCGAAGTGACTACCGAAATCCTTCTCTTGGTTTCCTGGACGCTGCTCTTTCGTGTGTGATATGCAAGTAATATATCCTTTGCAGTATTTCAAAACTTTCCGTTTGAATATTATACCTACTTAAGTCCTGGCAGATTTTTTCAATTCTTTTGGACTAGGGTTATAGCTCTGAAGCTCTATCACTGTCTCTCGGCGTCCTCCAAGATAGTAGCGGTACAATACCGCAGCGGATGGAAGACAGATACACAGACGTAAAAAGGTAGTATCTGATGAGTCAAAATGTCTCCACGATATGATCATAGAAGTTAAAGCTGTCAGTGTGTTCCGCGGCCAAGCCAACCCAAGCCCTAATCTGACTGGTCCTCGGCACCGACAGCGGAACGACCACGGCGCGAACATGCCCATTCCGCCCTATACTCACAAAGATCCAAACCATGTAGTTGGAGGTGTTGGGAATCCCCGCGCATTCGGAAGAGTCGGCCATATTCGGCGTTTGGTTGGCATAATTTATGAGATCTCGACGTCTTCTGCTTCTAGCTGCAGTTGAAATATATGCGGCCACCACTAATCGTATCATCAACATCTCATCCAGAATGGCAGAGACAATTCTTATCACAGGTTGAAGGGCATACGCTACCAGAGACCCAGTCGGACACGCCAAAAGTACCAGGGATACCGAATTGTCGCAGTCTCGAGAGGAACTCGAGCTCGAGCTCGCGGCACCACCCCCGCAGGCATCGACCGCATTATCATTCCCAGAAGGCGGGCGAAAGGCCTGGCTCGTCGTTCTCTCCTCGTTCTGTCTAATCGCCGCGACCTTTGGGCTAACGGGGTCGATCGGGCTTTTCCAGGCCCACTGGCAGGCACACCAGCTATCGTCGTACAGCTCGCGGGATATCGCGTGGATCTCGTCGACGCAGATCTTCCTCACCCTCTTTCTCGGAGTGCAGGTTGGCCCGCTGTTCGACCGGTACGGCCCGCGGTGGCTAACGTTCATCGGCTCTGTTGGCGTCGTGGCATACCTGCTGCTCCTGGGCGAGTGCACGGAGTACTGGCATTTTATGCTGTGTTTTGGGATTCTCGGTGGTGTTAGCGGCGCTATCTTGACTACCGTCGCCCTGTCTGTTATCTCGCATTGGTTTAAGGCGAGAAGAGGCCTGGCTACGGGGATTACCTTCACCGGTACCAGTCTGGGCGGTATCGTGTTTCCGATTATCCTCTCGTCTATCCTGGAACGTATGTCCTGGGCGTGGTCGATGAGACTTCTAGCATTGCTCGAGTTCGTCTTGGTCCTGATAGGAAACCTCTTTGTACGCGGCCGTCTGCCGATCCAGAGTTCAGGAGGTGTTGTCAACCTGTTATGTTTTAAGGATTCAAGGTTCGCGTGGACGACTGCCGGGATATCTTGTCAGTGAAACCTGTCCGTCGTCACCTCCCAACTAATCAGGATTTAGGCTTCGAATTCGTGCTCTTCACGGCAATTGGTCTTCTTCCAACGTATGCCCTGGAGCAGGGCTTTGGCCAGCAGACAAGCTACAACGTGATTGCAGTGATGAACGCGTTTGTCTCTTCATTTGCTTCCTTTGTGCGGGCGAGTTACTGATGCTCGTATAGAGGCTCCGGTCTTGGCCGTTATATCGCCGGCCTGGTAGCAGACCACTACGGACGATTCAACAGCATGAGCGTATCCATTCTGATCTCGCTCTTCGCCACCCTCGCGCTCTGGCTTCCCGCCCACCACAACATAGGCCTCTTCTACACCATGGTCCCCATCTTCGGCTTCGGTTCAGGGAGCGTGATGAGCCTGGCTCCTGTATGTCTCGGGGAGCTGGGTGAGGTGAGCGAGTATGGCCAGCGATATGGAACGAGCTATAGTGTTGTGGGACTTGCGTAGGTTGTCTTATCGTCTTTTAAGATACGATGCTGATGGTTGCAGAACCCTTATTTCGATCCCCATTGCGGCGGAATTGCAGGCGGCGGCTGGTACAACGGCGTTTGTGGCCTTTTGTGGTGGAATGCTGGTCCTGGCGCTTTTGTCGTTTATTGTTGCGCGGTGGGCTTGTCTTGATTATAAGTGGCGAGGGAAGGTTAAGATTTGATAGGCATACACAGTGGACATTACTACTTCAAACGCTTTAGATCACCTTGTTGAAATATGCTGTACTAACCCAAGTACATACTATAACCTGCTACGGTAATTACCAGGCTGTAGGGCATGCATCACTACATCCGTCATCATCAAGACCTTCTCTTCTTCCAGCCGGCGCGCGACGAGCTGCAGGCTCACGGGCATTCCATCCACCATGTTGGCATCGTCTATTGAATTAGTATGTGATTCAGATTCAACGGATCCAGACTCACAATTGCTTTGTACTTGTTTATCCATCTCACTCAGCGGGCGATGGTCACAGTACGCTGCATCCGTCTTCGCATCGGCATCGACGCCGCATGGGAAGGAGGTCGCCGAGTAATCAAGGAGGTTATAGACGCCAGTGTATCCGCCGTAGATGAACTTGCCATGCTTGGGAGCACACCACGGAGAGGTCGGGCCTGGATAACGTCTTCAGCACGACTCTACTAATAGTGTCAGGATGGCCAGGCGGAACATACATATAAGCCCGTCAAGTCCTTCAATCGCATTCCACTGGTCGAGGTACCGCTTCTGCAGGTCGCTTCTCGTAGCCTGGATATTCCACATCTCATGGACACCCAGCTCAACAGAGTCCTGATATGCCCGCATCTCTGGTCGGAATGGCTCATTCGTTGGTTCAAGCAGCCCGCGAATCGACTTGGCCCCGTCAGCAACAAACAGTCGGCGTAGGAGTCTATTAATCTTCTCATGTTCCACCGGGTCCCACTCCACGATCTCATGCCCAGCGGCTCGAAGCTTGCTAACAGTCTCTCTGAGGGCACGCGCGACGGGCGGTGTCGGGGTGACTATACCATCGTTCCAGAACACAGCGAGCTTTAGATATTTCTTTGCCACGACCGGTCTCCACGGGATGGGAAGGCATTTCGGGTCTTGCAGCCACGGTTGCTGGTCTATAATTGCTTTAGAGTAGAATATGACTTCCTCCAGTGTTCTGGCCAGTGGGCCGTTTACACTCATCACGGCCTCCTGCCCGGTCAGGCCGGAGCGGGCTCGACAGTGTGGGAACCTCCCAGCTGAAGGGCGGATTGTGAAAAGTCCAGTACACGCGGCTGGGATACGGAGGGATCCTCCTGGAGGAAATCAGATACTGTTCAGATCAGGGTTTGTTGGATATTACCTATGTCAGACCCCAGTCCGATTCGACTCGCACCAAAGGCAATCAGCGCTGCCTCGCCTCCTGATGATCCGCCGGGTGTGAGAGACCTGTTGAGTGGATTCACCGTTCGCCCAAACACGTTGTTGACCGTCTCAGGCAGCATCACAGCCGTCGGAACATTTGTCTTGACGTATAGCACTGCACCTGATTCCAGGATGATGTCAATAATAGTGCTGTTGTAAGTAGCAGGCTTATTTACTAGCGACGCTATACCGATGCTCGAGTCCTTGCCGACGATGTTGAAGTTATCTTTTATAGAAATAGGTAGACCGTGGAATGGACCCTTGGGTTTTCCATGCATGCGAAGATACGCATCACACTCTTTGGCACGCGCAATCGCCTCGTCGAAAAAGATCTCCGATAGGCAGTTCGTCTATTATTGCATTAGCCCTAACTCAACTAACACGGTGCGGATGACTTGCCAGTTGATGTGCGGCGGCGGCGGCCTTGCAAAACGCTCGCGTCACTTCTTCAGACGTCCATACGCCGCTCGAAAGTCGCCCTACAGTTTCAACGGCGTTGGTGGAGAGAATAGTGAGCTCTCGCTTCGTAAACCATCCTGACTGGGCTGGGAAAGTCGTCACGTCACGCCGGGTTTGAGAGGGCATGATCTCCTGAGGGATGATCCATTCCGCAGGAATAGAAGCCCCAAGTTCTTCGCGTTTGGCCTTTGAAATGCCCTCCCAGGTCGAGTTCGTTGTTTCCATAACTGAATATTTGTATTTTGCTCTTCCACTGAATTTCTAAACCGGTCTAGTGACACCGTTATGCGACCCCTTCTGCCTTGGACACTTCACATTATATATAAAATGCTTAATTCCGCCATAAAACACCGAAAACCACCGACGTGCGGGGGATAAGCTTTTGACAGGCATGATACCATGCGCTCAGACACCACAGTGCGGAATTTTCCATCAAATCCTACCAGAAGTGTGCGGGGTATCAGCATTGCAACGTTGTCTTGCCGACAGACTCAGACATCCCAGTGTCTATTTCGCCGTGAAACACCGAAGATCACCGTGCAGTGACTTGGTTCTACCATGTGCAATGAGTATCGACCAACATGTTCTACGCACGACCGTTGCCTCTTCCCTGGGTTGGGTGGGGGTCTGGGGTAAGGTTATATATACCATCGTCCCCGCTATGGAACAGTGGGCCTTGGAGGTATTGATATCTTTCCTCGTCTATCTTTGCAAACATGAGGAAGCCGTCCCAAGAAGTGCCTGATGGGTCCCGTCCGCCCAACCCTGACGTTGATGCTGGCGTCAAGTTAGAGGGAGCAATCGAGTCGATCGACACGGCCCTTGGTCAAATACTCGAGGTGCAGTCGTCGCCGGAACTGGAGAGGAAGGTGCTACTTAAGCTCGACTTGGTGTATGTCTCGAGCGTCTTGCGTTCTAGTAGTGTCATGGCTAATAAAGCTAGTTTGATGCCCATGATGTGTTTCGCATACTTCCTCCAGTTTCTGGACAAGATGGTCCTTAGCCAAACGACCTTGTTTGGTCTCCGGGAAGACCTGGTAGCACCAGCGCCTATCTATCTAGATATATATTACTGACTATTACATAGCATCTGGTGGGCGATGAGTACGCGTGGTCGTCTGCCATATTCTACTTCGGTTACCTCGCCTGGAGCTGGCCGAATTCGTACCTTCTCGCCCGGCTGCCAATTGGCAAGTATCTAGGAATCACAGTGTACGTATTGCACACCGGCCAACATGTAGAGATACTAACAAGAGGTGCTAGCTTCCTCTGGGGAGGTATTGTGATGTGCCATGCCGCCAGCAAGGACTTTGCTACGCTCGCAACAGCCCGGTTCTTCTTAGGTGTGGCAGAAGCCGCAGTCGTCCCAGGATTCGCGCTTATCACGGGCATCTTCTATAAAAAGGAAGAGCAGCCGATACGGTACATTCACTCTGCTATAACCTCTCTGAACTTGTTTAATAGCGAAACAGCCAGGCTGGGTGGTACTTCGGGAATACAGTAGCTGCTCTTGTCGGATCGTTAATCTCCTACGGCATCGGCCATATTACCAGCACGCCCCTTCCTGAATGGCAACTCATGTTTCTTATCCTTGGGGCTGTTACTGCGGCATTTGGCCTATTTCTGATCCCAATCCTGCCTGACTCGCCAGCCACGGCGATCTTCCTCACGAAAACGGAACGCGCCATCGCCATCCAGCGTACACTCGAGAACAAAACTGGGGTCTTGGACACTGGCACTTTCAACGTGAAGCAAGCCATCGAGGCACTCAAGGATCCCCAGGCGTGGTTTCTTGTTCTATACAACTTTTGCGTGAACCTTTGGAACGGCGGTCTTACAACAGTATGTCTTAAGCCAAAACGAAATACTATTTACTGAAACAGGTAGTTCCTCGCGCTCCTCCTAAAAGGTTTCGGCTTTGGCACCTTCGAAAGCCTCCTCTGGCAATGTCCCCTCGGCGCCGCCGAGATCCTGTACCTCGTGTTCACCGCCGTATTCGCCACGCACGTCCGGTCGAGACGCATCTTCGCCGGCTCGTCGCGTATCTTCATGATGATCTTTAGCACGGCTGCCTCACTCCTCGGCGTTCTCCTCGTCTGGAAGCTCGACGAGTCGAAGAAAGCGGGCAGACTGATGGGTATCTATATCAGTGTTGGCTATGCGATTAATATCCCGCTATGCATGAGTCTTGTTACGTCCAATGTAGCTGGCTTCTCGAAGCGTAGCGTTGTTTCGGCCATGGTGTTTATTGCTTACTGTCTGGGGAATATTGTTGGGCCTCAGTTTTATAATGAGTCGGAAGCGCCGTCTTATCCGGTATGTCTATCAATCAGTCTTCTACTAGGGGATTGCTTCACTGGCTGACGTATCAGACTGGTATCAAATCCGCTGTTTCGGGGTTGTGCTTTGCGACTTTCTTCCTGCTCTGCCTGTGGGCGTATTATATCTATGAGAACGCTCGCAGGGATAGAGTGTATGGTCTGGCATCAGAGGTAACCGAGACAGAGGAGATGCGAGATGAACTTTCTAATAAGACGGACCGTGAGATTCCCAGCTTTCGATATGTTTGTTAATAGTTGGATATGTACAATTATAGCAATCAAGGTGGTCCAGAGAATTACATGGTTAATCAGTATTCTTCTCCTGCGTTGTCTTAACTCTACTCCCTGATTTAATCGGAAGCGGATCTTAAGCCCTACTTCATAAACTGTAGATTTGCTATTATAATAATAAAAGCAGCCCATTAACCTTGGACATGAAGGCATCTCAATAATAATAGTCATTTCTCGATAGTAACGTTATCATGGACAACCCGACTGACAACCAATGTCAGCATATGACAAACTTTTCCTCCACACGTTTAGTGTCTGCATAAATACTGTTACTGTATATCTGTGTTACCCAAAGCATCAATCCTCGCACGAGCAGCCTTAAACCGTTCCGCCATCTCCTCAGGCGTCGTATCAGTCTTCGGTATAACAATCCCCTTCTTCACAGCCTCGCGGCTCTTGATGTCCTCCACCCACCTCCTCAGCGCCGGCCACTCGGCCAGGTCAATCTCCAAAGCGGCCGGGCCGATCTGTACCCATGCATAGTTCGCAATATCGGCAATGGTGTATTTAGAACCAGCCAGGTATGGGCTCTCCTGGAGTCGGGACGCAAGTACAGAGTAGAGACGTTTCGTCTCGTCGATATATCGCTTGATGGCGTAGTCGGAGCGCGTGTTGGTGAAGAGCCTGAAGTGCTCAGCTTGGCCTGGAGAAAACATCAGCAGGACAGACTCAACCGGGTTATAGTTGTTAAATACCCATCATAGGCCCGAGACCTCCTATCTGGAACATCAGCCAGGATAGCTCCTCGACATATTCCGGAGATCCCGGCGCATAGCTGATCTTTCGTTCCGGGTCATACTTGTCGGTGAGATATAGCATGACGGCACCGCTTTCAAAGACGCGTTGCTCTCCGTCCACGATGGCGGGGATGCGGCCGTTGGGGTTTATTTTCAAGAACCAGCTGTTCATTTAAATTAACTTTATTCTTTTTAGGGGAAGTAAGGTGCGTACTCCTCCTTCTGGACATTGGTGGAGATATTCATCGGTTCCATTTTGTACTGCAGACCCAGCTCTTCCAGTGTAATGGAGGCCTTGATGCCGTTTGGCGTGGGCCAGCTGTATAGCGTGAGCGGAGCCATGGTTGAGTAGTTGGCTGAACAGAGCGTGGCTAGCCTGGAAGCTGCCTTATGAATGTACGTGCGAGACAACATGGTGACACAAAGTAAGCGGGGAAGAGGAGATATTTATAGTTGACTCGGGGATCGGGCTTACAAATCGGGGCATCTCTTAACCTTAAATGCAGTCAGCTGCAGATCCAGTCAGATGCGAAATAAGTAGTGATGTAATCCAGCTTGTCTACTGCTGGTATCATTATTACTTCGCTGGCCTTGAGTTCCTGTGTGTGTACGGTCGGCCATCAATTCTCCTCGTAGCCCTAAGGTATTTCCCCCTTGCAGTCCGCGGTAGGCCCAGCAACCGTGAAACGCAGGGATAGGCCAATGCCCTAGATGGATACTACTCCTATTTCAATTCCTGAATGCTTCGGTCTTTTCCATCGGTCCAATATATGAGCCACCATTTTTACTCATTGGGCTCACCTTTATGCTCCTGAGTAGACCTTGTCAGGGTGGCATAAATCAGATCATCCAAAGAATCACAAATATTGCATATTATATATCTTGCATATACCCACTGGCGGTTCCTGCATTTTCAGTCAATATGCAGTAGTGTTGTACGACCCCCTATTCAGATAGAGTCAGTACAGACGACCCCAGGGTGTGGCCAACAGGGCTTCTCCTCTCAGCCGTGGATAAACACTACTATTAGCATGGTTGTAAGTGAAAAGCCCTGAGTGTGTTATTTCTTCACAGTGATAGATAGTACGCATAGATAGGTTAGGTGAGAATGTCAATTACTCTAGGTTATGTATTATCACAAAAAATAACAGAATATATATATAGGCCAATATTGGATTACAATCTTTCTGCAGAAGTGGGGTTTCCACCTAATCTCGAACACTAGCACACGATATCATCTCGTAGAGCATCTACCATAATATCTCCTAATAACACAGACAAGTCCCACAATCACGAATAGATATGCAATAATCCGTAGCAGTACCTCTGTTCCCGCATGATCCGCAATATAATTCAACGCCTGCCCATCAACACCCTGCCATGACCGTCCAGCAACATGCCGAATCACAGCACCGCTATACCCCTCGTCCAAAAGCGCTATATTCCCCGGTATTGTATCATACAGCCACGCATATTTCCTCACTGCCGCCGTTAACATTATCGGTCCCGTCGACCAGAAGACAAGCAGGTACGGCAGAACAATCCTTTGCAGCGCCAGACCGCGTCCTCTCCGCTTAGCTTCATAGAGCGCCCACTCCAGCAGCGGAGACGCACGCTCGGCCATGAAGAAGTGGTTGCTTAGCCCGGATGTACCACCCGTGGGGGCGAATACGGATTGCATCCCGAGGCGTTGGAGGCATTGGATGTGTTCTGCTGACGAGGGGTAGACGTCTAGGTCTGCGTAGGTGCCGCCTTCGGTGTGGACGATGAGGAGTCTGGCGATGTCGGCGCGTTGGATGTTATGGGGATAGCCTAGATATGTCTGCAGGAGCCAGGGGTATTTGTCTTTGACGAGGTTGAGGATGTCGTCGTCTGTCCAAAGCTTGACGGTGTAATTCAGGGGTTCGAACATGGTCTTCCATGCGTGGTGAGAGGGTTTGATTTCTGTGGAGTAGTCTTCGACATTGGCTGTTTTCCAGATTTGGTGGATGGTGTTGGGTATTCCGGGGTCGATGGCAGGAGTAAGGGTATCGATGGGGTTGAGGGCAGCACGAGAGCATCCGTTGATGATGTTGACGGATTCAGACAACTCACCGGCGAGGACAGATTCGTCGGCATAGCTGAGGTGATGGACAACAATGACAATAAGAGAGAGAGCTACTGCAACGATGAGCTTTCTCGTTGCTTTTCCAGAGAAGGATACCATTGTATAGGTCGTGGGAGAGGATGCCGCACTGTGATGGTGATAGCCATCAGTTAATGATATGGATCAAATCCTGGAAGACCCCTTTAGCACTGGCAGCACTGGGCCAACTGCTAAGCTCGGTGCCTCGAGAGCATGTCCGGTCCACAGGCAGGTTGGACTGACCAGGATGCGGTCCCCACGCATGGCGCCTACCACGAAGGCTGTGAACGCAATGTTTATCTCGTTTCATATTCTGATTTTGCTCTGATATTTCTAAATTTTCCGGTATTCCTCCGGCTGTGGAAACGGGCACTCTACCGGCCTCGCGACGAGCCTGTCAATCTTTTCTTGTATCCATTGACGGGACGATCTCTACCTATGCCTTCTTGACTCACTGCCGTGCAATGCCTTCACCGTGAATACGTTTCCATCACCCATCGACATGTACCTAGAAGTGTGCCTGGCAACCCTACTGGCCCTAACTGAAAGCTGCCAAGAACTCCGTCTCTTCACTTCGCGGATACCGAGGCTTGTATTCGTCGGGACGGTGGGTCGAACCATGCCATTTCCTGCAGATCCATTCCATTATGGCCTCTAGATGGAAATATCGTCGCAATGACTGGAGGACGAGGTGGCTGTGTATACTCCAGTTTGCCAGAGCCCTCCAGTCTCTAGCACCTTTGAGCAAACCATACGAGGGTCGGGCACACAGTTCGTCTGTTTGAAACACTGGGGCACGTTAAGTTTAAGACAACCCCACGTCACGAGCCAGATTTAGATCTAGGTACCTACGAGAGTGTGAAGTATCCGAATAGGAAGTTGGAGGGCGAATGTGACACAGCTTCCTAGCGGTTGCTGGTCCGGGCGAAATACCAGCGCTGTAGTTGAGCTGCTATGATCGGACAGCATCTCCCTGACTGCCTTTTCACAAGTTATGCCTGTTGATTTGCAGATTCCACACTAGTCTGCATAGCATCCTCTCGGCCTACTTTCGGAGCCGGTGTGGAAGCAAAATATCAGACAGCCACCAATGCCTGGAGCTGACGGCCCTTCGAGAAAGGCATCACCATTGGCCCCGACTGGGTAGCACGGTTGCGCCATTGAATCTTTACCGACCCACCCAGCTCGCTGTCACATTGTGATAGCTATCTTCTGGTACTAATGAATCGCCCTCGAGTATCCTAAGTTGCATCCGTCTGGCCAGGATTGCTTTAGACTGTCCGTCCCCTTCGATGCTCGAACATAAGGAGCTGGTACTCATGCAGCCCTGTATTCCGTAGTAGACTCAGCAGTTCAGCTGTAAGTTGACTTCAGCAAGCATGATTCCCCGTGCCTTGGCCAGCCGGACAAAAGGATTCCCTCCGGCAACGGCTCAGCAAGCATGATAGGTGTGCGAAACACAGCTGATGGACCCGCGGTCGTAGCAGTAGGAGAGGCAGGGTTGTCATATTCTTCCTGGGCTCGGTAGTCCGTACTTTTACTCCCTCCTGCTTCTCTCTCGAAGGCTATCAGGATTACGTGCTCATCCTAATGAAAATTCCACCACGGCATCCCTCTCACCGGGCCCCTAATTGACTACCAAGCCAGTTTTCGGTTATCCCTCCTCTGTATTCTATTTCGAAGCCATATTTACTTACCTTCTACGCCGGCAATCCCAACTGCCTCTCCTCCTGAACACCTCATACTCGGGGCAGCTGGTTGTTCTCGCCTGGCGCAACAATCGATGCCAATATTTGCCGTCCAACCCCTGTAGTGAGTTGCACCCCCTTGTCAATGGTTATAACATAAACTGATATTTTGCATACGACCTCAGAACCTCCCCATCCTCCCAAGTTATAAGCCCACCCACATCATATTCTCTCACCCCGGCCCAGATCTCGCATACGTCTTCGCCCCAGCAAGGCAGCATCACCTCGACACCACCCCTGAAGGCCATAGCTACTGCAGCACCACTCAGGATATGTCGAAGACGCGTTAATAAGATATCTCTGAGGTCGTTAAAAAACGAGTACTATTCGAAGGACAACCAGAAATCGAACAAGCATACGCGATCTACCCCTCCCAGATATAAATAAGGAGCCTGTCTCACTCTGGCCCGTCGGTCGGCCGTATCGAGATCAAGATACTAACAGAGACCCCTGAGCTGTACACCAGATTATTCATTTTGGGGAGATGTCAAAAAGTCTGGGAGAATGTTACGCACGAGTGAAAATTCTGCAATATCAAACTTTGGTCAGTTTGGATGAGAGCTTTGCCCTCACCATGCCAGTAGAAATTTCTTCAATTACCAGGTCAAATTAGAATATCCTTCAAACACTTCTTCTTCTACTTTCTGACACTTGGGCCTACTCTAGTATGCTGAACACACTGCCAATCACCTCGGAGACTGGCTTTCATTGCTCGACTATATCTACCTCCCGCCGATGCAACCTTCCCTTCCCAACAATACCTGCAAACAGAGCATTGTAGGGGTATTCCTCGGTGGAGAGCTCTCTCTCGCCTAGATAGCGGCACAGTCATGTCAGCTATTCGCGTTACACCACCACTCCAGTCACTCAAAGTCCCTTAGTCTAAACTCACTTTGACCCGCCATCCTCACCATGAAGACGGACTTCGAGCGCTTTATATACTTTGGTCAAGGCTGTCTACGAGAACACTGCGTTTGGTATGGTCGCGGTGACGTTTGATATTGGGCCCCGAGAGCATTATCACACCAACGTTCCGCAACCTTCGGCAAAAAGGCACTTGCGTTCCTGCGCTCAGCGAGGGTCGAAAGGGTGTAATCCATCTTAAAGAGGGCCAACCGCCGCGCAGAGCCAGAATAATGTGGGGAAAACATTTAGCAAGTACTGCTTTGTGGGATGCCTGAACGCAATCCTCTAGAAAGCTGCCATACATGGCCTCGACGCTATTATTCTTCAGCGGGCAAGCAATTTCGTTGCTCGTGTACCGTTAACGGCATCTCCTCGCAGGTGGTTCAAACCAAGCAATCCAGACAAAGATACTATCGTGTTGTTGAAGAAGTTCCTGGTGAAGTTATCCTTGGTTTGTTATTCAAGATCACCCCCAGCTAGCTCTCTCAGGCTTTTACACATAAAAAAATACTAGTGTCTTTTTCTGAAAACAGGTAAAATCGAAGTAGAGCAGCGAATCTGCAAGGTAACGGTAGCATGTTCCTACAAGAAATCTGCTTACCATAGAGTACGTTGGTATATACAGTTCGACATCAACCCAACGCAGCCCGAACCGCCAAGCCAAGTATAGCAATATTATTTCCTCAATAATATAGGCTTAGGCCTATTAATATTATCCCCTTTGTCTTTAGAAAATAAATTACGAGACTAGGCTAGTGGGCTTCTGGGTTATTTGCGCATGTTCGTCAAGCTCTCAAGCATTGCCTGAGGCCTTGACCCGTCCTAATAGCCTATATGGATGTTTATACATAATATAATATATATACCCTTATACTTTCTAGTCTCTAAAGGCTATTAGTAACTACTTTATCGAAAGCAAGTCTCTACACCAGCACCTTCAGATCCACCCACTTTTGCAGCCAGCTGGCTGAGGCGTACTCAGAAGGAAAGGTGGGCAGCCTGTCCTGCAGTGATATTGGGTTATAATGGAATTGGGAAATAATCTTCTCAATAATGACTCAGCGGACTTGGTTAACGTAATCCGGGGCCAAATGTGTCCAGGGCCTTTTCAGGCAGCAATGTTTTAGCGCAGGGTTTGTGGCTCTATCTTTGGCATTCTGACAGCCCACAGCCGGGACTTTGTTTCAGGCTGGCTGGAGTGGAGGCTTAGCCAGATAGAAGCCAGATAGGTTCACTGCTACCACGGCAGTGTACGGATCCATCTGATCATTACTAAAAGGCTTCCAAGCTTTGTAGAAAGGTGTACGCACATGCTCTCCCTTTCCGCTTTCTCTGTGGAGCATCGATCTGTGACCACGTGATTTACGCTATATTTGATTAGAAAAGCCCTCGTTTGGTCATTATTCGGTATATAATGAAGTTGAAGTAATGCTTTTAGCAGTTGAACTTCAGCAAAGCCAATAGACATTTGTGCTCGTGTTAGATCCAGAAGCGGCTGAGTGTGCCACAAAGAGGCAAAATAGGCTAGATTCCCCCAAACACACATGTGGGGTAATGCTATAACATGTCCCAAATTTGTAAAGGCATAATCACGGCCTGGGGGACTGTGAATATTGTGGTGGAGGTTGGCCTTTATAACCCAGGCGGTTAGGTATGTTACAATCATTCCGTAACTAAAAGTACTCTCCCAGATCAAAATAAGTTGTGCCACATTGCTTGTCAACGAGAATGCCACAATCAACGCCCATTTCTTCACCTAGTACCGGCCGCATGATTCCCATTGCGGCTCTAATAGTTGGGATCTTTCTCGCTCAGTCACTGTTTGAATCCAAAGTTCTTCCTCGTCTTGAAAATAGCATATTTTCGGCGCTCAAGAATCAGGATCAATTTGCTTACAGCTGCGAAGCACTTGTGAACAAGCTCAACATCGAGAACTTAACAGTTTGGAGCACTCAATACGTCGCAGCAGGGACTGCGCTGAATTTGACCGTGGAGGAGCCGACAAGAAAGAACACGGCAAAGTGCACTGATTCCGGATGGGGCACACCTGTTCCACCTATCGTACCGGAGGATATGTGCCGAATAAGCTCTGCGCTGCGGACTTCTGATCGTTCCGAAATCAGTATCCAGTCCTGGCTTCCACGAAGTTGGACCGGCCGGTTGTTGAGCACTGGCAATGGGGCTCTAGGCGGTTGTGAGTCTGCTGGAAACACAATGTGCTTCGGTAATTCTGATTGTGATCCAAGGTATTCAACACGAAGATTTGGCATGGGGAAACAGCTTGGGCTTCGCCACAGTATCCGGGAACGGCGTGGGTAGCGTTCCATGATATAGGAAGGTCCACAAAAGCTGACAGCCACCAGGGACACAACGGTACGCGCGGCTTCAGCTTCTACGAGAACGACGAGAGTCTGGCAGATTTTGGCTGGCGATCGTAGGATCTCCCATCATGAATATAACATCTTTGCATAGAATGTTTGCTAACATAATCTAGTGCGCATCTTTCACTAGTTGTGGGGAAGCAGATGGTAAAATCCTTCTATGGCCGGCCGTACTCCAAGGCGTATTACTATGGATGCTCTAGAGGAGGTGGCCAGGGCTGGAAGGAAGCACAAGCATTTCCAGACGACTTTGACGGCATTCTGGTAGGAGCCGCAGCCCTGGCCGGTAATGATCTTTTTTCCTGGACTGGCAACCTCAGGCTAATTGTCGGCGATCCCCAATCAAAGTCGTTCCTGCCAATATCAAAGTGGGAAGTCGTTCACAAAAATGTCATCGAACAATGCGACGGGCTAGATGGTGCCACTGACGGCATTATTGAGTATCCGTCTCTTTGTGCCTACGATCCTGACCAGCTGATATGCGGCCCGACGAACCCAGATCCTGATAGCTGCATTACTGCTCACCAAGCCACCACAGTACGAAACGTGTACGCCGACTTTGTTGCTAGTGATGGGACCTTCATATATCCTGGCCTGCCACCTAGCAGTGAGCTTGAAATCATGCCGTGGGGTAGTCTCTCGGGTCAGTCGCATAATGCCGTGGACGATTACTTCCGCTTCGCCGTTTATAATAAGCCGAACTGGGATCCTTTATCACTCAGTTACGAAGATATAATTTATGCCAGACGAAAGGATCCAGGAGGTCTGCAAGTATGGTTGGGGAATCTCACTGCGTTTGCACAAAGAGGATCCAAACTTCTCGCGTATCACGGTACCCAAGACGGTTATATTCCATCCGCTATTGCTGGCACCTACCGCGAGCACGTTTCTCGTACAATGAATTTGTCTTCCAGTGAATTGGACCATTTCTATCGGCTGTTCGAGATTGGTGGTATGGGTCATTGCAGCGGCGGATCGGGCGCTTGGTATATCGGGCAGCCCGGCTATAATCCAATCAGCTCCAGCCCTGACCAGAACGCTTTGATGGCATTGGTGCAATGGGTTGAAGAAGGGGTTGGCCCTGAGACAATTTTTGGTACGAAATTCTCCGATAATGATGTTTCTGCTGGAATCGATTTTCAGCGCGCACATTGCAAGTACCCCTTAAGGAATGTCTTCCAAGGTGGTGACTTCAAAGATTTCCGAAACTGGCAGTGTGTTTAAAGAAACGGGCATTGGATATTAGGCAATAGGTAACGAGAAACATTTACTTCAAAGGCCTCGCCCTTGCTCCTACACGACTATTTAGAACATACTTAGAATGCCTATTTGCGTGCGAGGAAGCGCAAGGAGAATAAGTGTATAGATGGTAAAATTTGCGTTGATAGGCGGAGTTGTATCGTCGCTCTGCAGATAGGACTTTCACAGAGACGATCTTCTAGCAAGATATACTCGTATCTATTGCGCTAACCTCGCTGTAGATCGGTAATATCTGGTTAATGCGAGTAGATATCTTAATTGGGTCAGACCAAGAAAGAAGCCATTGGGCCCAGAAAGAAGTGAGAGGCAATAGTCTGCCGTAGAAGCTAGTCAATACATGGAGATCAGAGATTGTCCCGCTGTTACCACCTAGTGTAGTTTTGTTATCGCTTCGTGGCGGTAACCGAATCGGTATATGGTATCCGTAGTTTCGGTCCTCCTAAGTTTACCTCTTAGGGGATCTTTAGCCAGGATTTTCTTATTGTGATACTCCAACAGGGATATACGGGTCAGGTTGACTCGTGGGTATTTGTATAAACGAACAAATAAATAAATAAAGGAAACAATCAACTTCTATAATTAACATTCTGTTGAGCCCTTCAGTCTTTCACCATGGGATCCTTTGGACCCCCAGACACATTAGGCCTCCCCAAGTCGTTCGCCATGAGAGCCCCGTGGGGTAAATACATCTCCGTTCCCGCCGTTGGCTATGGAACTTGGGCACCAGGTCTGTGTCAGTCCCAAGTATCATCCGAAAGCTGAGCTGACTCCCTCTCGCCCTCGCAGAGGACCCCTCCTGGTGCACGACAGCTGTCGTGGATGCTTTGCAGGCTGGAGTGCGCCATTTAGATTGCGCCTGGGAGTACGGAGTACGAAACACTGCATATCTGCGTTCCTGATTCACGAATTGCGAGTTGATTCTTATTTGAACTCATCAGGTTGACCGTCAGGTGGGCGAGGGCATTCGCCGATCCGGAGTCCCACGCGACGAGATCTTCATCACGACAAAGTTCTGGCCAAACTTTGCCGAGCCAGGCAATGTCTCTCTCGCACTGGACAAGATCCTTGACGCCATGGGGCTCGAATATGTCGACCTGTTCCTGGCACATTTCCCAGCAGCCATCAAGCCGCTGCCTGGGTTGAAGGACGCAGCCAACTTCAACGGCGCCACCCCGCTGCATCAGCGCTGCGCCGTGGACGAACGCGGCCACTACGTGCCGGACCTAGAGCACTCTCCTCGCGCTGTGGCTAGTCTTAACGGTAGTCGCGAAGGTGGGAGTTTCGTGCCAACCTGGGAGGCAATGAAGCAGCTCGTGTACACGGGCAAGTGCCGAGCTATAGGGGTATCGAACTTTGAGCGCGAGCATCTTGAGGAGATTCTCCCGCATGCTTCTCACTCCGACGTGCCCATATCGTGTAACCAGATCGAGGCACACCCGTGGTACCCGAACACCGCGCTGGTGGAGTTCCTCCACGACAAAGGGATCCTACCGACCATTTACAGCCCGTTCGCGCCAAAGACGTTTGCCGTCAACAATGGCGTAGTCGAGGCATGCGAATTTGCTCCGGATGGTGTGACATTGCTTCGGGAGCCTGTGGTTAATGCGGTGGCGCACAAGAATGGTATGGACGCTGGACAGGTCTTGCAGAGCTGGGCCGTGCAGCGAGGAACCGTGCCCCTGGCAAAAAGCAGGTCTAAGTCGCGTATCGCGAGTAACTTGGCGATTCGACGGTTACCAGATGAGGACGAGTTGCTGTTGAACTCACTGGAGAAGTATGGGCTGTCAGGGAAGTGCATTGATGTTAATTTACTGTTTCCTGGAGTGCGTATGCGATAGATACATATGAATGTATGCTATCGCCAGGGAAAACAAAATTCGTTGTAGACCCGGTCTCCAATGGTCGAAGCATAAATCCTATATACAGATATATATATATTCCCTTTTTGGTGCATATTGTATGTACAAGGAATTGACGGAATGAGGTATAATGATTAGCCTCAACATTGATTGGCGGGCAGTTCAGAGGGAAATGAAAGCTGAATATGGATTATATCTCTAACAGGAGTAATGAGATGCCGCAATCCTTGACCGAAGCTCCATTGTATGCCATAGAATTGATTGTTAGCAGAAGTCTAGCTGGTATTGAGTTCATCCAGTAGCTTTTTTCTGTTCACAAGTAGTAGTATTGTAACGGTCCTTACAACTATTTCTTATTAAAGATATAATATTATCTACTTAAACACCTTAGACAGGCTTTACTAGAAGTGTACTATACTAGTCTCGAAGCTAGATCCTCTGCCTTTTCATGTACAATGCAAATGAGCTTTCCGTTAGCTTTATTTTATCGAGGAATGCCAGGTCGACATAGGATACGCAGAGCCTAACTCAACCTATTTCGGATAACTTTGGAACGCGCCTCGGCTAAGCAACCCTTGCGATCTAGCACACGCCCGGGCAAAAAGGTATAATTACCTACGGCTACCGGGTTACCCGGTCAGCTCGTTCGCCGTGATTGAATCTCCAGTGATCCCTTGGTTTACGTTCCCAGCTCCGTTGAAATGCCCGCTGTGCAATGCATCGTCGCGTACCCGGCACGAAAGCCGAATGGAGAATTAGCCCGTTTCAACCTCGAGTAGTAAGTCACGACAAGACCCGAACAGCTCGGTGAGCCATCATGGGGCATTGAAGTCGACCTAACTCTTCCAGCTACCTAACCAAACACATGCCCATGATCGATGAATACTGGGGCCCATGCGGGTTGAAGGCGTGGGACGTTTTCGAGTTTCCGCTCCAAAGTCCCCTATCTGGCAAGGATGTGGAATATAGCGTTTTGGCGACACTTGAGTTTGATAGCCTGGAGGGTCTAAAGAACGCCCTGCAATCGAAAGAGACCAGGGCGGACGTTGCGATGTATTGTGATGTACAGCCCTGTATATGGGTTAGTGAGAAGGTTGGGTCGAAGTGCTTGTAGGAGGATCTGAGCCCTGCCTACTTGTTCTTGGTGCCGGATACTGCTTTGATATGAGCTTATACAAGAACGTCTCCATGGACAGAGCATCGTTATAAGAAAAGCAGAGCCATATTCGCAGATACACAGATGAATATGATGTGATTTAGTCATCTTTGTAGCTCATAACTACGTCTCCAATGAGATGTAAACGTCCCTTCAGTCATTCTCGGAATAAGACCTAGGAGTCGACGTGTCTTACGCTGTCAAGACTGGGATCTGGAGGCTAACAATTCCAAAAGTGGTACTACTAGCCGGGATTTGCGCCAAACAGCAAAAGTAAGAGCCCCAGCATGAGCCCCAAGCCCCTATTTGACCATCTCATAGAGCATTCCCCTTTGTACATTTGTGAGCAATTGTTTCCGAGATCTTCCATTCTGCGATAAAGCGCGCTTGGCTGTGCCTTGACGACCTTGTTTCACGCCCTTCCTGTTTGCGCGGATTCAGTTTAGTCACCGTGCAACGCCATGGTCCAGGCCAACAACGAGTCCGCGGACGAAACGTTCTTAAAACTCGGTTATATGCTCGGCAATTCCTCCACACAGCCAGCCCTCGAGACCTGTACCCCGCGCCGGCCCTGGGCCCCCAAGTCCGCCCCGCCTCGGAAACAATCTAGTGCATCGTTGGGGAAGAATGCCAATCAGGGGGGACCATCGAGATGTACGATCCCGTACGCTCTTAGACTTGAGCGAACTTGAAGCTGATAGTTTGACCTTCGGCCAGGGAAGGAAAGAGTCTACAAACATCCCCGGAAAAGGGGGACAGCAGGGCGCATGATCGGAGTTAAGGGCGTTACGCCAACGTTTCCTTTGGACCACCTGGTCGACATCTCTGCGGCTTTGCTGGGTGTGACGAGCAGGGATATTTGCTCTGATGTAAGTGTCAAAGAAGAAGTATCTATCCAAGGAGGTCCGGACTCAAGCTGTATACTCTACCGGGAGGAACCACTGGAAATCGCACCAGGGCCACTGCAGTCTATTTCTTCCGAGACCTGGCAGTTTCTGAGGTTCAAAAATGCATTGGATATTCCCACAATGACCCTCCGGCGTGCGCTCTTGGACGCATATATAGCCTTCGTTCATCCCAGCATGCCAGTGTTGGATCTACCTCGAGTACTTGACAGCATTCTGATGAGCCAGGATGAGTGCCGTCTAAGCCCCTTGTTGTTTCAAGCAATGATGTTTGCGGCGAGCGCCTTTGTCGAGACTCAAGCGCTGCAAGCAGCTGGGTACCGGTTTCGAAGTGACTTGAGGAGGGACCTTTTCCACAAGGTGAAGGTAAGGACCGCTTGTGGAAATTGTAAAAGAAGGTCTTGGAACCGTTACTTAAGGGCGAGTTTTCTGATAGATGCGAACTATAGGTAATCTACGAGAGCGACATGGAAGCCGACTCAACTATCCAGATACAGGCTCTTCTACTTATTAGCGACTGGCACGACTGTGCAAATAACCCCAAGGATCCCTACTACTGGATTGGTCTGGCAGTATCCACAGCGCATAGGCTTGGCCTACATGAAAAGTCTTATGACGGCCTGGCTAGCTTACGCAAACGGCTCTGGTGGTGCATATACGCCCAAGATATCCGTGTCAGCCTCAAACTTCGCCGTCCCAGACAAATCAAGGATACCATTGTCACGGCCGGCTTTTTACAAGAAGAAGACCTAGAAATTGGGCATGTTAAAGACCGAGTTCGCTCAGAGTTCAATAAGTGTGCCGATCTTTTTGAACCCGAGAGTACACGGCAGCTAAACCAACTATATATGCATAGCATCAATCTGTGCGTCAGGATCGGGCGTGTGCTGGACGACTTCTACACGCCGTCGTGGACCCGTAATGTGTTAATCGAGTCGCCCGTGCTGCTTGTGCCTAAAAGGCCATTCTCAGCGCAAATGGACTTGCGGGCTGAGCAAGCCTTTGAAGCTTTAGCAGCCTCATACGCGGTCTTTTCGAGCGAGGAATGCCTACTTGCAGCGGATATACGGGGCGAGGTAGGGTCAGTTGGTCTCAGCTTTGCGATGCAAAATGCAGAGTTACATATTATGTATCACTTGGCCCGGTGCATCCTGTCTCATGCATTACTATCTTCCTGTCCGCCATTTACCTCGCTCCTCTGGAAAGAAAAGCTGCGCAGTGCGACGTACGACATTATCTCGGTTCTGCAATTGCTCTGTGCTTCCCGTCCACAGGCTGCTTTCCCCAGCATATGCGTTCCTGCAGTCTCACTTGTCACGGCAATTATTGTAACGGGCTTGGATGACAAAAAGGAGGACCAGGGGGTAAAGGATCGATCGCTTTCTAACTACCATTTCTGCATGAATATTGCCAAGATTCTCCAGGAGACACACCCTGCCGCATATATGATTTCTATGTCTTCGAATTCGGGAAATTGCTGGTTATTTCGGTAGAGCAAACATGCGGCGAACCTCACCATTGAAAGTGAATGTAAAATGTATCTAAAGGAAAGCTCGTATACTTAAACTACCAGCACGACGCTACGGCTCGACGCGCAGAATCTACATTGAAGTACTCGGGCAGCTTGGCCTGCCCATCTACTGGGCTGTATATCCACCATCAACTGAGAGAGCGGCACCGGTAACGTAGCCTGCGTCTTCAGATACCAGAAACAAGGCCGCTCCTGCAATCTCCCTTAGAGTGCCGAACCTGCCCCAGGGATACAATGCCGTGGACTCGGCCACTGCGCTCTCGCTCTCCCCATGTGGCTTAAAGCATGCGGTCACCGCATCTGTAGCGAGTCAGCCATTCATCCATAGCAGGTAAAATACGGATAAGATTGTGAGACGACCTCCAGGACATAAGACATTACAATGGATCTTTTGCGGTGCCATTTCCACCGCAACAGAGCGCGTGAGCTGAAAAACAGCTCCTTTGCTCGTGTTATATGCCGCTAGTGGGTCCGTCGTTGTTAGATGGTATGCATAGACAAACATCGACGAGGGTGATAACGCACCTAGACCCGGCCCAACAGCGACTAGGGACGAAGTTGAGCCAATGTTCACAATCCATCCCCGATCCCCGGACGGCCAGCAGCCTTGTTGCAGAAACTGGCGCACGGCATACTTGCAGCCCAGAAAGGCCCCCCAGCAATTCACCATCATGGTGCGATGGAACACATCTTCGTCCTTTTCGTCGATCGTTTTCCCCAGATGCTGCGGGAGAGATTCTGGACAAATACCCGCGTTATTCACCATGATATCGAGGCGACCGTATTTCTCAACCACAGCCGAGATAAGCTGTTTCATCTGCTCTGGTATAGAAACATTCACTTCGAAAAAGGCGGCCACGCCACCACGATGCTCAATATATTGATCCGTTCCGTAGCTTTTATCGTCTGATCTTGCCCCTGCTGCGTCGCAGTCGGGCCTGATATCCGCGCAGGCAACAATTGCTCCCTCCTTGGAGTATCGGAAGGCGATCGCGCGGCCAAACCCCGACGAGGCACCTGTGACCAGGGCAACTTTACCCTGGAGCCGTCCATGGAGTACGGGCTTCGGGTCATCCATGTTATCGGAGATGCCAGCGGCAGGAGACATCGTTTGGGTGTGAGTGCAGGAATAGAAGAGTGTGAAGCATACCTCGGTGCGTGTCCTGGAGACAATAAAAACGACGTCCCAGTTGATATAGTCTTGGTCTTACTCGCAAAGGAAATGTTCTCCAAACACTTCCACATCTGGCTAGCTAATCGAACCGGCTGTAATCACGCCTCACATTAGCGAGAGCCTTTGAACCAATACGAATCCATATAATGATAACAGATGAGCTTATCAGCGGATCCATCGGCTTCCCCGCATTTACCCCAATCAGGATGGCTGTCAGTGCGACTGACCGGCGTATCTTTCTCATCCCCAACTGATAACGTGAAAGCCACATAGCTGCCGCTACATCGCGAGGAGACCCCGGTCAAATATAGTCGGATCCCCTTCTCATCGCCCTATTGCCCATCTTCGAGTTTCCCCGCATAGATAGTCGTGGAACTCATCAGCATCTATCCCCATGTCCGGGACACGCTCACGAAAAGGTATTGCTCGTGTGCAGTCCGGCCAATACCAGTGGTCCTCATGCTGACATTTGGCGTTCTTCAGGCTGCGCTACGTGCCGTGAAAGACGGCAGAAATGCGACGAAACAAAACCAACCTGTTTAAACTGTCGGTCGCGGGGAATCGAGTGTGGCGGTTACGCTATCCGACTGACTGATTTCAATCATTACGAGGGCTACGATGGCCAGATGGTTTGCAAAATGATTCGCGGAGATGAAAGTGGTAAACCTCCACGTCCTGGTCGAAGAACGAAACGCCGCAAGGTTCGCACGACGCTTTTTGGTATGGATGTCCGTCCTTGTTTATCGGTCGTCGTCACACAGCGGTGGTCAGGTCTAATTGCGAGGTAGGGGATGATTCTGATGCCCCAGTGCAGAGGACACCGCGATTGTCAGACTGCAGTAACCTTGAAAGCTCCTCCCCTAAACCACAGTCACAAGCAAGTGAGGAGATCATTGGAAGCCCAGAATCCAATGATCCACTGTTCTTGCTAAAAGCACCAAGGGACGCGAACTCGGCACGGACCCATCGCGGCTCGCAGATAACATCAGATAGCTCGCCACAAGCTGCCGCAGACGATCCGCTCTTGTGGCCAGACGTGCCGCTTCCTGTTGCAAGCGATCTGCTATTCCCACAGCATGAAGATCTGTTGATGGATATATCATGTTCGTCGAGCCTACAAGGGTTGCTGTCACCCACACTATGGCCAGAAGACCTGGCTCCTACCATGTCTACTAGGCCCGGACTAAGTACTATCTTCAACGAGCCACTAGGCGCACAAAGCTCTACTTATGATTCAAACATAGCATTGAGCGTGGTTGAACCACGTAGTTCGCCCGGCGATAATACAAATCACCCTTTTGGAGACCTGGTTCCTCCAGAGGTAGATCAATGTGTGTTAAACTCGACGCCGAGTGACCCACGCGCATTTGATAACTACCTTTTCAAGCATTGTAAGGAGAAACCCGCAGTCTTATTGTGGCAAAATAGCTAACCGGATCATTCTTCCACAAAGTCGTCGATGTCCTAGCCCCGTCGCTTCACCCACTGAACCCGGACCGGAACCCGTACACCGTCGTATATGCTACATTGGCAGGGTCTTGTCAAGTATTGTACAACGCTATCCTGTCCGCTTCGGCCGATCATTTGGTGTATCTGGGACAGTTGCCAGTGTGGGCGACGGGACCATATCGCCGAGCAATGCAAGACTCGTTTCAACGTGCTATAGGAGCAAGCAACATGAGCCGGTCGACTGCCGCCGCCATGCTTCTCTGTATCGCGGCCGAGGTATGCCCCATAGAAATCTGCTTGTATTCTGTGGCACACCATTGCTAATTTTGTCAATTTGGTAGGTCGTCGGGTCAGGTATGGGGGTGTGGAGTACCAAGCTGGGCGGTGCGCACAAGCTTCTTGCCAGCACAATGAGAGGCGAGGGAGTACCGTCGGAAATGAAGTTCCTATGGTTACAATACACGTGGATGTCTGTTATCGGCCGCACTTTATGGATTCCTGGGCGTTCACAAATGCCCCCGACCGATCTCCAACCACCGGGCCAAGGTAAGCAAACCCCCATCTAGACTAATAGTACTCGGGTATCTTCGTATAAGTCTGAACCTAACAGCACGCTTTGTAGACCTAGAACTAGATCTTCAACTGGCCGAAGAGCAAGAGCGCTGGTTTGGTAACATGCCCGATTACTCGATGGTCATTTTCCTCCGCACAGCCAGCAATCTTGTACGCAAATTGAACCAAGTCGCTTCCCAACCAAACCCTGTCCAAGCAACGCAACGGTTGCTCCCTGATATAGCAGATTTGATAAATCAAGTCCGCGCCTGGCGCCCACAGCGCTGTTCAGCCAATGATCCATATACCACCTGCGCTGCAGAGATTGGCGAGATATGGAGACAGGGTCTCCTGTGCTACATCTATGCCGAGCTGTGTGCCTTACCCAGGAGCGATATTCGGATCCAGGAGGCCGTTGCTGCCGCTGTTCCAGCCATTCGAAAACTAACATGGATGCAATCCGTTCTCTGGCCCGTTTTTATGATCGGGGTGCATGCTGTCGGGCAGGAGGATCAGGCGGCGATTGAGCAGGGCCTTTTGATGATGAATTCGACGCTTAAGTTCAAGACTCCCCTTTCTCTGGTGGATATTTTTCGTCAAGTTTGGTGTGCAGCCGAAGGGTCGAGTGTGGATTGGAAGACGATAATATCCAAGTCGGGCATGGAGTTGAATATTCTACTCTGAGTTGGCAACTCCAATCCCCCGTCGCACTACATTGGGACAGTAGGGAGTTTTGGGCTCTTCAGTCTATCGTCAAGGAGTGTTTCCTTCTGTAGTTTGTGATTACCCATGCAGAAGCGTTATTGGCTTAGATATAGAGAGACCTATAATTGAACCCCCTGACTAAATTAAATCACCAGGCACCCACTTCGTGTAGTCTCCATTTGCTTTCAAGAAGTCAATGGGCTCCATCTGCTCAACAAATCCCCCGTACGGCCGACTAATCTGATAGCCAAGCAGCTTTTGCACATTGTCCGGGTACGATTTAATCGTCTCCAGCGGGATGGCAAGGTACTGGTTCTCGTCCTGACGACACCACCCAGGAGTCATAAACCCCGCCAGAAGTAGGCGGTACTGATCAGAGGTACTGTTATGTCCGGCACCATGGTATGTGGATCCAAGCCTTGCAGTGTCAGGTCTGTCATTCCTTGGTACATCTGGACTGAGGAACTACTCACCAGATCAACGCATCTCCCTTTTCCAGTTCGGCAGGACAAGCCTCCTCCATTGTCGGCTTCCGCTCATCATCCCAAAGATGCGAACCCGGAACCACATTCGTCGCCCCGTTGATCTTCCTGGACGGGGTGCCCGCGAACATGATCCCGAGGTCGGTTTCGTACTTGGCCGGGTGTCTAGTATGGTGGCACTGGTCGTCCCGGTGCAGCCCCTGAGCCTGCGATCCAGGGCCTAGCCAAAATGCCATGGTATTGGTAACCTGCGGCAGGCTGGTGGAAGTTGTCTCTTCTTTGCCGTACCACACCGTCGTCGTCTTTCCCAGGAGCTTGTTGGCAACCTCCTGGTAGAGGGGGTTCGTAAGCAGCTTCGTAGCAAAGGTCGGGCTTTTCCCGGCGAGACCACAGACCCGTTTGCTTTCTTTTGCAAAAGTGACCCCGGTGTGGTCGAAGGTGTCATTGTTGATTTCTGGTTGGATTTCCCTCCACGCCTGGTCGATGACGACCGGGTCACCTAGCTTCTCGACGATGAGGCCGCCGTCACGCTGGAGGATGGACAGGACGTCATCGGCCGATGTCGAGGCGGGGACACGGACGAGGGAGGGGGCTTTCCCGGTGGTAGTTGGGGCGATCATGGTGGTGAGGCGTGCTGGTAGTAGATGGTATATTTGTGGTTGTTCACGGCAGGGAAATCTCGCTGAGCCACAGACTTGATTTTTGAAGCACAATGTGGAGGGTCTGCTTGCGGATATATCGGGCATTCCACGCCTTGATGTTGTTGCTCTTACGGCAGAGACAATGACCCGACCTGGTCAACCGAATCGGCTCACCCAATCTGGCCACGAAGACCGGACCCTGAAGGGGGCAGAATCGATGTGATGACGGATTTCCCAAGTAGGCAATGCTAGCCTACTTTTCCCACAACATCATGAGCGACTGGGCCCATCCAGAGCACTAGATATTTAGAGGATCAAATCATAAGCACATCTTTTTCAAAATAGTATCTCAGACACCTCCAATTTCCTCCCCAATCGACTCGACTCATCATGCCCAACCCACCTCACCAGGCAAACAACCCCACCGTCGCTGAGCTGCCTGCTACTACATCTGCACAGGAAGTAGCAGAAATTGTCCGCCGTGACGGTGGCGTGATTATCAAAAACTTCATCTCTGCCGATACGATAGCGCAAATCGACCGAGAGCTTGCGCCTCATTGGCAACGCAAGGGCGTGTACAAGGGCAATCTATTCAATGCAGATGATCCGCCATTAAGGTAAGCGCTCTATAGCAGGAACATTTTCAAACTATCTAACCCCGGGGCCTGCCTTCATGCAGTGGACTTTGTGGCAAGTCTCCGACGGTGGCCGAGAAGGCTCTGAACCACCCGCTTTACCAGGAGGTTGCGAAGGAGCTACTCCGCGATGTTATGTAAGTATTGCTTGACGATCCTCAGTGTAAATACCCTCTGCTCATCGAAGCGACATAGCTATCCGTGGTGGGGGGACTCTCGTAGCATCTGCATCTCCGACCCGATCCTTGCTGTCTCGCAGGCTTTCACTCGCGGGCCAAAGACCGCCGGTCAGCCCTTGCACAGAGATGACATGCCGCAGCATTTTGAACATGAGGAAGGAAGCGGAGATAGCTCCCTCCTCGGACTCCTGGTAGCTGGAACGGTGAGTACTACAACTGGCAAGCATATTGACCTTCACATGAGGACCGCGCTCACATGTATACTTTTATGCGCTCAAGAGATGCACGTTTGAAAACGGCGCCACGCAGCTAATCGTGGGATCCCATAAATGGGGTGATAATAGAGGTCCTGCGGATCCAGCGTTGTGCTCGACAGCGGAGATGGATAAGGGTGACGCCCTCATTATCATTGGTAGCATATGGCATGGTGCTGGAGAAAACATCTCGCACGAGCGACGAAACATCTACTCCATGCATATGGTGCGTGGGACTATGCGCCAGGATGAGAACCAGTATCTTGCTATCCCGAGAGAGGTTGCAAAGACGTACAGCCCCGAGGTGCAGGCCATCATTGGGTATTCGGTCAGCCAACCGTATTGTGGGTATGTGGAGATGGATGATCCAGTCAAGCTTCTTCAGGAGAATGCGGGATTCCAACACCATGACTTGCAGGGGATTATATTTGAAGGTCCGGGCTCTGAGAACTTCAAGGGAGAGAAGCCTCGACTTGCTCCTATTGCGGGAAACTGAAGGATACATAGGGATTTAGCCTGTTGAGGTTGATATAGCTACACCAGAATGAACACCAGAATGATGAACCCTGCTAAATTGCATGGACTTTGAAAGATTTATCTGCCGATTCTTGTTTCTTCTAGATTAAATAATGCAGCTAAGAAATACATGTTTACTTATGCAAGTTCTATGCTTAAAGTCCATGTGGTTTTAAGGGTGGTTTTACGACGTCTCCATGAGATTTTGTCCAAGTCGCCATATCAACTTGTACTCAAACACACGAAGATGAAGGTCTGATCCATTGAATATAGGAGCAATCGTACACTAAATACCCAGAAATAGGGGTAACATAACTAAAATAGGAAACCAAAACGGCAAATTTGGTGTCTAGAGGTCGACAGACCCGCGTTTCAAACCCTTCAGGCATCACTCCCCCAACTCGAAAACCCTAACCCGGGTAAAGGTCTGCCCATGGGTCTCATAGAAAAATACACAATGGGTGCGTTTACTCTCCCCTTTTTTCAACGGTACATATGCCTGCGGACATCCCTCGCGCTCAAAGTCTTCCTTGGGAATATCCTTGTCCGCATGCCAGCCATACATCGTTTCAACCGCAAATCCGTGGGACCCTTTGTAGAATGAAAGGACTTCGATCGTTTCGCGCATGTAGTTGTATTGGAAATCCTTCACCCGCAAGAAGGCCTCGATGTCTGAATACTCGTGGCCGTCTTTGAAAACAGTGAAGCCCGGGTCGAAGAAAATCTCGGCAGCTTTGCGCTGCTGTTTTGCTTCGACGAGGGAGACATATCTTGCGTATGCAGCTTCGTCCATTATGGTGGCGGAGGGCAGGAAGGAGCCAGAACGTTTTGCAAGCCTCTATACAAGCGGATGTATCCTGGTAGGTAACGAAGATAAGGTCGCGATAGTCTCAATAGAGCATTGCTTCGCCCATAATATAAATGAAGGGAGAGCCTTCGTAGACAATGTTGAGCTAACTGAAGTAAATGTGACGTTCTGGCTACTCGCTACCAATTTGGTTAGGCACTTAATAGACCCGGCTACTATGGAGATCTTCCTTGCGCCTCTTAACGATGCCCTCTTTGGTAAAGCGAATCGAATAGACCTTATGTAGCCGTGGCAGATGCGTTTTCCTGCCACTTGGAGATAGCTGGAACCCAGAACCTCTTTTCGATATGAGTATCCTCTAAAGGTATAAATTTTCATTCGTTTGTTGTCTGTGATCTCGCCTATCATCCGCTATCTGGCCCGGACTCCTGGAACGAGCCACTTCGATAGCTCCTATGTCGGAATTCTTCCCACCAGCGGCGGGGAAGACCCCCCTTACTCACGGCCTCGGATATGGACGGTCACGCCATGAAATCCTGGAGTCAAACTTTTCTCTCCAGAACCGCACAATCATTCTAACTGGAGGTGCCCGTGGAATCGGATTACACCTCCTACAGACGCTAGTTGCAGCTGGCGCGGATGTTTCCTGTCTCGATTTGTTGCCAGGGCCCCCGGCTGAAGCACTAGATAAACTCAAATCGCAAAGCGAAGCAGAATCTTCTGTTATCTCGTTCCATAAGTGCGACGTGACGGATGAAACGGCTGTGGAATCAGCCATCCATGGAATCCAACAGCAAGCATTGAATAGGCAGCGGCCGATAAGAGGGTTGGTCCACTGCGCTGGACAACAGATTGCCGGAGAGGCCTCCAGCCTCCCCGGTGAGGATTTCCGCCGTGTAATAGATGTTAATATCACGGGAAGCTTCTTTGTTGCGCGACAGGTGGCAAAAGCTCTGCGAGACACCCAGGAATCGGGCAGTCTAGTCCTGGTAGGGTCTATAGCTGGCCACGCAGCGAATCGGGTGGGTGCCCAACTACACGAAACCCCTGATTTCGATCTACAGCTGAGACATCACATTGATAAAATCACAGGGAATATGTAACTCGAACTACAACTCCTCCAAGGCCGCAGTTATCCAGCTGGTTCGCTCCCTGGCACTGGAGTGGGGTCGGTATAACATTCGAGTGAACAGTCTCTCGCCAGGTTTCATACGCACTGATATGACAAATGATCTGCTGGTTGAAAGACCAGAATTCAACGAGTTGTGGATGGCTGGGGCGATGCTGGGCAGACTCGGTGAAGTGGATGATCTTGAAGCTGCTGTTCTGTTTCTTTTGGGGGAGGGATCTCGCTGGATGACTGGAGCGGACTTGAGGGTAGATGGAGGCAATAATGCCTCAATGTGAGTTGTGTGTGTAGCAAGGTCTCCTAACTTAACCGTGTAGAGCTCGTGGCTACTGGGGAGGTGGAGCGTGTCGTGGTAACTGGACAGAAGAACAAGCCGGACTCTCCTACATTTGCCATATTGGGAAAGCTCGTCAACGCGCGCTAGGAAATGACTTTGCTTCGAAGCTAGAAGCTACTCAAGTACTCGGATATGTAATTAGTTTGAGGCATAGGTCAATCGGCAAGCTTGGCTTCCTGGGGGGCTGTGGAGTCCGCCTGCCTCCACCTCTTGCAGTAGGGATATCCGTTATCTGTCACCATACGAGGCCGCAAAGGGATACTCGGTGGCACGCGGTATATAGATTTCTGTCTCGACCCCATGTTCAACCAATGGAACTGGGCACTTCTCTCGAAAAGCCATACATCTTCCTGCTACTTCTTGCTATCTCGTTATGTTTCATCGCCGACTCAGTAGCCTCACATCCGGTCATATTCACATAACCAGCCAAATAATAACCCCGAGATGAGCTTTCTGGACAATACCCACCCTGGTGGAAGCAATGCCGCCAGCACTAAGCTTCAGGAGCACTTCCAGCTTTGGGGGGTCGTAGGCGTCATGGCTTCGTCTCAGGCAACCTGCATAGTTATTGGTACCTTTCTCTCCCTCATCGTCGGAGTTGGTGGCCCGCCGGCCTATATTTGGGGCTTCATAACGACCGGCTCCCTCAGCTACATGGTGATGCTTTCTCTAGCTGAGATTTGTGCCGTTTACCCATGCTCCGCTGGTCAGATATACTGGAGCGCGATACTTTCGCGGGGCCGTCCGAATCGCCTTGCGAGTTACAGCTGTGGATGGATCAGTGCCTTTGGGTGGTTCTTGTATACAGCAGGAACTAATATGATGATTGCTAACTTCATTTGCGCCGTCATCATGGTTTACTACCCATCCATGAGCTTCGAGACCTGGCAGACATACCTGATCAATGTCGGCATGGGCATTCTCACCTTTCTCTGGAACGGGCCGTTTTTCAAGCTCTACCAGAGGTCAACTACTGGATTCACCTACATCTTCACTCTGGGCGCTCTCTTCATCTTCATCAGCTTGCTCATCCGGGTGTCGCCGAAACAGTCCCCTCGCGATGTTTTCCTTCATATCATCAATGACACAGGCTGGAGTAGCGACGGCATTGTCTTCCTCATTGCGACTAGTTCCCTCACGTCATGCCTTAGCGCCTTCGACACGGCCACTCATCTCGCAGACGAAGTACGGGATCCATCCCGCACGCTACCTCTCGTTATGATCGGCTCTACCACAATCAACTTCATATGCGGAATCGCAATGACGATAATGTACATGTTCTGCGTGGTCGATATAGACAAGTTGTCTGACCCAGTGGAGCGGAATCCCCTGGTGCAGCTACTGGCCGATTCCCTACAGAACGACACATTGATGATGATATCGAGTTGCATCGTCATCATCGCCATGACCTGTGCGGGAGCCTCAACGCTATGCACCGCTAGCCGGACTTGGTGGGCTTTCGCGAGACTGAACGGTACACCCTTTCCCTCTTGGCTGGGAAAGATCGATGACCGAGTCAACCTCCCAATGAATGCACTGTACACCTTGACAGTTCTGGGATTCATGTTCACCGCAATAAGTATGGGCTCAACTACGGCTTTGAACGCGGTCATGGGCGGCGGAGGTGTCTGCGTCTACCTGTCCTACGTGTTCCCGCTGATACAGTTGCTTTGGGCTGGCAGAGATGTCCTACCATCCAACCGTTATATTAACCTTGGGCGAGTGGGGTGGGTTCTGAATGTCATCAGTGTGACCTGGATTATCTTGAACACGATCTGGCAGTGTTTCCCTCTATATCTCCCCGCTACTGCCGGTTCAATGAATTATGCCGCCTGTATTATTAGTGGAATTGTCTTACTGGCAGTGGGGAACTGGCACTGGAGTGGTAAGCGCCTATATACAATCCCTGAGTGGGGTGTTTCCGAAGGCGTTACTGTTTCTGAAGGGGACCAGCCTACGACAACTGATACTAAGGAAGATGTTTGAGCTGCGTTAGGTTACCTGGATGAGTGACACTGTGACATATTTCTTCTATAGGTATCTCAATCATACCACGTTGGAGACAAGTAAAAAATAGCACCGCGATCTATCTCAGTTGTAGTAAATCGAAGGCCCCTCCACGGTTGGCTGCAGCCAGCGTGTTGAAAACCGGTTCCGGTTTCATATTCATCTATCAAAGAGATTTCGCATTTTGACTTCGTCTGCTGCGCACCAGTTCCCATGAGGGCCAATATCCTGTCCATCCCATGAATTCCTCACCCGTCGTGGCAGCAACTCGGCGGATAGCCCTTCTTCGTCGATGGCCTATGCAGCCCCAGGCCCCTCTGTCGCCGGCTTTCCATCGCAGGTGGGAGGAAAGGAATGAGTACAAGAAACAGTACGCACCCGCCGGATATCACATGATAGCCGAAGAATCTAGTTTTGTTGGCGAACTTACAAGGCGAGTTTCGGTTGAGGTACGGTGGGATTGAGCGTCTGTTAACCATAACGAGCTGAGAAGGGCGACTGTGTTGGCGGTACAAGGTAGAATATTGCGGGCAGTGAGGGCATGGACTTGGTAGGCTTTGCCCACAGATTAAATGCTAGTTGGAAATCCACAAACTCCCTCGCACGGAGAGAGATGGCATTGCATTGTCTGTTCTGATACCTCTCCGGAGGTAAAATGTCACGCTATGTTGTTTTCGGCTGTATTAGCCTACCGCAACTCTATGTAGGAAATGGGGCCCCGGTTTCGCTTTCTCGCGGTGAAGCCTCTGCAGGAACCATATCCGAGGCCTCTTCGCTGCGCAGATGTCGTACATATGATATAAACGTTTCCTTTTCCTCCTCCTAAAGAGGCCAAGTCAGACCCTATTCATCTTCCCTGATACACTCAAGATGCTTCCCCGAGAAACGAAATGTTGGCTTCTAAACCATAAACCTAACGGGCGGCCTACTTTATCCGGTGGACGAGCAACCTTCGCTCTCAGAACCCGTTCAATACCCCCAATTGGAAAGAATGAAGTCCTTGTTAAGACTATTTACCTCTCGAATGACCCCGCCCAGCGCATGTGGATCGATCCCAGTTCCAGCGCCGACCGTCTGTACGTGGCCCCTATTGAGCCCAACCAGGTGATGGCTTCACGAGGCATAGGAGAGGTTCTTAGTTCTACAACGCAGGGGGTCAAGATAGGCGATCGTGTTTTAATCGCCAACATCGGTTGGTCTGAATACGCTGTTGTGTCTGAAGACAAGGTTACTATATTGGAACCACTACCCCGTGGCCTGAGTGACACGCATTATCTTGGAGCCTTGGGGAACACGGGGTTAACGGCATATTACGGGTTGGTGGTCCAGAGTGAGGCCGCCAGGGCAGATACAATTGTTGTCTCCGGTGCTGCAGGCGCAACGGGGAGCATGGTCGTTCAGATAGCGAAGGGAATCATCGGTGCCAAGCGTGTGATAGGTATTGCAGGGAGCGAGGAAAAGTGTCGATGGGTAGAGAGGATTGGGGCTGACAAGTGTAAGCTATCATTCTATCTGCGTTCAGTTTTATGTTCTCTGAAAGAAAACATGGTTACTAACGCACTTATAGGCGTCAACTATAAATCTCTGTCATTCGCGAAAGAGCTACAAGACGCAGCACCTGATGGCGTAAACATCTACTTCGACTGTGTGGCTGGGAATATCCTCGACGCAGTTCTCCCCGTTATGGCTCTCCATGGCCGTATTGCGGCCTGTGGCTCAATATCAGGGTATAATGGGGCGAACGCCCTACGACTGAACAATTGGTTTCAAGTCATCACAATGAGGTTGCGTATACAGGGGTTCATCGTCCTCGATTACTATGCGAAGGCCCACGAAGCCAGGGCGGTCCTAAGGCAGGCAATCGTGGATGGGAAATTGCATCTCGACGCTGAGAGTGAAACGGTGTGCCCGGCCAATTTCGAAGACATACCTGAGGTTTGGCTGAAGCTCTTTGAAGGCGGAAATCAGGGAAAACTTGTGACGCATTTGCAGTAAGGTTGGGGGGTACTATACTGGATTAACTGTCCCGCGTATCCTAATCAGCTGTGGTTACCTGCTTCCCGGATTTCATAGATTGTTTCCTTTACTATTGATACATAGATCTAGTAAAGAAAACGGCCTTCTGAGAGGGCGATATATATATCAACAATATAATGCAAACAAACGATATAAAACATAGAAGAGGTAGTGAAAATAAATAAAAACAGGTAGCGGGTTGTAAACAGGAACCCTCTGGTGAATCCGCAACTGGCATATAACATCCGACTTGAAAGAGTTGGCGACCTTTTTAATATGCTCATCTTGAAGCACAATAACCCCCTGGTAGGAACGCAGAAAGCCCTCGAACAAGTCGTTTCCATTTTGTTCATTCCCCGCTGCTGCTAACACCACTTTATCAGTGGCAATAAAGTCACTCCAAAGATTCTCGACCCGAAGCAGCTCGAAAATATCACCGCCTCGTTCACTATTCCTCATCGCTGCTACCACTATATCTTCGTCGACTTTGGCACCGTGTTCAAACAGGCTGAGAAGTGTTTTTATTTCCACGAATTCCTGGGCCGCTGCAACTCTTGCAACCTCTTGAAGATTCGAGGCTTCTCTCGTGGGATGTTGGAGCAATACCCTGATATATCGAGCACTGTGCTCAGGGTTCTTCACTGCAGCCATAAGAATATTCTCCGTGATCTTTGCCTGATCCTGGGCTTGATGAAGTATTACCTCAAGGATGGGGCCATTTTGCCATATATGGGGCCGGTAGGTCTCGCTGGTAAGAGGCTCGCCCGTCCACCACACTGGGTTCCCTGAGATAGCTGCCAGGATGTCCTCAGAGAAACACACCTTAGTTGGGTGGTAAGCTAAAAGCCATTTGAGAATATGATTACCCAGCTTGTCATTGCGTGCAGCATTCAAAACAACCGTGGGTGTCATTGATCCTAGGGTTGGGTCATAATCCGCGAATATTTGCATCAGAGTCCACCCGTGAACTTCATTCTTCGCAGCTGCAATCCAGGCTTTCTCGGAGAGCGATTGGCGTGTGCGTGACAGTAGATGGTTTATCGTAAGGCAAGCCGTTTTATGCTCATTGGATATAGCATGGAGGAAAACATCCTCTGTCAAATGGCGGTCATCTCGGTCAGTGGCGAGCTTCTCCAACAACGATATAGTGGACCCTGTACCTCCTTTGGCCATGATGTAAGCAATAGAAGCAGAGCTAAATCTGATCTTCCGGCTCTTGAAAAGAAGGCTGCGGTTGATTAGGGGCTTCTCATCGTCCTCGTCCCATCGGTTGCTTTCTGGACGGCCGAACAGTTTCCGGATTAAAATAGAGATGTCCTTGGGGTCGTTCTCATTATCCGATCGGATCATGCTCTCGGTCACAGTAAGGCTGAACCCGGGCTGCTCCAAAAAGAACTGCAAAATTACCCTTCTTTCTGCGTTCTTAACAATGGAAGTCTTGATCTCCTGGATCCTGAGTAGATTGCTACCCCCATATTCAAGCACAAGTTGAAAGGAAGAAGGGCAAGAATTGGGGTTTTGCAACAACGCTATCATAACCCCTTTGAATACCGATATCCGGCTCGAAGAGCCAGAAAGCAGTAGCCGAAGAGTCCCATAGCTCTCTTGAGAGCTTCTTGCTGCTGCAATAAGGACTTCCTCTGTAATCGGGACCTTGCCCGGAAATAGATCCATCAGAAGCTTCACACTTCGCATACTGCTGGATGCAGCAGCCTTGGCAATGGTTTCCGTAATTTCCACGTTTTCAAGGCTGTAGTATTTGGCAATTATCGTAAAAAGGACCTCGCACTCTCCGGCATTCTCAATGACGGACAGCAGAATCTCTTCTGTCAGTCCCGTGGGGTCATATGAGCAACGGCGTAACAAACATTCAAGCAAATACGCAGAGGTGCAGTACTTTGTACTTGTGTCTTGGTTCGTTTTCAGGCTCTCCACGTCGCTTTCATCATCTGACACCTGCGGTTCAGTATCCCAGGGTGCACGACTTCCAAGTAATTCCATGAGACCAGAACTAGAGTCACTGTCATAAGACTTTTCTGACTCAGACCAACCTGCGCTGCCCTCCGAGGACTCGTCTGATTCATCAGATTGATCGTCGGCTATGACCTCAGCATGATCAGGCGTATTTGTCTGCAGGGCAGTCATGACAACCCTTGGAGTAAGAGTAAGATCATCTCGGTATTCATTGAAGAATGACTGGATAATCTTCACGTTCTTTGTGGATATAATAGACACCAAGAGGGATTCGTCGACTAATAGCCGACCTTTGGTGATCTTGAAGAGCTCATCGGCGATTCCAGAACCAAATACCTCCAGTATTCTTTTCAAAGAGGATGGGTGAATGGGGTGAACAAGCGACTCGTGTTCAAGTAACCTGCGCAGGATGTTCACATCTGGACGAGCAGCAGCAAAGGCATCCACGAGTTGTTCTGTCACGACCAATGGCTTGTGGTAATTTCTCAGGCACAAGTCGAGTATATCAGAGTTGTTCGTGCGAATTACCGACGACAAGACGCTTTCTGAAATAATTTCTCGACGGCCTGCCTTTTCGATAACCTCTTTCCAGTCCCGGAGACTGAGATTGAGGCGCCTCATGTCGAGGTTCGTGAATTTGGAGACTATGGAAATCCACATTTCCTCGTCAATAATCCCAGACATAGACTTCAGTTTCAAGAGGTCCAAGCTGTCCCCCGGGTCAAGATGCTGTAGAATTCTTTGCAATGCGCCACGTGCTATTTTGACTTCGGGCTGTCGCAACAGCTCAAAAGAGTCAGATTGATCTAGTGCTCCCTTGGATATCATTTCTCCTGTGATTTCCATTGCCTGGGAAGTCAATACTTGGAGCATAATTTGCTTGCCAACCCATTGACCACTGCATGACTCGACCACGGCCCTGATCTCCTCTGATGGACGCTTACTCTGTCTCATCAAGGAGTTGAAGGTGAAGGGATCAATATCCCTGATCGTGAGCTGGATTGCAGGTATAAACAGCGGGTCGTAAAGGGTTGGGTTGCAGTACGGGAACTTGAGGGGCCATCTGCGAGACAGGTACTTTGTGACTCGCAATCGGACTCTCGCTATCAAATTGGGTGTGATGGTCGGTAGCCTCCCTCTGTGTGTTTGCAGGATGAAATTAAAATGGGGGGCCAGAGTGTAGAGTTCGAAGAGCCTGAGGAGATCATCCTCGTTGAAGACGACAGGGACTCCACGTTCAATAAACATATTCACTATCCTGAATGCCTGGTCTTGCAGAGTGGCGCGTTTCCAATGGTGAGCCATATTGTCGGCAAAGCACGTCTGGAGCCCTACAAAAAGGACGTCCTTTGCTAATAAACTTTCCAATGCGATCGCATCGTTTTGACGATCTGTGTCCATTATCTTTACGGATGACTTGGACAAATGGTCAAGTAGAATGGTAAAGACACGTAGACCCTGCCCCAGATTTGTGGCTACAGCAAGCAGGACGCTCTTAGTTGGAACGACAGCACTGCGCTGTAGAAGGAGAGTGACGACATCAGGCCCATGTTTCCCATTTGAAGCCGCAGCAGCAAGAACCTCCTCTGTAATAAGTGAGTTATTGCCGTGTCGATCGAGAAACACTGCAATGATTTTTTCGCTGAATCTTCTTGCTAGAAATGGCAATGTATATCTGGAAAACGGAATTGGATCGTCAATTCTATCGAACAGGGCAAGAACAATTGGAGGAGAGCAGTGCTCGACAATACCATCCACCATGTCGGCGCTGATACAACCACCGAGGCGAACCTTCTTGAAAAAGGCTAGGAATTCCTCAATATCCTCAACACTGTCTTCACCTTCCCCCCTGGCGACTCTCGCCTCAGTTAGGGTCTTGAAAAACACTGACGTCAGCTGTACGTGCCTCGCATGCTGAAATAGGGCTGACATATGATATGATCTGTAATAGTCTTTCATAATCCCTGCGCAAATAACGGTCTCCGTGATGGGGATCTTCCAGTTTGGCCGTGAAATTAGCAAATGCATGTCTATCTCGTGATCAGGTCTGGCAAGTATATTGCACAATGCAGCTTCAGTAATGACAACGTAAAATTTGGCATGGTTCATGAGTGCTTTTATAGCACTGTAGTGCTTCAAGCCCATGACGGTAGTTTTTGAGATTATAAGCTCCTCCTCAATCGTATGATGACAGATAGTCTCCATCAGGCGCTCCGTGTATTCGTGAGCGAATAGTTCTGCCATGCACTCTTCGTCTGCAATGATTCTGTCTCCTCGTGATACCATTAGTGTCAGAGTCTCAATAAAAGACTGCAACTGGTGAGTATTAAACGCCCGAAGTCCAGCTCGAATGGCAGGCTGCGTGATGTGAACCTGTGTCCGTGGTTGGCGAAGGAGCAGTTTGAGCAATGGCAAATTGTGGCGATGGGGTGTTCCAATCATCTTGGCTACGGTAGGCACTGTGATCCGAATTGAACTAATAGAATGTGTATTGAGATATGCATTCATCAGAGAATATCCATCATCAGCTGCAGTAATAGCATCAAAAAGAGGCTCGGTCATCCTCATAGAAGGGTCAGTCAAAGTCTGTTTTAGAGAATCGACTTTGAAACATCCACTTTCAATAATAATGGCCAGTTGAGAAGGCGAGACCCGTATATTTTGATCCATCAGTAATCCATGCAACGTATCTTTACCACAGGCTGAATTGAATATGAGCGCCTGAATCAGATCAGCCGTGAAGTGAAAGTCAGTTCCCGTCCGCCTGATCAGGCGGTCGACGGTGCTCTGGTCATACCAGCGCAGTATAGCATATATCCCATTATGTGTTACCTTGATTCGGTTGCTGCTAATAGAGAGGAGATCTTTCATAGCGACATCACCGAGTCTCTGGATTCCCAGACCCCCTCCCACAAGATCTTCGTTGATGAAGACCAATTGAACATCATTCCTGGCCAACATGAACTCGACAAGCTGCCGGGAATGGGTTTGGTTTCTTGCGCTGCAAGCTACCAAGCGTTGGGATATTGTTTCCTGGGGAGAAGTTGACTCGAAGAGATGACAAATGGATTGGAATTCCAGTCGTGAATTTGACAAGGCGCCTTCTAGGAACGATTTGGATGTCACATTGCTATCAAAGAGTTTGGCATGGATCCACTGAAAGGTATCTTCAGAGATCTCACGCGTAATCGAGCTCCACCAAGTCTCATCAAACGTCCATTCTCTCGACTGTCTCAGAAGCATATCAAGTATAGTAGTGGAGTTGATGCTGTTGGATAAAGCAGCCGCAATCATGTTGTTCGACAGGCCAGCGATCGTATACTCCTGTAGCAAAAGCTCTACCACGGCCGCATCGCAGAGACCAACAATTGCAACTGCAGCTTTACATGTTATACTCCGTTTCCCTTTGTTCTGGGAGAGAAGAGTACGCATGATTTTGGAATGATTACGATCGTTCTCAAATACCTCAATCACAAAATCATCGGTAATTTCGAAGCAGCCGTCGTTCCTTGACATCAGCAACTTGAATGACTCTTCATCTGCTCGCGCAAGCGCTCTGATGATGGAAGGGGTGACCGTGGAAGTTTGCCCCATTCTGTCTATGAGGATACAGAGCATCTCTCTGTGGCAATGCCCGTTTCTCGACGCCGCAATAAGAATACCCTCCGTTACAGTCAGCGGTGTTTGCAGTCCGTTCAGCACTGTAAGCAGGTCTGACGGGTCAAACCGTTCCACAATTATTTTCAAAGCTTCTTCATGGAATGATATCTGGCGCTGGTCTTGCTGCAATAGAGCCCGCGCTGTCGGCTTGCTCCAGAACCGGAGTATCAGCTCTATCGCGCGCGGCGTGATGTGCAGCTTGTCTCGTGGATGACCCAAGGCCCACTGCAGGATTTGATTCCAGGAACTGCTGGCATGTCGCGCCCCATCAGCCCCATAAAGATCATGCCTCCCTATTTCCATCACTCCACCGTCCCGATCCAGCAGTGCTTGGACATGATTCAGACCTTTCTCCTTCTTGAAAATGCCACCCCAGCGACCTATTGATATATTTGCTGTCACTCTGTTGGTGTGCTCCCAGACATAATTAATAACTTCATAGCTGTCGTTGAACCGCATGAGCCTCTCTATGACCTTCTGCGTAAATGGAATTGGTCCTTCCCAGTATTCTCGTAGGCTCTCCATCACTGCAATACAGTGACCCCCATTTTTCAAAGCTGATGCGAATAGTTTGGACGTAATGTGCTGCCGGTTCTCTCTTCGCTCGAGGATCAACGATAGTTGCGCACCAGTCAGGTGTCTACAACAAGCAGACAGAATACGGCTATTCACAACATTTGATTCTTGATTCTCGACAAAGATAGCGCGTGTCATATATATAGCAGTTTCTGGATTGAGAGAGTTGAACGTTAGTATGTCGTCGCTGCTTATATCGATTCCAGAGCAATTCTGCAGGAGTAGATGAGCACGATCTTCTCCGGCTTGTGCTACCTCGTTCAATGTCGTGGCTGAAACCCTTCCGTTATATTGTCCCAGAAGAACTCTTAAAATGGAAAGATTCCATGCTGCCGCGTATATTATGCGCTCTGTTATTAAACCTCTGGTGGCTCTAGACGAGAGTAGAAGAAGAGTCATGTTATACCCGTTTGCACCGTTCCTAACTGCGCTCAGTAGCACCTCTTCACTCAATTTTGTGTCACCCGCATCAAGGTTGAGCAATAGTCTCATGGGCTCCAAGTCGCTGTTGCCTGCCGCTGCTATCAGTATGTCGTCATCCAAAGAGCTCCGAAGCTTAGGGATTTGCTTAAGAAGACTTTGCAAAATCTCACGACCACATATGGGGTTTCTGGCAGCTTCGACCAGGTGCGAATGGCTCCAGTTCGATGTGTAGGTTCGTGGATGTAAAAAGAGCGCGTCAATTATCTGCGCCCCTCGTTGCGTGTTCTTGATAGCTGCTTCCAGGACATCCTTGAAGATGACCATCGCTCCTGATGCATGTTCTAGCAGATGGCACACAATCATTTCATGGCCCCACGTAGCAGCCAGTTCTAGCGCGGTCTCGCCCTTCTGTGTGAGAAAGTCGGTGTCCAAATATTCGGTCCTGTTGTATCTGTCCACTGAAGTGGTCTGCAGGACATACTTAACGAGTGGTAGAATTCCCCATGTCGCAGCAATGTGAAACGGGGAAGGCTTTGCCCATATTTTGTAGGTTTGGGAAGCAGAAAGGCGCAACCACCAATTCTGCCACTGAAGTGAGTTCTCTTTGAAGAACGGTTCCTGTTTCTCGGTGATCTCGAACTGCTCTCCCGCAAAATGTGCGTGCTCCGGCCAGAAACGAGTTGCATAGGCGAGTAGGCTAGCATTGTCAGTATCTTCAGTATCGTCAATTTTCTCATCTTTGCGGCCGGCCAGCTTCGAAACCACAAGTGGTATGCCCACAGACTCCATGCAACAATCGATACACCTATACGCCAGAAAGGCATGTGCAGCCCAAAGGCCAGTGCCACTGCTAGACCTGTCGTCTGCAAGAAACTCTTTGACTGACTTATGTAGCAATGCAACTTTATCGTTTGTTTCAACAACCAGAAGCTTGCAATCCTCGATGGAGCTTCTCATTGCAAGTAACTGTTCTTCCTCTCTTTCCTGTGCATAAAGCTGGCAGGCGTAGGCTAATTGCAAGATACTAAGAGGCTCCAGAGAAACTGCCACGACATTGATAATACGAAGAATTTCTTCCTTTCTCTTGGGGCGAGCCTGAGCTGCCCTTTCGAGCAGCTGCCCATATAGACTCCTCAGGCCACCAGGTAATTGCTCTAGGATTTCTATGATATCCGCCCGAGCAGCATCTTTCACTTCCTCCATAGCCAAAGAGACCCAGAGGAAGGTATCTTCGGCTTTTTCCTGAATAATGCGACGAACTCTCCCCTGCATCTCAGCGGAAAATCTCTTCTTCTCAGTCAAGCAACCCACAGAGTAGTCAATGAACGCAGCAACATCATCTTTTCCCTCGGCAAACCCACCGATATCCACGTTGACGAAGCCCCCCAGATATGTTCTGATCTCCTCATACGGTCTGCTTGTAATGAGAAAATAGACGTGTGAGACGGCTGAATCATAATACGCCGGGTCGAAAAAGCTCTCAAACTTTCGCGATATCGCATTCTGTGACTCTGCGTCGCACTCATCAAGGGCGTCAATGACACAATAAATTTTCCCCTCACGCCACCCATTCAACAGTATAATGAACAATTTCCACAGATGGTTGAAAGAAGTAAATAGCCCCTTATTTTGCTCATACTGTTCCCTAACTACTTCCTGGCTTATTGGTCGATCCTTGATCAATTGCCAGATCAAACCACTCAGAACAGCGATTCCAGACGTGTGATTCTGGGAGCTGGAATCGCAAAAGAAATATATCACCAAACCTGCATCTCGCAGGTTTGGATCATTCTCCAGAGCTTCAGTAAGAAATAATGTCATCATGGACTTACCACTTGCCGGCAAGCCGTGAAGCCACAGAACGTTTGAATCGTCCTTTCCAGAACCCCCACGCCATTCTTGAAAGATGTTGGTTTTCAGCATCCACTCGCAGGTTCCTTTGGCCCTTCTTCCTTTTCGTTCTTGTAGGTCTTGCCTATGTCGAATAGGGTTGCTAAATGATAGGGCCTGAACGCATTCCTTTCGAGCATCTGAATACTCCGGTGACACATCATCTCTTTCGTGGTATTGAGGATATACATGCGGTTTCCTGTCCAATAGCACCAGTAAGCTTCTTGCACATGCTGCAGCGGTTATGGCGGCATAGGGCTGCCATTGTTTCTGCTTATGGGAGTCCGAATAGTCGCAGATTCCTCGAATCACCAGGCACGGCCATGAGTCCACCAGCCCGGCTGCTTCCATTTCGAAACATGATATTCCGTGCGCTTTTGCCAGGGAATCTCTCGTTCTAGCATCTTTAATGACCTGATTTCCTGATCCGATTGTTCCTGCATGGAGATGTGGCTCGTCACTTTTCCTTTGAAGTCTTCGCAAAATCTTCGTCTCATTACAACAGCTTGAGCAGCTTTGACTCAAGTCCGGATGGTCATATTCCGCCTCGAATAATTTGTCATGCTCTTCCCCAGGATATGCGAATTCTGTCAGTGCTATGGGATCTGACGCGATCGCTGCTTTCAGAGTCTGACTGATAGACAGACTACGGCCCAATCCGAGATGAGGAACTGCCTTGAGCATATTCAACGGGGGTTTGTTGAGTATCACCGTCTGCTCGAGATGGCCACCAACAGTTGTTTTTCCGTGGTCGTAAGCGACAATCCCTGTGGAATTTGCACCAGGAACAGCAATCACCACATCTCCCAGACGAACATCACCAGGACTTGGAACTCCCCCGCCAACCCCGACCATCAATCGGTATTGAATATTAGGGAAGCTTAGCTCCATCCTTTGCGCGACGTTCGCAGCTTGGGTTGTTCCATATATACCTTTCGGAAGGCATGTGATGACCACGTTGTGTTGGGCCACCTGCCCCAGCGTATACACATTGTCGTCGCGGTCGGCGGAAGGTAGCGTCTCATGGACCTCATCTAGTATCGCACACGCTGCTTTCAACTCGATTGGCAAAGCACATATCCATCCAACTGTATATTCGCGATGAGTACGCCCACGTCGAGCCATCATTCATTAGGTAGTGCGGGCAGCCCGGCCCTTCCTCTGCACTTGTCGAGGGATCATAACGACAAATGTTCCGTCTCGAGGCTGAGGGTCATGCAATTCACAGCCTCGTCAAACGTACGCGCCCGTATCACATGATTCCAGGCACTACTTCGTATTTGCATCCAGTCAGCTTTCAAAAAAAAAAAGAAGAAGAAGAAGAAGAAGAAGAAGAAGAAGAAGAAAAGAAAAAGAAAGAAAGAAATAGAAATAGAAATAGAAATAGAATCGAATATACCTACCTAGCCGGAATGTGACCAGTGCAGCAATTCGCTGTATTATTGAAGCTACTCAGAACAGACCGAGCGTGGTGGGACTCCAGCTTACAGTCTCGCAATGCTCATTGGCGCGGATTGACATTCGCCGCATGATCCTAGCGCATGGGCACTGATGAGAAAGTAAAGAAAGGGCTTCTGGAATAGCTTCTTCATGAATATTGATAGAAATGGTTGTTGTTGTTGAAGATGGAACTTCTGGACTCACTCCTTCCTTAATGGTACAGCAGCACGTGGCTTCCAGGCAGAACATTCAGGCGTCAAGGCACCCAAGCCACCTCGCTTCGAAAGAGTAACCATGATAATGCCTGTAACAAACATCATATAGACATGAGACTATAATCTGTCAATGGCTCTTTCTTCTACAGCTGGCTGGTGATGAATCTCCTTTCTCTGAGCTCATGGCTTTGCCAGATGTGGCAAGTAATTCTATGCTCGACTGCTATCCAGCCTACCTTATCTGACTTGATATTGCTAGAAAGCTGGATTGGGTTCTTCTACTTTTTCTTTAATAATGAGTCAGATATAATGCACTGGTATACTGTGTGTTTCGCTACTACAGCTTTAGTGTAACCTGATATCGATAAAAGCATATATAGTAACTATATAAAGTATATATAAGTCAGTAACTTGGGTGCGAAATAGGAGAGTCTATCAGTAGGAACATCATTGAGTCCAGTGCAGCCAAAATAGCCAATCACAGGAAACTCTCTACAAGCCCTCGCAACTCAACCTCACTCAGCTCCTTCACCCCCAGCAGGTCATTGTCCAGACGGTCAGAAAAGTCACACCCATACGCTGGATCAAGACACCCAACGAGAGAGAAACCCAACATCGCCGCAGCAGCATCCGGCTTATCCTTCTTCAGCTCCTCCAGACCCTCCAGTCTCACCTCCTCCGTACCCTTAACCCTAACATCCCATTCAACCCCATCCCTCTCCCTCGCATACCGAATCAACCTACCCTGCGTAACACGCGCCGACTGCACATAAACAACACGATTCCTAGTCTCCTCTCGATTCTCAACAACACCCACAACCGCCCTCGCAATATCCTTCAACAGGGTAGCACTAAACACCACCTCACCCCCATTATACAGCGTCGCAGAATGCGCCTTCAAATCAACAATAAGCCCTGCCTCCAAACACCAGTCCAGAAACAGGCCATTCGCAATAGCCGTCCAGCTGAATCCAGGATGGGTCTTTGTCCGCTCGGTGAGATATCTCTGCGTCGCAGCCTTGGGCGCACAGACCGGTAATTCCACACAGAGCGGATTCACCGAGTCCATCCCGAATTCGGCGGGGATGAACCGCTTTACGCCTGCGGCGGCGGCGGCGTCGATGAGCGGGTTTTGGCTGCCAATTGCCAGGGTGGCGAGGCAGGAGACGAGGACTTCCGGGTGGGAGTCTTCGAGTGCGGCTGTTAGAGAGGTCACAGAGGTGAAGTCGGCTTCTTTGATGGTGAGGTTTGGGTGTGGTTTTAGCTTTGAGGAGCTTCCGCCGATGCGGGAGAGGACTGTTACGGGGTAATTTGAGTCAAGGAGGGTGGTGAGGATGGGGAGGCCGAGGTTGCCGGTTGCGCCGGCGAGGGCGATGTTGGGGAGAGACATTTGGTTACTGTAATTATATAGAAAGAGTTGTTTCTCTGGATTTATGTAGCTACTCTCATGGTAAATTTAGTAATTATTGGTTATATCTCCTGGTTTATTTGTAAGGAGGCTGATGGATTGCTTGTTGTTGCAAAAGTCTCCGACCTAGCCCTAACTCGGATGAATTTCGTTCCACGCTTGGGGTCAGAAACCGACATCGAGGACAAGTCTTTGAATGGTCTTCAAAGACGGCGTATGGGGTCTAAAGTGAATTCCCTTTTACTTGCTTGTGGTCCGGTAGGAGAAGCTGATTATAGACAATGAAGCCAAAACAGCCTGCAAAATACCCATACTATCTGTGCACTTTGAATGGATGAATTACATGAAATCTGGCCTGGAGTAATTAAAAACAACCTCTGTTATATTTCTAGTATATTTGGATTTCACTGTTTTCCAATCCAAATACTATTTCCTCTCGTTAGGTGAAGACCCTTTTTCAGATCCCAGTATCTGTTCATGTCTCTCCTATGTATACAATCTTCATTCCTGAATCGTCATCTACAGTTTCGCCGAAGCTGGTTCTCTACCATGCACCAAATCCCTCCAAAGCTCAACAGCCCCATCCCACATCCCATCCTCCTGAATCTCAACAGCCCCATCCGCCTTTAACGTCCTCACCTCCTTAAAACTCTTAGTCCCCCACCCCAAAACCCCAACCCCATGCACAAACCTCGTAAACGGTTCTATAAAAGCCCGCCGAATAACCCCCTTCTCATCCTCCCCGACAACCTGCCCATTCCCCCAGAACCAGATAAACTGGTCCGTCGCGTGCGTCACGCCCCATTCAACGGGTATCAACTTCTCCGCGCATTTCAGCCGGTACTCGATTCTGTAGCGATAGATCATGTTGTCCATGCTATCGCTAGCACCAAAAGCAGAGCTGGAGCCCTTGGTAAGTTCATATATCAGCCCTCGCTGCATCTTATGCACCTGCATATCCGCATAAACCCGCCCAAACGCATCAGACCAGTCCTTATACCCTCGTGGCAACTTATCACCCGGGAAATACCTCTTCATAAGGGTATCAACGGCGCCAGGCTGCGGGTAATCAGCGGCAAGGCGAGTCCGGACGGAGTCGGGTGTATTCTGCTTTGGCGGACGCCATGCGCCGTAGAGGAAGTGCTCGTCTGCGCATTCGCCGAGTAAGAGGCGGATTCCGCGCTGGCGGAGTTTGTGTGCGAGGGTGCCGTTTGTGAGGGATTGGAAGAGGGAGGTGCTGATGAAGGCTTTGTCTGTTGTTGGGCGGAATTCGTGAAAGTTTAGACTTGCTATTGTGTTGAGGAGGGTGGATGCTGGGGTTGAGCGGAGGGTGGATAGTTTCTGGGATGCGGGGAGAGAGGCGGGGATGTGTAGAGCTGAAGCAAGCTCGTTGAATTGGGTCTGTGCTGTAGAGGGGGATTTGGGCTGGATTGTAAATGAGTTGGACCAGATGCAGGCGCGCTTAATTATTGACGAAGGCTGGGGGAGGTCGAGGTCGTAGGCTAGTTGATAGCAGACGGAGTGTGCGCCTAGACAGTCAACAACCATTATGAAAAATAGATATAGGGAGAAATACCTGCGGAATATCCCCCGATTGTAATCTCAGACGGATTGCCGTTGAAAAGGCCGATATTGTCCCTTGTCCATTCCAGTGCCAACCGCTGGTCCCAGAAGCCGTGGTTTCCAACAGTTTCACCAACAGATGCAGCGTCACTTTCCAACTCAGAAGAGTACAGAAAGCCAAAGACGTTCAAGCGATATGCCGGCATAACAACAATAGCGTTGAAATCCGTCTCCCCAAGAAGAGCCGCAGGGGAGAACATATTCGGCGAGCCGAACTGCAGCCAACCGCCGTCTACAACCGTCAGTATACGACCAATGTTTGAAGAGCAGACACTTACGCATGAAGAAGAATACAGGCCATCCTGATACCGCATTAGACACAATTCACCCAGAGGACAGATACATACCATCCTTCGGAGGCGTCCCTAGGGGCACCCAAATATTACACTGAAAGCAATCCTCATCCCAGGGCAGTGGCGTCGCGTTCCGGAATGTAGGCTGCGGGCAGTTCCCAGTGCTGCCGGGACATTTAAACGGCGCCTCTCTAGTCCCGTATTGATATCCCGCAGGCAGTTTCTGGGACCTGCGCCATCGCTCTGGGGGCGCGATACCGTAGCGAACTCCGCCGAAGAAATTGCAGAGAGGCTTTCCGGTGGCTTTGGAAGAGAGAGTTGCGCCTTCTAGGTAGCCTCTGTGGCCGATGGCCTTTGGGTATGGTTTCTGGGTTGTTTCCATTGGAAGGTGTTCTGCTGTCTGGTGGTTATACAGGGTGTTATCGAGATTAGTTGGTTAACTCTGGAAGTCTACCGATATTTATAGCTGTCAATTTAAGCGATACTAAACTGTCGAGTTGGAGAAGTTGCAGATTGCCGGATACCCGAGACGTAGAGGGGAAGTGGGGGTTGTACTCCAGAGAGCAGAATCCTTATACGGAGTAGACAATAAGAACAGAAGATGCCAGCGAGGTGAGTCGGCACCAGATCTGGTTCCGCAGTTTTTCTAGTTCTCAGGCATTATACCAACACGGACCATTTGGAAATACTCCAACAATGAATGTTTATATGAACAATTTCAGCAGGCCAGGATATAGCCCAATTGATGGACTATCCTCAACCTTAATAATAAACTAAATCAAGTTCATATTGCACTACTATTATCATGAGTCTTATAATAGATGCTAACCCCGGACGCAGATTTGACACCGAATACAGACAGCCGACATGTCGGCAAAGCAGCCAATAACGTTATTATTTAGTTCAGGACTGCGTATCGAGCAATTATTGACGTTGCTATCATCTTCCCGCATGCGCTTATTTATTTAGTTCTTTGATATAAAAACAGCTCAGTGGAGGTGGAAGTATTGTAAATATTCTTCATTCTAATTTTTAAATAGCTAACTTCGTATTTTTGGGGTCATTGCATAATATATCCAAATATACACAGTATATATATATCACCCCAGCCATCCAATAGTGGAAGGCATAGAGATGATTCTGGTATATGTTCTAATGTACATATCGCGAACAGTCTGCGTTCAGTCGACACCGAGTAATCACGATAGACTTGCTGCCGTACAGCTGCCGCCGGTATTTCTAGAAGGAGGAATACCAGGTGCTATTTTTTCAAGCCTATCCACGCGACGTAGGCCGCGACATAGGCTTCTCAAAAGAGACCCTCCTCGATCCAGGCTTCGACCCGGCATGCCTCTCCTTCTCTCCAGAAGGTCTGCGCGACGCGGGCTTCGATCCAACGTTCTCCTTCTCTCTCTCAACAGAAGGTCTTCTCGACCCCGGTTTTGAGGAAGGTTTGACGCGAGAAGCCCGACGCGATGCAGGCGCGGACCCGGCGGGCACCATACTCGGTCTGCGCGAGACGGGGCGCGATCCGGTGTATGAGAGCGAGGCGCGGCGGCTGGCGCTTTCCTTGCGGGCGTCGGAGAGTTGCTGGGCGAAGGGGGACGTTTTGCGCATGGTTGGGCCTTTCCAGTAGATGATGTAGACGGAGAGGACGAGGAGGCAGGAGATGCAGACTGAGCTGTTAGTACTTGTTTTTATTCATTGGATGGTTAGAGACATACAGAGGATTGTAGAGGCGTATTCAAGATTGCGCGTTGGGGCACCGATATCTATACTTGTTAGCTTGGTTTAAAATTCGGTTGAAATGAGTTGAAGAACGTACTGCTGAAGAATGGAGTGGCAGGCACGGTGAGAACACCGGCGAGGAAATCTCTGGCGAAGCCATTGCCACCAGTTGCAGATGCAGAATACGGACCGTAGGCGCAGATCATATAGTCGATGGTCGTCATATAGATGGTATAGTTCGCAATGCCCACGATAGCGGCAAAGACCATGGTTCCCATCCAGTGGAGCGGGGGTCCCAGACTCGTCCACGCAAAGCCAATCAAACCGATAGGGAGGCACGGCGCTGTATACAATAACCACCAGAGTCGCGATTCATACTGCGCGTGCTCGTCGTCGGGGTTCTTCTGGCGCTTCATAGCGTTGCGGTGCAGCACTGGGTACATACTGAGCCAGGCGATGATGTACCCCACTAGAATGGGGATGAATGAAAGACCTATGGCCACAGTACTGAAGTTCCACTGTGCGTACACCAGACTGAAGGACTGGATGAACATGAAGATGAGAGCATCGCTGAATCCACTGAGCAGCGACAGGGTCAACACGATGGGCTCGGTGACCAGCATCCTGAACGGACGGAACATATGGTGTATGATCTGTTTGACAGAGAAGCGCTCCTTGAAGGACAGGAACTCATCAGGGCCACAGACATTCAACCCAGTCTCCTTGCGCTGCTTCTTCGCATAGTTGTTGATCATGATTGTTGACCGGGTTTCGGGCACCAGCACCAAGTGGCAGAGCTGAACAAATCCACCAAAGATCAGCTGAATCCACATCGCCCAAGGCCAAGGTTGAAAGGCTTCGACGAAGCCTCCAATCAGGGGGCCAAGGACTGAGCCACCGACCGAGGAGAACACCACACAGGCTACGGCGTAGTGTTGATGCTCGGGCTCCCACAGGTCTGCAATCATTCCCAGCGTGACGGAGCCACCAGCCAGACTGAGACCTCCAAACGCGCGACCAACCATGATCGTTGCGAAATTCGGCGCCAGGGCGACAGGCAGTTGCCAGATATTAGTGAGGAACATACTCAATTGCAGAATAGGCTTGCGCCCCAGTTCCTCACTCCACGGCGCCCATAACTCGCAGCCAAATGCATAGGTTATAAGGTAGATCATGGCACCACAGCGCGCCGCCTGGAGACTGACACCGAATTCTTCTGAAATACCACCAATGGCATTAGAATAAAGACTGGTGTTGAAGTTCATCGAGGTCTGGACGAGGAAGATGACGGTGATGATCATCCATTTCTTCCAGGACGGGAAGCAGAATCCCAGCTCCTCGTAGCAGTCGTCCTCATCGAGGATAATATAGCCATTGCGCTCCTTCTGATCGAGCGAGCGCCGTCCAGCAGCAGGGGTGTGGTTTGACGGCGGCCGTCGCGAGTCTAGCGAGACCGAAAAGGAGCGGCGCTGGTCGTGGATGGGCTGGAAGTCGACGATATTATTCTCGTCAGTGCCAGACGGAGACTCCTCGACCTCCTGCAGGACTCGGCCCGAGTTGGTCATTTTCACCGAATAAATGGCCGAATTGAGGGCCGAAGGACTGATTTCCGATGGATTCCGAACGAGCGGCCGACCGTATATTAAGCCGAGATGAGAGCGAGAACTGGGGAAAAGGCGCGGAGTCCCGGCTTTTAAAGCGAGCCCACCGCCGAACGACGGAGAAAGAAACGGAGTATCCGGGGAGCAGGGTCCGTCATTTGACATAAAACTCTGCCATTCCAAGGGGCAACCAGTGGTGGTCGCAAGTCGGCGACCGGGGGGCGTAACAGGAAGTCTTCTCCACGGGTTCCAGGAGATGGACGTCGATGATGTCGATGCTCGTCATCATCGCCGACCACGCCCAATGAAAGCCTCCAAGTTCTTGGCTGTCCTGGGACTTGGAGGATTAATTCATTTCCTGTGTGGACTGTGGACTGGTGTCTGCCATGCCAGGCCTGTAGCCGTCTCCCCCAGTTGCTGCATCAGGAACCTCAGCGGGCGATCAGAGACAAACTTTGCACTTCATCCACGGACAGGAACAAAATACACCGGTGTAGAAAACAGAAAAAGCAAAGAAATACATTCCGAGTCAGTGCCGAGCAGTAAAGACTCACTCTTGCAACTTGGCATGACCAAGGCTTTCCTTAGCGGTGCTTGTTGCTGCCCCTGTCTCTGCCCACATCCCCACCTTTTCATGGCATTATCCGGAGAACTCCGGACCGTAGACTGCACTCATTGTATCAAGTAGCTCCACAAGATGTCCTTGGTATGATTCAGCGCAAGTCTAGAGATACTGGCTACGGCCTTTTGATTGTTGGGTAAGGCGAGACATTTTTATTTGAATTGGTTATTACTCAATATTATCAAGCCCACTACCAAGGTCCCTGTAGATGTTACATGCTGTACATCAATTAATAACATACCCCCCATCAACAACCAGAGCGTGCCCCTGGACAAACGACGCCCTGGACGAGCTCAAAAACAGAACCGCGTCCGCCACCTCCCTGGGATCTCCCATCCTCCCCATCGGCGCAATCTTGACAGCCGGCGCCATCGCCTCAACCCTCTCCGGCGAGCTCGTCGTCATATTCGTATCTATAACCCCAGGACACACGCAGTTCACCCGGATCAGGTCTTTTGAGAAATCAATCGCATCCGCTCGGGTGAGGCCTATCACTGCCGCTTTGGATGCGCAGTACGCAGCTATACATCATTAACCATAGTCCATGGGTATTCTTGAATAGATAGATATCTCACCAGCTCCAGCCCTCGAAACAACACCCAGCTGACTGGCAACATTCACAATCGATCCGCGCTGCCCCGGTCTCCAGCTCTCTCCACCATCTTCCTCCTCCTTAAGAGGCGTCTGGGTAAGCATCCTCCTCAACGCCGCGCGCGAAACAAGCCACGTCCCGCGATAATTCACCCCATTAATAAAATCAAACTGCTGCGTCGAGACATCCGTCGACCGCGCAAAGTCATTCTGCAGGACCCCCGCGCAGTTGACGACGTAGTCGAGTCGGCCAAGCGTATTAAAAGCAGAGGTAATGAGGGTTTCTATGAAGGGTTCGGATGTTATATCCCCTGAGATGGCGAGGACATTTATATCTTTGTTTTTACTCTTGGAGAGGATATCGTCCCGGGTTTTGTCGAGGGCTGCTGGCTGGATGTCTGTTATTGCGATGCGGGTGCAGCCGGCTTTTGCGAATGCGATGGCCGTTGCGGCGCCGATTCCTGCATCTGTTAGAACTATAATATCAGAATAGATTGGTGGCTTGCCTCCTGCTGCGCCGGTGACGAGGGCGGCACCTGGGAAGGTTGTGGTCATATCTGCCGGTGTATTTACGAATGAACAAATCAATAATAAATTAGAGATGATAGTAAAAGGCAGAACAGTTGAAGTTGATATGAGGTCATGGTCGCAGCCCCGCATTGTCAGGCACAAAAGTGGGGATGTTGTAACTACAAGTATATTATCTAGATACTCTGGTAAAATCATATGCTAGACTAACTTTTAACATCAAAAGGTGGGGGTAGATATAGACTTTCAAGTCTTTATCTTCGTTTGTTACTTCTCCCCCTAATAATGACACACATAAGAATTGCTGCCATAACTCCCGCAAGTCCAGTCCAGACACCTGAGCTGGAACGTCGGTTGCTGCGTGAGGACATCTTGATGTAGACTTAAGATTGCTTAAGTGGTTTCTGGTGGAGATTGAAAGACCTAGGGTAAGGTAGAAGAGGCTGAAGGTTAATGGTTTTTTTACTGAGGTCGGGGGCTTTTATACTTGATTGCTAACTGGTTTTCATTGTTCGTTCGGTTCATTGTAGAGATAGGCTGTGTTTTATATGGAACTCTTGTCTTTGTTTTTATAACATATCTCGTCGGCCTTTCTTTGAACTACCTAAAACTTGTTGGCTAGTAGTAGTACAAAGCTTCGTTGTTTGGACTAGATTACTCTCCTAGCTTACTCTAAAAAAAGATAATAGTCTATTCTATTATACGCTAGCTCTGTTATAGAAATTAGAATTAGAGAGGTCAATTATAGGAGATCATGTTGATGGAGGATTATTTAATTCCATAATATCTCATCCTTCTCAACTCCGGCGAGGAACTGCCCGGGTCGGTCATAGTATGATAACATCATCATCCTGCTTGTATTATCTTGCAGTCGTGTTGCCAGCACCAGAGGAGTGAGTCCTCGACTATTCCCAAAGCTTGGGGAGCAGCCCTTCTTCAGGAGGAGTTGTACAATACTGTGATATCCCCTCCACACTGCACGCAGCAGGGGAGTAAAGAACATATCATCGACGCTCCATTTGTATTTTGACAGATTAGAGTTTGCCGGTGACCCGTATCGGTAGTAATCAGACACAAGAGATTGCATGCCGTCCGGCAGAAGAGGATGGTCGTGGAAGTCCATTTGGGACAGGAATTGCGGCGGAAGAAATACTCTTCGCTCGTATCGAGATGGCGAGATTTCCTGGTTCGAGCCCTCATCAGCGGTATCAGACTTGCCTGTAGATGACATGAAAGTAGACAGCGCACTGAACCTCGGCAGTATATCGGATTCATTCGCCTTGGACACCTGCATAACGAGCTGTGATGGGAAAGCGTTTGTATACTGAAAGAAGGGACAGTATAAAAATTCCACCTGGGCCCCTTTTTTCAAGAGGAGCTTGACAATGGCGTCTAATTCTTTATCAATGGCCCAGGTCAAGGGTGTACCCCCGCCATTGTCCCGACAGTTGATATCAGCCCCCTTTTCTATCAGCAGAGCCACAATCGCATAATAACCTTGCCTGGATGCGATATGTAATGGTGTGGCACCAGAAATGGCGGCCAAATTGGCGTTCGCGCCGCAGTCCAAGAGACGCTGTACTGTCAGTTTATTGCCATTTTGCGTGGCATAATGCAGTGGAGTATATCTAGAATTATCCGTTGAATCTAGAGGCGACTTCTCCGATAGTCGAGGCACGAGTTCGTGAAGATCAAAAGAAGGCGCTAGATGCATACCGTTAATCTGGCTTGGAGATCCTTTGCTATATTCAAGCTCCCAGTTATCTGTAACCAGGGCGCACTGACTAATTGCAGACACGAGTCCTTGATCCGAAAGCAATTCCAGGACAGGTTCCACCATCTTGTTCTCCATGCGGCCCCAGTGGTGAATCCAAAAATTAGAGGCATAAGAGAGGAAAGGAAAACGGCGCAGTCTACTCTCCAGCAACTGGTGGCTTGTGCATGCACCAGCCTTGAACTCATCGTAGCTCAAATACGTCAGACAGTTGACGGCAATATTCCTTCGGGCGTCTGGAAAATAATCTGAAATATTTGCCTTGAAATAATCTTTTGCAGTTTGGTGTACCAGCCGGATACTCTGACTGACTGAGTCAAGCACCACCAAGCCCGCGCATCCTGACACGACTTCCTGGATGTCACAGATGTTTGAAAGGTCCAGATTCGATGTCCCAGGTTCAATTGCAAGTGCATGCTGCATCTCGTCCACTGTGAGTAGCCTTTGAGCAACGACAACCCAAGAAAGCAGTGATTTGGAAAGGCTGCTTTCTATCCGTTGAAACGCGCCCTTATATGCCTGGTCTAGACCTGCATGGCCCGTGTCCATCTTGTTCAATTCGATAGTGATGGCCTTCTTCGTATGCTTGTCTTTCAGCGAGCCGATATAAAGCTGGGCCAGTAAAAACATTCCATCAGACGCCTTTGCAACCCGTAGTTCAATTTCGCTTTGCAATACAGCGTCCCGCTCAACAACCACCGATAAATGGCCTAGCTGGCTTGTGAGATACCGTCGAACATCTTCCTCGCTTGCATGTATCGGAAGCTGAACCATGTCTTCGCGGTTCGGTAGGATATTCGGTCTTGATGTCAACATTAAGCGTACATCTGCTATCTCCTGTAACTGGAGCATCTTGTTAAGAAGGTCTTTGCGAGTTGCATCATCTTTACACTCATCCAATGCGTCGATGACGACGAATGCAGTGGAATATCCGGTTACGGCGGAACGCAATTCTTCGAATATATCACGCGGTGATGGCTGAGTCCTTCGTTTACGGAACTGATCATGGAGGGTCCGAATGCCGGCAGGGACTATATCCTGTTCCAGCGACAGCTGTGATAGGAGCGAGGCAAGCAGGTCGTGGGATGCCTGGTCGTTCTGTTGTTGGTAGTTGCAGTATAATACTGCCACGCCAACTCTATCTGTCTCAGAAGTAGAATTGTCCAAATACCTCGAGCGTAAATAGTTCACCACTAGGGACGCTATCACCGTCTTGCCTGCACCAGGAATTCCAGGGCAGAATAGAGTCTGAGACGAGGTGCCGGACAGCCAATTTGTGAATCTCGCATCATTCAAAAACCACTGCCCTGTTCCCTCTTGGCAATTTCGATGGACGTCACTTTGGACTTTGTCGTAGTCAATCGGGCTCAGCCAACTGCGAAGGGTCTTACGGTATTCCTCTACACATGGCATTAGGGCTGAAACCAATGACACAGGTTTTACTCACCATCACCGGCAGATCTAATTGTATGAACATCACTTTGGATAACGGAAACATCATCTTTAATGCTGTTTACCGTCTCCGCCACCGATTGCATCACCTTTCCTGCAGTTGGAGCGTCCACCACTTGAGCCGGGGGGATAACCGAGAGAAGCTCCTTCGCAAAGGCAGCTGCAACCGCCGCTGCGTGCTCCTGCCAAACGTTATTCTTGTGCGAATCGCAATAGTCGCAGATTCCCCTAATGACTGCGCATGGGAAGCCATTCATCAAGCCTGCTGCTTCCATCTCGAAGCAAAGAACACCACCGCCCAGTCGGGCATTGATTTGATCGCGGAACACAGAGTCCTTAATAACCTGATTCCCTGAAGCAATCAAACCATAATGAACAGTTATCTCACGAGGTGGCCTCTTCAAGGCTCTCCGCCGGTCGCATCCTCGACAACTATTTTGATCTGCTGCGATTATTTGTCCGTTATAATCGCGCTTCCTACCGACATTACTGAAGCTGGGCCGTGGATCGAAAACTGTTGCGACGTGATTATAATCGGCCTCGAAGCAAACGTCCTCCAGGCTGTCCGACTTTGTGTATTTCAGCGCCAACTTTGGGTATTTGGTGGTCATATCTTCCAAATACTGGGGTATTGCAGATCCCTCCATCTCATGCTTGGACTCGAGTCTCGTCACAGCCGTAAGCAGCGCGCTGGGTAGATTGTTAAGGACCCCTGTTTGTCTGAAATTCTTCATTTGTTCTGCTTTCCCCATGTCCCATTGTATAACACCAGGGAGACCGTCAGCTGGCGTACTAACGACGACGTCCCCCAGCCTAACATTTGGAGGGACCCCTCCCCCGATTCCAACCATTAGGCCAAAGCGAATAGATGGGAAGGTAGATATCATCCTTGTTGCCACTGTCGCTGCCGAGCTCGTCCCGATCTCGCCTTTAGGGAGACAGGCGATGACGACGTTGTGATTGCTCATGGACCCGAGAGTGTATGCATTGTGGTCGTTGACGGGATTAGGAAGGCCGTCATGCCGCTGGTCCAGCATCGCTATTGCCGCTGTTTGCTCCTTGGGCAGTGCGCAGACCAATCCGACTGTGTAGTCATTATGCGAGTGAGCTTTTGAGGCCATTGCGGCTGAATCCCTGGCGATTTGACTGTCAACAATTATCGCGGGGACCTCGACCTCCAGGTGATTTCATCATCTACGACTGTACCGGGAAAATACATTCCTTGACTTTGTTTAAGCCACCGATGGAGTTGGAGGAAGTCCCAGCTGACGGTGGTAACTTGGAGGGGCTAAGTTGAGGCTGTGCATCGCGTGAGACAACCTACGATCACCTGAGGGTCATAGCGCTGAGTATTGTCCTCGTATACAGTATACATAAGTATAAATAACCAGGATGCCAGGTTGGACCTCCTATCGCTCCAAATATTCAGACCAAATAGCCGCGATTAGAGCTAGTCCATCAAATAGACGTCCAAATTGAAGGAAAGTAATCCAATATCTAGCCAAATACATAATATCCCCAGGCGTCTATATGCAAGCAGCACTACCAGAATCCCAAACTAAATCAGCAAAAGATACCGCCTCCAGGCTCAATATAGCCAGTAGATAGTTTGTAAACACGAGTGGAATGAAACTATCCAACTCCAAACCAAACTAGGGAATGCCGGAAAATACGAGACCTATACTCAGGCCCGGGCCTGGCGCACGCAGAATGCAATTAAAATACCAACCACCCTTCATATTGTATGTATTCTTTTGACTGCTAAAAATGCCCCATCTCCACCTATCCCTGATACAGAAATACGTATGATCATCTCCCGGGGAATTGTGCATACTTGCATAAGCACACGAAGACCAGCCCATCCCTTTGGCACCATTACCATTATACCATTAACCCTTGAGATCACCAAGCTCATCACAGAGACTAGACATCTGGGTCGTGATCTACCGAGCCGAACCAAAAACTCGGAATCCAAGACCCTGCAGATCATTTATGTCGTGCAGCAGCACTACACTGACTGGGGCGTGGACTGATTGCACGCGTCCCTGCATGAGCATTGTGCACAGAGCACAGCACAGAGCACGTCACGGCGGGATCACGACTACCATTGCGTTGCATCGTGGCGTGATACCGATCGACCAACCAGTCAGCCGGGCCGGTTGGAGGGAGGGACCGCAGATCCAGATCCAGACCGTGTACGTATTTGACGTGATATGCACGGAATAGAACTTTCTGGATGGGAGATCCATCGATCGTCTGCGGTGAGTGCATATCATCGGCCGCCGCCACTGACTCGCGCGATGATATGCGTCTGTGAAGTGGTCTGGACTCTGGTCTCTGGGTTCTGCAACTTAGGCTGTGGGATCTGCGTCTGCATTATGGCTGCTTTGACGAAGTAGGTGCGTCTTGTTGGATGGCCGTAGGATAGATAGCTTGCCGTGTTGCCGTGGTTTAACAGCTCTACAAGTCTGAATACTACGTTCGCCAAACAAAGTAAAGTACCGAATCCATAGAATTTCTAGTACGAGTCGTCGAAGAAAGGCCGACCTAACCTGGGTATAAGAACCGAAGCACAACCGCTGGACATGCATAATGAGCTGTCTGTCCATAAGACGAGCCCGTCCAGACTTAGTAAAGACAGAAACAAAAAAAAAAAAAAAAAAAAAAAGAGAAAAAAAAGCCCTCATTAACCTCCCCTCATAACAAAACTGCTAACCATAAATTCAACCATAACTTATTTGCAAAGTTGAATTTGGTGAAAACGAAGAAAAAAGTGAAGACGCTTAATTCAATTAGACATGCTCCACCTTCTCCGTGCTGGTGTTGCCATCGCTATCCTGCCTCTCCTTCTTAGCGGCGTGCTGCAGAATGCTAGCGCGGCGAACAGCCTCGTCCTCGACTTCAGAGAGCTGGTGTAGGAGCTCGCCATCTTTGCCGTACATGTGGGGTTCCTGGTCGGCGGTCTTGACGAGCGTGAAGACGCTCTTCGTCTTGCGGAAGATGCGGTCCATTTCTTCAAGACTGCGGTAGGCGGTTTCGGGGTAGAAAAAGTAGACGACGGGGAAGATGGCGGCGTTACTATTAACTGGTTAGTATTCTTAATTTCGAAGTAATAAAGGGGAAGGACGTACATGACAGCGAAGATAATGTAAGTTTGGTATTTGATGTTGGCGAATGCAACCGGCGTGATCATGACGACCATGAAGTTGAAAATCCAGTTGGAGGATGTCGCGAGGGCGTTCGCCGGGGCACGAATCTTCAGCGGGACAATTTCAGCTGGGTACAGCCAGGTCATACCAAGCCAACCGATAGCGAAGAAAGTGTTGAAGACGAAGAGGAAGACAATACAGACGATGTTGGCAGCGTCGCTTCCGTCACTTGCCGTACCAGCGAGAATGGCCATGGAAATGGACATTCCTGCGGCACCAAAAAGCATGAGGGTTCGACGGCCGAAACGCTCAATGGTGAAAACGGCAACCCACGAGGCGATAAAGTACTCTGTTCCGTTGCAGGCGGCGATGAGACGCGACTTTTCGAGAGACAGATTCAACTGGTTTTCGAGCACGACGGGGATGTAGTAGGTGATGAGGTTGATTCCGGATATCTGCTGGAACATTTGGTTGACGTAGGCGAGGACGGTGCGGTGGAAGTGGCGGTCTTCAGTAAAGGTGAACATGTCCCTGAAAGAACCCGATGCCATCTCGAGGACGGTGGCCTTGATGGCGGTGAACTCGGTCTGGATGAAGTGGGAGTCCGGGCCGTCGCCGATAAGGGCGCCGAGGACTTCACGGGCTTCGTCTTCCCTACCCTTGAGGACGAGCCAGCGGGGGGACTCGGGGAGGAACATGACGAAGGCGAGAATGATGCCGGCGAAGAAGATCTGGAAGGCGAGCGGGAAGCGCCACGAGACTTCGTTGGGGTCGGCGAAGAGAAGACCAAAGTCGATCCAGTAACTGATGGTGATACCGCAAGTAATCATTGCACCTTCAATCATGACGAGCTGGCCACGTTTGTTGGCCTTGCAACATTCAGACTGCCATGTCGGGACGGTCGAAGTGTTCATGCCGTTTCCTGCAACTGTTAGCTAGCGAACATACAACAGGTAGCCAGATTACTCACCGAAACCAGTAACCAGACGTCCAACGATGAATTGAGGGAGATCGTAAGCGGTACACTGCAGCAGAGCGCCGATGACCATGATGAAAGAACCGAGGAAGATAGTCCTACGTCGCCCGAGATAGTTCCCAACCCATATAGTCGGAATCGAACCGGCGAAACATCCCAAATTGTAAGCAGCAACGACAATACCTGTTGGTGTTAATACAACTACCGGTCCTCAACAGGAAAAGCTGGAAGTACCTTGGCGAGTAGACTGAGTGCTTTGCTCAGCCGCGGTCAGGCTCTCATAGTAATCACCGTTGGTAGCAATGGTAGGGAAGTATTTGATGAAGGACTGCAGAGTCAGGAGACCACCAGTGACACCCTGATCGTAACCGAAGAGCAAAAAGTCCATGCCAGCAATGATTCCAATAGCAATCTGGAGCTTATCGCCCTGCAACCCCAAGTATCTGCGCGGCATGTTGACGGGGCCTGCCTACCAGCAGTGCAGGCTGAACCAATGAGAAGCGAAGCAGACAAGTCAGTAAGGACGGTCGAAGAGAACAGCAGCGTTCTCGGTCCAGGAGGGGAAGATAGTGAGAATGGAAAGAGAGAAAAGGCAGGATGAAAACAAGGAGAAAAAGATCAACAGCTCGGTAGCACGAGGGGCGCGAGGCTTTTAAAGCAACGGGAGGCTTAGAGCGCGGGCAGCCACATCGCGCACTGAGCCCATTGCCGATTGGGCGCGCCTGACATGCGATTCGATTGCCTCGAAACCGTTGCATCAAGCAGCCTGGCTCCGTCTGGGTGGCTCCTTCGAAAACGATCAATGGGTGCGAGCTCCTCCTTCGCTGATTGGCGGGTCGTCATTGACGGCCCACCCCCATCTCCGGATTTGGCGTTCTCTCCAGCTTTCAGGTTTCTGTCCCTCTGCAGTGATTGGCCGTGCGGCCCCACCCGGGGAAGGACGCATGTCGTGATAGGCCAGGTCCCTGGGATGGGCAGTACCTGGGCGAAGGCCCTCAGGATTGAGCGCAATGCCGTCATGGACTAGCCTGTTGTGGACAACCCGTCGGGAGGTTGGATGCTGGTGTTGCGTGCATCTACATAGTGAACGATGGATAATTCTAAAATACGACCGGTTCTGACGCTGGCGCTGACTTCTACTTTCTGTTTCAAGATATCATGCAAGGGAGCATATTGGGCGCGGTGCAGACACGCATTGATGGCCGCATGTTCAGGTTTGTGACCGCGTGGCGGAAGGAATGGAAGCAGCATGGAAATAATTGACGAAGACACCTTGCATTGAGCGCTGGAGCCCGAAACCGAGTCCCAAAACGCGGTCATGAGATGCGAGATTGTCACCAGAGAATCACAGCCAGAATCCGGGGTTTGGAGACTCCAGATTCCGACCGTAGTAGCAGTTACTTACGTACGGCCCAGTTTTCAGACCCAGTCAGCGAGTCTCAGGCTCTCGGAGATGGCCTGGTGCTCGCTTAATTGACCCGACGTTTTCAACCAGTGCGAAACCCCGCAGGAGCAACTCCAGGCCTTCTCGGTCGGGAGAAGTCCGAAAACCTGAATTGAGCACCCCGGATTCAACCTCGCTGTAGCAGTATCCGTATCATCCTACTACAGCAAGTTATGAAACTCATATGTACGGTGTATGAGTCGGGTACTCTGTGTCCAGCGCGAAGTGTCGTGGATCCTGCTTATTCTGAAGGATCATGCCGAGAGCCCGGGCGGTGCTAGCAGGGGTGCAACCGCAAAACAAGCGACCCAAGCCTTACCCAAGACTTCTCCAAGCCCGGTTCCAGCAAATGCGCGGCCAGAGCCAAGGGATTTCTAATGATCCTTGATATTGGCAACCAGGGGTGAGTATCAGAAGCGAATATAAGGATGTTGAAGAAGAAATACTGTCAACAGACCACTGCACAATCATTCATGGCAGATGCAACAGATGAGGCCATCCACATTCCGATCGGCATTCTCTGGGGAGAGTGGGTGCCCGTGGACGTGCCTGAGTGCCTGTGAGTGGCTGGTGCCCACCAACACCACCCGCCCTCACCTGGCAGGACTCTCCGTCCAGACTTCGTTCAGACTTTCGCCCGCCAAGTTAGTTGCACCACGCCGTCGAATTACAGCCCGATTTGCCCGGCCTGTGCCCATCGGCATCCAAGACCTGCAATCTGACCACCGTCATCCCGTCTCTCCCTCGGTCCTGACTCCTGAGAGGAACTGTCCTCCCCCTCCACGCTGTCTTCGGCTGCGCCCGAGCCAACTGAGCTGCCTGTGCTCCGGCTTACTGCTTTTGGACATCCCGGCTGCGTCCAACTGTCATCCCTGTCAGACTCTCTCTACGACATCGCGTGCCTCTATCTTGAGACTCAGGAGATGTCCCGTGTCGCTCCTCATGAGACTGACTCGCCTCCGTCTTCAGCCATGAATTCCCTTACCATCTTCATCTCCTAACTAATCATTTTGATCACTGTTCTCCAGCTGACCGGCATTCTCAATCGAGAAGATCCAGCGCCACGAGCCAGCGCAACGTAAGGGATGGAAGGGCGCCCAGATGGCACTCTCCTTCGTAACTCCGGAACTTGGGGGCCGTCCGTCAGGCGTCAACCACGCCTTCCATGTTACGCCTTGCCCCCGTGCAGGCCAACCTACAGAGTAACCACCACGAAGATCATCCGACTCCACCCCGAGTCTCCGGGTCCTGGCTCCCCGTCCCGAACGTGGCCTGTTGCGTGCAATCGAGATTCTCGCGTGGTCTGCCTTATCAAAGAATGCCAAAAGGCATCCAATACACTTCACGTGAAATCTTGACCAGCCCTCTGTATACGTATCCATATGAATGGCCCTGTCGAAACGGATGTTGTCTTGCGCCGTCCTCTTGAGATTGCTCATTGTTCACCAAGGTCCACGCATTTTGCCTTCAGCATCAGGGTGGCTGTAAAGCTTACGCTGGAGGTACCACGGTACACGTCAACTCAAAACCCAATACCGACCCCTCATTATCTATTATGTTAATAACATTCTATTATCATCATTTGTCCGAAACTCTACAGTTTTAGCCCGAAGCTGTTTTGGATTCATCCCGCATAACGTGTCAAACACAAATCCTATGCAATCCAATCAAAAGACCAATCAACAGGTTAATATGTTCACAGATATCAGCCAGCTTGTCTGGCATAATCACAGATATCAGAAGCGAAATGTTCTCTCGAATCGCTCGCGCCAAAACCGTTGGGATACTTCGAGTCACAGACTCAACTCTATGATCCAGAACCTTCCATACTTTGCTGCCCCTGCAGTCGAATTAGAGTAAGACTCTCCGTATATCACAGGAAAACTCTGCATTGGAAGACCAATTCTCGGTATCAGGGGTTTCCAATTGCCATTCGTGGCGGCCCACGACACCCTGGATATCTCTCGGGCAGCATTCAGTATAACCAGCGCCCTCGATAATGAAGAGACAGTCTTAAGTGGCTTTTGACTAAATGGCTCGCTTCAGATACCATAGAAACGGACATGCCGGGGCATATCCCTAAGTCATCAATTTCTGCAAAAGCGTCCTTCTACTCAGGAGTGGGTGAATATGTACAGACAAACCTCATGGCATTGGTAGCGGTGATCTGTCCAGCCTATTACCAAGCAGCCTATTTACTAGACAACAAGCATTTGACCTGGCACAATATGCAGTCAATAACTGGTCATTTGACATAGTGACGGGTTTCGTACTCAGTGTCGCACTCGCGCTGGTCCCCCTTGTTTCCCAGGCTGGCTTCCATCCTGCATTCAGTTTGGTTTGGCTGGTGATATGTAGGTCAGCAAGGGGGAGCGGATCACAACCCGGCCGCCTCATTACCGACCCGATGATCAAGTATGTTGCTAATTCTAGTATCAGATTAGCATGGGCCGTTAGCCACGTCATGCCTAGATTTGTCTAGAACTGTTTACGGTCTCTTAGTGACGGTTGATTCTTCCGTTGGGATCTGGTCTTGCAACAACCTTTGAACTTTTTGCTAATTAGAAAGACTAATAACTATATCTGCTTAAGATACAGTTCACAATCTGTACGTAATGACAGAGCCTTGTCCCAATCGCACAGCGGCCTGAGTCATGGTTGGATCTATGCAGGGCAAGCCATGTCCTCTATTGGCGTTCATGCATGTTGTAATCACATTGTATCGTTGGCCTTCTCTGTTCTTTACCTACCGATGTTGTCTCCTACAGAAGCAGCACGGCTTCAGCCTTAAACGTGCGGTCTTCACCCAATCGCGGCCGTCACGATCTTCCTTTCAGCCACTATGAAGGTTATTCGCACCGTTCCATGGGTTCTCAACATATCCGTGGAATGAGACTACAGGACTTGCCCTGAGCCCTAGTGTTTGCGTACGGGCTTCTTGCTACAAACATCATAGCAAAAACAATAAACCATGGACTGTGCTCTCCCGTTCTGACAAGCGCCAGTACACTGTCCTAGCCAACATTGTCACATACAATAAACGTCTTGCTATCCAAGATATCAGTCGCCCTGTTTTGTCAGCGCACCTTCACAGCTTCTCGGCCTTTTAATATCCCAATTGGGTGTTGAGCAGCCTCCTTTTCGCCCATAATCGCTGTCGGATCGCAGTGGAAAGTATTATACCACACGACAATCCGGAGCGAGAAATCTAAGTCTTCCAGAGGGAACAACGCAAGATCGATACAGATAAGTTGAGAAACACCCGTCCTTGCGACATGGAAATTTTGTAGTCCGCGCATAGCAGGCTGGCTTACAGGTGGAGCTGAAGTGATGGTTCAGCTGCCAAGGTCTGCGTCTAGTGGCAGTGATGCAAATACAGAACCCTCCAATAAAGTCGTCAGGGACTCGGGTTACATAAATATCTGGCTTGGAGCGTAAGCACTAGAAGTGCGCACTTAGTCCTACGCTTTTCAGGCATTTATATATCGCAAGCCCTAGGGAACATCTGTCCAAACCATCCATTTCCACCATCTCCCCTAACCATGTCTAGCACCACCAGCCGTCCTACAATTGTCCTCATCCACGGCGGGTGGCATACACCCCCTCTCTATGACAAGTTCACTTCCCTCCTCAGATCCCAAGGCTATGAAGTTCACATCCCGCGCCTGCTCTCTATGAACGGCGCCCGTCCCCCCAATGCCGACCTCTACAGCGACACGGCGCTAATCCGCACCTATGTCGAGGAGCTCATCGAGGCAGGCCACAAGGTCGTTGTCCTCATGCACTCGTACGGAGGACAAGTTGGCACCAACGCGCTCGCGGGGTTAAGTTTTGAAGCACGACAACAGCGCAAACAAGCAGGGGGCATAACGCGGCTGATCTACATCACTGCGTTCGCCCTCAACGAGGGCGAGTCGATGGTGGACATGGTGACGAATATGGGCGACGAGGCATTAATCCCACTCGCGTTTGACTTTGCGGACGACGGCACGGTGTTGGATCGTGATCCGAAAAGTCTGCTTATTGGACCGGGGCTGCAGGAGGCTGAGCTGGATGCTTATGTTGCGCGGTTTGAGAGGTGGAATGGGACGGCGATGTACCAGGGTTTGGAGCGTTGTGCTTGGAGGGAGATTCCGGTATCGTATGTCTGCACCAGGAATGATATGACGGTGCCGTTGAGGTATCAGCAGGCTATGGTTGAGAAGATGCGGGGGGAGAGAAGGGTGGTGGATGCCTTTGAGCTGGAAACTGGGCATTGTCCGCAAGTTACGATGCCGCGAGAGCTGGCGGATATTGTGCTTGGTATTTTGAGCAAGTCATAATTCTGTCCCTCTTTTCTGTTTATAAATCTCTTTTGCTGTGCTATGTTGAGTCAACGAACGGTCAAATACTATACGCAATTCATGCACTGGGCTAACGGGATTGCGCCACATATCAAGACTAGGCATTGACTCCTGGAAGGACATCTTTCCTCTATCAGCTTAGTATAACGCAACTTCATTTCCCTCGGAAAATCCTTCCTGTTCGCTCCCTCGGTAAGCGCTGTATACTTCTCGTGTCCGACATCGGATGACTCATCCGGAGCTGTTCCCGCCGATCGGATCAGATAAGAAAAGTGATCGCAGTTCTCAACGTTTTCGTATTCTGGAGCTTGAAGTCTTCTCTCCATCGCTTCCCTTCTCTTTCTCTCTCTCTTCTCAGACGCCAGACAGGTCATAAATCGCGTCAAGCTGTAATGCCGTCATCTTGATTACAAGATACTGTGAGTGGTTTTGCTTTTTCTTGTCTTTCTTGCTCTTCTCATCACGTGCGGCTGTGGTCTCCGCACTCCACCACCGAATCTTTTACGAACTCTCAGTCTCCTTCCTCTAACCAGATATTCTGGGCCAGAAGATCAAGAGCGCACTCGAGCTGTAATAGAGCTCTTGCGGCTTCCCTTTGGTCGTCCATTGCGACGCAGTTGCGCCGCTCCTCCAACCGGACCGGTTTTCCGCGCATACCCCCCTCTACCCGATCCGTCTTCCTCGGTATACTTTTCTCTTTTCTCTCTTTTTTATGCTATATCCCAATTTTTTTTCTAACATTTTCGGTCAACAAGCAAACATCATGAGCGTGCTCGCACCGTCCAACGAGCCTGGAAAGAGTCTCAGCCAAGAAGACATCCAAGAACAACCCCGCGACAGCTCCAGCCATGATGCAAGCAGTCCAGACAATGGCGACCTCGAATCTGGCGACATCGATGTCGAACAGATCGAGCGCATCTACCGGTACGCAGTCGCCTCTATCCATACCCCCGTGAACTACTCTAATGCCCTTGAATACAGAAAAATTGACTTTCGCATCATCCCCGCCTTTTGGGTCCTCTACTTCCTCTGCTCGGCCATCCGCTCCAATGTCGGCCTTGCGCAAACGATGAACGCAGAATCCGGGCATGACCTTGGCTCCGTGCTCAATCTTACACCACATCAAGTCTCCACGGGTCTCGCCCTGTTCTATGTCTGCTATGTTGTGTTCGACTTGCCATCGAACCTGGTCATGACAAAGCTCAGCCCGCACGTCTGGATGAGTCGCATCGTTATCGGGGTAGGAATAATCGGGAGCTGCATGGCCGCCATGAAGGCCGCCTGGAGTTTATAGTACGTATATTCAACTCCCAGCCCTCATTCAATGTTCTGACTAACCGACTAGTCTCCTCCGCCTCCTCCTCGGAATCGTCATCGCAGGCATGTGGCCCGGAATGGCCTACTACCTAACCCTCTTCTACCCACCCTCGCGCACTGGCAAACGCATCGGCCAATACTACACCGCAGCGCAACTCTCCGCCGCCGTCGTCGGTCTGGTCTCGGCCGGTTTCCAAAAAATGGACGGCGACCACGGCCTCGTCGGGTTCCAATGGATGTTCCTCGTCTACGGCGTCATCACCATCGCCGTCGGCATCGTCCTCCTCTGGTGGCTACCCGATCGCCCCGTCGCACCAGGTCAGGAAGAAGCCGCCAAGCAGCGCAGTAAATGGCTCCGCTGGTTCCCGCAGAGCCCGCCTGTCCTCACAGGCGAGGACGCCGAACTGCACTACCGCGATCTAACCAGAGTCTATAAACGCCCGCGCTGGACCCTCCGCAATCTCCTCGCTGTCATGCTCGACTGGCGCCTCTGGCCGCTCCTGCTCATGTACTTCGGTGTCGTCGGCGTCGGCATCGGCGTGCAGAACTACGCTACCGTTATCATCCGGAGCATTAACCCCAGTTTGTCAGGCATCGACCTGAGTCTTCTCACCGCTCCCATATGGCTTGTACGTCTCCTCTCAACCTACCATACTCTCATTTACTGATTCACCATCGAACAGATGGACCTAGCAGCTATCCTCCTCGTAACCCCACTCTCCGACCGCTTCCACCACCACCGCGCAATCTTCTTCTCGCTCGCCGCATGCCTCCAAATGCTTGGCCTCCTCCTAACAACCTACGCCGGCACAGACAGTAACTCCTGGCCCCGCTACGGCGGCCTCCTAATCGTCGGGTTCGGACTCGGCCCTACAGTGCCCATAACTATGACCTGGACAACAGAGATCTTCCAGCCGCGGCACGGCGAGGTCGGTGTTGCTGCTGCATCGGCTGTTGTCTCGGGGTGGGGAAATCTCGGCTCGATCATGACCACGTATGCGCTGTATGAGGGGTGGAGCGAAGATGCGAATGCACAAGGACGGCTGAAGTTCCGGAAGAGTAATCTGGTGATGGTGGGGATTTTGGGGATGAGTATTCTTAGTGCGCTGTGTATGCATGTTGCTGTTAGGGTTTTTGATGGCGGGGATAAGACGGGGGGTGGGGATGGGGAGGGGGGGAAGATTGTTGATGGCGCGGCGAGGAGGGAGGTGCAGCAGCGTGGATTGGATGGGTTGGGGAGTGGGTTGTTTAAGATGTTTAGGGGTGGGAAAAGGACTGCCCGGCAGGGATAGGTAGTTACGCTTTCCCTTGTCCTTCTTGGACGACTGAGGTTGCATATATTTATATATATATATAACATACTTAGAGCTATATATAGCGAGGAAAAAGTAATTCTAATGGCTTTCTTTTTTTAACATTCTACGACCATTAACTAAGAATCTACTATTCAAGTAGATATATATATTTGCTCCAACTTGAACTTCCCTGTGGACATGAATATTAATACTCTTTGGAGCCGTTGTGAATCTTGTTAGGGCTCAAACCAAGGCTACCCCCACCGCAAAGCAAGCAGGATAAGACTGCCCGGTTGAACTTTAGAGTTTATAAAATATCATCAGGTAATCGATGAGGCAGAAAATCAGGTGCATAAAATCCATGCCATCAAGTCAACCCTTCTTGCCCTAACTTACATGAAGAGGAAATAAGAACACCAAACTCACAAAGATATCTACACTTACCGGCGAGCCAGCTAGGCAGTCCGATGGTTATTCGCCGTGTTTATATAAATATGAATCAAGCCGATGTCACTGCCTGGCGACCAAGACAACCCCGGATAAAGCACCGACAACTACCTCTTTCCACTGCATAGTATATATATGGATGCCTAAAGGATAACGCTGACGCCGGCTATTGAGCATCCAAGCCCCAAATACCGAAGCCATCGTATATTCCGTTACCTCTGTACAATTTTCTCATAACTGTAATACTGCCGGGCCCCAATACGCACTACTCCCTCCATACTGCGTAAGTAGTAGGCTCGCAAAGCCGAGGCCCGGGTACCAACGCATCAGTAGAACGGCTCCTTACTGGCAAGTGAGTGCCACAGCCCGCGATGTTTCCGACTCTGTGACACCGGGTCATGCTATTACATCACAGTGCATCACGCCTACTACTAGTGCAGTCTACCCCACATGGTAAACAAGAGAGACAGCGGGGACTGCCGACAAAGTAGCCGGGTGACTGTAATTGTATCATTGCATTGATATTATTATGTGGTACTCACTAGTACCTAGTGTCTCTGCCAAGGTGCAAGTTTAGATACAGCCTAGGCAAGAGTCAACGATTTTTCCGGTACGTCATTCAAGTTGGCACTGCATTCTGCATTCGCTGCTTGGCAGTGCCCTGCGCCGGCCGCCAAGCAAGCGTCGACTTTGCCGAGACTAGAGGTGGTATCCAGCCTGGGTGGCTGCGGACGCTATGGCTCAATGGGGTTTGACAAAGCGGGGGCGGAGGGAACTTGCCGGATTAAGAAGGGCGTGAGGCCTTTGAAGTCAGGTGGCGAGGATCGCTGATGTGTGCCAAGCCTAGGGACGAAAACAATGGAAACCTGATGTATTGCAAAGTTGGGAACTTGGGATCGATGATTACAGATGATGTTGGGTCGAGGTGATATGCAAATATGTTGATATCCGTCCTATTTTCGATTTGTGGACTATTCTATGCTATCCGTAACACATAACCCCATTAACAAGTGAAAGAATTTGCATGCAAAACCAGCAGGGATAAGGAAAGCAAAAGGCGAGCTGTGGCATCGGTAAACTAAAACACCATCGTATGAATAAGGGAAAAGAAAGACAGAGTGAGAAATCTATAATTGCTCCACAAACTGCCCAGCTGCTCTTCTGTTTCTACTACACCCAGTCAACGCCGGAGGGTGGGTATACTAGCGCTAATTATGAATTATTTTCGATTAAAGACCACCGCAGAGCTGCAAATTCGTTAGTAAAGTGATTCAACGCTCCAGGCGGCAGTGTAGTAAAACTTACAGTTTCCGCAATGATACCGGTGATCTGGTAAGGATCAGCGTTGGAAGCGGGACGGCGGTCCTCGAAGTAACCCTTGCCATCCTTGGCGACCTGGCGGGGAATACGAATTGAACCACCGCGGTCGGCAACGCCAAATGAGAACTTGTCGATGTTGCCGGTCTCGTGACGGCCAGTTAGACGCTCCTCATTGCCCTCACCGTAGACGGCAATGTGCTCAACGTGGCGGGCCTCGAGCTTCTTCATGTAAGATTCGATGGCCTTCATGCCACCATCAGCACGAGTAGCGTTGGTGGAGACGTTGGTGTGGAGTCCAGCTCCGTTCCATTCACCCTTGATGGGCTTGGGCTCAAAGGAAATCTTGACGCCGAATTCCTCGGCGACACGGTGAAGGAGGAAGCGGGACAACCAAAGGTGGTCGCCCATCTCAATACCAGCGCAAGGGCCGACCTGGTACTCCCATTGGGAAGGCATGACCTCGGCGTTGATACCGGAGATCTTGACACCAGCGTAGAGACAGGCACGGTAGTGGGCCTCGACGATGTCACGGCAGTAGACCTTGCCGGTACCGACACCACAGTAGTAAGGGCCCTGAGCACCGGGGAAACCGCCCTTCGGCCATCCGTAGGGCCAGCCATCGGGGCCAAGGAGAGTGTATTCTTGTTCCAGACCGAACCAGAATTCTTCCTTGGCATGCGTCTCCATCAGGCGGTTGCAGTCGTGACGGTAGTTGAACTTGTTGGGCGTGCCATCGGAGTCCCAGGTCTCACAGAGAACAAGGACGTTGTCGCCACGGCGGAAGGGATCGGGGTAGAGAGCACAAGGGCGAAGGTAGACATCTGAGTTGTCACCAGGGGCTTGAGCCGTTGATGAGCCGTCGAAGTTCCATTCTGGGAGCTCGTCGACGCCAGTGGGGACCTTGGAAAGAGTCTAAGCGTTCGTTAGCTTCTTGCTTGACAAGGGTGATCACGTGGTGCGGGTAGGTGCAGATGCAGGATTAGCGTGCGATATCAGGACCGTGCACAGGGCTTATCGGCACACGAAATTGCCTGAATCCATCGCACACCAAACTGCTTGCAACAGAAGAGTTGTTGGTTAAGGCATACCTTGGTTTTGCTGCGAGTGCCGCCGTTGGAGTCAATCCAGATGTACTCAGCCATGACGGCGCCCTTCTGGTCGAGGCTCATGTACTTCATAAGCTGCAGTGTAAAGTTAGTATATGTTCAAGATCCGACGAGGAGTCGGAAGAAGTGGCACGCACATTCTCCGTATTGGAGACGTTGGTACTTGATTCAGCCTAGAGGAGAGCAGCAGTTAGCATCAAATCCCAGGGTGTTTGTGTCGGGGCAGTCCATGACTCACCATAATGAAAGATGTGTGTGGAGGTGAGGAAATAGATTTCTTGGAATAAGGACTTCAAGAAGTCTCGATGAATGCACAGTCAAAGATAGACAGATGCGCACAACACGTAAAACTGCTGGTGGGCAAGAGCAAGAGAGAATGGGCGGACGGAGAGTTGATTTAATAGATGAGAGAGAGAGGATGAGAGATTGGAGGGGATAGAGAAGAAAAACCGGAGAATGAGATGCGAGTCACAATGGTTCTGTGGGTGGGGAGGGTTATTTAAATAATTCATTTCACTTTGCACCTTCTATTTTTTTGCCTCTTGCCGGTAATGCTGTATTGAAAATTACGGTCTCGGCTTCGTGGGGCGGTGCTGCTGCTCCCTGTTTTTGGCAGCCACCGGCGCATTTCAAACTCTCAGGCTTCTGGAATTCTTGCTCCCGTTTCTTTTGCTGCATTGCATGTGTTTCAAGAAAAAGGCGCAGCATTGTATGGAGCCTTCCCCCCGGCAAGGCTGCAGGGCGGTCCAGGGGCGACGCCATGTTTGGTCCATTTCGCAGAGACAAAGACAGTGATTCATTGTCAAAATAGCTTCACTGCGTCTGATTCTAGTAAGCCCTTCGACTGACCGTAGAATGTCGGTTAATGAAGAACATGGTATATGAAAAGATAGCATTCCTAACAAACTCAAGTCCATCCCGTCATCTACAAAAAATAAAGTAAAATAAAACGCGCATATCAGGCACAAACCAACCCAACCATCGGCTCGCAGGATACAAATCACAAAGCCGGCCTGGCCAGACTCGAGATATGACCGAGAAATATTAATCACCACGATTTCATTCGAACTGGCCTTCCCCGGATCCCTCCCCACGCGACGGTGATCAAATTCAGACACCCGAGAGGTTCTCAATCAATACCCCGGAGTCACAGCCGTCTGCTGACCATTGCGCAAAGGATGTTATCCGGTTCGTTGAGCCGCTGAGAGGACAGAGATAATGAGGCCGAAGCTGTTGGTAAATTGTATTATTCAAACCAGTCGCTCCCAGCCTGCATATCAGCTGCAGGTCGGGAGCCCTAGAGTATACTAGCGGGAGTATATGGTAGGGATATCACTTCCTTCCAGTGGCAGGCAGTGTCCAACAGTGTCCAAGCTCCAGACTCCCAATAGAACGTTGAACGACATGACATGTCGACTGCAATTCTGCTCCTGTGGCTTATCGTTGGAGAAACTCCAATACAATGACAGTGGACAGGTGCCCAGTCAGTCTTGGCTGCGCGATAAGTTAGCAATATCAACTTATCAGGCAGCCCCTCCACCCCGCCATGAAACCGATAAGTCGCGTAGGAGAGGACTGGCACTAGGTAGCGCGCTTGCCGATTGAATAACACTTGTCGAGTAGATTGAAGTCATTCAACTAAAACAGAAATTATATCCCGCAGTCATACTGACACTGGACCCAACATGAAAAAGATATCGGATCCATTTGACGCGAAACCAAGTGAAAGTTACACGGGCCTCGCGTAAAGCAGAAACCACGGCCCAGCCACTTGCGGTGACTAAGGATGATATCTGCCATGGACGTTGCCGGAGAGTTCCCCGAATCATCGAGAGCAGCTCGAAACAGAGTGGGTCGTGGCGAATCCGCTCACGTTCTGGAAATCCAAACGCGAGAGTCACCGCTGCTGGGAGTGCCCCGAGACCGGACCACGCCCGGGAGAACGAGAGTTTGGGCTTCTGAGAATCATATTATCATAGTGGCAACTGGCAGCAGAATACAACGAGTCATCGGGTCGATCTGAAAAGCCTCGATCCAGGGATCCTCGCAGCAAATAGCGACAAAGAACAAAGTCGGGAGAATCAGGAATCAGCTCGAATTCAACTGGCTGAGGCGCTTCCGCTTCCCCGTGTTTTCCTCTTCCCCATACCAGCCGAGCATGCGGATCCGGTTTGCAGTCCGGCGTAGCTCGTGCTTCACCCTGTGGTATCCTTGTCGCATCTTGAAGTCTTGAT